CCAGCTGATGTCTTGCCTTGCCTTCTCATGGGACATCAGGTTAACACTCCACTCACTCTATTTCCTTCTTTCTAATACAATCCAAGTAGTCCCGAGCGCTCCTCGTTACGAAGGAAAAGGAAAAGGAAAACCGCTGAAAGGGGTATCTCCAATCTACCCACTCGACGAGACGTGATGATGCAACAAAGCCCGGAGTCAAGGGTCTACCAGGAGGCACTAAACTTCGTTGTTATCAAGTAGCAATTAAAGCAGAGACGGACTCCTTTCGGTTTCTCCAGACTTTTTATGAGTTCCCTGGACAGAAGAATGAAGGGAGGGGGGTAATGAAGCAAAATGAAACACGGAGTAGTATTCAGTGTCTATGCGGTGATGGGTATCAGAAATATATGTCACTTTGGTGATAGATCTAACTGTGGAAGTCCCTCCTTGAGCAGAGCCTCCCTGAGCGGACGAAATGTTACAAAACACGGAGTGAATACAAGGAAATAATATGACTGGAATCAGATACACATCGCCGCACAATCCACGGCAAGCTGTCCTAAGCCCTCGCCATTCTTACAGACAATAGCTTCTGCGTGTCCCATCAAGCAACGATCCATACCTACTTTAGGTAGTTATGTTGTGACAAAACTAGCATTGGTGCCAGCTACACATTGCCTTCACACGGTCCGGAGAATCTTGATAATCCAGAGCAAGGGCGTTGATGGCCGCACTCTCACGAAATAGACTTAGACAAACAGCAACCGGGATATTAATAAATAAACGCATCATATGGCTTCGGCTACCAACATTCCATGATAGGACGTAATAGCTGGCCCTGTTCGCTCTCGCCAGCTGTCTCTTCTCCTCTCCGGGCTGTCTCTAAGCGCCCGCGCCTGCGCCCATAAAAGACATATATATTCTCTGCCTGAGCTTAAGGTTGTCAAGGGCATCTCAAAAGCCAAAATCTACTTGTGAAAGCAACAATGGCAAGTCATTTACTACCACCTTTGACCTGCAACATTGCCTACCTTGTTACCTACATATCTAGTATATCACGCCTAGACCTCGAAATAAGCATCTGCGGACGGGAAGGAGGAAATCGTTGGACCTGAACTCTTGGCAATGCAGACTTAGTTGCCTTAGTGGCTTGGATCGTACCCGAGTGAATACTGGTAAACTGGGGGCGAGGGCAAAAAAAGGGGGGGGATGGGGGAAAAAAAAGCAGATTGTCATTTTTTTCGCGATTATGACAGACTCATAACGGACGAATGACGGGCTTTTGACGAAACCACACAAAATCATCCTCTATCTCCGCCATATCACCTGCTCGACCCTGGAGCCACCGAGCCTAGAACACGCCATTTCGTGTTTATTGCTGGCTGCGAGATAATCTCGCAGCGCAGCAAGACTCGGCGTGTCGAATCTAGTGGCGATGGCGCGAGATGGTAGGAGACTCGACGAATTACAACAAGGAGAGAAGCAGCGCTGAGAATTCGCCGCGACGACAACATAGAAAAGTGGGTGTTGAGCGGAAAAACCCATCCACTACAAAAAACCCGAATTGGAGCTCCGGAATCAGGTTGGGACTCACCGGTGGAGGGTACTGTCGCAACCGATGCAAGGCCCGTCACAGACAAAGGGGTGTGCTGTCCATATCGGCCAGCCGGACGGCGCACGTCCGGAGTCGCCAATGGCTGGTCTCTCTCCCTATCGCAGGAAAAAGGAAAAGTGATACAGGGGTACAGGCAGAGAAGACAGAATTCAGCTGAAAGTCTTCGGCCACAAAACCCATGGGGATCGAGTCTCGCGCTGGCATCGAGGCCGGTGAGACAGATACGAATGCTCATCACCTGCGGTCGGCCAAGCCACGGTTGCAGACCGACAAGAACCCGAAGGCCGATACCCCATCAACGCAAGCAAGACGACGAGCACATCACCAGCCTCAACGCCGCCGCCGCCGCAGCGTGCGGTGAAACACGAGCCGGAAACAATTCCTAGTGGCCCAGGGTTTTATTGTCCAGTTCGGGCAACCCGCCTGGCAGCCAAAACAACCTCAAGTAACAGGAATGATAATGCGTCGACATAAGAGGTTGTCAAAACTAACCTTTGCCAGTTACACGACAGGCGGGCGTTCGAGCGAGGGTGTCAACACGAGCCCGGGGCGACGTCGCAAGGCCCGCATCGAATCAACGACTCTGCCGGATCTGGAAGAGCTTGTGGAGTACCGATCAACGCGGAGTCTCCGATTTTTGCGCCCTGGTTGGTGCGAGGGCTGAGGAGAGGTTGGCATGACGGCGGTTTCTGGACGGGAGAGCGGGAAAAAAGAAAAAACCAAAATATGAGAAGTGACAGAGAATGAGGGGCAAGAACCTGGAAGAGCCCGAATAGACCCCGAATGTGACAAGGTTCATAGTGACAAGGCAGATGTCGACGACCACTACATGCTCGTACATAATGCATATGTATGCGCTTCAGGGACAAAGCGGTGTGACGTTGGCGTGAAGCGAGCAGCTCGAAGCGGCCAGGGGCATGGTTCGGAAATCGAGTGTTTTTTTGTGTATTTCCAGGGCGGAAGCGAATCGGATTGCCAAACTTTGCCCGCTTCCTTCCAGTGGCCAAAAACAGCGCAGCGCACAAACCCCAGCATCTCGTTCACACCGCTCGGGCCGAGCCCAACAAATCGGTTGGCTGAAAAAAGAGTGATGCCGTTCCACACCCGCGGGACGGCGGGGGCTGGACGGGAAGGGTAACCTGGAATACCCAGTGAACGTATGTGTATGTATGTGCCTGTACTACCTACGGATACAAGGAGCACTTAAAATGGAAGATTCGCAGCTTGACCTGGGCCTAGGGTTGGAATCATGGGACATCGCTGGGCTGACAAGTCAATGGACAAGAGACGAGAAATAGCCCAAATGAGGAAAGTAGAGGAGACGGGACACTAAAAAAAAAGATTAGAAAAGAAAAAGAGGGGAGATCCCCCGGCACACATTAAGCATGCGACTCTGGTACCGCACAACCCTAGTGATTCATGGTGTTTACTTAAAAGCCGGGAGGGAGGGAGGGAAGGGGCGTAGTCTAAAATTCCCATACTTGACCTTGATCTACCCTGTCACGTCATGAGTGTCGACGGACCACCCCAGGGCTGACACTTTATTTCAACGACTGACACCGCCTATCTCCCGACAAAAAAATCCCCACATCACGACTCGGGACTGAGGTTCAGCGGCGGCAAACTGGGAAATAAAAGAAATACAGAAAGAAGGAAAAAAGAAGAAGAAAAAGGGAAGAGGCCCCGAAGTCGCTCCCATTGGAAAACTCCGGACGAGATAGGGAGTCCGCTTATGTTCTCTCCCGCAGGGCAGACATGCAGCTAAGAGAGCGGCTTCGATCTCGGGCACCGCTCTAGACTAACTCCGGGTCGGCGACACAAGACTTGGCGGTGATCTTGGCAACATGCACTGCCGGTGATCCTGGTCCGGCCATCCATTGGCCGATCCCTGGGTTGCTGAGCGAGTAGCGCGGAGCACCGTAGCAGCGAGCCTCGATAGTTCCTAGCTTTGGAGGCCGCGGAGCCACATGGCCCTTCCCTGATGCGTTCGAGTTTGCATTAACCCATCTCTAGGACGCACCCGAGAACGAGACAGCTGTCGGCCTTGGCCGGCATGTTAACGCACGACCCCACAGGCTAGTGATACTACTCATGCGCTCTGAGCTGAAGTAGGGAAAATCTTCCGTCCCAGACCGCGATCAACCTCAGCCTGCCTTACCTCTTCAGGTTGTACTTGCAGCCAGGCCTGGGTTGGCAGACCCCAAAGGCGTCGAGCCCGATATCTGACTAATATGAACACATCGTTAGCGTCTGCGTCACAGAGACGTCAGAGGAGAATCCAGCCTTTGTGAATGGCCACTTTTAGGCGAGAGGATGCAGCTCTAAAATACATGGTGGAGAAAGACTCAGCGTCCGGAAGTCGTCCGGGCTTGGAAGGGGATGAGGCCATATTAGTTGCATCCGACACGGCAATTAGCCGGACCTGGCGGCTCACTTGCATCCTCGGATGCCCTACCTTGGCGGCGCGGCCGCTGACGCTTCTCTGGATAGACTCCCGGCAAGTCCCCCGGCTGCTCCATCACTGCCCTATCTCTCGGAAGGATCTGCCAAAAAGGGCGAAGGCCTCGCCATATCACTTGTCTTGCGGGCCCGGATCCGTTGACTTGGCTCTCTGCGGCAGATGGATCGGAAAAGAGGAGTGATGCCGGATGATGCTGTGAGACGCGATCAGTCTCGGCCTCTACATAGGTGCGCTCCTTTATGCGGATTCGAGCACCTTGCAGACGCACCGAAGGGATACACAAGCCCCGGGCTCCAATGCCATGGACCGCTTGTCTCTGGTTCCGCCGTCCGAGCACGAACTGCAAACTAAGCTGGCGACCATCTAATGTAGCATAGCGCCGCCTGGCGATCCTGAGAATGACGAGTAATTTGAGTGAATACGCACTGAACTGGCATTGACGGGCTTCACACGAACCCAGGCTTCTCGCAGTCAAACAAATCACAGCACAGCACAGTGGTACGCGGAACATATGCGTGACGCCGCCAGCGGGCATGTATTTATTGGTCCACAGTCCCTGCATGAGGGCACGCAGGATATCGACGAGCATCTTGCATCCCCCCTCTTCCATAGAAGACCTGTACTGTACCAAACTCATCAGTTAGGAAATTAGCCGGGCAACGCGGAAGGATAGTCATCCACCCCTCTCCTTGCATTTTCCCATCTCGTTTTCCTTTTTGATTTTGTGACTAGCCGTGCGGAGTTTTCCCCCTTTACTGCGCCCCTACCCTCCAATAATGTAGGAATGGATCAATGCTGACCGAGACGCCGCTTTTCCAAGGCCCCAGACCCATGCCATACCTAGCCAATAGCCTGAGAGAAAGTACCAAATCCAATTAATAAGAGAGTGACAGAAGAAAACGAGGCTTGTGCAGAGGAGCCGATGTTGACGCCTTGGCGTGCTACCTAGTTCGGCTGGCTGCGGAGTGGGAAGAAGAAAGCGGGCATGGGCTCAAGGTGCCAATGTTTGACGCCCTGTTTGTTGAACGCCTTATCCCACTCGTGAGATAGCTCTTTGGGGATGCGCCAGCCCAGCTGGGCGCTGCGGAGGCGCATGCGCACCAAGTGGCGTTTCTCGGCCGCGTCGCTGCCATTGACGAAGCCCTCACGTCGATGGAGGATGGCAAGATTGTTGATGAAGTGCATATCTCCTGCCTGCGTCTTTATCTCCATCTGGGTGGCTCGTGCCACAGCCTCAATGGCATCTAGAGCTTGCACCTGGCGGGGCGTAAGCGAGGGCAAGTGGCTTGGTCGGGGATGTGCTTCGTTGCCGAGCAAAGCGGCACGGCCAAAGTTCATGATCAACTTCGAGTCTTGGTAGAAGATGACCGGCCGGCATTGAAACCGTGGCCTGCGATGTGAGGCAATAAGTTAGTACTCGGGTTTTGTCTACATCAGGGGGTGTCTTCTCCTCCTGTTGCCGATCTGGGAATAACTCACAAGGCAAACGGCCAGTCTGAACGGGCCAAAGTTCGAATGACATCAGGACGAGTAGCTGCCAAAACGTTGTAGATCGTATAGGCAGAAGCAATTATGCACTTGCCACCGGCAGCAGCAGCGCCCCGCGTCAACCAGCTAACGACATCGCCCGCCTCTTCGCTGTGGAAAGTCTGCCAAATAGGGACAGTGGTTAACCCTTCCGTGCCTTATGGTATAGACAACAAGAACGGGCCAAGACAAGCGGCAAACTCACGATGGACTTGGTCGAGTGGCGGTGATGCTCGGCAGCATCCTTGGTGCTGTTGTCGGCAACGATGTGAACTTTGATGCATCTTTAGTTAGTTGGTGTTGGCAGTCATCAAAAATCATGGCGGGCCCCCCCTATCACAAACTAACCAAGCATATTTCCACGCTTGTCTTGGCGACCGCGTTGTTCTGCAATGTATGACTGGATGCCCAAATAGACCAGCATGAGGTCTTCGACGGAGTAGGCAGTCGTATCAATGCCACGAACGGCGCAAAAGCCCTTGCCGTAGTGAACATCCCAACTGAGAGCCGAGAGCTTCGGCCCTAGAGTGGGAAGCGGAAAACATGTCGGATCGACAAGATCTCCGTCTTGATCAAGTGCTGGGCTCAAGTCAGCTGGAAAAATAGACAAAATTGGACAACAAGATATGTGCGCGTAAATAAAATGGAGGGTGCTCTCTTACATTTATAAAATCTGACGGCCTCGTTGATTTCGGCCACGTCGTTGGGGACAAGAACAAGAGCCCAGTCCGAGGCCGTCGGAAAGTCGGACCCAGTCCACGCAAACTTGGCGTTCAGCTTGGCTGGAAAGCCGGCCGGAAGAGCCGGGACGTCAGCGTTGGATTTGGCTGCGCTGGGACCGCCAGCGATTGGGGCAATAGCCGCAGCCAGAACGGGTCCAGCGCCAACAGCAGACATGGCGGCGGGCGAATTGCAGCTGGAGATATATGACTACCTGATCGGCTCCGGGTCAACGCCTTCCCTGTTAGACACTACCACAACAACACCGCCACGTCCGCCCCCTTAGACCCGATCTGACGCGCATTGGCATTGCATGCGCGACGACCGGAGCGATGCTATGATATGCTGCCGCCAACAGGATACTGGGTGCTTACCTCGAGAGAAGATCAACAGAGGTTACAGAACCTCAGCACGTGCCACCCTTATAGAGGATGTGCAGCGACTACCTGGCCTAGGAAGACGGGTCGATAACCGAGGGAAGGCAAGGTACGCGGGCAGACTTGTTGGACATCCAGGTTTTCCGGCGGGGAGCGGGAAACCTAGGGCAGGTTAGGCAGCGCGGAGAGCTCCAGCACGGCGAGTCTCGACGGTGCCTTTAGGGGACAGGGGTCGAAAGGAGTCCGGGTGTCAACCTGAGGTGGGTTCCAGGTAGGTTGGCAATGGGAAAAGGCTGGATATGGGGGTTGTGGACTGTGACCTTGGCTGTGATTGGGATCTGACTGGGAACGAAGAACGGGTCTCATGGTTTTGGGCAGAACCGAGTTCCGTGGCCGGGCTTGATATAAGAAAGAGAAGATGCTCGTCGGCCGGGCAAATTATCCCTCCCGTCTCCTGGCAAGAGACAGACGGACTGTTGAACAAGACAAGGCACAGCTCGAGAGCACGAAGGGCAAAGAGAGAGAGACATACAGAACAAACATCGGACAGGAGGAACAAGAATCCAAGACCTGGGCACTGCCAGCCCCCGACCTCCAGCTGCCTCTGTGTAGCCCAGGAAAGAGGAAAGATGCAGCCGGGCAACCTAGCTGGCAAGGGCAGGCGCATTCAGCATGGAAGCTCAGGACCACAACGAGAATATCGATGTTTTGCAAAGGCGCCACAGCAGGACCGGGAGGGACACCGACAGTACAGTACCTTTACGATCGGAAGCCAAACAGAGAGAACATTCCACTTGCGGCTTCGTATGGAGGTCCCAAGCCGGCATGAAGGTAGGAAGTCCCGTCAGGCGGGCACCCTCGAGGTGGTCTGAGGGAGATAGGACAAGAAGGGCGGGTAAAGTAAGGTAAGGCAGGCGCAAGGTGAGCTAAAGCAAGCTGGGAAGAATGGACATAGATACCTACACTAGCCGTCCTCGTTCTTTGTGCAACGCGGCTTCCCAACTACTAGGAGCAGCTAGCCATGATCGGGCCTTGGAGGCGTTCTGGGGATTCCATCCCCGGTGTGGGCAGAAGCAGCACCCATAGGGCGAACTTGGAGCGGGCATGCATGGCTTGACACCCTGGCCACCTCAGGTGGTAGAAGCCGCTCGCAAACAAATAGATGTAGAGTGTGCGGGCGGGTGCGAATAGGTATTTTTCTTTTTGGGAAACCACCCGGCTCTCGCCGAGAAAAGTCACCACAGGCCCAGGGCTGTGCAGCACCTGGGCTCAGAGACTCGACATCCACGAACGCAGCCGCTGCCAGAGACGCGCAGTTGCTGAGTCCCCAGAAACAAACGCGCAGGGTGACGGGGAGCTAAGGTATGGACTGGCTCAGACTCTTTGAAGACAGGCAGGTGAGGTTGAGGTGGCTTCATGCACACGTCCACCTCGAGGCACAGTAGGCCAGGTACCTGACCCACCTCTATAAGTAGGTAGATAATATACTTTGGGTTGAGTGCCAAACCAGCCTTACCGTCAAGTCTTGCCGGGCTTGGCTCGTGGAGGACACAAGGCAGGGGCGGTACTTAGTACTAAGACCCATGGTAGTACTTGCCTTGGCAGGGTACTTGCCCCAGCAGCCCGCTTCGCTGACATGTCTAACCAATTGACTCTACCAACCTGAAAGGCTGGAAGGTGTAAGTCTTGGGCGAAACCGTCGTGGACACCTAGATCTTGGCAGATTCGAGACATCCAGCGTGAAGCATATAATACGCCGTGTAGAAGACATACTTAGCCCTCTCGGGATCGTTTCGCAGCAAGGGCCCGCTAGCCAAGGGGACCTCCCTAAGATGGAAAAAAGTGCAGCGGTAGCGGGAACGGCAGGAGCAGCACCGGCAGCGGCGGTAGTGGAGACGAAAGGGAGGAAATGCCTTTAAGCAGAGCCAAGGTTCCAGGCCCAGGTGGTACTAGCCCGGAGCAGTGGAGGAGGAGGAGGAGGAGGAGGAGGAGGAGGAGTTCTGGAGTCCCTAGGGTATCGGGTGATACCTAACCCAAGGTCTCGAATTAAAAGTGGAGCCGAATCCACGCTCCCCCTGCGAGCGAGATCGAACCCGCCGCTGTACGCGATGGGATGTGACATGGGAGCACACAGCAGGTGCGGGAGGAACGCGCTTAAATTGCACACAGACGCCCTTTTTTGCGCCGGGTGGTTAGAAGGGCTGGCATAGTTCCATGGTAGATGGTACCAAGGCAAGTACGGTAGTCGAGAAGTAGGCAAAGTCGGAAAGGAGTCCAGGAAGCTGACAGGGGAGGCAAGGGAGCCAGGGGGCCGGCTGATGGAGGCAGGAGTGATCTGGACACAGATATTGAGCCGGTCAACAAACCATGGCATTCCGATGGGAAAAGTCGTGGAACAAGACAACCTGGAGCCCAACAAGTTTTTTCTGGCAACAGCAACAGCAACGGCAGCCGAAGCCGGAACTCGACTCGAGGCGGAGAACGAGAACGGACAAGGAGGGCGTCGCTGTAGTCACTCTGGTTGACAAATTCCGTACTGTACTTCGGACACATGCCTTGGCTACCGAGGTAAGATAGTTGAGCCTGGGGCGAGAACTCACCGCGAGACAGGAATCTCGAAATAGCTCGAGATTTGTGAATCGGGAAGAGAATATCTGCCACCCGGCTGCAGTGTGGGTTCAGAACTGACTGTCAAAGGTCGAGGAGTGGCTACTCTGTTCATGGAGTCAGCAAGTCACTTTGGCTAGATGGTCCTGGAAGGTACCGGATGGGATTCTGGAGGTTGAAAGACAGCTTGGCGAAGGGGTGGTTCTAAGAGCAATATGGAGTGGTACACTGAAGAGAAAGAGATGCCTTGGGTATGGGGTGTGATGGTGATTTGGAGGGGAAAACCGGATGGATGACCAAGACGGGGATGCGGAAAACTCAGTCACACCAGAAGATGGCAATCTTTTTTTGTGGCTTTCTAGCTGCTTGACCGGTCAACGAGAACGGGGGTGTATGGCGTCGATGGGGTTGCTTTGCTCGCGCAGCGTGGCGGCGACGGCTCTCGGATATTGCGCAAAGCGCTGGTGTGAAGTCGGGGCATACATACGGAAAGCATACGACGGGAGCTACTTGATTTGCTGGCCGTCCTGGCCTGGCCCCCGACAGCGGGCATGCCGATTTCGGGGGAAGAATGGCAATCAGAAAGGTTGAGCGACCTGGAGATCGGGATGCCTAGGTATGTGGATGGAATCACTCCGGCATGTATACATGTTCGTCTCACCGTTCTAATATCCCTATCACACATCACACTTGCGCACCCACGCTCATGCCGCACACAAACACACAAACACACACACACACACACTCAGACGCATGCAAGCACGCACAATTTTCTCTCTTTCTCGCACGCACGCACACACACACACTCTCTCTCCCCCTGTCTCTCCTTCTCTTTCTCTCTCGTTCATACCTCCAGCTCGTGCGAAGGCCAGACCGACCCCAATGCACGCTGGCCTAATCTTCCCGATTGTCACACTCCTTTCCCCTCGTTGCCGACAAGGGCCCAACCGAACTCACTACTACCCGCTTCTCAAGACTCCAAGAGCCGGCAAGGTGCCTGGAGCAGGCCGTGCCGGGCGGGCCATCTGCCGCCGTGGAAGCCCAACACCTCGCTACCACCTATCCACCTTACCTCCCCGGTGTCACGGCCATCGCTGGTACCCACCAGCGGTTCAGCACCCATGGGCAGAAATCGTGAGCCGCATCGGAAAGGCGCGCTGGGGACACTCATCGTGCCATGTCGCCTCGAGGTTGGGCCGTCTTGTCTTGGCTCCAGCTGACCGTAGTGGGGTAATGGAAACCCGCGAGCTGCAGTGCAATCCATTTACATCCCCGGACTTTCCCGTGTTTGGCTAGCAGTGGCACTTCACCGTGCAGCTCACATGTGTGGGACGTGCTTCTCGATGAAGCCGGTGTTGCAGCGAAAGCAGACCGACTGAGCCGGGGTTTTGACTCTGCAAATATCATATCGACCTTTGATTGGGGGGTTGTCTGCGTCGAAAGCCGGCTAACCAGCCTGGAAAGGCACATGAGCGGCACGGCATGGCTTGACGACTATCCAGTATCTATTTCCTCGCAAACAAAATGCAGCTCCACTGGCCAGAAGCCCATCTATGCCAGCCAGCCAGCCAGCCAGCCAGCGTAGGCCTCGGAGAAACACTGCGACCAGGACAGGCTCAGGCTTGCGGCTGGTTGGCTGGCAGACTGGAAGGCAAGATATAGTGCTACTAGTAAGAAGCAGTTCGCCAGCCCCGACTTGCAGGCGTCCCATCTCCCTCATACGACTGGGCTTGCTGAGATGTTTGTGGTGCTCGAGGAAGGAACCCCAGGGCTCAGAGACTAGGCACCCAATCCAGAAAGACGCAGCATGGCACGCTGTCCGCCTGTCGATGTGTCTCTAGCCAACAGAGTCCGCTCGTTCAAGCGTCCTCCTCAAAAAAGCATTCTCTTTTGGCACACCTGCATCAAACAACATGCATTGACCTAAGACAGGAAACGCAGAAACCCAATCATTCCTGCCCAATCGAAGCCCAGACTAGGTCATTGTTCGAGGCTGCCAGTTTGGCTCAAAGAGCTGGCTCACGTAGAAGTACTCATTCTCATACTCGTCCCTACGCCACGAGTCTTCCCACTGCTGTTCTGTTCACAGGGGTGCACATGCATTAGCGCCGCCCCAGTGTCTTGGTCTGCATGGTCAGGAATCGGGTGGGCCAGGGCCTGCTCACTTTGGTTAGATGCCAGCCGCCTTGTCTCTCCGACAAATCTGATGGCGTTCTCGTCAAGCTCCGCCAAGCTATGGAGATCTTGATCCTTGCAGTCGTCCGAGAATGGATAGATGCCCTTGTTGCAGTAGTGGAAGTAAGCGAGAAGTGTGTTCGCCCCTGCTCTGCCAGTCAGTGAGGGCGAAGGAATTAAGGAGCCCAACTAGTTCGTAATTCTCACCTAGATTATACTCCTTGACATTCTGCTCTCGTGCAAACCGTCTCTGTGGTAATAAGCAACCGTTAGCCGACATTGTCCTAATCTTGATCCCCACAAAGAACAGCCTTTTGCCATTTTGCGGACTAGGAAGCGACTTACCCCCATCCCATGCTTTTTAGCATAGTCCGCGTCGTGTTTCGTGATGAGGGCAATGTTGTGTAACAAGATAAACGTTACTAGGTATGTTGTAAGCCACGTCTTTTGCTTCTTGTCTTGCGTCATCTTCTGCAGTTCTTCGAGCGTTCTTCGGCGAAGTTGAGGCTGAATTTGGTGTATCAGAACCGAATCGATTTGCGCGCCCATCACCGGCGGAAGGGGAATCTTATGATATAACGGATTGTCTTGATCATCAATTAGGTCCTGAGGCATGCCCAGTGTCTCTTTGCCGACGATTTCGAAGGACTTGGTGGTCAACCTAACGGACATCCAGAGGTCGAGCGTGCTCATGAGCAGCTTTCGCTCCGTGTCGCTCGTCGAGGCGTTCCTCATCGTTCCAATGGCGAGGAAATACGTGCGCCAGAGCAGCTCCTGCTGGGCGTCCAACACCTGCCTGCAGCATTGGATCAACCCTCGTTTGATGTATTGATCAAAGGCAGATTTGGCAGCATCCATATCGACAATAGCAAAAGCCGGAACCTGCACCTTCTTCTTGACGCCACCCGACACCCAGGACCTGTCCAACTTGTCGCCCTCTTGGGGTCGAAACTGTCGAACTTGAAGCGCGACCGATTCACCGGTGTATCCTTCGGTTACGTATATCGTTCTCGACTCTGGAGCTGCCCAGTTCTCGATGTCGTCGACCACGCTGTCTTTCCAGCGGTTGGTCCATTCAAGGCCCTTGACCTGACCGGGCTTAAAGAGCTTCACGTCCGTGATCTTCCAACGGAGACAGTTCAGTCGGTACACCTTACTGTTGACGGCGATTTTCTTGCATGACACACATGGGCCTCGCTCATCCTCGGGATCAAGGTTACACTAAGCAAAACTGTCAGTAACGTCCCAGCCTCCCGAGCAACACCGTCAGGCTCGTCAGGCGCAGGGAGTGTGAATTTCTCACCCGAATGCGCTGCATCCGACACCTGATACAGCTTCCCATTTTCCTTGTGAGTGCCGTTTTGTCTCGCTTGTCACGGTCCGTGAACGGTCCTCGTCTGGCTGGGAGCGTTCTCTGGTGTGGGAAGAGATCGAATGTGGCCGACCTTCCTTGAAGCTCTAACCCATCCGGGTCGCCTTTGACTTCATAGCTTTGAGATGAGTGGTAGCGAGGAGGAAGACCCACGAAGCTGGTGTACCTGCTAAATGGTGGGGAATCAAGCTCGGCGTTGTATGGACCTGGCACGGAATTTGATGGTCTAACAGAAGGGCTCATGAGGTGAGACTGGATGGGAACTCTAAGATCTGTGCCATTGCGTGGCGTGTCCACGTTGCTATCATATTTGACAGTCACAGGCGGGACCGGGTAGACCATCTCTTCTCTACTCATCTGAGGCTGCGTGCCCATGACCCGGTTAGGCTGCATCGGCGGGTAACCACCCGCCAGGGCGAACAATGCGGGCTCGTCGCAGGCGAATATTCCCGTCTGGTCCGAAGCTATCGGCGAAGAGTTAAACGAGGCTTGGCCATGAGACTGGATTGGCAACATGCCGCCGTCAAAAGCTGGCCTGGCGGCGTCGTAATCGTACGACGCAGTCGTAGGCAGAGGTTGATATGCTAGCATGACCTGTCAGGTCTCGAATTCGGCACATGCGTACAGATTAGCCATAACTTACAAGTAGAGGGCTCGTAGGTAGAGCAAGGCGGGCACATTCCAAAGCTAGCAAAGCAGTCGGCAAGCCGCGTGCCTGTCCATCCCGAAGGAAAACCGTTGTCGGTCAAGGCGGCCGGCGGTCGCGGCGGGAGGACACTTCCATTGTGCCCTGGCCGGGAAGTAAGGGGAGACTTTTCCAGGCCATTGTGAGAAAGAGGTTCGTCGCCCGAGTACGGAGCTGACATATGAAGGCTCGTATTCAGGCGAGGTCTCTTGTGAATATGGTGTTGCCGAGTGCTGAGCTCTAGGAGGAAGGGAAGTGGCCAACCAAGGTTCAAGGCGGCTTGTTGGAAGATATAATGCTGAAGGTCTTGCTGATTCAGGCCCACAAGCGTGGAGATGGGTACGTCAATCCTCACATTGGCAGAGAGGGCGCGCTCCGGATTATATTGGTAGTTGCCCGGTAGGGATAGGGGATCAGAGCCAGCCGATGAGGGATGTGAGACGTCCTGGAGCACGGACTCCGCAGGGGAGTCCTCGTGGCAGTAAGCCCGACGTTTCTTGATATTATTATTCTAGACAAGCATCATCAATTCACCGCACGTTGGCGAACGGAAGGAGCAGCTGAGAAAATGGGGCGTTCGCAAAGTAATGCGACTAGACCGGTGAGGAAAGGCCATGTCAAGCATGGAGATCGGAGGGGGCTGATGTAGAAGATGTGTAAGTGACGAGGAGGGGGGGTGTGTGTGTGTGGTGGTACAAGCGTGCGAGACAGACAGGTGGGCGGCTGTAGGTCGACGACATAGCTCGAGTGGGCACCAGAGGGAAAAGAATGGGGAGATCGGTGCCTTTTCGACCATGTAGCCTGCCGCCAGCCGCCAGCCCGGAGGCAAAGACGGGGTTCTTACCATGATGGAGGAGGTTAACAAGCTAGGTAGCAAGTAGATAGGTTGGCCAAGTAGGCAAGGTATCGAGAGCGGATGGTGTAGACCGGGGATGTACTTGGCCGATAGGTACCGGGTATACAATAGACGGGCACAAGGAAGCGAAAAATGGTCCTTAGCGTAGCACAGAGATGACCAAGGGATAGGCCGCTCCAGACGCAAGGCGGTGGTGGTCCTCGGGGTGGGAAGAATGGGGGGTGTGCGGGGGCGAGACCATCTCACAAGAGCGCCATCGCCACGGGGACAACAGCCCGTAGTACGACGACGGATGGACAGCTGCAGCAGGGCTCGGGAGGACTTGGCGACTGGAAGCAGCAGCTGGTGCAGCTGCGGGCAGAGGAATCGGTAAACACCAGTTGATGAGTGGAGGGGTGAGAGAATGGAGAGACCGGGAGGGTGACGACCTGGGGTGACGGGCGTGACGACCTGGGGTAACGAGGCGGAGCCGACAGCCAGCCAAGAAGCAGGAAGCAGGCCGAGAGGAACAAATTAGGTACTATTCGGCTACCACCACCCCAGCTGTGGTTGCTCCCATGTGCTTCGGGGAGCTCTCTCTCTCTCTGCCTCGCAGACCAGACCTTGGGGGGGGGGGCAATCTCTCGGGTCGGGAACCCTCGATGAGCCGTATGTGGCTGCGGCGCTGAGGCGAGCGGGGAGGGGGGAGCCAAAAACAACCGACACGGAACGTGTGGCGTCGACTAGATCTGTCTTGGCTGGATGGGTGGGCGAGTCCCGGGCAACTCTAATGGGACCGAGACCAGAGACGAGACGAGACCAGGACCGGGACACAAGAGCTTGACCTGGGCTGGGCCCCTTCGGCTTTCAGGCGAGGAGCGATGGATGGGGCGACACAGACGACGGCAGAGACGACACGAACCTGAATGGCCTTGGCTCCAGGCCGTCCGTCCTGGCGCAGCAGCAGTGGAATGGACCCTGTAACCTCGAGCTAAGGTAAAGGAACCCGAGAGAGAAAGGCCCGGGCAGGTTTGGTGGCCCCGTCGGTGAGCGAGGGCGCCCGGGCGTTCGTTGGGTTGGGCGCAATTCTCCAGAACTGACCTGACCTGGCGGGAGGTGACTGGTCTGAGTCCACCTCAGGCACCTATAGGTCTTCTGCGGGCGGCGGGTGCTGCCCTGCGAGGTAAGCCGAATTGGGCGTCCAGTGTGATGTGATGTCTCACGGTCTAGGTCGACGGGGGGAGCTGGAATTGCCCAAGTCGGTCAGAGGCAGGTCCAGTGCTGGGCCGACAGTGGAGGCAGGCCGTCGTTCAAAGTCGGGCAGGTCGGTGGAGACCTCCACCTCAATTCACATGGAGAGTCGGGGGTGAGGGGACGCGAGGATGGATGCGATTCTCTCGTTTGCTGGCTGGCGTGCGAGGGAAGGAACAGGTCGGTGAGGAACTGAACTTGTAAGTGAAGAAAAGAGATTCACCGGTCGTGGGGAAGGCGCACTTGGCCCCCTCTCCTCCCCAAGCTAGGTAATTAGGGCAGGAAGCGACGTTTGAGCGGGACACGGCTGGGGCAACGTAGCGCAAAATGCGAAAAAGAAAAAAAAATGCAAAATGCAGAGCGCTTCCGGTCATCAGGAATACCCGACAACGGTAAGGTGGCTACCAAACAAGGTGCAATGGGCCCAGAATGAAGGCATGGACGGGCAAGCATGGAAGGGGCGCCAACCTGGGGGACCTCGAGGAACCCTGTCTCCCCGATCGTTTAACGGCTCCCATTTTCTAGCTTCCTGCGGATGCGTTGCACAGAAGTTCACAGACCCCGTCACCCGGTCCACATGTCATGGATATTGCTGTCGGCTCATTGCTCAATCGGCGTCTGCGACTGGTTCAACCGCCGACCCAAAGTCCCCTCCTCGACCATGTGTGGGTATATCAGGAGGAAGCTATAGGTTCCCGGCTCCTCTCTACCGTAGTAGTTTCTAGAAAAAGGAAACAAGAAGGGGGGGCGATGGAAGGAAAAAGAAAGAAGGCGCCAGTTTCTACTCATTACTTGGCAGCCTGACACGCACCTGCCAGGAACTAAAATTCTCAAAGTGGCCTGAGGCGCGATAAGCATCGAAAACATGCAGAACAGCCTAGATCCGAGAACTGGCCCCCTGGTCGCTGTATCAATCAATGGGTGGCCGTTGAACACTGAAGCTCCCTTAGATGCTTACCTAGACCGACCCAAGGCTGCCTCTAGACTAGGGGTGGCAGCTGCAAACTAGCACTTAGGTAGGTACCGTAGTGAGGCGTTTTCGGCTGCTGCCGATGGGATGGATACTTCGAGGTGAATGAGTGGATGGATCCATCCGTTGTCAGCGCTGACACGAATGCGGAGGCCGGGGAAGATGAGGGGTGTGTGTGGAGGGGGGACGGTGGAGGTTCTCTGGGGGAGTCGCGATGGAACTAAACCTAGCGGCCGTGGAAGGCGGCAAGGGCAGCCTCGCTCACCCCAAGGCCAGTATTTGCTGATTTTCGGGCGAACACCTTTCAGTTACATACATTCTTCATAATTCAGCACATAGACTGCAAAACGCACTTGTGCATCAACAATACGACAGAATGGCGGCTGGCAGAAGCCACGCCACCAGAACTTCAGAAGCGGCTGTGAAAAGTCTCCACCATCTACTGGTAGCCGAATGTGGTGATTGGTCGGTGCAGGTACCCAACTCCCATCTCACAATCCCTTGTGCCCACCGATACCCCACCTCGCTTGGCTGTAAAGTTGTCGACTTCGATACGAAGATAAATTTGGAAATTTTGGGACTTTCCCATGATGTTAGAACGTGTATGTACCTACCTTATTTTACATGCATCACATGGTAAACACCCAGATAGAAGGTGCAATGGGGGCCTCAATGGCGCTTTCTAAAGGCAGGGGTCTCGCTGCGGATACTGTGTAGATATCCTCGAATTTATAACTATAATTTCCCTGCCAGATACTCCGTACATGATGCATGCATTCCATTTGGTCCGTCACCCAGATCGGCGAGCGCGGGCCACTCAATGTTTTGAGTCTTCCGACTGGCCACACCACTATATTCCTCTCCAACCTCCTCAGCAAGTAGACAGACACATAGTAAGGACAGACACCACCCTCTCACTGCTTGGCGATGCCGAAATTTGCCGGACTCGAGGGTTCATAGACGCACCCTACGACCCTCATTTCGAAGCCCACCAAGGGTAGGCTGAGAGTCACGATCTACAGATGTTAGCTCTCGCTCAGCAGAATTCCTCTACTCAGTACATGCACTTCGGAGTGCCGACCTGGAATATTGAACCCATGGGCTGCGCACAACCTCCTACGCAGTAAGCAGGCGCCAAGAACAAACGCATAAGGCATCCGTACTGTAACCTGGAAGGTATCCAGAACCCCACTCTTGGCGCCTCTCTAGATTCCTTCTCCAGGTTTAAAAGGTTAGGTATCATGGTCTAATCTGGTAATCAAATCCTAGCAATTCAGGCATACGGCATAGAATCGGCATCTCTATTGGTCGCCCAGCGAAACAGAGCACAACCTCACGACATCACAGCGCAGGAACACTCCTACCTAATCAAAGCTTCTAACAACAATGGAACAGATTAGGTCGAGCCCGAGCGGGGGGGGCATTGCCCAAATCCCTGAAGCTGCCAGAAACAGCAGAGTCTTGGCCCCGTCCTCGACATTTGACATTTGATCGACTTCCCTAGTCACGACCCCAAAGAGCCTTGAATGAACCGAAAACTTTGGTCTGGCCCTCGTGAAGTTAGCGATACCTTCCAGAATCCACGCAGAGCACAGATTGCCCGGCAGAATATTTAATAACAAATGTATAGGTCGGCAAGACTTCCTTCTGCCACAGTCGGATTCGTGCTTTCGCTCATTATTTAGCAGTCGCGTCCTTGACACTCCGTCAATTGGTATTCCGTACTGAATGTATGTACGCATGGTTCCCGTCAGGGCCGACGACATTGCTTCGCGCACATGACAATATGCCGAGTAATTGCATGGGACTAGCGGCATTTGATATATGGAGTATATCATTCTGATATATAACTGTTGCTTCATTTCCACCCGACAAGGGCCCCGGGATCGCGATGGCTCGGTGTCTGGGGAGAAGGTGTGAGGAGTACATTCGCATTGCGGCGGCAATGCATGCGAGCCCAATGCATGCGAGCCAATGGCCACACCTCCATCCCCACAAAGCGACGGCGTCTCAAGCCACTCTTGTGGTGTGTGCGCGAACCTGCGGCGTATCTTCACCTAAAGCGGCCTGAGTTCTCGAATCTCAATGGCCCCCAAGAGGCTGGTCGTCGGGCTGTATTACCTATCCGACTTTCACACCGGTCACTGGGAACTAACCCCGGCCCGACAACCCGGCGACGATCAGTTGCGAGCCTGGCTCCAATGAGAATAGAATCACCCCTCATCAGCAATGGCCAGCCTGCCATGGCCCTCTACAAGAGAGAGAATGCGTTTCTCATCAGTGAGCCCTGTCGCCAGCCTTTTGAGTTCATTCGGACTCGGCCTCGAGGTGACCCCACATCAGCAAGAACCCCCCTCCTCCCCGGATGCCGGCCCCCATTCCGCTTCCCGCGTCGTCCTCCCAGCTTCCCCGCTCGCTCGCTCGCTCGCCCGCTAGGCCAGGGGACCGGAGTCTAGCCCCACACCAGCCTTATCTCCAGGGCGCTGTGCCGTAGCGTGAGGCAAAGGCCTTCGCTGCGTGCTAGTATTAATGTTCCTTAAACCCTCCCGGAAGTCCGATCCGGACTAGCGAATCTCGCAGCCAAGCAAGTCACAGCCTTCGCCGCTAGAAGGTTCGTCGTTCAATCTCGAAAACTCGTGCAGACGAGAACAAGCAAGCACTCGACGTCGGAGCTTCCATTTGTCATTTGTCCGTGTCAGTCAGCGGTGCTTATGAAGGAAGGAGACCACCATTTGATGCCTGCAGGGCGGGCTGCTCGGTCAGAGCAAGCTTGCATCATCCCATATTGCGGACTCTTGGATGGACTTTTCTGTTGGATTGGCGAGATGCAGGACGCTTATTGCGCCTCTCCTCACCGGTCATTAAAGGCTTGCAGATTAGATGCCCGACCCGCAGAAAAGCTTGCGAGACAAGTAGAGGACAAGTTCTGTCGGTACCAGATAGCATCAGTACCTGGCGAGGTAGGTACCTACGTATCCGTACTTGCTTACCTCCTTGCCTTAGTATGGACTTTTGGGCAGCTGCAGCGACCATCTGCAGTTGGGGAGATGGGGGCGGTCGGGGTGCCCGTCAAGATGCCGTCAAGATGCCGTCAAGATGCCGTCAAGATGCCGTCAAGATGCCGTCAAGATGCCGTCAAGATGCCGTCAAGATGCCGTCAGGATGCCGTCAGGATGCCGTCAAGGTCCCGTCATAGCTGCCCTCATCGCCGAGTTTCAAGACAGAAACTCCTGTCATTGTTGCTGTAGTTGAGATTCGGACAATCCATCTAGCTCTTGAGAACCTCGTAGCGTGGGGGCACTCAGGGGGAGTCATATTCTTCCGGCTCACGGTAACAACAGGGCCCGCTGACCTGCCCGTCTCTCGGAATTGGGAGCCAGAGGAAAGTTTTATGTGAAGTGGCCGCTCTTTTTGACGGTTATGACGATAGCAGTCCGCCCCCACTCTCTTCGAGTGCCGTTTCTCTCCGTAACCTACCAAAATTTCAACTTCTTGCTGTGTCGAAAAGAAAGCCCGTATTTAGTTTTCAAGTTGTTCCCCCTCCCCTCATCCTCGTCCAGGGCAAACTCGCAATTCACCTTCGGCTTGTGAGACGGAATCGCAGACATCATGCGAACGAGCAAAGTGTTCCGGCATATCTGGCCATATTCCAGCCAGGCAGCGTGATCATAATGGTGGGATTCAGCCAACCCCTTCGCTCTCATGTCTCTCTGGTATTGAGAGAACCCCATCTGGTGCGGCTCGCTGCCACCCTAGCCAAGTCCTTCTTTGAGACGGCGATGTCATATCAACACCCAGGTCTAATGTGGAGAGGCCGTGGAGCTGAGAGGAGAGCAAGGGAGAGAACGATTTATGAAAATAGGAAGCCCTGGAGGGGGGGCGAGGACTAACAAAACAATAACGAGAAGGCCCTTGAAGTAAAGGGGCCGGCAAGGTAAGACAGGAAACTAAACGTCAACAGAAGACATGTCCACTTCATACGTAGCTGCTGTATGCTGGACCGACGACTGATGTCTCTTTTGACGTATTCTTATGGACCGAGGTCAACGAGCGGCTACCAAGTTTGGCAAGCCTCCAACAGCTACCCTGCCTATTGCTGTGGCCTGCGGCCCACTGCCACCCACTGCCCGTCGTCCTCCGCCACTCTTTAGTGGACCTGGCCGCTGCTCCCTCGCAGCAACAAGGAGTGGAGGGTTCTCGGCGGCTGGCCACGGCAGCTATCGGGCTGCCACTCGCAAAGGAGGCCATCGCGTCACAGCATCAAAAAGCGGTGCCTCTCGCAGCATCTCTCTGCTACATCCTCGTCTGGGGCTGCTGATAAAGCGCAGAAGCGAACGAACGGCGGCCTGCAAAACACAAAAACCCACGAGCCAATCAGATGGAGCTTGAAACTCGATCCTCTTGCAGGGAACAAAACGATTTCCCGCCCTTCGATAGAACGACCGAGAGATGTTTGTTGGCCCCGTCATCGCTTGATACTCTCCCGAAGGCACCCCTCAGCCAACCAGCCAACCAACTAACCTTATGGCGGCCAAGCTACAACACTCTATAGAGAGCCTCATTTTCTGTCCAGCGTCTCGTTTAAATGCACGGGAAGCTGGATGGTCAAACGCCTTAGCCTGATAGGACGCCATCACCACGCCCCAATAAACCGCCAGCGAGGCGCGCTTCCCGCGCTGACGGAGGGAGAGAGAGGGCGGCTCGAAACTCCTCTCCTGTTTCTTGCTCTTCAGCAGGTGTGTGTGTGTATGTTTGCGTGTGCTTGTGGATGAGAGCCTGAAGGATCGGACGGGAGCCTGCAGCCGGTGAGTAGACAAAGAGGCTGATGGTGCTCTCAATCTTCACACGTCCATGGTGGCCGCCCGCGGCTTGGGGCAGATTATGCAACGCGAAAAGAGCAATCGTTCGCCGATCCGCCCAACCCCCGAGCGCATGGCTTCAAAAAGCTTCCGCCGACTTGTGCTCTTTTTTTTTTTTTTTGGCTGCTGATCCGTTCCGGCAGTTCCGCCATCCTCCGGTCTCGAGTCTGACGGTTCCGCCCCCCAACCCCCTTTCCCACAACAATGGAGCTCAGCTCAAAGTCGATCCGTGATGTCATCCACCCGACGGCGGCATTCTCCAAGAGCCCGCCGCGGGTCCCGCCCCCTGTCCTCGTGGAGGCTGACTCGTGGGGCAGCTCACAACTGAACCCCAAAAACCGGATCGATAGTCTCGGCCCGCTCGCCGACCCCCTTTGGAGGATCGACGGCTGTACTGGCCTGGGGACCCAGTATTATGTGCTGCCTCTATTCCTGGGAGCCACCCCGCCCATGCGTTTCGACGTCTTCATACCAGAGGAGGCCGCCAATTCCCCACTTCTCCGGCAGCTGCTTGATCTAGAGGCCACGTTCCACACTAAAGACCCGGCCCGAGTCCGCCGCCTTGGCATCGCGAGCCACATTCTTCGGACGCTTCAGGCCTGGACGGCAACGAGGCGATATGAGGGGCCGGACTCGGTGTCGAGCATGTACAAGAACTTGCCGTTTGGATCTCGCATCATCTTTGAGAACCTGGACCTCAACATCCACAACATCAAAGTCACCATCGCCCCAACCTACTATGTCGAAAAGCAGTTGATTGGCCTGGCAAGGCTGGCTAGCTCTCTCGGGCTGGCTCCGGACCTCTTGCCGGAGGCCATTGATATCTCGCGGTTGAGCATTGTCAAGCAGCTTCACGACAGCGTGTGTCTTGTCCACATCGACCACGCCAACCAAGGCCGGGACGACAAGGGTGGCGATAACGAGAATGACAGGGAATTGTGGATCCTCAAAGCTCTGACAAGCGGCCCCAAATATCTCTACATCGAGCTGCGGAACCTCCTGCGCATGGAGCCGCATGCCCACGTAATCTCTCGGCCGAGATATCTCGTCACGAAGTACTGCCGGTTCGGCGGCAAGACTGCCGTTGTCGGCTTCGTTCTCCGTTTCCACACGGGTGGCAGCCTCCGCGACACCCTGCCGCTGCTGCGCATTCACGACCAGCTCGCCCTAGACGTGCAGCTCAAATGGACCACACAGCTGGCGTCGGCAGTGCTGCACGTTAGGGAGCGCGGGGGGATGTTCTACCCGGACCTCCGCCTCGACAACATCGTGCTGTCGGGCCTGGGCGACGTGGTCATGGTCGACTTTGAACAGCGCGGCGTCTGGTGCGAGTTTGCCGCGCCCGAGGTGAATGCGCTGGACTATGCGCGCATCCTGGCGAGCAGTGACGAGTCGTCTCCTCCCAATAGTAGCGGCAGTAGCATCGGCAGCGGCAGCAACAATGACAGAAACAACACGGACGACGATCCGGCCGTCCCCGAAGACGTCCGATCGCGCTTCGCGGCGGTGCTGACGCGGCAGCTCCCGGGTTGGGAATCGCTGCAGGACGACGAGGAGTATACGGCGCGCGGCCACGCGAGCTACAACGTGCCGTGGCTGTGCCTGTCGGCGGCCGAGCAGGAGGCGGCCGAGGTGTACATGCTGGGGCGGGTGCTGTGGTGCGTGTTCGAGGGTCAGAGCGCGCCGCAGCTGGCCGCCGTGTGGCAGTCGTACCAGCGCGAGCCCGAGATGGAGTTCCCCGAGTTCCGCCACACGCCGCCGCACCTCCGCGACCTCGTCAACCGCTGCACGCGCGGCAGGAGGGACGGCCTGTCCAGGCTGATCACCAGGCGCGGCAGCAAGCTCGTGCTGCGTTCTGCTCCTGCTGGACGACAGCAGCAGGAGACAGACCAAGACGGGGATGCTGTTGCTGCTTTCGAGGTGCATAGGGTCGCGCAAGAGTGGTGGCGGACCGAGGTGAAGGCCGCCGAAGACTTCTTGCTGATGCGGGAGCGGATGAAGGCGCGCGGCGAGTGGGATGACAATTATTTCAAGCGGCCCACGCTGGAGCAAGTGCTAGACGAGTTGAAACAATTCCAGGCGACAAGTGTCGGCTTTGCCCCGAGCTGAAAAACATGGCGGTTTCTTTTTCCTTTTCAAAAGGGGTTGGTTGTCAAATGTTCATCGATCTCGCGGTGATATATCTCCACGGATCACAGCCTGGTTATGCGTCAGTCTTTTCATTCTGGTCAAGGTTTTCCCCCGCTGGTAAGAACGAATAAGATACCTGACCGGGGCAAATTGGCGTGGTTTTTTTTTTTGGAGTACTTAATTTGAAGTAGACTGTAGACGAATCATGATGTTTAAGATACTGCACCACCTTCTGCTTTCTTTCCATCCGTAGTTGTCACACCTGTCGAATGGCCACAAGCACTGGATTTTGGCGCCTACTGCACATCATTAAAACATTTTCTCGTATTGACTAAGAAGGGGCTTTGCTGCATCTCGAATGCTACCCCTGAAACCCCTGAATCGAGCATTGGTTGGTCTAAATAGAAAATTCCGAGCGAATCCTGTCCAAGATGGAGTTCCAGCTCGTGCTCTCCAGTCCCCGTTTTTCTATCGCTCATCTCGTATCATCGCTAATTAAATATAATAGAATTGAAATAGGCCGCTTGCTTCTCACAAGGGCAGTTGCCGACTTCTGGACCAGCCGGAAACCAGCAAAGCCCGAGATATCACCATCCATTCATTGAAAAACACAACATTCAGCACAACAAACGTGCCAAGATATGAGAGGTATATGACGATGACAAGGGAAGCTCATCGTAACAAACGCCTCTAGCGTGCCCGCTTTGAGCCTTTGCCCCCTTCTTGCCCGCTACCAGACACTGATCGTTTCGAGCCCGCGGTGCCTAAGCTCCCGGCTCTCCCGCGCCCTCCTCCGCGGCTGCCTCGACCGCCTCGACTCCCCCGTTTTGATGCGCTTGCCGGTACCTCAGGGGTAATAAATTGTCCGCTACTCGGACCAGAAGAGCCCGAAGCCGGGGGCTCCTCCTCTGGCGGCGTCTCCAGAGCAGGTGTCTCGGTCCGGGGGATACCGCTTGTGCTGGCACCGACAACAGAGCCGCTGCCGGCCGTGCTAGCGTAGTTGCCGGCCGTCGTATGGCTGCGCATGCGGGTGATGAGACCTCGCATGTTAGCGGCGTACGAGGCCGGAGAGCCAAAGCGGCCAAGCAATTCCATAATTCCCTCGAGCTCCTCGATGAATTGACTCTGGTCGACCAGCGTGTCGAGAGCCGAGTAGACAAAGCCGGTGTCGTGGTTGCCCACCAGGCACATGTATAGATTCCGGTCGTCAAGAGTAGCTCCGCCGTGTGAGTCGAAGTTGTGATTTGTCACGGCCTTGAGGATGCTCACGAGTGCTCGTGCTGCCGATGCGCGAGCCGACTTGGCTAGGGGTCTGGAGCCGCGCGACACAAGCTTATCGATCTGCACAACACATTGCCGAATCTGTGTGGCAGCCCAGGCTACACTTCGCGGGCCTTCTGCCTCTTTTCCCTCCTCCTGGCGGGCGGCGACGGCAGCGGGGTCATGAAGAGACGACGAATAACCGTCAAGCTCTGCGAGAATACGCAAAGCACGTAGCTGCAGGTGACGAAAGGGGTCGACAGCTGGGTCGGTGGGGTTGAGCTGGGCACGCACCCAATTGGCTAGGGAGTGCGACGCAAGTATGAGGGAGAAGAGTGTGGCCTCGAGATCACCACGGCGTATCAGGTTGTCGCTGTTGTACGATGACTCGAGGTCGAGCCTGTAGGTGTCGAGTTCCGAGGCCCCGACTCCAGCCACGGCGGCAACAATTTCCCGAGCTTCTCTCACACGACTTCTGCTGGGAAGGGCGGTATCGCGGCTAGGGGCTGATATGTCGCAGTGGAGGCTGTCGGCCAGGACGTCAAGGCGCATTTGCGAGATATGCTGGAAAGGGTCTTGGAGCTCTTGGGGGTAGCCCATCTCTGTCATGGTGAGGTCTGAATCAGGGTCATGGTCAAAAAGGGCTTGCTTCGAAACGTGGTCAAAGAGCCACACTATGTGTTTACACGGCTGGGCACGTCGGTATCTGGCATCGGGACATTCGCACCGGGGAACCGAGAATCGCGTGCTATTTCTGGCGCCAATGCGAACTGAGCAAGGGACGGTTTCGTGCATTTGAAAGGCGTAAAAAATGCCACCACCTTCGGAGCTCTCCTCCTTTATCCCGCATAGCTCGAGCGATATCTGTGGCGACCCCTGAACCGAGGCTTGGCTGATGAGTTCTCGCACCACATTCTGTGTCCTGGGAGAGACGCGAGAGATGTTGTAGTTGAGACCCGAGGGTAACGAAATGACGTCGTCTTCATCCTCTTCCCAGTCGCTCTCGTCCGAGTGCTGTTCCGACCCGTCCGTCGAGGAGCTTGCCCGAGATTGCTGCATTTGGAGATTGGCTCGGGTAGGTGCGGCTGCAGTTGCCTCTAAGGAAAGCCTGCCGATGCCCGTGGTAGGGGACAGCGACATTGGAGCGAGCCTTGGGCGGAGGGAAATAGGGGAAGAGGAGGAGAGGAGGAAAAAGAGAGATAAGGCGAGTAGGAGCGGGAGTTCTGATATCAAGGGATTTAACTATACTCGAGGCATCTGTCGTGTGAAGAAGATCAAGCAAAGGTAAAAAGCTGATAGGGCTGAGCAGTCGCAGGCTGGGCGTAGAGGGGGTAGATAGGTGGTTGCGGAGGCCCAAAGTCGCGGCCCGCCCCTGTTGGGCGAACCGGGTCTGAGAAACCTGATGGGGTGCGACTACGGCCAAGCTGATGAGCCGTTGGCAGCACAATGTCGTCAAGCGAGCGAACAGGATCACTCGGAGACAACCACCTTCAACGGTGAGGCAACGAAGGTACTTATCGTCCGTACTCAGAAGCAACCAAGACGGGACGACGCTACCTCCGAGTTGCCGGTCGCCACTGAGTCGGCCTGGCCTCCTTTTGCTGTCTATCGGTCTCTGAAGAGCCGATATCGAGCATGTGCGGGCCGTTCCACATACAAGGTGAGAAGTGTAAGGGTAGGCCCCGTCCCTTGTGACAATGGCAAGGGGGAGAGGGGCCGAGTGCCTCGCGTCGGCCAGGGATCGAGATCCGGCTTGTGTCCACGGCAAGTGCCTTGCGCCTTGGGCCTTGCAACTGACCTACGCCGAGAATGAGGCGGATGACGGGTGGACGGGAAGGGATTTGAGGGAGGGGGTGGGTCAACCGAGAGACAACCTGGCGGGAAGCATGGGGCCACGGCAATGGAAATATCAGGTAGACGACGGGACAGGACACGTAGTACAAGATAACGCCTCCTCGGAGTTGGGTAAGAGATGACAATGTTAAGGTCCGATGGGCATAACATGCAACGGAAGCTGGTGGGCAGGCAGGTAGGTAGACAGGCAGATGAGTATTTACAGGTAGCTTGTAGGTAGATACTGGACTTGCAAAAGAGGAATGTTAGATGTATGCTAGGTATCCGTATCTTGGATAGCATCATCTCAGTTTGTCTCGATCGCGATCAAGAACAACTTGAACTGAACTGGATGGGACGGAGTAAAAGGCGGGTGGGTACCTTGCCTACGTGCATGCCCCTAATACCAGAAGTCATAATTATTAGAAAATCTGGCTAAGGTAGGCAGAAGGGGGAACATCCCGTTGGGCAGGCGCGCATGAGTGCAGGCAAGAAAACACCGAGCCCCGAGTTGGAACCTGCAACTGCATTCCATTGTCATGATTATGGCCTTTCCGACTGCTGGCGAGCATTATTGACAACTCCCTAACTTGTCTAGGTAGGTACGGTCGAGGAGGCGCCGACCTAGTTAGGAAGGGACGGCGTGGAGGTGCGTGCGGTGAGTCTGGAAAAGGAATCGCGCGGGAGGTACTCCTTACATATACATACCCAAATGAAGTACCTTACCTTAGTAATGGAAGGTTCGGATAACCTGCCTCGAACCTGCACCAGGTTCAAGGCAAGTACGAGCTAGGTACGGAGTATTGTGTGTACATGTGATTTCCCGCATCTGCACGCTTTCAAGGTCAAAGATGTGTTGGAAGGAAGGTCTATCTCGACTTGGCGACCGACGGAGCAGCCTCGACAAGCTTGTCTGCCTGCCCACCTGCCTCCCTGCCTGCCTGCCTAACTCTCTTCCTACGACCATGACGGGATCCGGAAACCCCTTTGGCGACGGGAGCACAGGCTCATCTCAGGATTATTCCTCCCTAACCTTGAGATGCTTACGTTGTCCATGGTGCCGTCGCTGCACGCCCAATGTCGGGCGGCGGTCGGCGGGCTGTGAACCGTTGCGGCTTGGAGAGGCCAGTTCTGGGGGCCACCCCACGCAGCTATTGTCGCCTTCGATTGGTCGCCAGGGTGCCATCGACTGAGGATGCGTCGGTTTCGCCGCCAGCCCTACGCCCGGCCCCAAGTCCCGGGCCCCAGACGCTCACGAAGAACCCTACCCTCCCTACCGAAGGATGCACTTAAGGATCCGCGAGAACATACACGGGGTAGCAGCTACCGATCTCCACTGCGGTACGGAGTACGTAAGGCATGTACGTTGCAACTAGAACCCCCTACACACAACTCCGTATGCTATTTATTTTTAGAGGTGGGAAAATAACAAGGGACAAAATAGATTGCATCCCACCGAGCATCCGACCTCACTGCTCCGTAGATCAAGTATGGAGTGGTATGTGAGGGTTCAGCACTGGGCGGTTGAAGGCTGTTTTCAATACCACTTTCCATATCTTCGGCCTGTTCTGTCCCCCCACCTACCAGTTACAAGAGAAGCTAAAGCCCCGAAAGGCGGGATGGCTACGCCTGCCATTGAATGGCAATTGCCAACCGTAACGGGCGGGTCTGCCTTGCAACGTGCAGCGCCCGACTTGGACACACCGGTCGCTCTATCATAAATGTCGAAGATGGCCGCATTTCTGCGGCCACGTCTGTTGCGTCTTTGCTCAGGTTGCTCATCCCAAAACGAATGTGGACTGTCTCGAATGCGGAAAGACGGCGCCTGAGCTACTACGCACAGTGGACAGATGCCCCCGTTCCTTGCCTTTCGGTGAAGTTCTTTGCAGCATTGACCCTTCTCTCGCGTTGTCGTGTCCGTCCTCGTCTCGCTAGGTTGAGCGTGCATCTAACCAGGACTGCTGACCGCCCCTTGGTTTGCCATGGCTATCCATGGTACTGTATTCGTACATACAGTACTTCCATACTTCCATACCACTCTCCTCTTAACTTCTTCAGTATCTAGCATGGATGAGGCCGTTGGTGTTAGTTTCTTTTCTAGAAACGGGTAAACATCAAGTGCATCCGAGGCCTTGTCAAGTCGATCTGCGCCGTTACAGTGTTATGCGAAACAGGAATCCTGGCGATGGCAGTCAAAAGACAGGGTTCCCTCTGTTCACAGTGATGCAATTTAAGGTGCAGCATCGTGTATTCCTGCCCCCTACACCATGATTTGTAACCCCGCCATAGCTCCTGCACATAAGTCATGGACGATGAATTGCCCCCCGCGTTGCTATCTGGATTCTGGGACTGACACTCACCGAGCCTCTCACTGTCCTGACAGTGGCCGGCTCGGACCCGCCACCGAGCTTGTTCCCTAGCGGCCATTGCCATGTCCCGGCCTAAACTCGGTTCCGAGGCGATCAAGCTGAAGACTGGATACCAAGAAAAGGGCCAAAACCCCCTTGATGAGAGAGCCATGGTTGCTTTTTCCTTTGAAACGAATATACACACTCACAGACCTCATACAACCTTCGCCTACCAAGTTATGGCCGATGGCTCGGCCACTTTCCAGTCGCCTACTATCCGTGCCTTGGCCGCCGCAGCCTCTGACCGGCATGCCTTCAGCACCAGGGGCAAGCGACAACTTCATACCTCCCTACATATGCCGTATGGCCAGCCACCTTTTCAGCTGCCAATCAGGACCTGATTTTAGGCTTCGTCACGAGCCACACGTCCGCCCATGCCGCAGGATTTCCGCAGGAGATTTTAAGAGACTAGCGAACAGCCCTCTCCGGGTCCTCTCCTGGCATATGCTTCTCAAGAACCTGACATAATCGGTTCCAGAATCCTCCAAGCGTTGTAAGCACGAACCCCCTTTTCGCGCCCGATAGGTATTCCCGCAACGTTGCTATTTGCTATTGTTTATGCTTTACAGATGCAACAGCCCTATCACAGCTCTCTTTCTGGCAGATCTGCGCTGATAGGCCAGCCAGCGAGGCAGACAGAGCAGGGCGTCGAGGCCTGCCTGGGACGGAATGCAGCCGCGATGGGAACCCGGCGGAGGGATTCGAGCGGACCCGGTGGAACGGTAACGGGGGGGCCACTTGCATGGAGGATGTGCACAATGTCCGCTCCGCGGTGGGAAAAGGGGCTGTGGAACGACCCGAGTCGGCCGTCGTCTCGAAGGCCGACCCAAAAGGCGGAATTCCAGACACGAATGTTTTGCACTGCCTCCGAGTGGCCAACCTGCATGAATTTTTGTTTCTTTTTTTTGGAGGTCTTGCCCTCCATTTTCTCCCCTCCGGCCGTTGCGGAATTCCGAGCCTGAACAATTTTCTCGCCTTCCTCTTTTCGGTTGCTTCGGGGTGACTCTACAGGGTGACAATGAGAGGATGCAAACGATATCCGGGCATTCCGTCATGTCAATGTCTACGCAACTCTCCAAGTCTAGGCGATTGCGACGATGCGATTTTTGGCGATGCACTGGTCGCTGCCGGCTAGTACGGGCGGTCTTCTCAACCGTATTGGTTCGTCTTGAGGGCGACATTAGGGCATCACTACCCTGTACCCGCAGGTCATGATAATGCCGCCGACGCCAAGGTCGCGTTAGCATCGACCCCCATTCGCATTCGTCGCGTCCGGTCTGTCGCCGCCTCACCTGATAAGGGGCTCTTGAGAGCTATTTACAGCAGCCTTTCACCACACGTCTTTAGTGTGTGCCTCTACATTAGTGTGCGTGTGTATGTACGGATACCCGTGGCATCGCAACCGGGTTTCAAAGCCCGTGTCCGTACCGACTTTTACCTCCACCTCCATGGAAGATGGGCTGCGGAGGCTTTGGGATGACGTAGGTAACGTAGCTTTCTGCTTAGAGATCTGACGACAGTGTTTGGCTTGAAGAAAGTGCTTACTCGCCCAGGGGCCTACCTTAACTACCTAATTGTCTGGCGCGCTGCGGGCCAGCATCATTTTTCGTAATGACGTTGCTGGCTGGGCGCACGAACACACGAATTGATGTATGATTGCATGTTGCGGATACTCCGTACGGACACATACATACATACATACATACATACATACAGTCCCGATGCTTGCCTGGCAGGTCTCGGTCTCCATCAACTGGTCAGCTCACACTCTTGCTTGGTCAAATACAAGGCTCTCACTCACATGACAAAAATGGCTGCGGGATGGCTTGGGGATTGGTTGCATCGTGGCAGCCATTCCTCTTTTCCAGCCTCCGCGGCCTCAGTAGAATGTAAAGGACATACTGTATATATGCATATACATACAGTACAAACGCACAGTAGGGTACCTCTTCCAGGACACGCGCACGCAGGGGCTATGCTCGGTGCTTCCCAGAACAGAACGGCTGCGTTGTTTGGCTGCTGTTCGAGACGGGCAAACGAAACTCACCGTCGTTGCATTCGTGACTCACTCACTCATTGCTACTGAGCAAGAAACCATCACTAACAATACGAAAATGTCGTGCCTCGTAAGGGAGAGAAGTGACGATAACTGGAACCTGCGAGGAGGTTCGCAATCTAAATTGACTAATCGAAAGACACAGCGGACACTCAGTCATGTGCGAAACTTTTTCCCTCTTCACTACGAGATTTTCTATGATTCAAAATGAAATATCCAACGCCTACATTCATTCCTACAATGGCGTAGATACCCACCAACTTGTGTGTGTGTGTTGTATTGAGCACCTTACACTAAAGAAGGCGGTCAGCCATATGAAACCAGAGCAGCAAGCCAAAGCTAGCCACCTTAGGTATGTAGAGAAACAAAGTAGAAGAAAAGGACACCGCAGATGAATGAAACATGGCCGCACCGCACCCATCCATTCCCATTCCAGGCAAGTAAGGTATGCCATGCACGGCGCATGCAAGTAAGATCTAAACAGAGAAAAGTCCTTCCGAGGCAAACGCACGTGGACAAGTCCGTTTGGAGCAAGTTTTTTTCTCTTGGTGTTGCTGCACGATGGGGTAAGCAAGTCAAAAGAGGCAATCCCGCAAAAAAAGAAAAGAAAAAAAAAAGAGAGGTGTTCTTGTGTTCCATGTTAGTGCGTGCGTTGCGTGCGTTGTTACGCGCATTGGCACATGGAAGAAGAAACTGCGAATCACGCCCGGCGTTCTTAATCTGGTTCACAATACCTAGGCGAGAGAGACGAACAGGCTTTTGTCTCATTTTTCTCTGCAAGTTATCGAGAAGAGGGAGGGAAAAGGAGGGGCGAAAAAAGGATTACCCAATAGTAGGTAGATAGGGACAGTTACCGTAGGCAGGCTTGATTGTGAATGGGATTCGTCTGGCAAAAGACGCAATTGTGAGGTGACCACCCCTTTCTCTCTCCGTTGTCAGGCTGGCTGGCCGGCAGCCTCGTAAGTATTCCTCGCATGCTCATTCGTTGCGCAACCCCGCCCCCCCGCGCAGGAAAAAGGAAGCTCCCGACGATGTGGTGGCTTTGAATGGGCGACTGATTTCCTACCTGAGGCAAGTAGGCGATAAGGGATGATGGATGGGGAGGAGCGTGGCTATGGCTGTGGCTGAGGAGCAGCCTCTTGTTGAAGTGTGTGTTGGGTTGGGAAGGGGGGTGTCCTAGGCAACGGCATTGACGGAGAGCGGGAACAAGAACATTTTTTCTCCCCAGTATAACACCAACACTAGCACTAACAGACGCGTACAACAACTATGCTGCGCCGAAATATCTAGGTAGGAGGTAGGTAGTCAGTCACTCGGTAGAGGGCAGAGGGCAGAGGGCGGGCTCCTTGCCGCTGGCCGGCCGCCTTGCAGGAACCAGGTCCGAGCATGTGATGTTTTTCTCTAGACTGTTAAATAGCAGACATGCTAAGTTTTGAAACAAGGCAGAGAACTAGTGCAAGAGGGAACGAGGGTATGCATGACATGGCATGAATCCAACGGGGGCAGAGAACCCCCAAGCTTCCTTCCTACGAGCCTAATCTATATATATCCACCCCCCCCCCCCCCAAAAAAAAAAAAAAAACACGGCCAAGCCCCAGAGCACAGCACGGACGATATGGCTGTTGCTGGTCCTTTCTGACAGAAATCGCATCTCGAAAGATATATCTTCGGCAGGTTTCTGTTTGACAAGATGGCTGTGCGAAGCTGTGTGACGACAAGGAGTCAATGATATGCCGAAATACCTCAAAAACTGAAATACCAAACGTGTATTTCTCAAGTCATAGTTAAAGTGACCGTGAAAAGTTGACACAGGCCGAGTTTGAACACGGTTGGGTTCAATAGCCGCCGTGTTTTTATCAGAACACGGGATTCTCAATGTCATGAAGAGTCTCCATATGGCCGACAGTACACCAAGGCATACACCAGCTAGCTCATAATGTTTGCTAGTATGTTGTCCAGACCTGCTCTATTAGGTCAAGGGTGTCACGGCGAGGTCTCTCTTCTCCTTACTTCCGTTCGGCAGCGCATTGGCGATCTTTAACCATTCCCCATTAAAGGCGTTGACAAGCCAGTTGCTTAGTTCTACCGAGGCCGGATTAGCGTTTTCACTTTTACCGTGGGGCTACTGCAAATTAGGGAACACTCACTGTCATAAACAATCCGGTTGGCGTTGTGGAAGTAGATGCCGTGGTCGCTATCGGGGAACACGTGGACGTCGTAGTTCTCAATGCCGACCAGGTCGAGCCGGTCCAGCAGCGTCAGCGAGTTCTGCATGTGGACATTGTCGTCTGCAACGCCGTGCATGAGGAGGAACCGCACGTTCTGCGAGAGGGCCGTGACATTGGTGATAGCGCTCGTATCGTAGCCGTGGCCATTTGTCTGCGGCGTGAGCATATATCGCTCTGTGTATATGCTGTCGTAGAAGCGCCAGTCCGTCACGGGCGCGACGGCCATGCCATAACTAAAAGTCTCGCCGGCATCTTGCTCCAGCGTCTTGAGAGTCATGAAGCCACCGTAGCTCCAGCCCCAGATGGCGAGCCGAGCCTCGTCGACGTATTTCCTTGCTGCCCATATCTTGGCAGCCGCAATCTGGTCGTGTGACTCCCAGTGGCCCAGATTGCCACGGACGAGGACACGGTTCTTGCGACCAATGTATCCGGTGCCCCGTCCATCGACCGTCACACACACATAGCCCAAACCAGCAGCCGCGTACGCTTGGAAGTCGACAGCAAACTTCTTGTTGACAGTCTGCGAGCCCGGGCCACTGTATTGCTGGAAGAGGACTGGGTACTTCTTGCTCTCGTCAAAGTGTGGCGGCCGTCGCTCAATGTAATTGAGCTCGACGCCGTCTACGTTTACGGTACCGTAGATATTGATGGGAAGCTCGTGCTTCCTGGCATTCTCGGCCAGATTCTTATTCTCTTCTACGACATGTTCGTATTTGGCCGAATTGCTTGGAGTGCTGACAACCTTTTGCCACGGGATTCCAGGGCCTGAATACGACAGCAGGGCATAGCCGGCCCCAGCGGAAAACGAAATGCTATAATAGCCCTCGACCGTGGTATCAGACACGGGTGCCAGGTCATGTCCGGTGAGCTTCACTTGGTAGACGTGGCGCTGGATAGACGACTCCTTTGTTGCGACAAAGTAGACAATATTCCTGTCCAGGTCAACGGCTGATGGAGCATCAACAACTTCCCAGTTTCCAGAGGTAAGCATGACCGGCTCGGGATTGTCCAAAGGCGAGAAGTATGCCAGGTGGTCACCATCGTCGTGGATGACAGTGTCAATATAGCCGTCGTGCGCTCGCCCCTTGGAGGGGTCGGCCGGGATGAACTTTGTCTTCTGCGAAATCTCGAACCAGCCTCCGTCAATCGCCTTGACATCGGTAGTCTTGACGGCCTTTCCGGTGCGCACAACCACATCGACGAGAACGACGCGCATAACATCGCTGACCCTGTTCGTCTCCTTGATCAAGATCTGACTGCCGGCCCAAACAACTGTAGTGATGAGCCGATCATCATCAGCAAACCGGCCAGAGATGTTGTCGACCGAAAAGACATCACCGCGGACCACATCGAAGAATTTCAAGTCGACGACGGGGTTGTGGGCGCCGGCTTTCGGGTACTTGATGTTCCGGACCTCGGGGTACGCTTCCTCGCCGGGCTTCGGGGTATTGCCGCTCGGTCTGGACACAAAGTATTGGATAGGGTACTCAGGAACGCCTGTCTCGTTGGTGCGCAAGAAGGCGATGTAGTTGCCGTCATCCGACACCCAGGTGGCGCTGGCTCCGCCAAACACTTCCTCCTCGTAGACCCAGTCAGGGACGCCGTTGAACACCTCTGAGCCGCCGTCGGTGGTGATCTGGGTGATCTTGTCGTAGCCGACCCTGCGGATGAAAAGGTTGTTGTCTTTTGTCAAGACAACACTGTCGCTTGTCGGACTCCATTGGGCCAGCTGGACAAGCGCCTCGGGCTCGCCCGGAACCAGAGGGTCGGCAGTTTGGGTGTTCACGTCAAAAATCCAGTAAATGCCCCGAGTCGAGTGGCGCCAATTGGACTGCATATTTGTCCCAACTAGCACTCTCTGTAGATCCCTGCTGGGTTTTGTCGTGGACGCTTGGTACGTCTTTCCGCCGTACTCGAAGGTGCCAGACTTGATCAAGGTCTTACTTTTCAGGACATGAGGCTGGCTTGCGGCACTCGGGTTCCTGGCCCGAATGTCTTCGACGACGAGGTACTCCTTGCCAGCCGCGCCCTGCTCGAGCAGCAGGCCGTCCTCGCCGTCGGCACCGGCGATCCAGCTGATGCTGTGGCTCTCGGCGCGCCAGAAGCCGCCCATGACCTGATCCAGCGTCACCTGCTTTCCATTTCCTCGCGAGACGGTCGCCTGTGGGTCATGCTCGAAGGTAGAGGCATGCTTGTAGGACTTTGTAGCGATGTAGGCGAAGAGGCCGATAACCCAGGCAGCAACCACGAGGCCGGCGCCGATGATAAGCACTTTACGTAGCCCCCGATCCATGCGCTTGGGACCGAGTACGGGCCCCGGGTGGTCCTCTTGGGAGGCAGTGCCATTGCCGAGGAAGGGCCCCGTCTCGAGATCATCGTGGTCGGGGTCATCCTTGAGCGGGTGGTCGTCGTCGGGGGAGCGGGCTTCCTTGGCGGCGAGGCGCTCATCGATGCGCTCGAAGACGAGGCTCGTGGTCGAGACGGAAGACGCTGTTTCGTGCGACATCCTCCTTCGGCTTCGGCTTCGGCTTCGACTTCTGTTGCGGCTGCTGCTTGTGCTGCTTCTTCTGTGTCGGCTGTGTCTGACAGCAGAGACGAAAGGGTCGTCTGAGTAAGGCGTCGGCGCCATTGGAGGCGGAGGCAAAGGCCCTTGAGGGGCACACAAGGTGCTGCGCTGCTGTGCTGCCGTCGCACAAAGAAAGGCACGACCACGACTACCAAGCTCGCCAAAGGTCGAGAAAATTGTGCAGTCTTTGTTGAGCGCACAATAAAACCATAGCTGGTTGTTGATTGGACAGCTATTCAACTACCATTCGGGAATGGGGTGGTTTGTGTTGCTTTGATTCGATTCTTCTGCCAGCAGAGAGACACGACGACCTGAGACGAGGTGTTGAGGTGCTGGCGTGCCGCGACGACGTGACACCGCCCACTGTTTTAGCGGGCGGGCCATGCCGAGCTAGACCTCCATCGCTGTTGGGGCCTGGACCTGGACCAGGCCATTTAATCCCTGTAACCCGTACTGACCAACCCTAACCCTCCACGGCCCCGGCTCCCGAGCGGGGTGAGTGAGATGTGGCTGTCACCTGCAGTGATCAGAGACCTGAACATGTTTACGAAGGTGCGCCATGGTCCTCTCAAGTCCCACGAGATACACGTTGGCAGCTTGAACGGACTGTCCGGAGGAGAGGGAGGCAGAGGAAATGGGACTGGACTGAAACTTGAGGCAGTAGGGGTTTCCACGGAGCTAGATAATGGCTGCAGGATGACGATTAGTAGTCAAGAACGATTCGTCTGCTCGGGAAATCACGCCAGCCTTCATTATCAACCCCAGAATGACTGACATAGCCCACCCAGAGTTTGGCGGATTAGTGAAGCCAAGGAGAGACTTGCACGGTTAATTAGGTTATAAAAGTAAAATAGCTTATAATCATCACCACGCACACACTAGTGTAAAGGGGACTATGGGAGTACTTTGAACCCCCTCATCGACCACTCCAGCTCGCGTGGGAAAAGGAAGCATAGCAAACGATCACGGCCGCTCTTTTCTTTTACCTCTATCACTCCAGCTCGCGCAGGAAAAGGAAGAATCGTAGACACTCACGACCGCTCTTTCCTTCCACATCAGCCACTCAAGTTCCTGCAAAGAAACGCTCCAGAACGGCCTCCTCAGCAAGACAAGAGCAGCATTAGCTTATTCCACGCTCAGATACCACAAGCGCGCCAGTGCCGATTTCACGAGCGTTGCCTGGTGCGCATCGCGGGCTTGAAGTCCTCCTTACCTATAATCGCGCTAGTGCCGATTTCACGAGCCTGGTCCTGGGCGTATTCCGGTCTTAAAGTCCTCCTTGACCAAAAGGCAAGGAGAGGCAACTTCACGGGCTACTACTCCCTTCGTACCAGGAGCGTCCGGTCGCAAACTTGCCTAAGCCATTTTCAGGGGCATACTATGAAGTCTATCCCAGTCTACCGCTTCACCATTTTATTTACCATAGCCCTTTGTCTCCTATCCAACCCAGATTTACCTTACTACGTTCACCAATTTAACTCACCATACTCCTCCTATACCAATACGATAACGTCTATTTCACGAGACAAATAATCAATCTACTAATATATTTTACGATGAGGCGCTTCTAAATATGCCTCCGAAAAAGTAGAAAAACGCCACTGTGGTAGAAACGACTTATTCTATATACCTATAGGATAGAGATGACTTGGATAAAAGCCGTTACAAATTATTGAGCATTAGGCCCGCGTACCGTGCCTTTTACGCGTACAAGAGGGACATCAGGTCAACCGATAGCATTCCTCTGACGTTGTACCTCGGGGCGCTGTAACCAGTGCACACAGAGTAGTGCCTTTTCCTTTGTTTTTTGACTCCCCGGCTGTGGAATCCGGAACCTGTACTCTGTAAGGCTCGCCTGCGGCTCGCCTTAGTGTTGTGGTGCCTTTCACCGCTTCAGTACAGCTAACAGAGAGAGCCGGCCTGGTGAAATGGCTGATCGAGAGAGCCGATCTAGTGGAAGTAGCTGCCTGGAGAACACGGGGAAACCAATCCGGTGAAATATCTATCTGGAGAACACAGAGAGGCGATCTAATTAGATTCTCAGGACAAAAGAGAGATTATATCGCTGGTGAAACTTACTCTATTAATCTAATCCCTAAATATGCCTTAATACCGCACGGCTCTCCCTAAAGATTTCTCGCCGAGGGAGGTAATAGCTATTTAAATGCCCATTTTAGAATCCTATAGGCCTAACGTGTGTGATAAGCGAGATGAACAGACAAGCGAGTTGAACACTTTTGACGCGACGCGCCTCCTCTCTACAAAACACCAAATTCCTCAACAAACTCAAATGTCTCTTCCTTCATACGAAGCTAGGGTGAATTTGGCCCTCAGGGCTATTCAAAACGACCCAAAACTCAGTATTCGAGCTGCAGCAACAACATATCAAGTCATGGTAAATACTATACGCAACCGACGCGACGGCAAACCTGCACGACGTGATACTCCAGCCAATTCGCGTAAGCTTACGGATTTGGAAGAGAAAACGATTGTTCAGTACATCATTGAGCTATGTGCGCGCGCATTTCATCCCCGGCTTTCGTACGTAGAAGATATGGCCAATCGATCGCTACGCGAACGCGACGCGCCCTCTGTCGGTACACGCTGGGCTCACAACTTCGTCAAGCGCCAGCCAGAACTTCGGACGCGTTTTACGCGTAAATACGACTACCAGAGGGCCAAATGCGAAGATCCAAAAGTTATTCGCGAGTGGTTTGCGCTTGTGCACAACACGAAGGCCAAGTACGGTATCCTTGACGAAGATTTGTACAATTTCGACGAGACCGGCTTTATGATGGGCATTATCATCCCCGCTATGGTAGTTACTACCTCTGATGGCCGTGGTAGGGCTAAGCAAGCCCAGCCTGGTAATCGAGAGTGGGCTACAGTCATCCAAGGAGTGAATGCTCTAGGCTGGACTATCCCACCATTCATTATCTTAGCTGGGCAATATCACCTTGCTAACTGGTATCAAGAGTGCAACCTTCCGGGTACCTGGCGTATCGCAACAACCGACAATGGCTGGACTACTAATGAGAAAGGCATGGATTGGATTCGGCACTTCGATTTCCACACAGCATCTCGTACGAAGGGAATATACCGACTGTTAATTCTCGACGGCCACGATAGCCACCACTCCGAAGAATTCGAGACTTACTGCCGGGAGCACAACATCATCACACTCTGTATGCCTCCGCACTCTTCACACCTACTTCAGCCATTGGATGTTGGTTGCTTTGGGCCGTTGAAGAAGGCGTACGGCTGTCAGATTGAGCAGCTGATGCGGATGAACATCACACATATTAGCAAGCTGGAGTTTCTTTGTGGGTTTAGAGAGGCGTTTTTTGCTTCGGTTACGGAAAGGAATATCCAGGGGGGGTTTGCTGGAGCCGGCCTTGTGCCGTACGATCCAGAGAGGGTGATATCCAAGCTAGATGTGCGTATTCGGACTCCAACACCCCCAGCTACAAGCCTAACTACATCGCTACCTTGGGTCTCCCAAACGCCACAAAACCCGAGAGAGGCTGCCTCACAGTCAGCGTTCATCAAAACTCGAATTTCCAACCATCAGGGCAGCTCTCCAACACCAATGCTGACTGCTGTGGATCGATTAGCTAAAGGTACGATGGCTATGATGCACGAGGTGGCTCTTTTGCGTACAGAGGTCTCAGCACTTCGGAAGGCCAATGAGGGGCTTAGTAAGCGACGGAGAGCCAAGAAAACACGTGTTCGGCTTAGAGGATCACTTACTATACAAGAGGCACAGGATCTACTAGATCAGAAGGCTGTGGGTGGGCAGTTAGTCCAGGAAACACGACAAAATGGTGGTGGTGCAGGGGGGTCTCGTACGAAGATTCGATGCTGTGGCGTATGCGGCAAGCCTGGCCATAATGCACGTACGTGCAAGGAGGCTGCAGAATCGTCTGATTCATCTGTTTCCGATTCAGTTATTGTTATTTCCTAGTGTTGTGGTTGTGTAATTGAGGGTAGTTGTGGTGAGGTTGTGGAAATTGTTCAACTCGCTTGTCTGTTCATCTCGCTTATCACACACGTTATCTATTCCCCAAAGATGTCTAATAAAGGCCTTCCTTAGTTGGTTTGTTTACTTTAAAAGGAATTTGGGGATAAGACTGTAGGTGTTTATTAAGAGCCGTGATGTTGTGAAGAGAGAGGTTGCAGGTACTGCAGTGGTTTCTTCCCGATGATGTCGCTCGTAACGCCAGCGGATATTTTGGCCACCCTATCTAGGTATCTCCCCGGGGATGCTATCGCTCGTGAACAAGCCCTGGCGACGTTTTCCACCACCTTGTCTGGGTTAGCGCGCTGCCAATGGGGCCTTATTTGGAGCCTGGGTATCCGTAAATTTATTAGTTCTGAATAGTTAACGAGTCTAAGGCCGTGAAATAGCTAATAGCAAGAGCTGATCTAGTGAAATGGCTGACTGTGACGGCGCCAGCCTGCAGCACTCACTACCACTGCGCTAGAACCCCCAAAAGGATGCCAGAATTGCAAGTTAACAACTTGCAACCTGTAGTAAGCTATATAGTACTGCTACGGCCATTGCGCGCCGTGACACTGACAACAAGAGCCGAAAAGCCCGGTTGCAGTACAACCCTCTTACCGAGAGAGCTTTGGTGATTTTGGTATATATCTTATACTAAGCCTTAACACGTTATTAAGGTCAAGAAAAACACACACACACTACCCGCAAAGCTCAGTCAGAGCCGTGGTATAGAATAGTGATAAGCCCTCTTCATTCTTAGAGGCACCGTCAAAGCCCTCTTTCTTCTGAGGCACCATCTCAAGCCCTCTTCATTCTAAGAAGCACAGTCAAAGTCCTCAACAGAGCCTTCCTAGCCGACCGAGCCAAACAAACAATATCAACAGATGGATCGACAAGCTCAACGACTAGGAAGATGAGCTTGATCAACGGCAACAGGACCTCAGCCGACAAGTTGAAATCCTTCGGACCTAGCAAGCCGACTTGACAGCCGAGTCAGAAGCCTTCAACCTTCAGTTGGCTCAGTTAAGCTAACCAAGCTAAGCAGTCCGAATGCTCTCACTTTTCCTCGCCCGGATCTAGACAGTTATCTTAATCTAGCCTGTCGATTGCGTTGTCCTTCCGATAGTCCTGACGACAGGCCAGTTAATTCCAACAGGCCAGCCAAACCCTAGCTAACTAGCCGACCGTCGGACCTGCAAAAAATGCAGCTCCATACTGCCTTCTAGGAATGCCCTCTTCTTACATGTGTATTCTAACACACAGCTTAACACCAGCTGCCCTAGGGCAGGACTTATGGAGACAGCGTCGGATATGGTAGAGAAGTATGAGTATGAGAAACCGGTGATGGACGAGGAAATGAAGCCCCCAGGGCAAAAAGTCGAAATAATCAACTAGCAGCTTGGAAGATTTTAGTCTAACTCATTAGTATTCCGTATTATATTTCTAGCACCCAACCAACAACATAAACATCACCCAGCGTACCTTCTTCACCTCACTACAGCGCACCCCCTTACGGCCAGCACTCTATCTCCGGCAGTCCTTACACCTCACAGCTATCTAACGGCCACCAGCCTTCTTCCCCAGCTCTTAGTTTCTTTTCCTCTTATATCAAATACCTCATCCTTTCTAGTCTTATGGACAGCCGACCGAAGGCGTTCACAGCTTCCTGAAGGCGTTCACGGCTTCTGAACTAAAAGCGTTGACTGCGCAAATCATGAACGTCAATCGCACCCACTTCCACATCATTCCTTACATCGCATGCTCATTCTTCAAGGCGCCCACCACTGCAAATAAAGCGTCAAGCACCCTTCAGAAGGCGTCGACAACACAAGCGATACATGCAAATGGATGGGGAGTCCCAACTATATGAGTAAGACGTCGACGAGGAAGACGTCGACGAGGAGGGCAACCCTAGCACCCTATCGGCGGGGAGCAACAGGACCAAAGCATCATCAGTCTTGATCCCAGTCGTCCTCAGCCCAGGCAGTCTGAAACGGTTAGCAAAGTTCAAACGAGAGCAGGCCAAGCGAAGAAAGCTAGAGTGTCAGCAGGCGTCTAAGGTGGCCGCCGCGCCACCTTTGATCAGGCCTCGGCACTCACACGAACGTGTATATGAGGCAAATCCCGATACGAACGCAACCATCTTAGCTTCGATGGAAGACCATATCGCCTTTAAGCGAATCGACTATTTTGTTCAGGCGTTCGGGTGTTTTCATGCCGAGCATGACGTCAACGAGTTCTACTTCCAGCTGAGTAGAAGCCAGTCAGGAGTAAACAGCAGCCACTACTTGTGGCGCAGTGTTCGCCCAGCCTGGGAGGGTATGCAGGACTGGATCAACCAGACGCTTGGAGATACGACTTATGCCGAATCAGTCGAGCGGGGACACAAAATGCCTGGAATCGGTGGACCAATTGACTGCTTGGCCCTCATGGTAATCGACTCTACTAAGGAAGACGCTAATATCAAAGATACCGGTACAGTCTAATCCCCAAATGTCTCTTAAAGTAAACCAACCAACCAAGGAAGGCCTTTATTAGGCATCTTTGGGGAATAGATAGGCCTCTAGGATTCTAAAATGGGCATTTAAATAGCTATTACCTCCCTCGGCGAGAAATCTTTAGGGAGAGCCGTACGGCATTGAGGCATATTCAGGGATTAGATTAATAGAGCAAGTTTCACCAGCGACAATGCCTCCCTCTTGTCCTGAGAATTCAACCAGATCGCCTCTCTATATTGCTACTTTCATCAGACCGGCTCTCTCTATCACCCACTTCACCAGATCGGCTCTCTCTGTCCGCTATTTCACCAGATCAGAGCGACATCAGTCGGCCGTTCTAGCGCTTCTACTTATCGAAGACGCCTTTACGCTAGCCGAGGGGCATATCTAAGTCCTATATTTTTCTTTTATTTTCTTCATTTACTAGTTAGAAAATTGCTCGGCAATCGTAATCGAACGCCTAAGAGATCTTATCTAAGCGAAAGATTCACCAACCCAATCGAATAAGAGAACAAGATCAAAAGCACGGAGTAGACGCATCAATAAAGAGTGGGCTAAACCCCCGGCTAGCGCAAAGGCGCCTTCGACGAGTAGAAGCGGTTATCTCCATGCTAAAGTAATGACTAATCCGTCTAGGATGAGACCCACTAATTAACCTTTTAGGCTAGATTTTGCAACGATAACCTTCATAGAATTACTGAATATCAATAATCGAATCCCCAGTCAATGGTTATTGTTGGAACAGCGGCATTCATGACCGTACCTTTAGTGCAGGAGGGAGGTAGCGCCAGGCACGTGCCGGCTCACGTGGTACGTGAGCGCACGGGGGCCTGCGTGCCGATCCACCAAAACCAAGCCCACCCAGAAGCATTAGTTACTTCTGTAGACAATCAATGAAAACTATTACCCCCTCCACAGTAGTACTACTACGAACCATTCCGGAATACCACGAACAGTTATGTCCAGCGCAAGCTGCTCATGGTCTGGGACAAAAGGAATCGAGTGCTTGGTTGAGTCTCTGCTCTATTTTACAACTAGTTTGGCCGGAGAATCATTTCTCACGCGTCCTCCCCCAGTCCAGCAACCAGCGAGATAGAACACCCCCTCTCTCCTCTAGAAAACACACAACGATACGGTATAAACAGCCACCCCCTCTCCATTATTTCCCTCAACACGCCGGGTACTCTTATATCGAATGCGCAATTAAGCCAAGAAGGTCTTGGTGAAGGTCGAGATGACGTCCTTCAACCTGGCCTCGAGGTCCTTGCTGAGCGCACCCTCCTTATCAATCGTCGCGAGCAACTCAGTCTCGTTAGACTTGAGGTGAGCCAGGAAGTCCGCCTCCCAGGTCAAAATCTTGTCGACGGGAACAGTGTCGAGGTGACCGTTGACACCAGCATAGATAAGAGGAACCATCTCGTTAACAGCCATGGGAGAGTACTGCTTCTGCTTGAGGAGCTCGGTCAACTGTATAAACACATGGTTAGCTCTGCCACAACCGCAATTAGCCGCTAAAAAAAACTTACCCGTTCGCCACGGTTAAGCGTCTGCTTAGTTGAGGCATCCAAATCTGAGCCGAACTGGGCAAAAGCAGCCACCTCACGGTACTGGGCCAAGAAGAGCTTCAGGGAGCCAGCAACCTGCTTCATGGCCTTGAGCTGAGCAGCGGAACCGACACGCGAGACAGAAAGACCGACGTTGATGGCAGGACGAATACCCTTGTAGAAGAGCTCGGCCTCCAAGAAGATCTGACCATCGGTAATGGAAATGACGTTGGTAGGGATATAGGCAGAAACATCACCGCCCTGGGTCTCGATGATGGGAAGCGCAGTCATGGAGCCACCGCCAAGCTTGTCGTTCATCTTGGCAGCACGCTCGAGCAGACGAGAGTGAAGGTAGAAGACGTCACCGGGGTAAGCTTCACGTCCAGGGGGGCGGCGGAGAAGCAGAGACATTTGGCGATAAGCAACCGCCTGCTTCGATAGATCGTCGAAGATGATCAGAGAGTGTTTGCCATTGTCACGGAACCACTCCCCGATTGCCGCTATGAATATATGTTAATTGAATACGCGTGCAACAGAAACCTGGGGGCGTAGATGTCTGGGGGTGTGGATGTCTAGGGTGTAGATGAACGCGTGCAACAGAAACCTGAAGGTGTAGATGCCTGGGAGGATAGGTGTCTGGGGGTATACTAACCACCAGTAAAAGGGGCGATGTACTGGAGAGGAGCAGCCTCCGACGCCGTGGCGGCAATAATGACCGAGTATTTCATGGCATCATTCTCCTCGAGCGTCTGGACGAGCTGGGCAACAGTGGAACGCTTCTGGCCAATGGCGACGTAGACACAGTAGAGCTTCTTCTTCTCATCGGTGCTGTTGTTCCAACGCTTCTGGTTGAGCATAGCATCGAGGGCAACGGCAGTCTTGCCGGTCTGACGATCGCCAATGATCAACTCACGCTGACCACGGCCGATGGGGACCATGGCGTCGACCGACTTGAGGCCAGTCTGCACCGGCTCTCTAACAGACTGACGGGGCAGAATGCCGGGGGCCTTGAGCTGCGCACGGCGCTTCTCAGAGGTGTTGATGGGGCCCTTTCCATCAATGGGGTTGCCCAGAGCGTCGACGACACGTCCAAGAAGCTCCATGCCAACAGGGACATCGACCTATTTAGGTCAGCAGAGGTTGACAGGTTAGGGCGTGTGGCTACCCACGATTTGACCAGTGCGCTTGACGATCTCGCCCTCCTTGACGAGGCGATCAGAACCGAAGAGCACGACACCGACCTGGCCGGCCTCGAGGTTCATGCACATGCCCTTGACTCCAGAAGCGAACCTGCAGCCCGGTTAGATCTTTTGCTCCGACCAATACCAAAGAAGAGAGGGGGTTGCCACATACTCGACAAGCTCCTCGGCCTGGACATTGGCCATACCGTGCACACGGGCGATACCATCACTGTCCGGGTGCCAAAGTTAGCGTCCATATTCCATATAGCACCGCAGCAGCGCCGTCCCCATATTCAATTGGCGTCGGTGGCGGCGGGGGATTCGTGACCTCGCTCGGCTTCGTGTTCTGTCGCCAAGACTCCCAGCAGGCTTATGGAAACGTACCCGATGGACAGGACACGGCCGGTCTCAGCAAGGTTCGACTCCTCCTGGACACCGCGGATTCTCTGCTCGAGAAGGGACGAGACCTCTGTCGGCGTTGCCTTGTCGGCGTATGTGCGGGCTTGGAAGGCAGAAACGACGGGTGCGGCATTTCGCTGCATGCAAGTTAGCCGAGCCGAAACGCCCCGAGGCAGCCAAAAACAGTGGCAGCAAAAATGCAACAGCTCCCATCCCAGCTCATCGAGAGCACCGAGAGCCCTTGCACGGCGGGGGTGAAGCTCAATTGAGTTTCGCCGATGCGTCCGGGAGCGATTGGGATGGGATTCGAGGCGGGAGCGATGGAATTGAGATCGATGCGGACGGGCGGAGGGTCACTCACCACGGCGACTCTGCTCGAGGCAGAGATGGCGCCGACGGCACGCGTGCTCTGTCGGAGGGCGTTCCGGAACATCTTGGAGAGGCGTCTAGATGTGGCTGGACGAAAAGGAAAACAATTGCAATCGAATTGCAATTGCGTGGAGAGGAGATTGAGGCAGAGGTTGATGGAGGTTCGGAGAGCCGGCGTGAGGAAAATTGTCGAGAAAGGGCTGGCTGGCCTGGTTGATGAGGGAGCGGAGTCCAAGCTTGGCACAGGCCAATCAGAGCAAGCGAGAATTTTGCTCATCCAAAGGCAGGCCAAGGTGGAATGTGTCCCCACTCGGCACGTCGAAACGCGAGCGTTACGAAACCGGAAGCTTCCCAACGCTACGAATCGATCGTTCCGTTCCTTGTCGATGAAGTCTTGTTGAAATCTCAAAGTAATGGCGTTGCCTTGGGAGGTAGCCGATTTCGTCCCAGCATTGTCGCCGACAAATTGGTAGTTGCAGCGTCCCAATTGCACCTTCCATCCACCACAGCCCTCGTCTTGTCACCTGGGTAATCCCGACCGTACCAGCGTTTGGAGCTCTGACCAACTCCAAGTTGGCCAAGTTGGATCCGGTGCACCACCACGGACGGCACTGGGCCCTCAATTCAGCTCGTCTCTCGCTCCGTCACATACCTAGTTGAATATTGTCGCGGCCTCAAATAGAATCTGAGAGGGGCTTTGGTTAACAAAACAGGCCTTTATTATTCGATATTAGAGATACTGGTAAATAAAATCAGCCTGAAAAGCCGTTACCAGGGTTCTAGTAAGAAAGAGACAGACCTTTGGGATTCCATATTTGGGGTTCTAGGAAATTAGTAGAGTATTAGTTTGTCCCCGTATGGGAGAAGACGACTTGGACGTAACTAAGTTCAAGGCTGCCAGTAATCGAACAGCCTACCAGGCGTTTTACGAGAAACTTAAAGCTATCGAGTCAAATCCGGAATTGAAACTGCATGTCGTGGAGTACCTTGGAGCATTGGCCGTCTACTATGACGAGCAAAAAATCACCCATATTTCTCGAGCCCTTCTCGACTCCTGGGGGCGAATGGCAACAAACCCAATAAAAAAATCTTTAGAGCTTTTCGCCAGATCGCCATCAGATTTGGATCCCGGGAGGAGTTATCGAAGACGACGGTCTGTCCCTCCTTACTATTCACGAAGTGGCCGTAGAGTCCCAGAGGCGTAACAAAACCAGACCGTCAAGACTAAACGGAGTGCCGGTTCCTCGCGATCTCCGTCGGCTTAGAGAGCCAAACATTCGAAGCCGGATAATAAATCCGATAAGAGATCTAATAAGTGCCATGATTTAGGGTCTGGCCCCAAGATCGAAGGTAATAAATTTAGTATTGACTCCAAAGCCGATGACAAAGCCGATGGCAAGTTAGAGTCAGAGGATACTGACAATGACTCCAAAGCCGATGACAAAGCCGATGACAATTTAGAGTCAGAGGACAGTGACAGCGACTCCGAAGCCGATGACGAGTCGGAGCCAGAGGGGCAGGGCAGTGGCCCCAAAGTTGATGACGACAAGCCAGAGAGCGAGCCGGAGCCGGAGGAGCAAGGCAGTGGCTCTACGTCCGTCAAAGCTGACGGCGGCAAATGGACACCTATGAAGCTGTCCCCAGATATTCTATCGGATAATGACGAGAAGCCCGAGGGCTTAGGCCCAGAGAACCAGTTGGACGAATCTGGTGGCGATAATACCGAAGCGCCCACTGGTGAAGGTCCGGTTGGTCAGACTGATGAGGAGATTGAGCACCACAGCACCCATGATGGCGATATCTTCGGAACTAGGTACCTTGGTAAGAAAGAGATAAACCTCAACAGTAAGGACCTTGGCAAGAAAGAGAGAGACCCTTGGGATTCTACGTCCGGGGCTTTGGTAAACAAACCCGGGCTGAAAAGTGTTCGAAGGCATCTGCAAGACAGGAGACGGCCTTTGTTATTCTGCATCACGGGCTCCAAGGGCTGCCACCCTACTCGGAGAAACCCCTCGAGGGCGGGCTGTACGACATTTAGGCCTCTAAATATGTCAATGACACGTTTTTTTCACGTCTCGGAGCTGGAATATATCCAAAGATGGTTCAAGTATTGGGTATTTAAGTCCTGTTGGAACGTCCCAGCCGTTGCCATCCCCAACGACGCTTCCTCCACGTCCCAAAAATGCAATTTCTCCCACGAGTAACGACCTAATTACGGCCCCTTCGACTTCATGCGCTGGCCATACAGGTCCACGATCCGAACTGAGGGGTCGAAGCAGCTCTTGCGCAGGAGCTTGTAGTTGGTGCCGACAATGTTCCACGGCACGCTCAGCCGCCCTCCCTCCTTTGCGGATGCAGCTTCGTCCAAGTTGGGCACGCTCCTCTGTCGAGTCCGGCCACCGCAGAGGTCGTACTTGTCCTTGAGGTCCCGGTAGTCATCAAAGCCTCCTTCGTCGTCGCTCAAGAGCGGCGCTGAGAAGTCTTTGCACACAAGTTAGTGCCGGCAGTTCCACACTGATGACAAAAAGAAAACAACTCACCGCCTTGGAGATAGCTGTCGATCATGTGCTGGCAGATGGCACTCGCAGTCCTCCTTCCCTTATCGTCGCGCTCGGAGCGGACCAGGTAGCTGCGGCCGACGTAACTCTGGCGGCTGTACTTTTGGTCGAACAGGGCGGCGACGTCGAGGAACATCTTAGGGCAGCCGCCGAAGAAGGCGGCCTCGAACTCGGAGCCGGCGTCGTACTGGGCGACCAAGCTCAGCACGTCGTCGTCGGCGACCTCGGCGGCGAGCCCGCCAAAGTTGCGCAGGAACCCCACAAACAGGTGGCACAGGTGGTGGGCGACCCCGACCGAGGCGTGGAACTGCAGCCGCCGGAACCGCGTCGTCTGCACCACCTGCTCGACGTGGTCGCGCCGCCGCCGCGCCAGGTCCGCCTTGAGCCGGGCCTGGTACAACTTGTCGGCCAGCTCGCGGTCGAGGTGCAGCACGGCGGCCGCTTTCGGATTGAAGGATAGCCGCTGCTCGCGCGGCGCCGACGGGCTGCCCCGCGGCTGCTGCTTCTGCTCCGTCTCGCCGCCGCCGTCGTCGCTGAAGAAACCCTCCTTGCCGTCCAGCCGCACCGCGGGGAACTGGTGCCTCACGCACCGCAGGAACTCGGCCACGGCGGCTGACGGCCGCACCTCGCGCTGCGGCAGCTCGACCGCCGAGAGCGGCTCGTACGCATTGTTCAGACTGCTCAACGGCGCCTTGCCGAGCCAGACGTGTATCACGCGAAGAGCGATGTCCTCGAGAGCTGTGGGTTGGAACGTGTCAGACGTCAGTAAGTCTGGTTGGATTAACCGCCCGATGGTGAGCTTGGGTAGGGGTTATGAATCATTGTTTACCGCTTTTGGACATTCCAAAGAGACGTTGCACTTGTACAACCAAGCCGGGGTAGGGGCTCTGGACCGTTGCCCACCCCTTTCACAAGCCATGGGAGAGGCATGAGGTATGAGACACGAGACACGAGACACGAGACACGAGAAATATACGCACCATATCGTCCGCGGAGGCTTTCGAGCATGCGCAGGCCGAGGTCGAGCACGGCGGCGACGGCAAACGTCCTGCCGGAGCCGCGCTCGAGGGGCTGCTGCTCCGAGCCGAGGGCGCCCTCGAGCTCCTCCGAGACGGCGATCTGGTAGATGCCCTCGGTCGGCAACTCCTTCCACGACTCGGGCCGCACCAGACCGAGGCGCAGCAGTCCGCGGTGCGATCGCGACAGCCGCTTCGACAGCGCCCGCAGGTCGACCGGCCCGTAGGACTCGTCTGCCTTGTCGATCGAGACGAACGGCATCGTCGTTGGAGGCCAAAAAAATAACTAACTACCGAGACTCTGTTTCCTGTGTGACAACTCTAGGTAGTCTTTTTTTTCGCGAAATTTCCCTACGGGAAAATGGTAACAGCACAATGCAAAACAAGAAAGCACACACAATCCCTCCGGCGGCGGCCGGCATCGTTTGTTTTACACACTGAGGGGAGGTCATTTGCAGAGCCATGGATGGGTGGTGGCCGGCCTCGTAAGCAGTGAAGCCAGCCCAGCAAGTCAGTCAGTCAGATAGCGTGTTTGCGGGAGTGTGGGAAACAGGTCCTAGTCTGAGGCCCATCGTGTGTGGAAAAAGTTAGACTGTCGCGATTCACAAAAGTTTGAACCAAAGACGCGGGTGGCCAGCCGGCCGTCTTAGTCGGCCAGGTCCGGGTAGCCACCCACTCCTACATGTCGTGGGATTCTGGGGTCAGTTTATAAACCCAATGTTTCCGTAGCAGTTGCTGTATCGCGTTAGCCAAAGTCGGCCACAGCTCTTGATCGTTCGCGTGATTTTTCTTATTTGTTCCGTTGGCTTCGTTTTCCGGCCCTGGTTGGAATTGCCCAGACAGACGGCTTCACGCGCAGACGGCTTCACGCGCAGACGGCTTCACGCGCAGCTGCTGAATGCAGTCAGCCGTCTACTGTCCGGGGAGCTGTGCGAAGCACCCCAAAGTTTGAACCCTGAAGGATGTCGGACGGGGGCGGGCGTGGCTGGCCTCGGCGGCTGTTTCAAGCTGTTCTACAGGCCTGGGTCTGGGGGGGAAGGCCCGCCTCAACCGTGAACCCGCATGTGGTGGTTACACAAAATGGCGTTCACGGTTAGGCTAGTGCTGTGCCGCTCTCAGCGGGCGCCCATCTCTCATCTCCCATCCATCCCATTCCATCCATCTACCCGAAACTACCTAAGCGCGTGGCGAACGGCGTCTCGTCTGTTCTATTTCAAGCTCATCAACAATTTCTTCTCGCCATCGGGCGAAATAGACGCGCAAGGGCTGATTTCCACAAGTGTCATTTGCGTCGGGTGAAAGTAGCCGACTCTAAGGCTATAGCTTGATTCAGAGGGGGGGATTTTAAACCCTTTCAAGAGCTCAACAGCTGTAAAAGGCTAGTGAGAAGCGAAAAAAATGAAATCGGTATATTGATCCTTCTACGGATATGTCTTCGAGAAACCCGATAGGGGAGGAGCAGTAGTCTTATCAGGGGTTCCGCGCTGCCAACCGCTTATGATGCTGCTCGTCCCACGCCCATCAAATCCTGAAAAGCAGACGGCCGAAGGCGCGTCAACCCTGGTTCTTCAGGTAGAACAGCCGGTCAAACTGGGACATGTTCTCGAACGTGCAGAACTCTGGCGCGCCGAGCTCAAACTCTTTGGGCATGTCGCGAAAGTGGTCTGCGAGCAGAGTAGCGATCTCGTCTGCCTGCGCTTGGTCGAGGTAGCTCAGGTAGTACGCCATGCTCAGGTGCAGGCCGTAGTTGGCGTGGTGCGGGTGCCGGATCTGCAGCGCGTCGGCGAGGAGGTCGCGTAGTGTACGGAAGCGGGACTCCTCGTCGGCCGTCTGTAGCCGGAGGTTCACGCAGATGCCGAATAGCTGCGACGTGACGGCCGTCGCTGTCAGCCGGAGCGGCGGGCCGCACTGCAGGTCGAACGCCGCGAGCTTCTCGGCAAAGCGCGCCGTGCAGGCTTCCAGCGGCGCGTCTGCGGCGAGGTCGCGCGGCCACGAGCCCGGCGCACGCACCTGGTCGCAGACGCCGTCGAACACGGTCATGTGCCAGCTCGGAGGCGGCAGCAGCGCATACAGGTGTGCCAGAGGGCTCGCGGCTAGCTTGTCGTAGAGCTGCTGCATCGAGCCGTACAGCTCGCTCGAAGGAGAAAGGTGGCACAAGATGGTGTTGCCGGGGAACCGTTGGACGTTGCCGTCGGGGTCAAACTTTCTGGGAACTCCGACTGGGTGATGGGGGCGCGTAACCGCGAACTGCTGATGCTGCTGCTCCAGCTGATCCTCCTGGTATTTCTGCCGGCGGCGCCATTTAAACATGGTCTCAGACTTGAGATAGCCCTACAGGCTACGGTGGTGGTGTCAACGGAGGTTGCCGTGCTTTCAGGAGCCGCTTTCGTACAATCTTGAAGTTATCTCGGGATAGCGTCCAAGGTAGATGGCGGTCACAAATACGAAGCCCGGGTCGGCATGGTTGCCGGGGCTTGCGAGAGCTTGGGGCTGAGGAAGCTCACACTATGCGATCAGAGTCCTGAAGATGCTTCGATGTAGGTCATGGCTAGGATAACGGAGAGTGATTGGTTGGTCTCAGCGCCACGTGGCTGACCTTGTCCTCATTGAGGAGTCTTGCGGCATGAGAATCCCAAGCATGGACGAGGCTGCGAGAGCATGCGGCCGCGTCCAAGTCTGTGTTGGTAGCAGAATAAGTATGCCTTAGGCCTCAAGCCTCACGGCCTCATGGCAGATGGTAGCCTAGCGCGACGGGCTTTCTTCAATGCTGATTTTGGATCCCGGGCTTTGTTCGTTCGATTGGATGGGAGAGCTCGGTTTTGGGCCTTGCATAGCTGGTGTGGGAGACTGCGAGCCCCTGCGTCAGTGGGAAAAAATTTCTGGTGGAAGCAACTGCTGGAAACCATGCTGTCGATTGTGGCCCTGAGTAAGGCCGTTTTGAGAATTTACGGCCCAGCAGGCGTTACCAAACTGTCGGGTCCATCCTCCCAATCACGACCGTCTGTCTAAGCGCCAGCTGCCAGCCTGGCCCCCCTTGTTTTTTTTTGGCAGGATTCCCCACAACAACACTTCAGCTGTCGGGGCTGTTTATGTCCCGGGGGACAGGGACGCGTGTGTCTCTTCTGTTGTGCAGAGATTAAAGAAGAGAAGATGGTCGTACTTTGGGTCATTCGCGCTTCTGAAAGGGGCTTGCTGCCACCTGCCTCGCCGGTATGCCCTGACCCCTGACATGGACATATCAAGCTCCCTGAATGGCCAGTCCCTTTGGAATGTCTGGCTGCAGAAGTGGCCACATGCTTAATAGGCAGACTCCTTTACCCCTTACGGTACGGGCCATGACGGACCCGCCCAAGGCTGTGAACATCCGCAAGTGTCAATGATATAGACCAGGAGTGTTATTTAAACAGCCGGGTCTAGTAACCGATATGCGTCGGCCTAGCGCGGAAACCAGTCTCTCAGAGTTTAGTTATAACCAGTCAGACTTTGATGCTTCGTTCGTGTGTCTTGTCTCGTTCTCTGTTCTCTTCACACTCAGCATCCGCGTCGTTTGTTCGGGAACGAAGTTAACCAAGCATGTCTAACATCCCCAAAGTAAGTAACATAGGCCCAAAAAGCAAACTCGAAAAGAACCCACAACTGACTCATTGCTCATAAAGACGACGTATGAGGCCTGCGAAGGACAAGATCGGCCAGTTTCAAGGCGGCTCACAATCCTAACACGCTCCAGCGAATATTCTGAGCTTAGCGAGAGCACCGATCACCAGAGCAGCCTCGATAAGAACTTGACCTCGCGCTATACCTGCAAAGGCTCGGTCGGTACAGAAGGTGCCCTGCGGCAGATGGCTCTTTCGTCGCTGGAGGCCGAAGGCTGGCTAAGACACAGCCAAATGAACCCGTATCACGCCTCAACACCTCCACCAGAGGACGACGAGACAACTCAAGACCTCCTGATGAATGGGATTGGCTGTCACTTTCCCAGCAATTCGCCATCCAGGGCGTCGTCGTTGACCGTAGATGGCGAATCCGTATTGAACCACCCAGCCACTCCTCGTCGTGGCTCTGCAGATGGAGACGCCAGTGGCAGCGATGACAACATCACTCCCACCGCCACCGCCTTGGAGACCGTGCTTGCCATAACTCCCACCAAGCGCGGCCCTCCCCAAGCAGCTGTCAGGGCGAGCATGCCAATGTTTAGCAATTGTCTGTTGACGCCAAGCCCATCGCCTAGGGTCAAGAGGGGCGCGAGTCCCCCGGCCACGCCGCAGCCCGTCAAACGGCCAAGATCTCGGGCTCAACAAGCCCGCTCGGACACGCACTCCGACGAGCCGGGGGCTTGGCAGGCCTTTCGGAACGCGAGACAGCTCACGGCCGAACTGGCAGAGTCGGCGAGTCTTCTTGCCAGAACTCCGATGACATCCATGGAAGCCATCGCTCGGGCCCAGGCTCCCCGTCATGCTGAAGCTTGCTCTCCGGCCGTGAACAGGGCGTTATTCGAAGATCCCGCAGAGGGCGAAGGTGAGCATGAATTTCTCCATTCCACGGCCTCCCTCGCTAACAGCAACCGAGGCCGAAAATACACAAGCATAATCCCGATACAGTACAGTCTCGACAAAGACGAATTTACGCTCGAGCTCCATTGGTTTACCGAAGAAGAGATCGAGAAGCAGCTGGCCAAGCTTCTGCGGTCGTATCGGAGGTTCTACGCTGCCCCCGACGACCTCGAAGACGAAGCGTCGGCCGCTGATGGCGATGCCAGCCAGGCGGCAACAGCCCGGGACGCTCTCAAGACAATATTCATCGGACGACTAGACCTGGTCCTGGAGGGAGACGAGAGCCAGGACGGGAACGAGGGCAAGGATTTCCTTCTGCTCCAGGAGGAGGAAGACGTCTTGAACACGTTCATGATGTGGATCCGGGAAATGGCGATCCCGTCGCATGCGCACGTCGAAGTCATCCAGGACATGCAGGGCTGCATCGGCCGTCTGATGCAGCTGACAGTTGAGCCCGCCAGGCCGGAGGGCTCGCAGAAGACGGCGGCCTTCATCAAGAAGATCACGTAGGTCCCAAACCCGCACACCATGAGCCATGAGTCAGTTCCAGACCAGACATCTAACGCAAAACAAAACAAAATAGGCTGCTCTCGAATTCCCGCAGTAACCGGCTTCTGCTCGACGACTTGCCCGGAGCCCGAGGCTTTGGTTCGCCCACTAGTTCGGCTGGCGGGGCCCTCTCTTGGGAATACGCCGACATCTTCTGCGGTCTTGAGCAGTCCGAACGCGAACAGCTGCGAGTTGCGTGTGGCAATATCAGGCTTCGTGACGACATTTTCCAGGGCCGCTGCTAATAATTTGCCCGACGATGGGTACTTTTCTCACTTGCAATGTAATGTAAAATTAATTGGTGTTTTCATTTCTTTTTAGTTGATGGGTTGAGGTGGTGGTGTTGGCAGGATTGGCAGTGTCAAGTTGGCGGGAGTGACCGTGTTCCGTCCGAATGAGATACCATCGAGATTAGTTGATGGAATTGACCGACTTAAACCTAGATATTTCTGGAAGCTCCTCATCTGTGGCCGGATTCTCGTGCTCATTTCTTGTCGACCATGCCTGACGTGTTCTCTGGTGCGCCAGACAACTCCTTCCGAGTTTGATCAAGGATTTTGGCGAGGAATTGGGAACTAAGCGGTAAAGGGTTAGGGTTAGTATAGTAAACCCTGTCTCCGCCCTGAGATACCAATGATCCGTACTCTACAAATGCTCTGCACTAACAAAGGCCTGCCGATCTTATTCGCCAAAATTCCAGGTCTAGCTGGGAGCTCCATGGAATTATCAGGGGATCAGAAGTGCTGGTGGTGGAGATCTCCCGAAGTGAGTGTGGGGTTTGGCCGAGTGACATGATGCCATAGAATCTGTGTGTGTAAGCATCAGAGCACTGTGCCACTGTTTCAACACATCTCAATGCTCTGCGCAATCCAACTCCAAAGCAGTGCTTGCCAACATCACCAAAGAGAAAACTACCATCTGCCTCACAAGATCCCACTTTGAGAGAAAAATTGTTGAGGTTCTCCCCAACTTCGATTCCCGAAGGTACGTTTCAGGGAAGGCGCCCCGGGGTGTCCTGACCTTCCCCAACTTGGATCCCGCCTCTTCCCTCGCTGTCGCCTTCCTCTCCGAGCCGGACAGTGTAAAATAACTGCTCTGACCATCGCCAGGATAAACCGGAGAATTGAGACATGCCATCTGACTCGCCGTCGTCGTCGGATCCTACCATGTCCGCAGCTACAAAAGAGATGCTTGCGCGCGTGCAGCGCATGGTCCCGCCCATGCTTGAGAAGTTCCACAAAGGTGCGAAACCTAAACGGAAGCTGGCTCGTGCTTGCTGCTTTCTCATCACTCACCTGATGTATTTATTCAGTTGAAAGACGCACTTGCTAATCTGTAACCATGGTAGGCCAACTTGGGCGTGTCGGCGTCATTGGCGGCAGTGAGGACTACACAGGCGCGCCGTATTTCTCGGCCATGGCAAGCGCGAGGCTGGGCTGTGATATGGTATGTTCTCTCGTTTCATTCGATCTTTTTGTAGCCGCCAAGGGTATTGGAAAGGGGGTTATGGCGGAATAGTCTACTGTGCTCAGGTCGGTGGTCTCTCTGCTTCCGGAGCGGCACTTGATCTACAACTACGACTACCCATACATGTTGTAGCATTGGAACACGACTGACAGCCCCTTTTCCTTGGCTCGCACCAGTCCCACGTCATATGTACACCAACTGCGGCCACAGTCATCAAGACCTTCTCGCCCAATCTCATGGTGCACCCGCTCATGCGCTCCACGCCGTCCTCATCTCCGCTATCCACCCAAACACCCGGGTCGGCGGCCGACTCGGACCCGGACCAGGTCGCCAGCCGCATCATCCCAATGCTAGACCGCCTGCATGTTCTAGTAATCGGGCCCGGCCTCGGCCGTGACCCGCTGATGCAGGACACGTGCGCGCGGGTCATCAAAGCCGCTCGGGCAAAGGGTCTACCCATGGTCCTCGACGCGGACGCCCTGCTCATCGTGCAGAAGGACCCGTCACTGGTCAAGGGCTACGGGCAGGTTGTGCTGACGCCCAATGTGGTTGAGTTCGCGCGGCTAACCAAATCACTCGGGGTCGACGACCAGGTTAGGGCCACGGCGGAGAGCGAGGGGGACACGGCCAAGGTCGAGGCGCTTGCGCGGGCACTCGGGGGCGTCATGATTCTGCAGAAGGGTGCCAAGGACTACCTGAGCGACGGGAAGGTAACTCTGACGGTCGATCTCGAGGGCGGAAAGAAGAGGAGTGGCGGACAGGGCGACACCCTAACCGGAAGTATCGCGACATTTCTCGGGTGGCGGAAAGCCTACCTCGACGGCATCTGGGATCCGGCGGGAGAACGATTGAAGGACGAAGAGCTCGTCGGGCTAGCCGTCTTTGGCGGGAGCGCGATTACGAGGGTAAATTTCTTTCTTTATCCCCCCCATTCCCGTCCCTGTTGATTAGTGCTACGATCTCGGCTATTATATTGGCTGGGGTTTGGTGTTGTTGTCGCTGCTCGTATCCGGCGAGCGAAAATAGCTGACGTGGGCGCTCCAGGAGTGCTCCCGACTGGCCTTTGCAAAAAGGGGCCGCAGCTTGCAAGCGAGCGATCTGACGGAAGAGGTGCACACTGCATTCATAAACCTTTTCGGGGGCGTTGACGGTGAAGCTGGAGCCGCAAGACTATGAGGCTCACCCGGTTTCCCCCCACACCACCTCCACCCCGGCAGATGATATTCTCCTGAAGAGGCTGGCGATCTCCTGGGAGCAGTTCCCCCAGTCAGGGGTTCCTCGGGGGGAACAGCCGATCTCAAGGGAACGGGCCGCGATTCGATATAATGCACATCGAGTCAGACTCCTGGGTGTCCGGCCGATCAACCAACTTCGGAGAGTTTTCAGGGCGGGGAAAAAGAAAAGGCACACTGCCATTCAATGAACTAGGGACTTGTGAGGATCATTGGCGTGAGACATCCCATAGACGCCTGTCTTGATTGTTAAATCGAATCATGTCAAATACTGCGGCTGGGCGCCGCACCCCTGAAATCTGGTGTGCCTTGTGACATCCAATGAAACACCCTTCTACAACACACCTGCATTTCGCTTGTTGTCCGAAATAAGGTACGAGAGATTCCAGTGTGTCGTCCTCCACCAGGAAACCAAACCGACCACGCGTGATGCGCGAAACAAGCTTCGGAAAGAAATCCCCCCACCCCCTTCCTTCCAAGAACTGCCCTTTGGGTGGACACGAATTTGCATTTCTTTCTCCCTCTCCCGGTTGGTTACACTCGTGTCCAAACCCCATCCAACGTACCATTCTGTATCCTGTGTTCTCTTGCCTGTTTCCGAAAAGGGGAACCGCCCGAGATCACCGCCGTGCCTGCTGCCTTCCGGACAGCGCATCACCATCATCCATTACCCTGTTAGGGCTCCGGAAGCAAGCCGTGCTAAGGCTGCCGCTGCCGCTGCCGCTTCTGCTGGTGGTTACAGTTTTATTTTCATCTGTCCGGAACAGGTAGGACTCGGTGCCGTGGAAACACGGTCTCATATTGTTAAATTACAGAAATACGTTTGACATCAAACACTGCCACTGCACAGTGAGCCGTGCGTATAATTTCGGCGGCCTGAAAAATTTCTGTTCAATCTTGTTTGGTCGGGCCTTTGGCTGTTGTAATAAGTAGAGTACATCTGACGAGTACCTAGTTGGGATGTTTCGAGCAGGTGACCCAAAGTCACTCACCTCAAGGCCCTTACAGAAACTCAAATTGACCATGTGTTGATGTCCACGGGCACATGATTCTGCGGTGCAGGTCTTGGAGTCGTTGCTAATGCCTGCCTGGCCTTTCATGTTCAGTCTTGGGCCCCCAAAGATAGACACGCTTGGCATACTGATATTTGTAGCGTAGTTCTAATGGCGACCTACTACGGATTACCGACGGAGCAAAAGTTGGACGCCTCCTCAAAGACCGGTTGTAGCCTTCCCCACACGAGCTGGAAAGACAGAACCGACACTCGCATGAAATGCGAGAGAACCAGAAATGCGAACGAACCAGAGAGCACAGCTGAAGAGGGTAAAACCTGCGAAGCGCGGGGAAAAAATACCTATTCAGTCTGGAGATAGTAAATCTACTACCAAGACGTAGGGTGGGAAGGTGAAGTAGGGGACTGAGACAACAGCCGCCCCTCGCCTCCCAATGAACGGTCCGATCTAAACGCCTCCTTTTCCATTAACCACCCCACTCTCCTGAAGCCGCTCTGCCGTAACGCCCGTTACCAAGGTCTGGCCTGGGACTAAACAGGTCCGATAGAGCAAAGCGGCAAGATTGGTTGTGCTGTCATCGGCTGCTTGCAGCTCAATGTCTAGGAACACACTATCATTCCGAAGAATCTGACTGTAAAGGGTAACTTCGGACCCGAGCTTCAGACTAAACTATTGGCATTGTTTTCGTCTCGGGATTTAGAGCCATTAGTCTCGCTGGAGAGTCAAAGTGGCAAAGAGTTGTCGTAGGGATATTTCCCCGGGTCCAGGTCATCCTAAGAGAGCTGGCATGCGCAATCTCGTGATGTTGTCGGGACCTGCTGGAAAATATTTTAGTGCGCGTGGCGAAAACGACCCATTCGGGGACCTGGGGGAGCCCTATGGAGCCCGAGACGTAACTGTAGGACGTTGTACTACCACACGCTGCGTTGCCTGGGCTCATGAGTACAGCTCTAGTTTTAGATTGGTGTTCGCCATTAGAAACGTTTAGCCTTTTTTCGAAAGGCGACCTGGGATGAGTGGATTTCGAAATCTCATGCGTATTTTGCAAGGTGGTCAAGGGGGGTGTTTCTGATTTCCGAACTGGAGAACTAACTCATTGGAGATGAGGTTAGACAACCAAAGTGTATGTCTCATGACAGGCAGGTAATTTGGACATGCCGATTCCGGGAACAAGAGCCATATCGGCGAGCACACCGTGTGCTCGATGGAGAGATAACTCGTTGCACTAGAACTAGTCGTCATTCTATTGCCGCGATGTTAAAAACGAAAACCCCCTAGGGAGCGCAGCTGAAAGACATCGGTAAGGGCTAAAACCACTTGGGATTAAAAGATATGATGGATGCTGGATAGCACATACGTTGTTCCCGAGACGCAGCCAATCCTCAACAAACCTGAGTCGCAACAGCCGAAGCACGGATCGGATCTGGGCTTTGAGCCTCCGCCAAAAGGGGACGGGAGTGACCGACTTTCGGTACTCGGTGCCGACGGTGACTCAACCAGCACTGGCCAGGCTGCCGGATTTGTTCGCGTGCGGCTACAAAGGGATAGCAAGGGAGAAATTGATGCATTAGCTCAGCAGCTAGCCCCTCGTCTTGCCTAAGAAACTGATCGCGCTGGACGCAAAAGGAGAAGGGAGGCCTATAGTAGACCCGCAGCTGCAGACGCATTGTCGATCACTACCTCAGTTCGAATACTTGAGAGACACACATATCTGAAGCGAATGAAGGTCTACGCAATAATAGGTAGGCGGAAAAGTCGACTGCTCGTGGACCGAGTAAGGCGCTGCTCTACCATAGTAAGGGGACAGCTGGCCGAGAACCAGAGACTGTCCAGACTGCCTATTCCGTACAGTATCGTACACCATTTCTGTCCTGAAATGCGATGCGAACCTGAGGGAGGGAGCCCAAGGAAGTTGGGTGGTCGGAGCCAAGATCAAATGAAAGCCTACACCATCAAACTGTCAGTCGAGAGCTCGTCCTGCGGGCTGGCTCGCCCGACCCAAAACGAGAGCCCGTGGGCGGCGTTGAGTCAGGGTAAGGGTATTGTGGGGTTAAAGTCCAGGTCCGGCGCCCCAGTCGCTTCAATCGCTCCTTCCGCGGGGTCGGCTTGCTTCCCACAGGAAAGTGCAACTACTGCCCAGGGCCTTGGATTTGTTGACACCGCCAATTGCTCGAGCAAGGGTTCGAGTCCAGGTTCCTCTTTTCTTGAGCTGTCACCTGCTTCATCACGCCCCGCGATGCTACAATGTGTGCGAGCAACTGCGGTGACAGGCCTTGCCGTATCCTTGCCAGTGGATGTTTCCGCCGTTTGACGTCCGAACGTTATGCCCGTGCGCCGCAATTACTAGACTCCTAGCGTAGTATTTTTTGTTTGTTAGTGTATTTCACCTCGATCACTGCAGCCTTCTTATTATTAAGTATTGCAACGCACTGATATTGCGTCTTTTGGTGATGCCTTTCTCCGTCACCAGCTGTTTTCAACCTGTCACAAAATCGGCTTAATTTTGTTATTGTTCCGTCGCCGCCCAATCCGGAGCTTTAGCAGCACCTCATGCAGTGTCAAACATGTGACGGACTATGTTGCCTCTTTCGAGTTTCGATTCAGCGTGAACAGCTAGGGGAGCTAGATGACCGCTCGAGAACAATAGGAACAACAGTGTTGACGCCCCGATGCCGACCTTGGCTGACCAGCTGGTTAGCTTCTCATCCCTTTGGTCAGTCCCTAAACTCGTGCTGACCAAGGCACTCCCTTGGAACGTTTTTCCTACGGCCTTAGACGACAAGAGTCGGTGGTACACAAGAGTACTTAGAGCTTGATGGCCATCCCAACCTACTCACCTTACGTATCAGGGACAGGGGGAGGTCGCGCAGGGATGCAATCGTCCGAGTCCTCTCCCACATTGGATTAGCTCTCGGCGGGCCAGGCAGTAGCGGCATGTTTCTTTTTTGTCGAGACTCGGATCACCTGCAGCTCAAGCGGAGGTGGAGGCAGGCCGTTGAGCTTATTCTAACCGGATTGGTCGAGTCTATTGTTGTGCATGCGCTGTCTCCCTCCCTCCTTCCGTCTTTCCGTACGACCAAGACAACAATGGACGGTCTGGAAAGGAAGGCACTCTCTACACGACTACGCCAGCGCGACTGCTGCAATGGCAGGAATGGTCTGGTCAGCCGAGCTAGCCAGGCCCAGTCCGCCGCCAGTCCGTCCGCCGCTGGTTCTTTGCCACAAATGCTAGGCCAAGCCAATCGGTTCGTGTGCTGTACCCTTTGGTCTGGAGGGATGTAAGTGGAATCAGCCGATCTCCATCTTCAGTTTTCCATTGTATCCGCTCAGTGTGCGGGCCAATGAGTGTCGGCGTCATCTGGGAGGTCGTTGTTTGGTAGCTTCTCGTGCCTGCCTCCTACCTACCGTAGGTAGCAACCTACTATCATCCCTAGTTGCTATCTTACCTCCCCCCCTCCCCCCCCCTCGGCAAGTCTGCCAGCCTTGTCCGATCAACATTCGGGGCGCCATCGCATATCAGACACACCCCCTTGTCACTCCTCAGTTATCTTTGTCTGTGAGCCCTGCCCTATATGATCCATGTCCTCCCCCAGGATTGATGTACTCCATCCCTGCTCAAAGCTTCGACAGACCAGGCTCAAGTGATCTCCAATAAGGTGCCTACGGGAGCACGAGAGTCTCTGACGACGGCCCTTCAACTCGCACCAACATTCTATTTCCCGCTTTACACGACGACTTCCACGGCCTTCGACATCCTGCCGTGTAATTCGGCATTGTCTTCGGCATAGTGAGGCCAGCTCTCGTTCAACCTACGCGGCATGTCTCTTGCTGGGAGATCGTGACGGCGTTGTCCCACCAGCAAGCTAGAGTCTCGGCCCAAAATCCTCGGCGATCCCAACTGTCTTCAAAGTGAACCGCAAGCCCCTTGTCCCGCCGATCGATCTCGCAGGTAACTCTTCTCCCTCCCACACCTTGCGGTCTAGCCCGGGGTGCTCTCCAGCGGGGGGCCCTTGTTCCAAACTTGAAATCTCGCATTCGAAGTCAAAAAACAATAGTTGAGGTATTGGTGAAAGACCTGTCTTGCGACGCATTCTTTTGTTGGTGCCCCGTCAAGAGATGTTCAACAGTGCGGTGTTGGCTGACACCGACACTCGCAGACGTTATTTCATTTGCACACAGTCACAATGACAGCGGCGTTCGAGAAGCTGGAAAGAAGGCTTGACCGGCTGGAGAGGTTCTTCTCAAAAAAGCGGAGGGTACAGCCTGACTCAATCGCCATTGGGGATGGACCTATATCACCTCTTTCTCTCTCACCAAAACCGGGGGCCGTGTTCCAGACGTTTCCGCAGCCATCCTTCATCAGGCCAATGTCAACGCGGATGTTGGCTCGAGAAGAAATCGCCTGGACCTCGAAATCTAATCGTCGGGCTCAGAGTCTCCCCGAGTCTCCCAGCACACCTCGCCTCATGTCTCTAACAGATTCCGCGAACGAACCAGCCACGACTCCAGTTTCATCCGATGAAAATTTTCCTTACATCCCTCAGCGCATCTCCTCACTCAGCCACAGGCATAGAACGGCTTCTCTAGCAGAGCTGCTGGAGTTCAGCTTCTCCAGCGAAAACCGGAAAAGCGCCGATAGCTCACTGTCTTCTCCAATATCCCGATCGCGGCCCACCTCCAGATCGATATTACGGCCCACCTCGCCTTCTGTGTCACCTAAAGCCCAGCTCAACAGGAAACGCAATTTTAACGAACTTCGGGTGGAGGGTTTGATCGCACAGCACCCCGACCCAAACACGCCACCACTGTCCGCCCACCAGAACAAGTCATTTGCTTTGATGCAGCTACAGCACAGGATGCTAATCCCCGAGCTCCTCCCGTATGGCAATCCGACGCCGGAAACCTCCCCTAGGCTTGTCCCGCTCCCTGAGCCGGAAGCCGACGAGCTTGAGCTAGATCAGACCGTGATGTTGGAGCGACCCAAGAGCCTAGATGCTTCGGTTATGGTCCCTAAAGCGGCCATTTCGGCGTTGCGCAAGTCCACAAGCCTCTCAAATATTGTAGCAGGTGCGGCCATCAAGCGCGATCCTATCCTCAAGGAACCGAGCTTCAGCGATTTTCTCTCGCTAAGCGACGATGACATTGCCGATGGTCAACCGGTACCTCGCGCCCAGCTCCCCGCAGCATCGGAGCCTCCAAGCTTTTCTTTACCACCCGACCCTCCAGCGCTTGTTGCAACTTCCCTCATCGCCAACGCTTACCCGCTTCTCACACTGTCACCACCTTTGGCCACCAGACCAGCAACTGCTGCAGCTTTTGAGGCTGCACGTATTGCAGCTCGGTACGGGTTTGACCTCGTCTACGTCGTCAACTTGTGGCCTCACCACATCGCTTCGTCCCAGCAACGTCCTGTCACGAAGAAATCGTCTTTCTCGTCTCTGTCGACTTCCGCAACCGTCTTGCATACACCGTCCTCGCCGCAGGACTCAATGCTGAGTGGAACTACTTACGTCCCTAGCACCGATGGACAAGTATCAGCTGGCATTGACAAGCCAGACAAGCCACGCATGAGAATGACTGGCCGCTTGCTGGCAGCGTATGGCTTGCCATCAATCATGTTCCCATTCCGAATCTCGGCGCCGGTGCATCAAAAGATGCTCAAAAACGAAGGATGGCTTGAATATAGAAGCGACAATGCCGCCGCCGACGAGTTTGCTCGCGGCTACAGCTGCTCCTTCTATACTGGCTACAACCTTGACGGAAGACTGAACGGCTTCGAATCCGAGGCGGATTCTGACACAAAGACACGGAAGCGCAAGGGGCGAGCTGCCAACCGCGGGATAGTCTTTTCAGCATATAGGCTTCCCCGCGCTGACGGGAGCAGCCTTGGAAGCGACACCGAGGAGCTGGAGGCCCTCAGAAGGGACGCCGAGACCCTCGTCGATATGTTGATCGATATCCACATGACACAAAGACAGAGACGGCCATCTGCGCCAAAATTAGAGACCGGACCACTTCCGGAGCCGAAGACACCAACCTATTCTGACTGAGGAAGCCGTGCGCTGTCCTTGCCTGGCTCCTTGATGTTAATGACAGAACGATTGATGATGTATGTGCTGGCCGAAATATGGGGTCTTCTTTCCTTTTCTTACCGTCGTCGATTGGAGCAAAGGCTCTGCTCCAATTTCCTATTCGACGCTTTGAGACCTTCACAGAGACATACTATACCCATGTTTTACGGCCACTTTGTATGTAGATATGAATGGAGAGCCTCATCGGCAACGCGAGTACGAATTTGATGGCAGTTATCCCCATATCTAATCCTACTTGTCCCACAGCTACAATAAATATCTAGAGATCACAGAGAGCCGATCTGGTAAAATAGCTGTCTAAATAAGTCGCGACTGGTGAAACCCGAGGGAGGTAATAACTATTAGAACCCCTGATCTAGAATCCTAGAGGTCTATCTCTTCTTTAAAACTAGTTAGGAGACCCCTTTAAAAGGTCTTTTTGGAGAAGAGATAGCCCTCTAGGATTTTAAAATAGGTATTCTAATGGATTTTGCCTCCCTCGGCGAAAAATCTTTAGGGAGAGCCGTTAAATATTAAGGCCTTTCGAATCTTGGAATGTCCCCCGCTAATAAAAATCTAGGGATTGGGTTGTATGAATGGAGAGGCGATCTGGTGAAATGGCTGCCTAGAGAATACGGAGAAACCAATATAGTGAAATAGCTGTCCGAACACAGACAGACGATATAGTGAAATAGTTAATAGAGAGAGCCGATCCGGTAAAATGGGTAATAGAAAGAGCCGATCTAGTGAAATAGCTGCCTGGAGAATATGGAGAAACAAATCTGGTGAAACAGCTATCTAAATGAGTCGCGACTGGTGAAATTTGCTCTATTAATATAATTATTAAACATGCCTCAATATTTTACGGCTCGCCCTATAGGTTTTTCGCCGAGGGAAGTAATAACTATTATAAACCACCCTATTCTAGGATCCTAGAGGCCTATCTCTTCTCTTGAGCAAGACGGTCAATAAAAAGAGAAAGTTTGACGAGATCGAGGACAAAAGAAGGGCATACAGGAAAAAGCTCAAGGTCCGATGATACCAAGGGTGGGTCGAACTTGCGAAGGAAACCCGTCATGGCGATGTACCTAGGTTTCCAAGGCATCGTCTGTGTCTTGATCTTGACGATGGCTTCGACTTTGTCCGTCGTGGTTGACAGACCCAGTCCATCGACCTTAAAACCCGAGCAATTTGACAGAGGGGAATGATGGTTGCTATATGGCCACAGAGACCGATTTCGGACGGGAATTCGAGATCGTTGCCGACGTCGAAGCAATCCTCGACCTGTCAGACGAGAAGGCTACAGCCCTCTACCAAGCACTGCTCAATGACACCGCAAAGCAGAAGGCACCGGGGCCAAATCCTCATTGATCCTTCCCGTCCTCTTCCAAGTGAAGTCCTTTATGGCTATCACGCTACATCACGGGTACAACCTACCAGGTCGACCTCATCGCAAGTATTTTCAGCAAAGGAACGGGCCCTTCAAGGTGTTGGAGATGAAAGGTCCTCTGGCGTGCAAACTCGAGCTGCCACCGCGACCCCATGAACCTAATGGACCTGATTAGCGCTGTGAACGACCCCTAAAGATTCGAGCACGAGGCACGAGGTTAGCGGGGAGACATTGTCTCACAGTTGGGAAACCATCAAGACGCAATGAACGACATCACGTATTAAAGCCCTCTTCTGCTAGTTTATTTACGATAACATTCTCCTTGTTCCTAGGTACCAGGCCAAAAAAAAAACATGCAGAGATTGGAGTGTATGAGCAGGAAACTGTAACTCTAACGCTGAACGTATAAACCTGTCGCCTAGATCACGAAGATGGTCATCATCACGAGTCGGCTAGCCTGTGGCTTTGGCCTGGTATTGAAACCGAGAAGCATGAGTTCTCCAAAGAACAATGCCACGTAAATTGAGAGAAAGGGATGGGGAGCCGGCATAGCGCCGGTCGGTCTCTGAGGCCGCAGCTTGACTGATAAAATTCAGACCAAGCTTGGATTGACGAAAAAGCGTCAAGGTATAGAAGTGCATCTACATATCCGTTATGAAAATGTCACCCATTTTAAGTTCCGAGTCGACAATGACCTGCCCCAGAGGACCAATGGTTCCCAGATCGCCTGAACTCCCCACTCCGTGATATGCCTTTCCCCCCCGTTGCTGATGGACCCCCACCAGGATGGGCCAATTTAACGGACAATGGCATCGAAGCGCTGCTTGAACCACTTGACGGTGTCGTCGCGGTTGATGCGGTGGTTGGAGCCGATGCGGCCCTTGCTGCGGCGGCGGCGAGCGACGCGCTCACCGGGGCGGGTCATGCAGCAGTAGAAGTCCATGCCGTAGATACCAATTGCCGGGTCGTACTTGATGCCGAGATCAATGTGCTCGCTGATGCCGAAGCCGAAGTTGCCAGTCTCGCTGAAGTTGCGCTTGCGCAGCTCGTACTCCTTGACCTTGAGGCCACGCTCGAGGATCTCCTCGGCCTTGGGGCCACGGACGGTAACGTGGACGGCGATCTTCTCGTTACGGCGGATACCGAAGGTACGGACGGTATACCGCGCCTTGCCTAGAGGTTGCGGAAGAGAAACAGTCAGCGGTTTGTCCGAAAATTGCAAGTGTAGGCACTTCAGATCTCGCCGCGCTCGAAGAAATACTACTGGGGCCCGGAATCAAGGACAAACTCACTGTAGACGGGTGTCTGACCGCTCAGCTGCTCCAGCACCTTGGCGGCTCTGGTCAGTCTGTCACCAGACTCGCCGACTGAGATGTTCAGGACGAGCTTCTGGATGCGGAGGTCCCGCATGGGGTTTTGGGCCTTCTCCGTCTACACATCGCAGGATTGAATTAGCAAGAGCAGTGGCAGGGCATTATAATAGTTTTATCGTACCATGATGGCTTTTGTTGTTGTCGATGATCCGGGTGGGAGGGAAAATCTGGCGATGGTTGAGGAATTACAAGATCAAGGTCGATTTTCGTCCTCGATTTTTGAAATTGTGCGAAAGTGTGGGGCCAATTGCTCCTCAGCCCAGAAAATTGGGTGGGGGACAAGCAAGTGCGGCGTGCAGGAGCGTAAGCCGCAATGAGGTCCGTGCAAAGAGCAGAGCGATTGTGGCTCATTTAGCGGCCGCGGGGGGCCGCGAGAGCTTTCAACATCCTGCGCCTCGCCTCGCGTTGAAATTTGAAGTGCTTTACTAACCCGCGAGATTCACCCGATTTCCTCAAGAGTTTCGAATCGCGCCGGCGAGGTCACCGAATTCATTCGCAGACAAATCACCTGCACAGAACAAGAGGCTACTCGGTAGCTCCAGCCGCCACCATGGCGTCCAACAAGCAGGGAAAGATGGTGAGTTCAATCCTTCCGCACCTTCCCCGTCACCGCTTTGGAATCGTCAAATGTTGACATCAGACACTGACAAGGCGCATTCTTTCTAGGTCGGCTACGTACGTACTCTGTTCGATCTGCGACGGAATATTCGACTCTCTGCAGGAGGAGGAACTAACATTTGCACTCCTAGATCAATTATCGTATGCGCGTCACCCTCAACGACGGTCGCCAGATGACTGGACAGATGCTTGCGTTCGACAAGGTACGAGCGACCCCGTTCTTTGCGTGATTACAGTATTGGTAAGTGCTAACTGATGCAAAAGCACATGAACCTAGTCTTGGCCGACACCGAGGAGTTTCGCCGCGTCCGCCGCAAGCAAGCCAAGTCGAACGCTCCTGGAGCTTCGGGAGTTCAGGTCATCGAGCAGGAGGACAAGCGCACCCTTGGTCTGACCATCGTCCGCGGCGCACACATTGTGTCGCTCTCTGTCGAGTCGCCTCCCCCCGCCGAACCCAGCGCACGTCTCGGCAAGACCACCAGCGCAGGCATTGCTTCGACCCTCACCGCCGGACCTGGCGTTGCCCGCCCTGCTGGTCGCGGCGCACCTGCCCCGATCTCGTCGCTTGCTGGCCCCGCCGCTGGTGTCGGAGGCGTTGCACCTCCCTCACAGTTCCCAGGATTCCCTCCACGTCTCCCTCCCGGCTACCCCGCGCCTCCTGGATTCCCTGGATCCGCTGGATGTAAGACATTCCCTTCCCAATCTTCCTCCTCCTCTGCCCTATCCTTTAAACCACATATATCCAAGCCTCCATTGACGTAATAACCAGCTGCCCCTCCTGGTTTCTCGGGCGGATTTCCACCTGCTCCGGGCTTTGGCCCACCTGGGTTCGCCGGACCTCCTCCTGGCTTCAACCCTTCTCGGCGTTAAGGGATACTGTGTTTGGGCTTCATGATGGGCTATAGGGCTTTCTGAGACGTTCGATACCGTGTCTACTATGGTCAACTCTTTATGATTGCTCTGGACGCTCTGCCTAGGTTTATGAGGTGGGATTTTTCGGCGGCGTTCTGGGGTCAACGAAAAATGTGCTTTAGAAGTGGAATGGGAGACTGTATTTCGACACAGATCAGAAAGCACGGCGATCTTAGAGCATCAGGAAACAAGCTTTGATTGCTGCGGGGCATTGCTACTGTGAATAAACTCCACATTGCTTTTCATATATGTTTTTGTTGTTCTATCCACGTGACCTCCCTTCTCTGTCTGGAGTATCTCCGATTTTGAGGCTCTCGGTGGTGAGTCGGTGATCGTCGCGAAGAGCTTGGGGTCCGTGCTGGCGCTACAATCCAACCCCTGAAATCTTGTTAGTGGGGGACTTGCCAAATTTGAAAGGCCTTGATAACTTACGGCTCGCCCTGAAGATCTTTTGCTGAGGAAGGTAGCCGTTATTAGAACCCCTATTACAGAATCTTGGAGGCCCTTCTCTATCCTTGAAATACCTATCACAGGCTTTTTCTAGCTGGTGTACTACGTATAGTATCCGTTATGATCTTGTACTGCGCTAACAAACATTTCGGGATTTGGCTGTACATTCAGTTGCAGCCAAGCCAAGCCCCGAGCTCGGACCCCCAACTTTGTTTGCCCGATAAGTCAACTCCACCGTTGGCAGCTGCACGGGAAGCTGCTGGAGCTCAACATATCGCCGTCGCGTCAACGTCGTCGAGAATCGCTAGACTACCCGTCATCATGGCTGCCCTTGTCAAAGCGATCAATACGAAAATCAGGTCTAATGCCGTCCTAGACTATGTCTGCTCGACACGTACGTTCCCCCGATTGCCCCAAGTATTTTTTGTGCCGTATGCTCGTCTGTTCGGCCGCTTGCCGCAGTCGGACTTTCCCCGGATCCCACACTTGGAACTGCCATGGGTGGTGCTCGTGTGCCGCGATTGTTGGAGCCACTCGGCGAAGCCAATTGCTTTTTTCTTTCTCTCTACGAATGCGCTCCGATACTATCTGGGTGCAGCTTCGTGCAATGGTCGGGAGCTATGGATAGATAGCTGACGCTACGTGTGGTTCTCAACAGATTTCTGGGGCCCCGTCTCCAACTTCGGCATCCCGGTTGCGGCGGTGATGGACACCCAGAAGAGCCCTGACCTGTGCGTAGCCCCGATCACTTGTTCTCCTTCCTTGGTAAGAAGAGCGCGATGAAGAATTACAGGCAGCTGATTTTCGCTGGGCCGGGTCTCGCTCGCAGAATATCCGGAAAGATGACCCTCGCGCTCGTCATCTACTCGGCCACATTCATGCGCTACTCGCTCGCCGTCACCCCCAAGAACTACCTCCTCTTCGGCTGCCACTTCATCAACGAGGGCGCCCAGCTGACGCAGGGCTACCGCTTTCTGCAATGGCACAACTGGGGCGGCAAGGAGAAGGCCGACCTGGCGGGCGCCGTCGACGCCTCCGTGGACAAGGCCAAGGAGCTCGAGGCCAAGGTCAAGAGCTCCGTCAGCAAATAAATCGTAGTCTGGGTCATTAAAGAGTCTGGTTTTCCGCGGGGTTGGGGCTTGACGGCGGGGGCTCGACATTGTCGTTTACCTACTGTCCCGGCGCCGGATGAAGGCTCCCGAACAAACCATCCGAGAGGAACAATTGCGAGAGTCGTGAATGGGCTCGAGACATCGTTCGCGAACATTGAGGAAGGCGGCGTTTCCAATGGGCTAGCTGTCTAGGTGTATATTAAGTATCGGCGCATTTTAATTTGGTCCGCTGGCAACTTCCTGCAGCATTGTCTCGCTTTAGCCTAGCCGAGAGAAGAGAGGGAGGGGGCTTCTGGTAGTACGGGAAAGTGAGATGCTGAAAAGATAAATCACCAACGTGCCCCGTTGAGTTGCTTCAACAAGCCGCGCTATGTTAGCGGAGGTGACTAGGCGTTGACCTATCCTGGTTCACCTTCACTGAGGGACAGATGGATATGAAATGGTATAACGGCTTTACTCACCTTTTGTTCGTGGCGAATTGTGTGAATTCTTTCCTTTGGTGCTTGGAAACAAAGTGTTGTCAGAGTCGTCGTGTGGCTAAGAAGAAGAAACGAAGAATTAGCATATCCAAAGAGGAAATTGTAGAGCCCCTCTGCCTCTGCGCTTTACGAGACCGAAGTTTGGGCGGGCGGACTTTGCTCAGTTCTCCGCTGGCAGTAATGAGTTGTCGAGACAATCAAGCAGGCGCATTGCGGAAGAAGAGACACCCGGGTCTTGGCTGTGCTCCTCTGCAAGCAGGATGTTCGTCTTCTCGGGCTTCACCGCTTGACGATAAAGTCAGAGAGGGAGAGAGAGGGGGGGGGGGGGGTTGGTACGGCGATCTTGATAGAGTGTGTGACAACTCTTCCTCCTTTTCAACTCTCGGGCTCTTGGCAACCTCCCCCTGGGTGCTCCGAACAGTCCAATCCCTGAATGTTTGTAGCGGGGGATTTTCTAAGACCTTAATGGTCTTCGTACCTTATTTCTCGCCCTTATTATTATTTGCCGAGGGAGTTAATAGTTATTAGAATTCTTATAATTGAACCCCAGAGGCCTATCTATCTCTTTTCTAGAAACGCCTATTTAAACGCCTTTCCTAGGCCATAACGTTATACGGTTGTTTACTAAATCTTTATTCCGCCCAAGTATCCGTACCGCGCCATCAGACATTTAGGCATTGGATTGTACAAAAACGAAAAGCCGCCCAGGTCCTCAAAAGAGAATTGCGCCGAGACAGCATTTGCTTGGCACGCAACACAACACATCACCGGATCTCACGGACTTGGGAGCTTTCCAAGAGATCTGCATCTTACAGCCGCGACGCCAAGACGGAGGAGAGACGATGATGATGCCGACTCCCCCCCACCCTTAGCTTCATCTATCGTACGCGTACACCATTCCACTGGGAAGGAATATGGTTTATCGTCACTTCCAGTTTTACTGGGTGTACGATCTTATCTCCGAATTTTTGTTAGCGGAGGACTTTCCCAAGATTTGAAAGGCTTCCATATCTTACGGCTCGCCCTATATACCTAGTCTTTGCTCTTTAATACATATCTAGGTACCATACTAATATACTAACAGGCTTTCAGGGGTTAACTGTAGCTTGTAAGAGCTTGCTTCCGCTCCGTGACTTTGACACATGATTTCGTTGATCTGTCAACAGATAAATGTTTGTGGCAGGTAAATAGTGTACTGTAAACTTTGTAACCGCGGCCGCCTATCGCGGAACGCATCCGTGGAGGTTGCTCTGTGTCTTTCGCGATGTTCTTGGCCATGGATAATCCCAGCCAATGGACGTCTCGATTATATGACCAGTATGCACTCCGCGCGCGGGTTGCTCCTAAGGCGCCGAAGGCCGGTCATCACCGTGGGGGGAAGGGGGGAAGTGGAGGCGGGACCACACACCTACCGTACATACACACTCCCCGAAAACGGTTTTTTTCTCTTCCTTTGGGAGAGGGGGGTGGGAAATGCATGGCTTTTTCCTTCTTTCCCCATGTGACAGAGCGGCTCTCACCTGATGGGGAAAATAGCTCAAATGCGGTGTAGCCTGCATACCAGTCCCAAAATGCAGTTTTTTCCCTTTTCCTTTCCATTCTTCATGTCGAGTCGAGTCCCCGACTGATTGGGATGGTTGCGCTGTCGGGAACCACAAATGACTCAACGAGCCGCAGGGCACTTTGACCAGAGAGGTCCCGTGACAGGATCCGACCGCCTTTTAATGGCGCAGGCAAGACAGAGATACCTGGGTAGCTGCGGGAAGCATGTAAAGAGGAGAGGAAGAAGAAAGGAAAAAAGGGGCAGAGGTACGGCAGCTGTTGTGCTCATCGAGATGATCCATCTCTTGGCAGACCAGCCGGGTCTGTGAAGGGAAGGGAATGAGGGGAAAAAGAAAAGAGAAGGAAGAGGAAGAGGAAGAGGGGCCAGGCAGGACGAGACAGACTCTCAGCAATTCATCAACCTCTCACACAACTGTGCAACCAACCATCTTGATGTTGATTGAAGCGGCACAATTGATACCCAGCATCAGTATCCCCGGCAATCGTGTGGGGAACCCAGCTATCTTTGGGGCTATTGAACGTCAACGCTGACGATACTGGCCCCCTCTCTCTCCCCCTCTCTCCGTCTCTCTTTTGAGCTTACTGTCGGCTAGATAAAGCCGGTCGTGGTAGGTGCAGAGCTTAGGTTGGTAATGTAGCTCGGTAGGTACCTGGTATGGACCAAGGGAACCCTGCCCATCTGCTCTGAGCTGAGCTTGACACCTGATGGGTTGTCCGTCCCAACTACCGACTGCCCGAGGTGCGGTGCTGCTGTGGTGCCAGCCGGGCTACTGGATATTCCGAAACCACCCTGTTATCCGAGGCATGTCTCAATGACGAGATGGCGAGGAATGGGCTTCTCGGAAAACGCCCCTTCGTCACCTTGATGGCCACAAAGTTTTGGTGGACTTCTTGAGATTTAGGTATTCATTAGCCATGAAATGAGGGGGTCATTTAGGTTAGCCAATAAAAGGCCATATGGAATCTCTTGTGAAACTCCTTCCCCCCTCCCCCCCACAAGCCATTGCTGCAAGCCTTTAGGGAAAACCAACTTTCCCCCGTTTTGCAAAGAATCCCACCGTCGAGCTCCTCCCAGCTTGAGCTAGGAAGCGGCGGCGCACATTGCCAGTGCGCGCCGTGGGAAACCCATCAGCCCCGCTAACAACACCATTGGCCGGCGTGTGCACCATCTCAATGCCTGTCAAGTGCTGGCTTCACCTTGGTGTAGCAAGTGCAACTCGAGATCTAACGCCAAGAGGGCGGCAAGCATGGTGATCGCTGTTCTGGGCTCTGGCTGTGGAGCTCAATCAGCCAGAAGTGCCGGGCATAGTGTATCAATACCTATGTATGTACGCAGTATGTACACGTACAGTATGTTTAGGTCTGGGCTGTCTACTCCGTGCCGCTGTGCGAGCGACGGCGAGAAGAGATTGCGCAGTCAACCGTCCGCAAGACCGAGATATTTCCTTTCCCGGGGGAAGGGGAGGAGGGATGAGAGGCGGCATTGGATGCAGGCCGCCGATGTAGCTCAGATCGCCAAGCCGATATCTACCTACCTACAGTACATAAGGCGAGCTTGGTTGCCGTGTGCAATGTGCATGTTGGTGGAGCTCCGATTTGCCGCTGGAAAGCGCCCGTTGCGAAAAAGGACTGACGGTCACCCGGCCGGGAGACACACACGCACACGTCCGCCCGCACCCTTGAGAGTTGAGACCTCGCCCATCACCGAGCTACCTGTGGCTCGGCCTGCACGCACGATGCAGTTCGGCATGCTCGCTTCCTGATTTTAAAAGAGGGGACCATGGCATGGCATGGGAGCGGCGAGGCTTACCCTGCTTTGCTGGACTCGGTCGGACTGATGACTGGGTTGAGTTTTCCCACCATTTTAGATCCAGCTTGGCACGACGGAGCTTGATTATTGATAAAGCAGACCCGGGGCTGCCCTGACTCTTTCTTGTGCCTGGCTTGACAGAAATCCCCTCACCCCAGGAGCCCCGTCCCTGCTCTTTGCCCTCGCTTGGTTTTGTCTATTTTTTAGACTCTGCCCCTCCAATTCCCCTCGCCTCTCTGTCCGAGCTACCGTGCCTCCCTCGAAATCTTTTGCAGGATTGTCGTTGAATTGGCTGGCATCTCTTGCTGCTGCTGTTATCGTCTTCCGCCGTCTGTCTCCGCCTACTTTAAGTTGGCCCCACTGCAGAAGCACCCAAGGTTGCGCCCGCCGGAGCTCCAGGAGCTCTCCCTCCAACCCCGCCATCGACGAAACCCCACTGTCGTCACCCCTCGTTCCTCGCCTCGCCCTGCGCACGCGAACGTCGGCTCCTCCGTCTCTCTCCCTCACCCTTCGTCTGCAATTGACCTTTCAATCCCACGCCAATTGAGTCGCCATGGCCGCCGACAGCGCAGCCGACAAGTACGAGGAGGTTTTTGAGGATGGCGAGGTTCCCAAGGAGGCCCATACGGTCCACCGCATCCGCGCCAACTCGACGATTATGCAGTTGAACAAGATATTGGGTTAGTCACCTGCCTACCTCTCGCGCGTCCGCGGATAAAGCTTCTCAACAAGCTCTCTTGAAGCGCCCCAGAAGCAGCATTCGTCCAATCAACCCCCTCTGAATTCGGGACATCATGGCTAACGATATCTTGTCTACTTAAACAGTCGCCAATAGAGGAGAAATTCGTATGTAACCCCCTCCCCCTTTTCCATCTGCCCACTCAACCGGACGAGAGTCTTGTTAGTCGCGGCGATGCTGACATCAATTAGCTATTCGTGTATGTCCGCGCCCGTTGCCCCATGCGGCGAGTCTGTTTAGCATTCGGATAGCCATGTTGACTGACAATGCGCCCGCCCTATAGATCTTTAGGACAGTAAGTATCTCTCGCCCAGCACTCCTTGTCACTCTTTCATAGGCAGCTAGTTCCGAGAACTAACCCCGACCTCTAGGCCCACGAACTGTCTCTGCACACTATTGCTATCTTCAGGTGAGCTGCTCGGCCTCGTCTTCGGCCTGCGCAATTGCTGATTTAGTAGCTATGAGGATCGTCTCTCGATGCACAGGCAGAGTATGCGCGATTTTACTTTACATCCCCTGACACCGCCCGATTCCTTCCTGTCCTCCTGCTGACAGTGAGACCCCAGAGGCCGACGAAGCATACGTCATCGGAAAGCGCGGGCAGTACACGCCTGTCGGAGCCTATCTTGCCAGCGACGAGATCGTCAAGATTGCTGTTGAACATGGCGCCCAGATGATTCATCCCGGTAAGCGGAGCTTTCTTCGCGTATAGACCAAAAGAAACGCGCATTGACAATCTTACAGGATACGGATTCTTATCCGAGAATGCCGACTTCGCTCGCAAAGTCGAGAAGGCCGGGCTTATTGTAGGGCTCCCTGTCCCGAGGTTGGGGCTGCTATCACATTGCTTACCGAGTGTTTCTTCCAGTTCATCGGACCATCCCCCGAGGTCATCGACGCGCTCGGTGACAAGGTTTCGGCAAGAACACTCGCCATTGCTGCTGGTGTCCCCGTCGTCCCCGGCACGGAGGGTGCGGTCGAGAAGTTCGAAGACGTCAAGAAATTCACCGACGAGTATGGTTTCCCCATCATCATTAAGGCCGCCTATGGGGGTGGCGGTCGCGGCATGCGAGTCGTGCGCGACCAGGCCACTCTCAAGGAGTCGTTCGAGCGAGCCACGTCCGAGGCTAAGAGCGCCTTCGGTAACGGAACTGTCTTCGTCGAGCGGTTCCTGGACAAGCCCAAGCACATCGAGGTTCAGCTGCTCGGAGACAATCAGGGCAATGTCGTCCATCTGTACGAGCGTGACTGCTCAGTTCAGCGGAGACACCAAAAGGTTGTCGAGATTGCCCCAGCAAAGGACCTTCCTGTCGAGGTTCGCGACGCGATTCTGAACGATGCGGTCAAGCTAGCCAAGTCTGTCAACTATCGCAACGCTGGTACCGCAGAGTTCCTTGTCGACCAGCAAAACCGCTACTACTTCATCGAGATCAACCCCCGTATCCAGGTGGAGCACACCATCACCGAGGAGATCACGGGCATCGACATCGTCGCGGCCCAGATCCAGATTGCGGCCGGTGCTACGCTCGAGCAGCTTGGACTGACCCAGGACCGCATCTCTACCCGCGGCTTCGCCATCCAGTGCCGTATCACAACCGAGGACCCCTCCAAGAACTTCCAGCCCGACACAGGCAAGATCGAGGTGTACCGGTCCGCTGGCGGCAACGGTGTGCGCCTTGACGGCGGCAACGGATTTGCCGGCGCGGTCATCACTCGTGAGTGCACCTCCTCCACGTCATGCCCTCACCCTCGGACTAGAAGTCATGCTAACTCCGTGATCAAGCCCACTACGACTCCATGTTGGTCAAGTGTTCAGTTCATGGTTCCACCTACGAAATAGCTCGCCGGAAGATCCTCCGCGCGCTGATCGAGTTCCGCATTCGTGGCGTCAAGACCAACATTCCCTTCCTCGCCTCGCTCTTGACCCACCCTACCTTCATCGATGGAAACTGCTGGACAACTTTCATTGATGACACGCCGTCTCTGTTCGACCTTGTTGGCAGCCAGAACCGCGCCCAGAAGCTTCTGGCGTACCTTGGCGATATCGCCGTCAATGGAAGCAGCATCAAGGGTCAGGTTGGCGAGCCCAAATTCAAGGGTGACATCATCATCCCTGAGCTCTTTGACGAGAGCGGACATAAGCTCGACGTCACTTTCCCTTCCACCAAGGGCTGGAGGAACGTCATTCTCGAGCAAGGCCCGAAGGGCTTTGCCAAGGCTGTGCGCGACTACAAGGGCTGTCTGCTCATGGACACGACGTGGCGTGACGCCCACCAGTCTCTGCTTGCCACCCGCGTGCGCACAGTCGACCTGCTGAACATTGCGAAAGAGACCAGTCATGCTCTCGGCAACCTCTACGCTCTGGAATGCTGGGGGGGCGCCACTTTTGACGTGGCCATGCGCTTCCTCTACGAGGACCCCTGGGACCGGCTCCGTAAGATGCGCAAGCTGATTCCCAACATCCCCTTCCAGATGTTGCTGCGCGGCGCAAACGGTGTTGCGTACGCCTCTCTTCCCGACAATGCCATCTACCACTTTGTGGACCAGGCCAAGAAGAACGGAGTCGACATCTTCCGTGTCTTCGATGCGCTGAACGACATCAACCAGCTCGAGGTTGGCATCAAGGCCGTGCAGAAGGCTGGTGGTGTTACCGAGGGCACCGTCTGCTACAGCGGTGACATGCTGAACCCCAAGAAGAAGTACAACCTAGAGTACTACATCGACCTTGTTGACAAGCTTGTTGCGCTCGACATTGATGTCCTCGGAATCAAGGACATGGCAGGTGTTCTCAAGCCTCATGCCGCGACAATCCTGATCGGCACAATCCGCAAGAAGTACCCCGACCTTCCTATCCACGTCCACACCCACGATTCGGCCGGTACTGGAGTAGCTTCCATGGTTGCTTGCGCCATGGCTGGCGCTGATGCCGTTGATGCTGCCACCGACAGCTTGTCCGGCATGACATCTCAGCCGAGCATCAACGCCATCCTTGCTTCGCTTGATGGCACGGACAGGCAAACTGGCCTCAACCCGGCACACGTTCGTGCTCTCGACACGTACTGGTCGCAGCTCCGCCTGCTTTACTCGCCGTTCGAGGCCCACCTTGCCGGCCCAGATCCAGAAGTTTATGAGCATGAAATCCCTGGCGGCCAGCTCACAAACATGATGTTCCAGGCCTCGCAGCTTGGCCTCGGCTCCCAGTGGCTTGAGACCAAGAAGGCGTACGAGCAAGCCAACGATCTGCTTGGCGACATCGTCAAGGTTACGCCCACATCCAAGGTCGTCGGCGATCTAGCTCAGTTCATGGTCTCAAACAAGCTCTCGCCCGAAGACGTCAAGGCTCGCGCTGCCGAGCTTGACTTCCCCGGCTCGGTCCTCGAGTTCCTCGAGGGCATGATGGGCCAGCCGTATGGCGGGTTCCCGGAGCCTCTCCGCACGAATGCGCTGCGCGGCCGCCGGAAGCTTGACAAGCGCCCTGGTCTTACCCTCGAGCCCGTCGACTTTGCCGCCATCAGGAAGGAGCTTTCCCGCAAGTTCGGTGGCAGCCCGACAGAGTGCGACGTCGCCAGCTACGTCATGTATCCCAAGGTCTTTGAGGACTACAAGAAGTTCGTCGCTAAGTACGGAGACTTGTCGGTCCTGCCCACAAAGTACTTCTTGTGCAAGCCTGAGATCGGTGAGGAGTTCCACGTCGAGCTGGAGAAGGGCAAGGTGCTTATCTTGAAGCTTCTGGCCGTTGGTCCTCTCTCCGAGAACACGGGCCAGCGCGAGGTGTTCTACGAGATGAACGGCGAGGTCCGGCAGGCTACCGTCGACGACAAGCAGGCGTCGGTCGAGAACGTCAGCCGGCCTAAGGCCGATACAGGAGACTCTAGCCAAGTCGGTGCCCCGATGGCTGGTGTGCTTGTCGAGCTTCGCGTCCACGAGGGCAGCGATGTGAAGAAGGGCGACCCGCTTGCCGTACTGAGCGCCATGAAGATGGTTCGTTTAATTCCCCAATTCCCCGTTGTTCCACCGTGCAGCCACCTTGTGCTGTTGAAGAGGAAATTGCTAATGATATTCAACAGGAAATGGTTATCTCCGCTCCTCACAATGGCGTCGTCGCTTCTCTTATGGTGAGAGAGGGAGACTCAGTAGACGGCTCCGACTTGGTATGCCGCATTGTCAAGCCCGAGAAGAAGTGAACGTCAGCTATTTCCATAGCATGACCCAAGTTTTCTTTCTCGATTTACACTCCCCGTGTTTAGAGGCTTTCCAGTCCTCCACGAGGTAGTATTCCATGACAACAACGGCAAGTCAAGGACGCTGGCAAGCCCCGCTGTGTTCGATTCATGGCAGATTCTTATGTCTCTGGGTGGGTGGAACTTTTTACACGCGCACACACATTTACGTGGTTGCCTTGATGAGTGCCTTCCGCTGTCGGCGCTCTGGGAGAGATACCTGAGAAAAAGAGGGAAAAAACAGCTACACCATTTCCTTAGCCTAGGTAGATACGTCAAGAAGTATTGGCTTATAAGAATGCAAAGCAAGAATCGAGCAACTGTTTGTTAGCTTTTTATCGCGTGGGATTGGGCAGTGTGTTTTGTGAAGCTTGTGCATAACCTTTCAAGCCCTGATCAGAGTAAGAGACAGACCGGGGATCATGAGAGCAGCTCTTTACGAACTCCTATTGCGAACCCTACATGGCTAATTACTTGAGTTCTTGTCTCAAAGGTAATTATCTTGAGTGTAGGAATTACCGATTAATCAGGGTCATGCGGCTTAATCAAGCTCATGCGGCTACAGAGCTGTGATTGATTGGCCAAACATGTAAAACAGTAGGAGTCAGGTCAGCGCACGGGCCACCTACGCCCGACACGTGACCGCGGGGTATCACAAAAGCAGCCCTCTTCCTGTTCCCGTAGTTCGTGATCCTTTTAGGTAGACATAGCAGAATACAACCACCACAACCCCCCCATCCTTTCGCAGTTACTATAGTGACTTGGATGAATGACCTTGTCATTCCAACATTGAGGACTAGCAATCAATGTTACGTACGATGCACCTTAGCCAAGCTGGTAGGTTTAAGCCAAGGGAAAGCTGGGTCTGAGAGCCTCTACAATGCCTCTACAATGTATTTGACCGTCTCCTTGTATTTATAACAGGAATATTTGCCATGACTTGTTCCGCGTCGATTTTGTCTCGAATGAGGCGTGATGTTAACAGGAGAGAACAGAAGGGGACAGGAGAGGACAGGAGTTGGCGAGTTTGGGTCACATGTCTGGGCCACAGAAACCCAGACTGTAAGCGCATGTCGTTTGCCACAGCAAGTCTCTCAACGAGATACCTATCAGTAGAAGGTCGGAAAATAGATTTGGAGCTACCTAGAGCTAATCCTCAGAGGAAATGCAGAGGCTGGCTTAACAACTCATCCACATGCTCCTTTCCACGAGTTCAGTGGAACCTAGATTCTGGGCCCCAGATCATCTCCCCAAAATTATGGACACGGAAACTCGGAAAATAAGTGGTCAAGCAAGCTACTCCGACAACAGCAAGCGAATTAATACAGGTATAGTGACACACAGAAACCTCTTTGACCTGCAGCAATACCATGCAGAATCAAATCCAGCCCTCCGCGTAAAATCCGTGTTTTCATTCCCGTTAACTAAAACTACAGGGGCCAAGACTCCAAACCTTGAAGGGCTCTCCAGGAGCGGCAGGAGCCGCAATCGGATAGAACAATTCGTTTCGCAGGGGGTCAAAGAGGCAAGGGCGCTCAAATACGACTGGGGCAACCTTCTAGAAGCCATAACCAGTCGACTGCGAGGCGAAGCCATTGGTCTGCGCAAAGGGTGCGGGCGACAAGGGCGCTGCAGGCCCGGCAGTGATCATAAGCCTGCCACCGCCGAGAATGGGGGTGTTGTCCTCGACTTTCTCCTGCTCCTTCTCCTTGGCCTTGCGGGCCTCGTTGTCCGCTTTCAGGAGAGCGAGCTCTCGCGTCTGCTGGGAGAGAAGGTTGATAAAGTACGGCATCGTGAAGTCGTCCAATCTGTTGCGCCACATAAGCTCTAGGACGAGGTCGGGGCGGATCAGGTCGTAGCATGCATAGAGAATGCCGACATAGCACTCCCGGTTACCGATATCAACGAACTGCAAGCTTTTAGTTATCATGCGCGGAATGTGAGCGGAGACAGGGAACTTACATATCGGAGAAGCTCTTCTACCACCTCTGTCTTGCCAGACAAGGCCGCCGTCTCGATGGCATCCTTCCAGAGTTTGTCCTGCTTGGACAAGTTGATTGACTTCTCCCAGCGCTTGTTCTTGCGGTAGATGCCGGCAGCGATCTGTCGGAAGAAGACCAAATCGTGCTTCTCGAGGCGACCAGCAAGGTCGACGGGGTCGTAGTTGTCATAGTTCTCCACCGAGTCGCGGAGCGTCTTGTAGTCTTCCTCCTCAATGAGAAGGTCGTTGATCGCGTCGTTGACAGTGCGCTTGTTCTGCGGCTGGACGTTGAGCAGGAAGGGCTTGATGAGTGGTAGATTGTCCGACTTCTGGAACATGCGGACCACCCGGTTGACGTCGATGCGCGGCGTAAGAACTTGGAGGAGATCCGTCAGTAGCGAGGGGTGCTGCTCCAGGTAGAAGTTGATGGCCTTATAGTAGATCTCTAGGTTGGCAACCTTGACGGTGATCTCCTTGAACTGCTGGTGCTCCCAAGAGTTCTCGGGTCGCTCCATGACAGCGAGCACGGCGTTGTCGAACTCATCGTAATGGTAGTAACAGAAGACCAGCTCAGGCCACAAATTGGCTTCCTCACAGGCCCGGATCATCTTTGGCAGGTTCATTCTGCTCCAGAAGAGCTTGAGGTGCTCCATCAATCGCCCAGGGTGGTACTTGGACAGGGCAATGCCAAGCTCGGTGAACATTCCCATGTGTGCGCGCTCCAGACCAAGACCCTGGTCGAGCAAGCTGATCAGCTCGTCAAAGTAGCCGTTGCGCTCGTACTGCTTAACCAGAGCCTGAAGTTGCTCTGCGTCAACGATCAGGTTGAGACCGCAAATTTGGGCAAGGCGGAATTCCTTCCTCTCGACGCAAGCCTCGTGAACTTCCTTCCAGACCTTGATATTGTTGGCCTTACGGGCGCAGTCCACAGCTGCCTGGTGGTCGGCAAGGTGGACCAGTGTCGTAGCAAGCTTGGCCCAGTTGGAAATGTTGGTATAGAAGATCTTGGCTGCCTCAAAGAAGCCCTCAGAGTAAGCCTTGTCTCCCGACTCCTCGATGTTGGCCACGTTGGTTGCTCGCAAGAAATCTTCAAGCTCGGCGAGAAGATCAAGGCGCGCATAGCAGAAGGCAAGAGCTGTGTCGATGGTGGGCTCGCGCAGCGTCTTGCGAGCCATGCGAAGATATTTGATGAGCTCTTCATTTTTGCCTGCGGCCACCGCGATCTCAATGACTTCTTCATAATTCTTCGGGTCCTCGGCCTTGATGTAGGAGTCGATAGAGTCGCTCACACGCAGTCCATCAAGCTGGGCCTTGGCGACCTTGCTCCAAACCTGAGGAAGATCAACCTCTTCAGCATAAGCTTGAGCACGGTCGATGCTAACAACGTGCTCCACGAGGACGTTGACGGCAGCTTCCTTGTTGTCAATCTTCTTGAATACCTCAAAAGCCTCCTCATACAGGCCGACCTCAATGCACACATTGGAGATTTCGTCGGCAGCGAAGTTGCTAAGACGGTGGATATAATCCATGACACGAGCCTTATCAGCCTTGGCGGCGGTGAATATGAGCAGATTCTGGAGATTCTGGTTGTCGCTGAAAGGTGTGGGTTCCAACACAATCTTCTCAAGGAGCTCGATGAGCTCGGCAGGGAGATCGGCGTTCAGGAAACAGTTGACCGCCTCCGAAACATTGGCTGGATCTGTGGACTCGGGCACAGCAGTCGAAATGACTTGGTCAACTACAGACCGGCGATGAAGATTGTTCTCGCTGAGGACAAACATCCAGAGTTCTCGGTCCGCCCGCTCAAGAAGATATCTCGCTTGGGCCTTGTACATTGCGTTTTCGTTGGTGATGTTGACCAGTTCGAGGTCGTTCTGGCCCTTGCGATAGGCGATATAAGCGAGGTTGGGATCCCGCTTCTCGCAGTACTTTCCGACAGTGAGCGTGTCGTACTGGTCATTCTCCTTCAAGAACTTCTCGGGATTGTTGTTCGAGTCAATATAGATTTTAGCCAGAGCATTGTAAACCGCTTGCTGTTGGTTTCCGGCAGCAAGAGTTGCCTCGAGGAAGGGGAGGAGCAGCTTCAAGCGATTGCGAGTCTCAACCTCTTGGACAAGCTCGTCAATCTTGATTGCGGCTGGATTGACTGTCGAGAGGAGGTTCTTGATGACGGTCTCATCGCAATCGACATCGAGCAATCCACCGATGACGCCGGGGGTTCTCAGGGGGTTAACCTGTTGCACATATATCTCGATTGACTTGAACTGCTGGTTCTGGTAGAGGTAGAGCACTAGATCGTGGACAAAACCGAACCGGTCGCACACAACCATCAGGGGAAGCAACTCGGTGAGCTTCGCTTCCTTGAGGAAGTTTTTGACCTTCTCTGGATTGTAGACGTTGTTGTCACGGCAGATACGTTCAACCTCGCGGATCTGTCCCATCTTGGTTGCTGCCTCGACGTACTTGTAGACGACCTCGGGGTCCTCAGTTACGTTCACAATACTTCCAAGGAAGTAAAATAGACCTTCGGCCGTCTTGTACTTCTCAAACAAGTCAATCAAACGCTGAGGCCCAAGGAGCTCGGCGTACTTGGTAGCCACCTGGACGACGGACTGGAGGTTTTGGCGGATGTTCTGCTTCATCATGGCATCGAGGCAGTCAACCGACTGCTCAACGGACAGACGGCCAAAGAACTCAATCAACCAGTCGGGATTGAAGTTGGGTGTTCCGGCAATATTGACAACTACTCGCTTCACGGCTGCGGGGTCCTCGTAGAGCTCCAGGGCCTTCTGCAAGAGTCCGGCCTGCTCGCACAAACTCGCAATGCGGGCCTTATTGAAGTACGAGAACATCTCGTTCCCTAGGATGGCATCTGCAACCTGAGGCGCATTGATGAGGTTCATCTCCAACAGCCGAGTCTGGAGGCGGCCCTGCTCGGGCTTGTTGTCCTTGAGCGCATCGAGTAGGAAGGCGGTCGCTTGTTGGACCATGCCCTGGGACTGGAAGATATCCACAACCCGCTCGAGGTCAACTAGAGACCCGCCCTCGGTGTTGGCTAGTGCTGTCGCAAATTCAGCGCCCTTCTCCGGGTTGAGACGGACGATGTGCTGAAGAAGTTGAATGAAGTCGGGCTTGTAGCTGGTTTCGGCGCAGTATGGGAGAATTTTATCAAACTGGCCTGTCTCGGCAAACCCAGCAACCACTTTATGCGGCACGTTTGCCTTGAGGTAAATGGCCAGGGCCATGGGCAGGTCGTGCGGTCGCACCATATCTCCAAGCTGCTCTGAGCACTCAAGCTTGTTCTCGCCAAGCCATTTTTGCAGCAGCTGCTTGCGATTCTGAGCAAGCACCGGCTGGGCAAGCTCGACCGATTCGTGCTGATTCAGGGTTCCCTTATCGAGCAGGAGACCAAAATATTGGAGAATATGCGACATCTGGCCTGGCTGCTGGGGAAGACGCTTGAATCGCTCGATGGTCTGTGGTGTCCGCAGGAAACCCCGGGGCGAGTTAGCGGCGACCTTTGCAGCCTCTTGATAACTGCCAGTGCTGAAGAGCTGCTCAAACCGCTGCTGGTAGAGGTTGTCGGCACCTGGGAGACCTGCGCGCGAGGCCAACTTTATCGCCAGCTCGTTTCCGTGGCTCTCGAGAACATAGGGGACGATGGTGTTGTCATCGGCACTAACGAAGAGCACCTGACCCTTGCGATTGATGCCGACAACGCCACTCGAATCCTTGTCCCCACACGCCGTAAAGATGGTCTCGCTCGAAATCCGGTTCATGAAAATGCATGTTCCGGTCTCGAGGTCGTACAGGTGGATGAAGCCATACTTGGTGATGAGGTAGATGATCCCGTACTTTTGAGAGACCTGCAGGGCGACAGGGAAATCGTTGGCAGCCTCGGGAGGGAAGAAGACGTCAACAGCCTTCTTCGTGAAGACAGGATTCGTCTCGGCATGATCAACCTCGACGATGTGCAGCTTTGCGCCGGCAGCCGAGCGGACCGCGAAGGTGAAAAGCTTGGTGTCTTCGGGGGCGCCGTCTAACCGGATCGTGCCAAAGGCGGCCGCGTGGCCTTCGATTGCCTGGCTGATACCGCGGTCTCTCGAGTATAATTGCATCGCTCCAACGACGCGGCCTTGGTGCTGGGAGATGCCTACTACTACCATCCACTTCCCATCGGCGCTAGTCCGGTAGTTGATTATCTGGTTGGCCTACGAAGCTGTCAGACACGTCACACACTTGCGCCAAGCATTTGAGAACATACCTGAATGTTTGCGTTGCGATCAAAGACCTTGACCGGCGCGGCTTGGGTAGGCTCGAAGACATCCCAGTGGTAGATGGAGCTCTCCGTGACCAATCCCAGAGTGGTTTCGCTGATCCACTTCCAGAATGACACGTCCTCGCTCATTGTCGTCGACTTCAACTTTTGCTTCTGCTCGAGATCGAAGATTTGTAGGGTCCGCAATTGAGCTTTGAGGGCGATAACTTGACGCGTCCAATGCATTATGGCACTGTCGGCCTTGATGGGCCGGCGGATCACATTGTTGCCATTCTTGAGGTCGATGATGAGAACCTCGGCAGGGGCGGCTTCATCCTTCTTGTCTCGAATGCAGATGTAGGAATCTGACTCTAGGGTCTGTCACACGGTTATATCGGGTTAGCAGAGCGATCGGCGGAAGGCAGGTTTGGAAAGGAGGCAGACGCACGCAAGAGTTGAAAGTGATGGCAGGCTGGTTGACGCCCAGGCTGCTGAGCTGGAGCAGCTCCTGGAACTTGATGGGCAATATATTCGCCATGATGATCCTGATGCGCTGGACTGCGCGCGATCAACGAAGGGTAGCAGCCAACTTGTCAAAAGTTGCTGGAGGGTGGGTGGAGGCAGAAGCTCCAAACGTGACGTGCAAGAGTGGAAATTGGACTGAAATCGGGGGCGCAAAGGAAGGGTCGGGTATTAGTAGAACCGGCAGCCGCAAGAGCCGCTCAATTAGAAAGAAGTTCCCGAAGAGAGCACCGCGGTTTCCTCTGTGCGATGAATGTGAGGAAAGCTCGTTGCAGAAATGCAGATGGAAAGAGAGTTTGGGGACGCAGTAATGTTGTTTGCAGGAGCTTGCTTGCGTGAGGTGCTTGCTGCGGGTTTACTTTTTTTTGAGTGATGTGTTAAGACTGGCGGGTGTCATCTCGGGCGCGCGACGCTTGATCCTTTCCTTCGCATTCATTCTTGCTAGGCGCAGGGGGCAGCGTCAGCTGCGCTAGCAGGGGCTACGAATTCGGCAACGTATTGAGGGCGTGCACTTTGAACTTTGGGGACCCGTGCCACATGGCTGCCACTGTTTGGCAACTGGCCGCCTCGAGCGCGCTTCTTATCGATAAGGCCGAGAGTGGGAAAAAGATCCCCAAGCCAAAAAAAGTAGTTGCGAAATATCCTGCGGGTAGGCAGTCTAGTCGGCCACACCGAACATTTCCCAGACCAAAAGCGGCCAGCCACCTACCTTGCTATCAAAATGGGTGTCGGCCGTCGCATGCAAAAACAGGGTCCTCCCGAACCTCTGTCGGAAGCACATTATGCCAACCTGAAGCGGAAAAAGGGCATTCCCGTCGAAGACGCTCCGGCTGAATTTCCGTCGAGCAAGAAGCCGAGGCGGGGGAGCCAGGCGGCGATCAAGGCGAACAAGGCCAGAGCCGAGGCGTCAAAACCGACCTCCAAGCAAGCCAAAGGCGCAAATCGGGAACCGATTGCCCTGAAAGATGGCAAGAAGACGGCGGGCTCAAAGTCTAAGAAGGCGCCGGCGCCTGCGCCCGGGTCCGGCTCAGACGTGGAGATGGACGACGAGTTTGGCGCATCTGACCTAGATCAAGCAATTGGAAGCGGAGATGAGATGGACGTTGCAAAAGCCGGAGATAAATTCTTCGCCTCAGATGACTCGGTGTACGACTCGGACCAGGATGCGGCAAAGAAGGAAACATTTTTCTTCTCTGACGACGAGGACGAGGACGACGAAGACCGAGAAGAGAAGCTGACGGCCGCCAATATCGAAGGCCTCTCGAAGAAACTCGACGACAAGCTCGCAGAAGAGGCAGCAGACAACGAGGCCGAACTGCGCGACGGCGCCCTTCAGACCAACATTGACGGCGACAAGCCCAATGTCCTAGGTGATGACGACGACGACGAGCTTTCGTCCAAGACCAAAAATCTGCTAGCGCCAGACCTACAGATGCTGCGGATCAGGATAACGGAAGCAATCCGGGTGCTTGAAGACTTCTCGAATCTCGCGGAGGAGGGTCAGAGTCGGGCCGAGTACACCAGCCAGTTACTGAACGACGTCTGCGCCTGTGCGTCTTTGAAACCCCAATTCTCTTCATTATCTTCTGGCTGGACCGGAAGCGACGGCAGTCGAATTTCCGCCATCTTGGCTCGATATTTTTGAGAAGGTGCTGACTCTGGGACTCACAGACTACGGCTACAATGAGTTCTTGGCAGAGAAGCTTATGTGTGTTTTGACCCCTGCGATCACTGCCTTTCTTTTTTGCTGACTCTGGGCAGGAATCTATTCCCAGTAAGGGAGGCGTTTGCATTCTTTGAAGCCAACGAGGTACGTACTATAACCCGAAGGAACGAGGGGCACACCCTCCCAAGAGTCCTGCCGTAGATTTTGCTTTTGCATCAGCAGCTAACCCCGAGCCAGAGCGCCCGTCCAGTCGTCATTCGAACGAACACGCTGAGGACACATCGTCGTGATCTTGCGCAATCTCTCAGTGAATATTCCTTCTGCGTCTTCGTCACAGTGGCGGCAAGCTAATGCGTCTCTTCAAGTCAACCGTGGTGTCACGTTGGAGCCAGTTGGCAAGTGGTCAAAAGTTGGTCTCCAAGTCTTCGATTCCAAGTATGTATTACCTTAACGGCCATCGCGTATGATCACAATACTCGATTCACTTTGTCTGAGACTCGACCCGGAAATCCCCCTTCCCCTTATTTCATCCCGTGTACGCGAGAGATTCTAACGTAATTTCCAGTGTACCGTTGGGAGCGACGCCCGAGTATCTAGCGGGCCATTACATTTTGCAAGCGGCTTCGTCTTTCTTGCCCGTCATGGCATTGTGCCCCCAGGAGAATGAGCGTGTTCTTGATGTAATTACCCCTTCCCGCAGTTTGTGCTTCGATGCTGACAATGGCCGTGAAAAGATGGCAGCTGCTCCCGGAGGCAAGACAACGCACATGGCCGCTCTGATGAAGAACACCGGTGTTATCTTTGCCAACGATCCGAGCAAATCTCGTTCCAAGGGTCTAATAGGCAACATTCACCGACTCGGCGCAAGGGTAAGAAGCCCCCAGATATCATTTCTTCTCTATACGGATTATAGAATTGACACGCTGTCACAGAATACGATTGTTTGCAACCACGATGCGCGGGAATTTCCCAGGGTAATGGGAGGGTTTGACAGAGTTCTTCTTGATGCTCCGTGCTCAGGAACCGGAGTTATCGCCAAAGACCCCTCTGTCAAGACCAACAGGGACGAGAAGGATTTCCAAGTGCTACCGCATACGCAGAAGCAGCTGCTTTTGGCGGCCATCGACTCTGTAAACCACGCCAGTAAGACTGGCGGCTATCTTGTCTACTCGACATGTAGTGTGGCAGTCGAGGAGAAGTAAGTTTGACTTCCATTTCTGCGCTTTTCGGCGTTCCCCGTTTTGTTTTTGGATTGCCTGGCCTGGCAAGAATATTCTCTTACTCTTTTGGTAGTGAGCAAGTTGTCGCGTACGCACTCAGCAGGCGGCCCAATGTCAAGCTCGTCGAGGTATGTAGGATCCAAAAAGAGCAAACCCAGAAACCACCCCAATCAAGGCACTCGGATTGCTTGGAAGAAGATGCTAACTCGATACCTCTAGACTGGCCTTCCTTTTGGCAAGGAAGGATTCACTAGCTTTATGGGCAAAGAATTCCCCCCCAGTCTTAAAATGACCCGCAGGTTTTACCCCCACCTGTACAATGTCGACGGATTCTTCGTTGCCAAGTTCCAAAAGACGGGCCCTACGCCCCCTAATGCTGTCATGGCCAGCAAGGACAAGAACAACAACGCCAAGCCCCGCAGCTCTACTGCCACTGACGAGAACAGCGTCGTGGATAAGACGCCCATCACTGAAGAGGGAGACAACGACGAGGATGGGTTTGCCGAGTTTGATGATGAGGAGGATAAGGATTACATGGTTCGCGCCAAGCGCAATGCCATGCGGAGGAGAGGACTGGATCCCAAGGCTCTAAACAAAAAGGCGCCTACAAATGGGAAGGAGTCCGAGAAAAAGGCGAAGGCAGTAGAGGAAAAGGGGAAGGAAGCAGAGAAAAAGGTGTAGGGACAGATGAGCAATTCTGATCTAGGTATCCGGCCATAATAGATGTAGATTGGTGTAAAATCTTCACGTCATCTGCCTATTGCACTTACGCTTGCTTGAAATGATGGGAACACAATACTTGACGTTTGAGGTGACCATGCAATTGCTCTGGTGTGTAAAGAGAACTTGACGATGTTATCGTCTAAGGCTCTGTAGGATACCTTGTGTCGCAATTTTCAGCATTGATGTATCCACCAGCAACCAGCAGACACTCTGATACAACAGGCTGGTAGGCCCCGGATTTATTGACAATTTCAATCAGGGGCGGCAAAGAATTCTCGGGTTTCCTTCAAGCCTTGGCCAGTGTCTTACGACGTGCGCGATTGCCGACCACGGAATCCGCCGCACAAACGACTCGGTTTTACAGTTTTGCTCCTTAACCTACGCCTTGCCGCATCCTAAGGGCGACATAGCAAGCGACAAATACAACAAGAAAAGCATTACGGGAATGAAAAAGGTGCATCAATTAGTTAAACTAGCAGCAGGCAAGCAAAGCGGTGAGGGTTTGTACGTGCAATCATTGCGGTCCATCCCATTGAGGAAAAAGGGAAGCACCGCACCCAAGATTGTTCGCTGGTAGTTTTTCTCCATTCTGTTCGAAAAACTTTCGATCGGGTCGTGGGCCCAGCTCAAGGTGCAAGCACCAAGGGGACCTCACCATCGAAAAACAAAGAGTTCCGAGAATGTGGTTTATTGCGTTGTTCATGATAAAGGAAAAAGAGAAAGAGAAACAGAAGGGGCGGACGCTTGCGGCATGCTTTATCCCCAACGGGCGGGATCAAATTTTTCGGGGCGCCACAGTGTGGCTCCACTTTGGCAATAATTTAGCGTGTGTGTGTGTGGCGCTTTGTGTTTCGTCCAGATCCGATGACGCCGGACGTGGGGTACAAAGCCACAGTTCTTTCTGCCACTTCCATGCTTAGGTTAGTCCGAGTCGGCACGTGGGGCCAAGCTAGCAAGAAAGCAACTACAGGAGTCAATCGCCGAAGAGATAAGTAGCGCTTTTGCCCATTGAAGGCCCCATACGGAATACCCTCCGACGCTTTTCTAAGTGGACGTGTCGCTGCGAGAGCCCCAAACATGAACGTTACGCAAACACTCCCGAGATTCCTGCTGCCGCGGCTGAGCTGGACTGGCCCGCGGTCCCCGGCGACAGCAGCCACAGCAGCCACAGCAGCCGCCAGCTTAAGCTTACCCCGGACGACAAGCGCCTTCTTCCCACCGGCATCTGCGGACCAGCGAGGCGGGTGGCAGGCTGCGGGACGACCGCTACACACAAGCGCACGATGCGGCGGCCCTGACCCTAGCCGGCGCTCCGACGACAGCCGGCAGGCCCGCAGCTTGGGCGCCCTCGCCCGCAGCCCTCCCCTCCGGCGCGCGTTCCACGGTTCCGCGGCGCAACGGCGAGACCACCACTTCGACACGCTCAAGTTCGTCCAGCGCCTGGAAGAGGATGGGTTCACAGAAGAGCAGTCGGTGGCTATGATGAAGGTGCTCAACGACGTGATCGAGGAGAGGTAGGCTGCTCTACCTCCTTTCCTTGTTCGTCCTCAAACTGACCGACTGTTGCCCGCTTCAGCATCCAAAACCTGACCCGGACCATGGTGCTGCGCGAGGACGCGGCCAAGGCGACATACACGCAAAAGGTGGACTTCGCCAAGCTGCGCAGCGAGCTGCTGTCGGCTGACAGCACCGAGGGCAACACGACGCGGGCGGCGCACGAGCGGCTGACCAACGAGATCGCCAAGCTCAACACGAAGCTGCGCGACGAGATCGGCCGCACCCAGGCCAGCGTCCGCCTCGACCTCAACCTCGAAAAGGGCCGCATCCGCGAGGAGGCCGTCTCGCAAGAGCTCAAGATCAAGGAGACCGAGACAAAGATCGAGCAGGAGGTCGCCGCCCTACGCCAGCAGCTCGAGCAGGTCAAGTTCCAGACCCTGCAGTGGCTCATGGGCGTCTGCACCGGCTTTGCCGCTCTGCTGCTGGGTTTCTGGCGCCTGCTAATGTGACGAGGCGGGCGTGTTTATATTTTGCCTTTTTTTTGGGCCAGTTCTAGCGTAGTTGAGCCATGCACAGCGAATTTCATTTGTTACGAATACTAGGTCTTCGGGCCAGCCCACTGCCCAACCCGGCCAGGTTACAGGTTTCGTGTAAAGTCTGCTTTGTGCACACTCGATCTCTCAAACCAAGAGTTTCGGATTTCTACCAGCGTGATCCCTAGTCGTCTCTGCGGTTGTCACACATGCATATATTCGTATGGGTGGTGTCTCGGGAGTATGTATTTATAGTTGCCACGGTCATCCACTCCACACAAGGAGAAGATTCAAGGAGGAGGGGGAAGCAACCAACTACCTAGGTACACACGTGGCTCTCAAGCAACAAACACAGCAACACAGCGAGAGTAGCGCGTCATCCCCTCGATAGTCTTTGATGTCTTTACAACAAGAGCACAAAGACTGAATCTCAGGCTGCCTTTCTTTATGTATCTGTTCTTGTCAGACGAGCAAGCACCGCGATGGTAAACGCGCGCGGCTCTCCGTCAAGGCAGCTGAATTCTTCCTGTAGGGATTGGGAATGAGAGTCCCGTATACCACACCAAATTACATCACAAGTCACGCCAGCAAAGCAAGACAATCTCAAGTAGAGTCATCCTGCTCCCAACCAATTTGCAATATATATTTGTTTCTTGCAAAGAAGAGAGAAAGAAACCACACATGGTATAGACACGGGTAAAATCCCTGAAAACTGGTCATAACTGTAGACAAAGTCCCCATCTCGCTTTCATGACCGCCAGCCGCCACCAGAAAAACACAATGCTTCCCTGATGAGACGGGGCCTGTTTATGTGTGGTAAATAAAAAGCGTAGCCACCAGAAAGGAAACTCCCAAAGTAGCGCTCAGTGGGTATCAACTGCAGACAGCCAGCTAGAAAATGTCGTGCTTGTCTCGAATGTCTGCCCGGCCCGCCCCGGTCAAACGAATACCTTCGTCTCTATCTGTACCAGTGACACGGGAGAGACAAGACATAATATCTGAAGGGGAGCTGGAGAAGTAAAGAAGGGGGGGGGGGGCGCGAGATGGGGGGGCGTTAATATTTTTTTCATGCCCTGCCCACGAAGCGGGCAAAAAAATGTCGGAAAAGATGAAGAAATAAAAATGGCATGTGCTTGCGACGGTATTTTCCCCCAAGCAATGCATCCGTCTAATCATGACTTTTGTGTGCCCGGAAAAAAGAATGCGCATGCCACATGAGTAGAAGTGAAAAAGTTGGAAGAAGAGAAAATCCAAATGCTACCACCACCCGTTATTACTGCTCAACCTCTTTCACATAAAGCCGTAACGTCGCCATCCCACGGCATCACCTCCGAGACTCCAGTGCGAAGACGCGGAGAGATGCCCAAGACATTAGGCGTCTGTGGTAAGAGGTTAAACGAGTGTCCTAAGAGGGCTTGAGGGGAAGAAAGAGGCTCACCTATTCGGCGCTGGCGGCATCCAGAATGCTGCGGGCAGCATTGTAGATGGCGTGGAGGTCGCGCTGGGCCATGGCGCAGGCGCCGCCTGGGGCGTTGCACGAGGCCATGGCCTCGGCCTCGCGCTTCCAGCAGGGCTGGCCCTTGAAGGTGTTGCACCAGGGGTCGGCCTCGCGCTTGACGCGGGCCTGGGGGTCGAAGGGGGTGTGGCGGGGGTCGTGGGCAGCGGAGCTCTCGATGGCGCTGACGACGGCCTCGGCCGCGCGCTTGGCCTTGAAGCACGACTGCCCGTCCGACAGGCAGCGCGCCTTGACCTCGGCCGGGTACTCGGGGTCCGACGGCGCGCGCTTGGCCTTCCAGCACGGCTGCCCCTTGAACGTGTCGCACCAGGGCTCGGCCTCGCGCTTGGCCTTCCAGCACGGCTGTCCCTTGAAGGTGTTGCACCACGGGCCGGGCTCGGCCTCGCGCTTGGCCTTCCAGCACGGCTGGCCCTTGAAGGTGTTGCACCACGGATCGGCCTCGGGCTCGCGCTTGGTCTTGTCGTCAAGCTCGAAGCGCTTGTCGAGTGCGAGCGACTCGTAGTAGGCCTTGGCGTCCTCGAGGCTGGTGGCGATGATCACGCCCAGCTCGTCAGTCTGGCGCTTGGCCATGTTGGCAACGTCGGACTCGTCGCGCGCGAACTTGGTGTCGGACTGGATGGCGTCGGCGAAAGCCTCGGCGGCGCGCTTGACGGTCCAGCATGCCTGGCCGGGGGTGGAGCACCACCGCTTGTCCTCCTGGACAGCGGCCGCGTCGACCGCGGCCGCAATGGTAAAGAGGGTGCCGGGAATAGAGAACTTCATGGTGACGAAGGCTCGAAAAGGATTGTTGGTGAGTTGGTTGGTTGGTCTTGTTGTCTGGACCTGTGGGGTCTCTTGGTGTTTGATGGAAGGAAGGTAAAGTTGGTATGACCCAAAGTTTGGCCTGAGTTGTTGTGTTCTTGGGTAGAGAGGGAAAAGGGTGGAACAAAACGAGCGATGGCATCCGCGGGGGATGGAGCCCTTTTATAGACGAGTGAAGAGTGCCCAGAGCCCTCACCATGGAGTCTATTGTCCTGCGAGATGAATTGGTTGCCCAAGTAGTCTAGGCGCCGCGGCATCTGAAAGGGCGTCTAGGTCACGCTGGCAAAGCGTAGGACGAAGTCCCTGCTGACTTGAAAGAACCATATTGTCGACAGGGGTCGAGGCTCGAGGACGGGTCAATGGAACCGTAACTATTCAGACCCCGAATCGAAAACCGGCGTCTTTCATGCGCGCAGAGGTCCCTATTTCCCCTGGACAAAGCGTCTGAGGAGGGTTGATAGGGGTTGGTCAGTAGGTCCATGGCCCAGATCCGCCCAGAAGGGCCCGAGGGCCACAGGGGCAGTCTGGACGAATCTGGGCAGGACCCCGGCCGCCTCAATAGAACATGGCCGCTGTCTTTCTCCGTTTTCAGGGGCGCTGTTGTTGAAAAGTGGGGCCGTGTGTGTTCTATTGATTTGTTTATTCAGACCCCCTTTTAGAAAGGCGTTTCATGATCAAAGGAGCACTCGAACCACCTTGAATTTCAATTGGACAGCCCGCAGACGGGAAAAGTGGAGTAACAATAGAGCACAGGAGAAGACCGGATGAAAAGTTGCGGCCGCTTTTGGTGGCAGGGTCCCTACAACCCGAAGCGTTTGGGGGAGAGAAATTAGGCGGGAAAGCACTTGCCGTGCTGCTGTGCTTTCGTGAGTGTGACTCGGGGGAGGAGCAGGTGGTGGCCCCTGCCGTCAATTTTCGAGCCGACCGAGGAAGGAAGTAACCACATCGTATGCTTGAACAAATATCCCTCAAAAAGTATTATCGAGTCTTGTGTTTTTCAAGGTTTACCTCGGCTATTATTCTCTCGCACAATCTCATCTCTTTTAATCTATACAGTAGACTTGGATGAAGGGAAACGGGTGTTCACAGTCTACCATCACAGTTTGTTGTTCTCAAAAACTCAATGTTCAGGTGGAATACTTTTTTATTTTTATTTTTATTCATTACAGTATATATCCGCGGTGACTGAATCCAAAAAAGGTTGTCTTTTTATCAAGTCATATAGTCAGGCGTTGCCAAGCCAGTTTCTCTACTTGCCCAGTTCCGGGTAATTAACTTCTGACGCCCTATGCGAGAAAAGACAGGCTAGTAGAAGGACTTGTACAGTCGGCTTGACGCATTTCTAGTATCGCCGTTCTCATCGTCGTATCCTGAAGCTCCTTCCGAGCCTTGTTCCTGCTCCTCCTCTCCGTATGGAGGTGCATTGAGAAACTCGTCCAGGTTGTCCAGGGTTATTATGGCGCTCCGTCTAGGTCTAGACCTAGCGCGTTGTCCGCCGCCACGTCTCTTATCGTTCTGAGTTTCATCAGTCATCTCAGCCTCAGGTGCTTTCGCCTGTGACGCCACCGGACTTCTCGCAGGCTCGCTTCTTTTGCTCGAATCCGTAGCGAGCAGCTGGTATCCCGTGTTCCTCCTCTTGACTGGTGACCCCATCAGCGCCTCCGGCACAAGAAACTCATCATCTGGGCAGGGGTGGTTAGAGGGACGGGATCTGCCCACCTCCCACAGTACAACTTCCGGCGCTGTCGCCGTTGCGGGATGGAGGACCCTCCCAGAGGGATGGTTTCCGGCCGATGAGACTGCGGTTGTGCTGCGATTCCGAGGCCGCATTGAACTTTCCGTCCCCCGAACAGAGGCGAGTCGTGTCACGCTTCTCACGCTGAACTGCGGCTGCTTCTCACTGGAAAACGCCTCGGAAAGCGCCTCGGCCATCCTACGACGAAAGCTTCGCTTGGAGTAGCCGCTGTTTTCACTGGGGGCAGCCATGCTTACTGTTTCTTGGTCGCTAAGAACAATCCCTGGTTATCCCTGGTCTTGTAACTTGGGTTAGATGGCGACTGAGGCGAGGCATTCAGTTAGTCTCGTGTCTGTCATTTGTTGACATTTGCGGGAACGTCTTTATAACCACGGCCTTGTCTCTTCTATTCATTGCTACATAGCTCATCTAGCTTCTGTTAGGATAGCAGCCTGGTTCGAGAACAATTCCATTCATTTGTTCAGTTCAATCAGAGATCGTGGTATGTCTTGAGGTGTTACCATTTCTGCCTTTGTTTGCCCCTTTGTTCAATTGTTGTCTCTTAACGTGAGCACAGCTCTGTTTCCAGGTAGGGCTGAAATCAAAATTATGTCGCTACTCTACAGGACACAGACTGTTTCTGCCACGAGTTTCTGTGAATGAGGCTGGAATCTGTTTTAGCTACATTCCAGCCCCCTGTTTTTATGTATTGCAACCCGTTCTCTACCTTACCTCCGGCCGGACACCGACGGACCCACGAGCTACCCCTACCTTAGTGCCAAGCCTTTTTAACTGCTACCGTTTGTGTCGACGTGACTGCAGGTCTCCCTTACCCATTTCTTAGTAAAATAACGTCATTCATAGGCACTACGGTTTCTTACTAAGGGCTTCCCACAATTATCCCAAGGGCCACCTCCCATCCCAAGTTCCCTTGCTCGGAGTTATTGCCGTCAGCGCCGTTCCGCGCACTATTCGAGAACCGAGTCACGCTAACCCAGCAAGCAGCCAAGTGCATCGAAGCTGATTATAATAGAATTGGGTTGGCAGCGGTCCGATCCGGCGATTCCGGGAAGTAGAAAAAAAGCCTTTTTTCTTTCCTTTAATTCCACATTAATATAAGGAACCATCCCTGCCTTCCGGTTCTGGCAGCCCCGGATCCTCTCTGACCAGTGACCGCCAAAATTCACACTAGCGGCTCTCTCATGTCCTTCTTCCTGCCTGCGCAAAGCGAATTTGAGCGAGGATCAGTAGCCCTTATTCCCGGCCGGTCGCGGTTTCCTCCTGCAAGTGCAGGCGCAAGCATTTCTCCGTATTAATTATAGGCTAAAATTATCATTCAAGCCCAACGAAGCGGCAACGGTCCGCAGACAAGCTGGAACTGGAACGCACACTGCTAAAAATGAGTCATGGTGACTAGGCCGGCATGCCATTCCTTCCTCCTACTATTGCCGTCAGACCATCGGCTCGTGACAAGGAGGCTTTTTTTTCCCGATCTGCCGCCGCCATTTCCATCCGGACCTTCCGGATCGGCTCTGGGGGTGACCCTATTCGGGATTCCTACCTCAGGGCTCAGGCTATCGCTGCACGGCCATGCTGTCCCATTTGTTATGACCTCTTGTGACCTGGTCACTGGTAAGGTACTCCGTAGTCGGTGTTGTTACTGGTGCTTCCCATTGAGGGCAGACAGGCCACTCTATCCCAGCCAGTCCGCCTTTTGCGCTGACAAATGTTGGGATTGGGTCAGCGGGTTGTGTGTTTTTGGTGCCGCCCTCGACGGATTTCTTTATCTCGAGCCCGGCCGGCGCCACAAACAAACACGCAGGTTCCGTGCCATGCTCACCTTACACGCGCCCACACGCAGTCATCCACCACCCTTTTTTGTGCTACACTACACTACCTTACTTAGCTGCTGCCGCATGCGATCATTTAGCTAAACTGCCAAACAATAATAGTCACGTTATAGTGATCCGTTTCCAGTCCTGCCCTGATCATTTTCTTCTCCCTGCCAAACTCTAATTAATCATTCGCAACAAGAAAAAAAGTCTCGGGCAGCCAGCTATCCATGTCTGCGGCAATCATGGTGCGTCCTACACAAGAACCAGTAGCATTTGAACAGCAACAGCAGCAGCAGCAGCAGCAGCAGCAGCAGCAGACGCCGCAGCGGACATCAGAGGCGTCCGATAGCGACGGTGTCGTCGACGAGAAGCACAATGCACTGCTACCGCCCACCGCAGCAGCAACCCAGAAGAAGAGGAAAAATGGCGGGGGACTGGATCTCGACCAGGCCGACAAGGCGTCGCTGTCGAACCGGCTCAAAACGTTCCGCAAGTCGTTCAAATACCTGTACAATTTGACGCCGCAGCAGGTCGACGACTTCATGGCTTCGTACGTAATCTACAACCTGGACTGGGCCGACGAGGCCCAGATGGTGGCCGAGCTGGGCCCAAACTACCGCGAGAAGGTCGGCGAGTGCCTCAAGTCCTACTACAGCATCATGAACCACCTGTGCGCGCTGGGCGACGTCGAGAAGATGTACATTCCGCCCTTCATGGACAAGAACGCCTCCGTCATCGAGAATCAGCTGCTGTACGAGAAGGCCATTGCCCGCGAGATTGGCCTCGACACGCTCGGCCTCCGCGTGCTCGACATTGGCTGCGGTCGCGGCCGCGTCGCCGCTCACATGGCCACGGCGACGGGTGCTCTGGTCACGGGTCTCAACATCGACCCCAACCAGGTTGCGCAGGCGCGCGAGTTCAGCGTCGAGCGCAGCCTGCGCAACGAGTTCATAGTGCGCGACTTTAACGACCTGCCACTGCCCTTTGCGGACGCCTCATTCGACGCCTTCTACCAGATCCAGGCGCTGTCGCTGTGCAAGGACCTAGGCGGGCTGTTTCGCGAGATCCACCGTGTCGTGCGCCCCGGTGCCAAGATCTCGCTGCTCGACTGGGCAAGTCTGCCCGCCTACGACGCGAGCAACCCCGAGCACGTGGCGCTGATGCGGCGCGTCAAGCCGCTCATCGGGGCCGTCGGCACGCCGACGCCGCGCAGCCTCGAGAAGGCGCTTGAAGACGCCGGCTTCGTTGTGTTGCGATCTGAGAACGCCAGCCAAGGCGACCTGCAGACGCCCCTCATCGAGCGCGTCGACGTCTATTTCCGCGCCATGCGCCAGATCATCCTCGGCCTCGTCAAGCTGCGCTGTCTGCCCGCGCACTTCAAGACGCTGATAAATCGCCTGTGTCTTGATGGCGAGGCGTTCGTCAAGATGGACACGATGCGGCTGATCACGACGAGCTACTGGATTGTGGCCGAGAAGCCGCAATGAGCATGTTCTTAATGTTTGCGCTTTGGTTTGCTCTGAGGGAAGCAGGGAGCATGGTCGGAGGGCAGAGGCGCGGTGTCACCCTCTTTTCTTGCTCTCCCTTTTCTCTTCCCCCGCATCTCGGCCTTTTCATGCATGTAACCGGCCCGGCTCGTATGAATTCTAGATGGCAGCATTTTCGGAGCATGCTTTTTTCTTTTAATACAAAATAATTCGTTTGCCGTTTGATTCGCTGCCTACGGTGTGTACCGGCGATTTGTAGTTGCTTTTGTTTGTGGTGTGACAGGCCATAGCACAACAGGCTGTGTAAGCCAAGCGACGGAAAGGGGCTGATATTCAGGGGTCGGGAAAGGGTAGGTTGACGTCTAATAGATAAGTCAGCAGTATTGTCCGACGTCGTACAGCTGCTTGGCTGATAACTACACTCCCCGTCTATCTGCCAAGGTAAATATTGCCGAGAGAATGTGGCATCGGGCGGGACTCCGCCAAAAGGTGTCTCGCTATTTCCGGCGCTGGTCTTCCAATTCAATAACAAACAGAGGGTGTTTCATGTCCTCTGGATCAAAGCTAGGAGAGTAAGGACATCTCACTAATTTAAGATAATGGATGAATGAGTGAGACGTTGTGTGAGTAGAACGGCTTGATGAAGTGCATGATTTTCGACTCTCCAATGCAGACGGGGGTAGTATAGCTACCTTAGGTACGTAATAAATTCCCTGTCAAAATAATTATCTCACAGGAGCAGCTGTCTAACAGGAGTCTATTCAATGTCTAGCTGAAGTAGTTGTTTTTGAAGAAGCAGCCACGGCAGACGTGACGTTGAATTTGGCACTGGGGGGACTTGGCAGTGGCGGGCTCGGGCTTTTTGCTTTAAAGTCCGACCCGTTACAAAAGTATGACTTCTATCATTCTGATAGGTGGCTCGCTCAGCGTTGTGTTCACTCAGTAATAATAATGCTTACGTTATGCAACGTATGAACGTAGTATACATAACGGCTGCGGAAATAACTAGTTCTACACAATGGCCGAGGGTTGGGAGCAGGTAATTATATAGAGAGTAATATATTCCAACCAGCTTAGATAGCTACCCAAGTAAATAGCTAGAAACTGGGCTTTGGAATGACCATTGTTCTCCTTCTAAAATAAAACAGAACCAAATAAAAAAGACAACGCGCAACCCCCCCCCCCCCCCCCCCCCCCGGGCACACACACTTTCTCTGTCTCTCTCTCTCTTTTTCTTTCTTCTCCCCCCTCCTAGCCAATTTTTTTTTTTTTTTACATATTTTTTAATACAAAAAAGAAAACAATAGTATGAAATTGCATCAGGAGCCAAAACAAACCAAAAACAATATCTCTCCAACATTCCCTCTCGTGTTGTACAAATCGTAATACAATGCCAACTCGTCAGTCTCAACTGGAATAAAGACAAGGCAAAAAAAGAAAGAAGCAAAAAAAGGAGCGCAGAGAGTAAAAGAAAAACACGCCCTTACTCATCATCATCATCATCAATATCATCATTATTAACATCATTATCATCATCAACATCAACATCAACATCAACATCATTAAAATTATCATTATTAATATTAACATCACCATCATCATTATTAATATCATCATCAACATCATCAGCATCAGCAACCCCCACCCTCATCCATATTCTCATCCTCCTCTCCCCCCCTCTCCACCCGCACCAGCCAGCACCCCCTCGCCCTCCCTCTTAACCTTCCTCCTGCCCTTGGCCCCCTCATCCTCCTCATCGCGGCACGCCTCGCGCAGGAACACGCACCGCGCACAGGCGCCGCCGGGGCCGCCGGCGGCGCGCGGCAGATCGTCGCCCGTCACCGGTGTTGCTGCTGTAGCTGTCGGCGCTGTTGCTGCTACTACTGATGGTGGTGGTGGTGTTACTACCGGTGTTGCTGCTGCAGCTGTCGGCGCTGCTACTGCTACTACTGATGGTGGTGTTGTTACCACCGGTGCTAGTGCTGCTGCTGCTTGGGGTACTGCTGAGATACCGGGATATCAGTGATAAGTTACCCACGCAGAAGGGCACGTGTACTCCGTCTCAGGTTTCTTCTTTTCCTGCCGTTGCCCTATCTAGTAGCAAGGAAATGGATGACTTACCAGCAAAGAAGGCGCGCACAGCGCCGGGATTGTTGTGCCCGTCGAGCTTCATAAACACGAGGATGTTCGCAGCTATCATCATTGTCCTAATTTCCTCGTGTGAGCTCTTGTGAGAGGACTAGATGAACGGCATGACTATGCTTAGGATAGGGAAGGCTGGTGGTGAGTGGGCATGGGATCGGGTGTGTATCTTTGCAGGGGTGAAGATGTAGGTGGGCACTGCTGGGAAACAAGAGATCACGTACTTATCAGACGTGATCCCCGACGCAGAGGCGAGGAGCGGAGTGACGGGCATGGCCGCAGAGAAGCTGAACGCAGTTGGTGGTGGCATTCGTGTCAAAATTTCCGTCCTTGACCACTGCTGTTGACTGCGTGTGCTATATCTGGGGAATAAAAAGGCCCCGGGGCTGGGCAGACTGCCAGATATTTTATACCCAGCGGTCTGTCTGCTTTCTCCGATATGAAGGTTCCCAGTTTGGGCAGCACCTAGCCATCGGAGATGGGTAGGTTTTTGTAAGTGGGTTTCAAGGTGTGCCATCGGATATGGGTGGGTTTCTGTAGAGGTGTGCCTTCAGGTTAATAAACTCGGCCATATGTTTTTTGGCTGTGGTTTATTGAAATTATGATGGCTCTGGCTACACTGTCTAGGGGTTTATTTCAAAGCTAGTATGGTTAGCCAACCCGAAAATGGTCTCTCTGTTTGTGAAATCCAGAGCGGGTGGGATATTGCGCAATGTGCCTCAAAACCGAATATCTCGAATTTCTCCACTCCCCCGAGGCAAGAACTCCCAATCGAGGCATCTGGTAAGCGCCGACCTAGTCTCAAGAACAAAATCTCGTCTTCCTAGGCCTCCGAACTTCTCAGTTGCCTCCTAGGCCGTTCAGGAATATTACGCTTGTTAATATAGAGATTCTGATAAGGCTGTGGCAGCTGGTGCGCCGTTTACCGTTTGCCGTTTGCCGTGTGGCACTTAATTCCGTGTCTGTGGATGCTTCCAAACTCTATTCCGCCGTTTCCCAACTCTGTTGAGCCGTTTCCAGTAAAAAGACGAACCTTGACGCCCCGTTACTTCGTCTGATGTACGTTCCCAGCCTGGTCCAGCGTCAAGAATAGGAAACGCACAAGTCCGAACGTGTATCCAAGCGTCTCGGGCCGAGATTTGTCGGGCGGCTCGCTTGGGCGGAGGACACTCTGCACCAGGCGCCATCTCGGAACGTCGCCCTCGCCCGTGCAGTCCGGCAGGCTTCGTTGTACTAGAACTCGCCCTCGCGGTCTGATGCCGCCGTGCAGAGATGTCTGGCCTCTAACTCGACAACGAACTCATCGTTAAGCCCGTGGACAGGACTGTTGCACTTGATCAATTAGATGCATTTGTGTTGATATTTGCTGGGACATTTGAAGTGTCTCGTTAGTAGGCGGCACACCTCGTCGTTTGTATGAAAGTTTCCGTGTCTTCTCGAATCCTCTTAGGTTCTTTGCTTGTTTGGGGAACGGGCTTGGGTAGGCAGGATCGACAGACGACTGTTGAATTATCAAGAAGAGCTGCGTAGACTAGCAGGCCAAGCCCCCCAAAGTTGCTGCGTTGATGGAGAACAATTAAGAGAAAAACGAAAAGAAAAACCGGCTTCTGTTAAGAAATTTAAACCAGGTAGACGTGGTAGGATTGCGACCATATAGCTGCTGTTGCCCGAGTGCCAGGCAACTGGTAATTGTCTGTTTTGACTGCTGGCGCAACGGCACACCGTTATTTACACTAGAAACTAGAAAGAACTGCCTAGAACAACTTCTTTACTTCGTTTTCATTTGAATTCCCTAAAATATATTAGCAAGAAGACCCATTCAAACGCAAACCAAGGCGCTTTGGATTTTCTTCCATGTCTTATGCATACCTAAGGATAACTGTAATAGGCCTTAAAGGGGAGTCTGTCAGCCTACTCGTTCACTCAGATATCTGGACTCCATGCACCTCTGGGATTTCTTGGACCCCGTCAGGCAGAAGTGCTTGCGGTAGTCTCCATCAACCGTAAGAAGTAAGAAAGGACATGACTAGGACCTTTAGGGCCTGAGCCCGACCGGCCGTAAAACTCTAGGCCCTCACTAGGACTGGCTACCACATTGAAATTTCTTTGCGCTCCAGCTTGGAGAGGACTCGGGGGAACAAGCAGCCCATAATGAACGCCCCATCGTGGCCTGGAATAAAGATAAAGTTCCAGAGGTGCCACGCCTTCAGAACATGGTGGATTATCCGCCCGAATTATCACCTTAGTTACAAGCCGATAACCACCGCCGCTCCAACCACCCTAGCTGTGACGGCGGGGCTCAGCACCTACTACCGCTGCACCACACCTTCCAAACGGATGCCAGAATTGCAAGCTGCCAAGCTGCAATCTGTAGTAGGTTATAGTATGGTCACGCACCCGTAGGCCTGCTCACAGCGCCTACGGTACCGTGCCGTGACACTAGCCCACCTCGTTGATACTGGCAACCTGGAAGACGGAAGAAAGAAAATGGAAGTTTTATTATTCGTATATGCACACACACACATAACTCCAGCAAATACCGTATATTCTCTCGAGACTCAGAGATTACGGCGGGGTGAAAATATGGGGGATTTTGCGAGAGCAACCAATTATACGTAAGAAATAAGAGGCACCTTCAGTAGATTTTGAGATGGGAGATCCTATGATCGGTATAAGATTATTGGTTACTCTTTATAGGACCCCCCGTAATTGCACCCCGCCGTAATCTCCGAGTCTCGAGAGAATATGCGGTACAGCCAGTCCAGAACCCGAGATTCAGAGAGACATGTACCCATGTACCCAAGGTATTTAATTACATATGTCACGGTGCGCACGTGACAGGGATTGACTCTATTGGCCGCATTGTATTTAGAGTGTGGTCCATGCGCACGCCCACCACGTGCCCTGCACCGACACCTATTTCCCCGCGCCCTGCGCGGTCCCTGCAATAGCTTCCTCTTCTCCTTCCTTAGCTTTAAATCCACATTCGTTACTGCCTTCAACCATTGACATCCCTACTGCGTAAGGCGGGCCGTCACAACATACATACAGAAGCTTATTCCCAGAACTTAATAGAAGGTAAGGTACGGTAGGTAAAGCAGCTAGCAGTAAACCCTACAGTAGATGGCACTAGCTTCACAGTAAGTACTCTTACTTAACTACCCAAACAAAAAACAGTCCAGTCCAGTCCAGTCCAGTCACGTCGTTGCAGCACCCAGTGTTATCCCAACAAACCCCACCCTTCCGTCCCTGCCCAACACAACCCCGCCCAGCAAGAAAATGAGTTGCAGCCGTTGTAGCCGTTGTAGCCGTTGCAGACAGCCGCCCCTCTCACAGATAATACGCTTAAAAGTTTATGCCTGCCGTGCGATGCGAAAATGCAAAGCCAACTAAGTCTAAAATTAGGCAATAATAAACCGTCATCATAGTAATCATTCAGCTCAACCGTTTATTCGCCATCGAGTCGTACCCGCTTTCATGGGGGGAAAAGGAAAAACCAGTGTCAAAACCCCGCCGAGACCGTTTCCCAATCCCGATGACGAACTAGGGCTATACCGTCAACTTGGAATTTACCAAATTAAATCACCGATCCCTATGCAACGGCGCATGTATGATGGCAGCACAGGGGACGGACACGCCCGCATTAACTAGGCGATTGAAGAGGAGGTGACAGCCACTACGCCAAGTAGCGGTAGACAGTCGAGTCGCCTTCCGTGCGCTCGAGGTATTCGCGCACCAGGAGATCCTCGATCCGTCTCTTGATCATCCCAATATCGGGTTTGAACCGACTCGAGAGCTGGGTGATGATCTCGGTGGTGAGCTGGATGTGGCTGAGATTCTTGCGTTGTCTACACGGCAATTTGGTTAGAAATTAAAGTCTCGAAAAGGCAAGGTTGGCAACCCACTTCATGATCCGCACAATCGCCGCATCCACCACATGTTGGCGAGTTTGATCGTTCTTTTTCTCCGTCTCCTTGCGCTCCTCTTCACCCTCCACCTTGGACACGCCGTTGAGAGTGGGCGCCTTGATCTTGATAGCTTTGCTGACAAACTGTGGGTTGAAGCCAAACTTGTCTGCCGGCTTGATGTTCTTTGTCGGCGGCTCTTTCAGGAGCACTCTTGCCTTTGGCGCAATTGAGAGCGACGCAAGAGACCGGACGAGATCTGTCCCAGACATGTTCGTCTTCGCCTGGATCTCCTCAAAGCTCAGGGTTTCGCCGTCGGGGAGGTCGTTGAAGAGCATCAGGATGACCATTCCATGAGTGGGAACGTTCAATTCGTATCGACGCTCCTTGCTCAATGGGCCTGTCTCTTTGCCCGGCACCTTGGGGAAGACGCACTTGATGTCGGCAGAACCCGCCGAAGGGACCCAAGTCAGCACTCTTCCACTCCGGTTCCGGAGATAGTACTTGAAGAAGCTATCTTGCAGCCGCCTAATCTCGGGTGGGAAGATGCAATCACCCTTCCCCTTCCACTTGGAGCCTTCGTCCTGGGAGCTGCGCGTGGCTTCGGGCGGCCAGTTGTTGGAAGTAAGCACATGGATGCCGAGATCGACCCGCCTTGAGTCGGCGTCTCCCAGGTTCCGGATGTGGTCCCTGTAGTTGTCGCTCAGGTCCTTCGATATCTCCATGTCCTTGAACATGCCGTCGAACTTGTGTGTGAAATGGTTTCCCATCTCGGCCCTCATCCGTCTTGCCAGCTCCTTCTCCGTCTCAATCTCGGATTTGCCGTGCAGCAGCCGTCGCGCAAGGTGTTTCTGGTAATATCTCTCGAACATGTCTCGATCGCCGAGATATCTCAGCAGAACAATGGCCTTGTCCAAGACCACTTCGATCTCCGCGTCCGACCTGCCCTTGTTGCCTCGCTTCAGGTTGTCGTCTATGAAGAGCGACACGTACTCGGAGCTCATTTTAAACAGGTTGATGAATTCGGAGAAGCTCTTTGTCACGGCGGACTGGAGAACGAGGTCATTGTTGAAGCACGTCACGCACAAGTTGTCAAACTTGTCCTTCAGTCGCAAGACATCGTCCACCCATTTAATTGCCGCTGCTGTCTGCTGCGCGGCCGCATTCAAAGTCTGCGCCTTGGGCTTGTCTCCACCATCGTCACCGTCGGCAGCGACGTTGGCGGACGGGTTCGAGAAATCCGTCTCCCGGAGAGTCTTCTCCACCTCAACCCCAAGGTCCATGACTCGGCGCTGCAGCGCGTTCTTGAGCGGCATCTTGGTCTTGTCTACCCTCGACACGAGATTGTACACGATGGTCAGATCCTCGATGCGGTCATGGTCGATCATATTCTTCAAACCCACGCCTTCCATCCCGAGGAAGTCGTCCAACTTTGAAACTATCAGCTCGGCATCTATCACCGCCGCTATTTTTTCCGCAGTGAGATGAGATATTGTTGTGCCACACCGGTCATGTTCCTCTTCGAGCCGTCGCCGGGTGTGTCGGAGCCACGTGCCTGTGTCGGATTCTCGAAGGAGCCTCTCAGACTCGTTCCGGTAAAAGGCTCTGCTGGATTCGAGAAATCGCGGTTCAAATACAGTAAGATATAGCTTTTGCTTCTCGAGCTCGTCGTCGGTTTCATACAAAGACTCCAGCATGGTCGTGATGTTGCGGAGGAGATTGCGGTCGATATTATCGCCATCTCTCTCCATATTGATCAAATCCAGCACCACGGCGTTGAGAATGTCGAAGATGACAAAGGGCTCTCCAAGATCTTGCACGGCAGAGCCCAACGTGTTGCGTAAAATGTTGTCCCGGAACAGGCCGATTGTGGTGGCAAATATGGAAGGTTTCTTATAATCCGCCGTATAGGTTCGGTCCAGGTACATGAGGACGTCGGCAATCATATTCATGGACATGTTGTGGTCGCGCCACGAGTCTCGTATGCCTCTTAGGAACTTCTCGCCCGTCTCCCGCCGCTCGTGGGCGCTCGACCCCGACGGCTGGACCAGCGCGGTGCTAACCAGGTTGTTGGATACGAGCTCCGTGATGACGGGCATAATGTGGTCACGGAACCATTCCATCTCAAAGATTTTGACTCTCTCATAGAGAAGATCCCCTTTTTTCCGCAGGACAATCTTGTAAGAGGCCCGGTAGAGCTGCTCGAAAGAGAGGCGGCTGGCATTTTTCGTGTGGATGTCGACGAGCGAGGACCGGAGCAGATCCCAGCAGGGCTCGAACTCGCTAACCTCTTTGTTCATGATCGGCTACAATCTGTTAGCGTGGTTGGGACACGAGGGGCACACAGGGGAACTAGGAAAAGCGCTCTAGCTTGGGGAAGCGGAAGAGAGGGACGAGGACCGCGGGGCGGCGGGCCCAGCATCGACTGACCTTCCGAATGGGCCGCGGCTTATTTGCGCGGTTCGCCATCATGTCTGTGGGTAGGCCACAAAGCTTAGAGCTGTTTGAGGCAGGTTGTAGAAGAAACTTGCGAGCGAGGGTTGCGATGCCGAGGTGAACCACCTGGGGCTCAGATTGTTCGCGGCAAGACGGGTGAATGCAGAGACCCTGCGACAAGGCCGACGACCATCGGGCAAATGCGCTCTGTCAGGACTGCCCGGTTTTTTTGTTAGGCGAGATTCTTCATAAAGAGTTGGGCGTGGAAGGCGGGTTTCGGGCGCGTTGCCGCGGGGATGTGCGCTGCGCGTCGTACAGAACGGTACCTGTAGCTTGTTCGAGATCGGGAGTGTTAGAAGGCAACAAAGTGCACGACACGACACGACACGATATGACACGAGCTCAAGACTCACCTGGGAGAGGCTGCAACCTAGAGGCTGGCTGCGATGCGAACGGGCGAGAAACACTTGAACCTAACCAAGCCGTGCGTGCCGTGAAGCTCAACGCGGGACCGACAAAAGATGTGTAGAGTTGCCTAACGACAGAGCTAGGTGAGTGCAGCTGTACCGTCCCCCGTCGGTGCCTTTTGAAGCTGCCCCTCTATAAGGTACCTACAGTAAGCCTAGGTGGGTTACTAAGGCCTTAGCGGAAGAAACGCTGATTTGCTGTTGCACAGCAGTCGATCAGGGACTGTAGGCTAGCGGCAGCCCCCCCGCTAAGACTTGGCGGTTGGGGTTATCTTATCGATAAGGAGGTTTTTGGACGACGATCCGGCCGGCATCCGCAGGCCGCTCCACCTTTTTTCTCCAGACTCTTTAGCCCCCAGCCGGACATCAGAAAGGTCTCGAAGCATCAGTCCCAGCCGTGCACGATAAAGACACTACAGCCACTACAGCAACAGCAACAAAACAAGCATCTACCCCACCTTGTTTTCTCGCTCGCACCCACAAGCAAGATGGGCTCTAAACGCGCCGTAGCTAGCTCGCTCTCGTGCCTCGCACGCCTCTCCGCGGCGGCGCCGCAACCGCCACGCGTATCCGCGGCTCTCCTCAGCACCTTCATCCACCCAGCGCGTACGGCCTCGCCACGCGAACAACCACAAACGACCACGACCAACACCAACACCGACACCTCGCGGAGCGCCGCAACACCACACCCCCAATGGCGACCGCCGCAGCATTCACAACGTCGCAACCTCAGCACCTCCCCCCCGGCGCAGCGCAACTGGAACCTCGACTCTGGGCTCGACCGGACGCGTGTGACGCGCGAGCCGTATCCTCTATCACCGACGAAAATCGTCGGGCCGGCGTCGGCACCAGCCTCCGCGGACCCGCTAGACCCAACCCGGCAGCTGGCGGGGGACCGAGCGGCGCACATCCAGCCGCGGTACGAGCTGACGTTTACGTGCGCGCCGTGCGGCGAGCGGTCGCGGCACCACGTGTCGAAGCAGGGGTACCACCACGGGTCGGTGCTGATCGCGTGCCCGGGGTGCCGCAACCGGCACGTCATTAGCGACCACCTGGGCGTGTTTGGTGATAAGGGCGCTACGGTCGAGGACATCATGCGCGAGCGCGGCACGCTTGTCAAGCGCGGCACGCTCGGCGAGGACGGCGATATCGAGTTCTGGGAGGACGGCTCCACTACCGCCCGCGCTGAGCGCGACAAGGACGTGCCGCTGCCGCCGCAGCCGAAGTCGCGGGATGCTGCTGCCGATGAGAGCGTGCCCGGGTCGACCTTTGCTAGTGTTCGGCCTGAAGGAAAAGACGGCCAATGAGAGGGAGACGGCTGGCGGCTTCGCGAGTGGGGACCCAGGAATGACCCTCTCTCGTTGGGTAAGTGGGTGTGGTCGGCCAAGGCCGCAGACCGGGGTATCTGGTGTAAGTATCCGGTGTAACAAGATGTATCTCTAGTATCTCTACTTTGCGCGTTGCAGCGTTGATGAATAATGGCGTTGGTATATCTGTGGTGGACCTCTCTGCTAGGCATCTGCTCTCCAGGAACAACAACTCCTTTTTGAAACCCTTTATATACAGTTCCTTCTCATTGCAAATGCCCTCCCTGGCCTCTTCATTGGTATCCGCTCCGGAGGTCTCTCTGTTCTCTGCCCCGGACCTTTCTTTTCTCCTTCTTCTTCTCAAACTTCTTCCGCTTGTCCTGGCCGTGCTTCTCCGGCGCAGTGATGGCCTCGATCTTGCGCTTGCTCGACCTGTACTGCCTCCTGTCCCTGACGCTCCTGCCGACCGCCACCAGAGCCTTGGTGTACTCGGAATTGCCGAGCTTCTTTTGCAGAATCTCCATGATGGCCTGCGACTTGACCTTGAGCGCGTCGTACCGAGTCTTAAAAAGCTCGTTGACCGAGAAAGGCACTGGAATCGACGGGTCCGTCAGGTTTCGCAGCGGCCTGAGTATTGTCTGGACCGAGGGTAAAAGGACGTCGCCCGGCGTCTTGGCGCAAAAGGCATCGAGCACGTCCAAGGCAGCCAGCTTTGGCACAAGCGTTTCGGGCTTGACCTGCCTCTCCTTCCTTATAATAGCCGCAAGTCTCCAGAACAGGTACTTGAGATCCGCCTTCTTCTCAGACTCATCTGCGCCCTCGTCTTCGTCTCCCCCAGCCTCGTCGTCGTCATCCTCATCATCCTTATCGTCATTTCCAGAACCGAGATATCCACCAAGGAACATGAGAATTTGAACCGTCTCCTGCGCTAGGGGTTCGTCGACCTCTGCTGATGTGAGAATGTTGAGCGCGCCCTTGACGAGACTGGTGATGTCGTCATCCCCAAGCTCTAGCCCATGAGACCCCTGGAGCGGTGGTTTTTGCCCCGCATTCCCAGCATTTCTTGCAAAATCGGCCAGGTAATTACTCAGAACCTTAGTGGAAGTGAGTTTGACCGTGGGGTTCGTGTGGGCCAGGCATTCCCGGACCTCAGACCACAACTCGTCCGAGCCGCGGGCCAAGACCTTTTGCGGATTTGTCTCAACCAAAGTCTGCAGCGCGATGAGGGCGGTATTGGCCAGCTCCCAGTCCGATTCTCTGGTCTTTTCGTCGCCCAGGACTTCGGATACTTTGTCAACGACGAGAGACAGATCCTTCTTGTCTTTGGCATTGGGCTCCCTGCCATTGAAGTATAGGCCAAATACCTGGAGGGCAAGCTTGAGCACCGCAGGGTTGTCTCCCTGCTCGGCCCACGACCGAAGGAGAGTGAGGAACTTCTGCAGGCGCCCCTTGTCCGCCACGCGGAATATCTCCTTGATCAATTCTCCGCCCGCGAGGCGGCACTTCTCGCTGTCGTCATTGGCCAGGACAAAGACCAGCGGGATGAAGCAGGTGGCAGCGACCTCCTGAGCGAAGTCGTCTGCGGATTTTTTGAGCAGGAGATTGATAACCTCCATGACCGACAGCCGTCCTCCCTCTCGCTCATACTTGAGGTTGGCGACAATGAACTTGAGCTGCTTCTCCCACCGGCCCCTCTTCTGCGGGTAATCACGGAGAAATTGGAAGAAGGCACCGCGGGCTAAATCCCGGGTGTCCTTGTCATGGTTAGTGATCATAATGGTGCCGACGTGGTCAAGAGTGTCGTAAACCACGGCTGTCTCTAATTTCCGGTCCAGGACCGCCCGCAGGAAGTTAAACGTGACATGGCGATAGAGAGGCTCCGTCAGGTCGTCCTTGAGTTTCCCTAAAAGCATGTCCAGTGCGGCATCCTTCATCGGGATTTCTCGCCTGTCTCTTAGAATGATGGATATGAGCTTTAGCGCTGCCTGGGCAAGATCAGAGGTAGTCGACTGGGACATTGAGATCGCCTTAATGGCCTCCTTGAAGGCGACTTTGTATAGGTTGGTGGAATCGTCGTTCTTGAACGGGACCTTGGCAATGACGTTGAGAGTCTTGAAGGCCGCAATCTTGACTTCTTCTTCCACCGACAGCACAGCGTCGCCCAATATAGACAGGAAGCCGGTAATATGCACTGCGGTTCGCAGGTTGTCGTGGTTCTTCAATATGGATCGGAGAATGTCAATCGCAAACCTGACAAGTTTGTAGGTGTGCTTGCTCGTTAGTCCTCCGTCTGTCTTCCTCACACCTTTCTGGACGAGATATCTCTTGAGCCGAGGATCTAGCTTGGCCTCGACCTGCGGCTTCTCGCTGTTGTATACCGCCTGGATTGCCTGGTAACAGAAGATCAGGATGTCCTGGGATGCTGCGGCTGGGTTTTCCAGCAGCCCCTTTGTGATGCGAGTCAAGAGCTCATCGATCTTCCGAACCGTGCGAAGATCAAGCTTTTCGAGAAGGAGTGACTGCAAAGGCGCCGTAAGCTCGCCGAGGTGTGCGATAGAGGCGTTCTTGGCAACGAGTTCTACGGAATCTTGGCTTTTGCTGCTCTTGACTTCCTTCATCTTGCTGACGTAGTCTTCGGCGTCCTTCTCTTGGCCCACGACACCAAAGATATCATCCATGATGACCGCCATGATTGACCCGAGGCAGTAGTCGAGCTCGCCTTGCTCAAACATTGGAATGATGACCAACAGGATTGAGTGCAACGTGTAGGAAAGAACGTGAAGTTGGTAGCCCTTGGTGAGTGCGCCTCGCAGCTCTTTGAGGATAAACTCAAATCTCTCTGGGCCGAGGATACCTGCAATCCTCGAAAGAGTGTCCCGAGCCATATCTCGGGATTCCATCGACTTGCTTCTGAGAATGTGGCAGATATCGGTGAGAACTCCAGGGAGCTTTTCAGCAACCAAGTTTTCGGGGAGAAGAGTAATGAGTTTAGCAATGACGATACCGACTGGCACCCTAGCACTGACAGTTGTCTCATCTTTGTCGTGGATGTATTTGAGCAACGTGGGCAGGAAACCGTTGACGATCTCGCCTTTCAGCTTCTCTTGGTCGGGCAGCGTCGTGGCAAGCCTGCACGACGTAGTCTGTGCTAATTTCTCGCTGTCCACCTCCATGGCATCTTGGGGCCTATCGGCCATGGCCGTGCACAGCGTGTCAACCTCTTTCTCCAGGAGTCGAATGACCCGCTTTTGCCAGTCTGGTTTAGACTCGACGTAGGAGATGAACCGCCGTAGAATAGCTCGATACTGTTGCCACTCTAGTGACGCGCTCAACCCTGCGATCGTGCTTATCGCCTGTGCGCTCAGGCCATGGTCATCGCCGCCTTCGGCCCGATAGAATACCAAGTGCTCGATAAGAGGAATGAAGAACTGGCTGATGTGTTTGCTGCGGAACTGGTTTTTCTCGTTGGCCGGCTCCAGCAAGCGCAGAGCTTGCAGCTGTCTGGAGACAGCAGGACTCAGAATGTGGAAGAAAAATGAGCTATCGGAATCATCGGATTCAGGAACCAGAAGGGCCAGGTCGGCGACAACCTCCCAATTTGGCAAATGGGAGATCATATATCCAAACACGCGCAGGATCTCGCGCCGGACAGTCTCGGACGTCTCTCTAGCGCCTGCATAGATGGCTGGGAGAACGACGGTTGACATGACATCAACAAAGGCATCCTGCTTGGGCGCCCCCCAAGCAGCCTCAGCCACGGCGATGAATCTACATATGCCATCAGCCGAGTTGGTTGACAAGACACCAAACTCCTCGTCCTGAAGGATATAAAAGAGCAAGTTGTGCAAGATTGGCATCCACTGGTCGAGTGTCAAGGATTCTTCACGGTCCTTGGTGATGGAGTTGAAAGCAGAGAGCCGTGTATCGTAGTCGGGCTCGTCCAATCTCCTCGCAGAATAAGAGTTGAGGTCACGACAGAGTTCAGCCACTTCCTGGGCCCAGGGCTCTTGCGAGGCAAATACCAACAGAACCTCTGCAAGTGTTTGCCTGTTCTGCTTGTCCTTGAAGTATCCAAACAATGATGCAATTGTGCTGTAGACCTTGCTCTTCAACTCCGGGTTCGCCTGCAGGTCATCAAGCACAACGAACTGCTTTAGTATCAAAAGAATAGACCCCTTGATCTTGGGGCTGACTTTGCGCGACGGCTGGTTGAGTAGGAAAGTAGAGATATCCACCATGTCCTGAACAGTGGCCGAAGTTTGCACGATCGGCGCCAGATCAACAACAGTGTAGACTGCGTTCGCAAGAAGGTCTCGCCCGATATCGTGCTGGTCTCTGAGAAGTCCGCCAATATCTTTGAGGATGAGATCGATGTTCGAGTCCAGAAGCTCGGATCTGATCAACTCGTTGTATTCCGATTCAGCCACCGGGGCCTGCGCCAGCTTGATAAGGTTCTTGACGATGTCCAGAGCAAACATCTTGACCTCGTCCTTCCCCTTTTGGACTCCCAGGCATGCGACAATCTTTGGTATAATCCGCTTGTCGAGAGACAAAAAGAGGGCTGCTTTGGGCAGCACGGACCACGCAGCCATGAGCTTCCAGGTTCCAGAGATGTTCTGGGTGGTCTCTTCTGGCAGCTTGTCAATCCGAGGGCTGATGATCTCCTTGACCATCACCTCCTTGTAAGGCGTCCAGTCGAAGGTCGGGTCATTTTGAAAGAGCTTGCACAGGCACTTCAAGGCGGTCGTCTTGATGACCTTGTACAAAGAAGCGTTTTGGACAGGGTCGGCGTCCTCGGACTCTTCTGAGACTCCCCCAAGTTGTCGGCAAGCAGAGATGAGGCAAAAGAGTACAGTATTGGCGATGGCCTCCATGTACGCCTCGACGCTGCTGCCCAGTTCGCTGATGATAGATTCAACCATATTCAAAAGACCAACCTGCTTTCTAGCAGGGAGAATCTCGTGTGCAAAAACGCTCTCACGGATGCCTCGGTCATCAACGACTCGGACATCGCGAAGATGGCCGAGGGCAATGCCCAGGAAGCTCCCCATGTCATCCACGTTTAGATGGCGAATGACAGCGAGGCGGGTGGCGTGGAGACCATGGCGGCCACTAGCGGCGCCCTTCTTCGAGATTGTACGCCCATACAGTAGGCGAAGGAGAATCGGCATTATTTCCGCGTGATGCTCGGCCTGAATTTTGTTGTCTCCCTGGAAGAGAACAGTAAGCTCGTTCTTGAACCTGGATTCGTCCAAGAGGAACTCGAGATGCTCTCGGTACGGCTTGATAGCGTCGATTTTCCACGCCAAGATCGCCTTGAGAGCTGGCTTCTGGAGCTCAATGTCGCCATTGGCCAACAATTTCAGGAGCGCTTGATACAGCTTTTCGCTCTGATAAAGCACTCTGGGGTTGTTGAACAACGCAAAAACTCCTACAAGCGCCTTCCTGTCAGGCAGCGTCCAGGTGCCTTCGAGCTTCTCTTCCGCCCACTCATCCCCGGTTTCTTCTTCTATCGGTGTTTCATCCTCGTCTGTGAAGGAGAGGAGATATGGTACTAGCTTCCTAGACCGCTTTTCGGCTAGGCCAGGCAGGGCAGAAAACACCTTGAGTGCCTTGTTCCGCGCGTTATCTGAGCGAGGTTCAACAATCTTCTGGCCCATGTCGAATGTTTCTAGCATTTCTTCCGAAGAGGCTTCCACAGCCTGTCCGGTAAACACGGCAGTCTTGCGCAACTTCATGTGATTGAGACATTCAAAGTCGGTCATAGCGATACGACCGCCCTGGGTCGGCGACTTAAATGGCCCAGACCATCGAGGAGAGGGCACATCCAGCAAGTCAAAGGCTAGATCTGCCAATTGTTCCTCCCCAAGCTTAGTCTCTGCTGTCTTCTTCATCGCCTCTAGAGCTTCGTCCCAGACGGGAGACAAAGGCACAGTCATCATACCGAATAAGAAGGCCGGGATGGCCCGTATCAACCAAGAGTTTTCGCCAAGATGAGCATATTGGTGGCCAAGCTTTCGAAGATACACACCAATAGTGCGTGCGTTTTGAAGATTCAGCTCAAGCTCTTCGACTTGAATCATTGTCGACAACGCCGAGTTTTGGTCGACGGTGGACTCCAAGACATTGAGAATCTTGAGAGACACGAGCCGTAACGGATGGGATGGAGCTGAGAGATTGCCGATGAGCGACTTGACTAGGGGGTTTTCCTCTTCTTGCGGACTGCCGATTCTGCCGTTTACTTCCGAAGTGGCCTTGCCGCCAATTTCACATTCGTAGGTAAGGAGGGCTTCAAGGAAGGCCGGCGATCGGCAGAACCGTGGTGCCGCAGCTCTCAGTAGGGGAGCCAAGCTAGCATCCACGGACCCGGGGACCGCACACATCCGCAGGTAGGCCCGGAAACCATCGCTGACGATGAAGTTTGCCTCGTCGGTGGGGAGAGATGACGATGGCCGGAGAGCGAGCTTCAGTTTCTTGAGCAAGACCTCTGCTATCCTGGAGTTCGTAGAAGGGTGCACTAACGTCATCTCCAGTACCCGTAAGAGTGCCGAGTATTTTGGCAAGCATTTGTCTCTCCAGGTTTCGGGGTCCTTGCCAAACCCTCCGCTCTCTGGGAACGGGGTATCCTCGAGTCTCACAAACTCACTGACAATTTGGTCCTGCCATGATTGGGGGAGTGGAAGAGAGTCGCGGTCACCGCCGCCGACTTTGATGATGTGCGGGAGGAGAACACAGAGAATGTCCTCGTTCGCGCTCTCAGACCAGTGTGCAACGACAAATCTATCCGCGTTAGCCCGTGTATTGGCGAACCAAAGTTAAAGAAGAGAAGGCAAACCTCTGGAATTCCTTCTGGAAGAGACTACGGAACCGATCCGAGTTCAAATCCGCGAGATAGGAGCAAAACGGTATGTACCACCTCATCAGGGGCTCCTTGGTCATGGTCCCGTTAAAGGTCGACAATGCAGGGATCAGAGCGTCGATAGGTGCCTGGCTCCATATGATGGTCACATTGATAATAATGCGCTGCCAGACCTGCGGAGAGGAAGAAATCTGGTCCTTCTCCTTACATGTGGCGAGTTCCCCTATTAGCCGGTTGAGCACCTTGACAAAGCTGTTCCAGTCGTTGATGCGGCCGCCCCTCCGGACACCAGCGATGGTCCCGAAGAGTTGAACGAACATTGCCGCCCGCTCTGGCGCAGCTTGCGCCTCCTCTACGATCCTGACTTCAACAATCTTAAACGTCTCCGCTGTCGAGTGGTGGATGGTGCTGGTGATGACACCGCAGCAGACATCCGTCCAGATGTTCTGCTCGGGCAACGCCAGCTCGGCTTCGGGCACGTCCCGTATTAAAGCGGCGAATATCTCTGGGCCAGCCGAATGGACCGAATTCCCCGCGCTCTTGATTGCCTCGGCGAACATGGTCATGATCCCCTGGCTGTATAGATCGAACTGTTTTGTCCCGGCCACGCTCTCGAGGTCTTTCCTGGCGTGCTCAACAATCATCGGCAGCGCCTTCTCCTTGTGGCCGGGCGCGGCAGCCTTTTTGATGAGAAAGCTCATTGCTTCGGCGGCGAAACGGGCAATGTGCCCTGGGATCCTCGACTTGCCCATGAGCGGTGCCACGGCATCGTATGTCGGGCGTAGGTCGGGTGTGATTAGTCTGGCAAGGTACTTAAAGAGGAATGCCAGCGAGGCAAATGTCCACTCGATAGCCTCGACATCGTGCACCTTGCTAGCGAGGTCGACGATCAGGGCCAGGGCGCGCGGGTAGTGCTTCTCGAAGCGCACGCCAAGATCGTGGGCAAAGGCCGTGACCAGGTCCAGCAGCGGCTCGAGGGCCTCCCCGTCGTGGCGGGCTATGTATTCGGCCAGCAGGCCCATGATACGGTCTTCATGGTAGAGGATCTGGGCCAGCGACTCGGTGAGGGGGTTGACCTGCTTCTTGAAGTCGGCATAGGACTTGGAGACATTGAGCTCAGCCCACTTGTCGAGGCCATTGCGCAGGTATGAGGTGGTGGCGGTGAGGTCTTCGGCGTCGAGATCGTGTCGGCGCACCTTGCGCAGGGGGTCGAGGGAATGGAGCTTGGAGATCTTTGCGCTGAACGACTCCCACCGATGGTTTTTCTGGTGGAGCGTCTTCTTCGAGTTCGAAGGCCGTTGGGCCTTCACGATGCGGCCTGACGAGGTGGAAGGCATTCTAGCGGCGTCGGTAGCGTGGCCGTCGTCGCTTCTGTTGACGAAACCGACCAAAACCTTGGGCCCTTCAAGTGATCGAGACCCCAGAATGGGATTTCGAGCTGGATTTTTTTTGGCTGGGATGCCGATGAAGCTAAGATAAGCCGATAAGGGAGGGGTCACCGCTTCGTCCAAAGCTTAATGATACTGATACTGATACTGCTTCTAAATGCATAACTACTTCAATTAGCGCATAAGGATAACTGTTTGCGCAACTGCATATAGACGTATAAGTCCCCTTCTGCTGCTTATATTCCGTATCAGACACCGACAACGAGAACATTACTACGTATCTCAAAGAGTAGATATTGTGTTTGTGATGTTCTCAAGCTAAAGGGTGCATGTATTCTGGACCAATGCATCTCTCACAGGCTTTATGTGAATGTCTACCTATACTTTTCTTCGATCACATATTTTCATCAAGATTTGAGAAAGTCAAGTCAATTCTAGTCGTCGCCAATAGGAACCTTTCAGGTGAATGTGAAGGGAAAGAAGGGAAGGAACGAAGAAGAAAAGAACCCCATCTCTACAGAACGACCCAAAGTCTATATTGTTACAATCGTGGGTTCTTCTAGACCGGCAAGGCACGTGCAGCCCATGCAAGCGATCAAATTCCGCAAGTCACATATTAACCTCACGCTTGTGAAGATAACATCGGTTTCGGTTACCGACAGTCTTACTAAGGTATTTTGTACAGTAAATTTGTGTGCTGCAATTGGCGCAACAAAGAACAAAGAGACAAAGAGAGAAATAGCTAAGAAAGCGCCACCCAGATCCCACCGATTCCCAGTCTTTTAGAACTACCGAGTCCGATCCGTGCGCCGATGCCAAATATATCTACAAGTACTTTATTGAAAGGGGCGAGCTCGTGTTGTTCCCTCCAGCAAGCAAACAAAAAAAAGGGGGTGGCCTTAAAGCCACTTATCCATGATTTACTGCGCCAGTAGCGTGAAATCGTAGGGCTTGAACGCCTCGCGAAAAGCGGCGACGTCTGCCGTCTCCTCCTGCTCGGTCTGGCCCACCGTCTGCCAAACGACGCGGTGCTCCAGGCTGAGAAGTTTGGCCATGACCTTTCTGGGAAACTGAAGGTCGAACGGCACGTGCTTGTCGAACTTGATCACCAGGCTCTTGGCAACCGTTTCCAAGTTTAGATTGTTGCCATCCATCCCCTCCGCCCAGATCCAGACGCGCAGATAGTCTTGATCACCCCCGGCCTCGTCAGCTGTGCCAAAGTCCTCTTCCTCAAACTCCCCAAGCTCGGACTTGACGGCTAGTTGTTGGAACACGGCTTCGACGCTGCCGTCGAGGACCTGTGCGGCCGGCACTGGCATGGTCTGCCAGTGCACGTGGATGTTGCGGGCACGGTTGAACTCCCAGGCGACGGTGCCCAACCGGTGGCCCGAAAGCGCCGAGACCATCTTCTGGAGAGATTTGAGATACATTGCCATGTCCTCGTACGTCTTCTTGGCCTTGTCCACGCCCATGACCTCGGTGCTGACCGAGGGGGCATGATCCAGCGGGGCGATGATGAAATGGCACGGAAAGGTTAGTCCATATTCCTCAAAGGTATCCACAGCCAGGAGCGGCCCCTTGGCGGTGACAAGGTAGGCCTCATCACCGATGCTCGTGATCATGTGTTGCGGCAGATTCGTGTTGGAGAGACAGAAAAAGCATCGGTCCGGGCCGGGGGGAGGCGATCGGTCCCTACGATGCTTCCGGTTGCCATGGCGGTTATCGTGGCCATGGGAGAAGCGAGAAAACCCAGCGTCTTCGGCCGAGCGCTTCTTTGGCGCCAGTCCGAGGAATGGTGTCGCCGTGCTGCCCGGCGGCGGGGTTGTGAAAGCTTCACGGTTGATAGTAAAGGCGTACATGCTCTTGGCCTTCTCTGCGTTGCCCCATGGGGCTAGCGATATGAACCGAGTGACCGCGATGCTATCGCCATCTGCACCGCCTCCAACAGAAGCAAAGGGCTCTCGCTCGAAGCACACATTGCCCGGGGACGTGGCAAAGTGATACGCGGGCTTGAGCGCGTTGCAAAGATCTGCAATGGCTTTGTTATTGGGGGCCGTCGTGGAATCAATGCTCATCTCGACGGCCTTGGCGCTCTTGTTCCATATCCCAGTTGGCCAGATGGAAGTTAGCAAGATGTCGACGTTCTTGGCGGACTGGAGAGACTTGGCATCGTCGTCGCCGTGATATGCCAAGGACAGCTCCTGCGACGTTCCCGGTGCGGCGTTCTCGGGGACAGGAACCCCACCCAGGGTCACGATGCGCACACCCTCGAGGGTGTTGATGATGCTGCGCTTGCCGAGGAAATGGAGATTGGGAGCGATCTCATCCCCCTCTTGGATCTTCTCGACCACCCGGTGGGGAAGCAGGACTGTGCCAGAGGTGAAGTAGACGGAGCAGGGGATCTCGATGTCTCCATTAAGAAGGGAGCTTAGTTGCTCGTCATCCTGCTCCGTGGCAAAGAGATTGCCCGTGACAATCCCAAAGCTGAAGTCATTTTTGGCGTGCAACACGCCGATCTTGGTGAAGGCTGAGCGAAGCTGCCCGTTCACACTTCCGAAGACGAAACTAATAAAAGAAAATTGTCAGTGAAATGCAACATCTAGCTCTCGGCGCGATGGGAAGTGATGGTATTTTACATTTTAGGGGCCTTCTTCTCGGTCGCCATAGTTGCGACGGTAGATGTGGTTTACTGGTGAGATGAGTCTAGTGAAGGTGAGTGTGGAGGATTAGCGGTGGTAAAAGAGAGGCAGCGCGAAGTAAATTCAGGGCGAAAATACTTGACAAGGGGTCCCTGGTCATTTTGTTACACCTAAATAACGGGACCCGGAGTGGGGCGTTGTATGCATATATGGGGGTAGGTTGTCTTTTGCGGGGCATTGATTACGTGGTACGGATACTCAAATCACTCGAACCAGATTTCTCGAAGCAGCAAGGAAACCAAGGGCGATAACTCAAACCTTTTCACTCTTAAATGACATGCTTTTTTGCGACTAAAACTCAGAGGAGAGAGATGGGTTTACCCAGTAGAAGCGTACAAGACAGATCTTATAAGGTGTTGCACTTGAGTGGCCAGCTAAGACATAAACCGTTACAAACAAGATATCAGGTATATGTAGCTGAATACACAACAGGCAACTTCCTTACAATTTTATCCCTCCAAGATCGTTGATTTTTCAACATTATCGTAGCCGAACCCCTGCTCAGCTCGGCTTCAGCGGCTTCACATATTAAACCTTCTTACAAAGAAGTCACACATGGCAAACAAACCGAGTGCACAAAAAATAACAAAAGCCCAGCTTGTGGGCACGGGGAGAGAGAACAAGTATTCAAGTCCAACTCGAACAACACTCGTATCAGAGATAGTACCACACAGGATGACGGTTAGCCTGACAAAACAAGCATCAACGGATGCACATAGCCCGTCTAGAGACAAGGCTGTATTCTCAGCCAGTTCAATCCCTCCATCCTTCCTTTCCTGTCTGGGAGAAGGCGCTTGAAACCACCAAGCATGTGATTACCACCCGCAACAAAAACGTGCCCTGCCCTCCTCTGTATGCACATGCACTGCAGCTCTCTCTCTTCCTCCCTGACCTCTGCGCGCAGGGAAGAAACTTGCAAACCACTGCAACCATCAAGGCGGAGCCTCATGAATCTTCTTCGCATAGCAGCTCTTGGGGGAAGACGTATCATTTCGAATCAACATAGAAAACAGTGAGCTAGCTCGGTGTGTGTCGGACCGAACCGGGTTTGTAGTAGTGGTATCATTTTTCGTACATATTTGTTGTGAAGGGAAAAAACCCGGCCCGAAACTGGGCAGGTTGTGCGTCAGACACCCTGGCGAAGAAAAACAATCCGGGGTATGGCATTGATGCTGTCTTTGGTCTGCAAAGGTATTATGAACCACCGCCAGTCCATGTCGCAGCAGGACTAGCAAAATGGCGTGTGCTGACCGCCGAGGATTCGATCTCGGCGTGGCCTAAAAAGTGAAAACGCTTGCCTGCCGAACTTGAGAATGATGCAATGCTGAAGCATGAACGTCAAACGTGAATGCAGTATGATACAACCCAAATAAGCGAGCTAACGGATGCCGGATCCAAAGCCCGAAATGCTCGGAAGCTGCGATGCTATGCCAATGTGATGAACGTCGTAGGGAAATATCGAGTTTGTCAACGATTGTCGGGTGGCAATCCTCCCGCCGACAAGACCCGCCGGGTCCTCAAGAGCTGCGAATAGGGGGTGGCGGCATGCGAAAGAAGAAATATGTATAATGAAAAAGGGAAGAAAATGATGGGGCGGGGGGCCCGTTTCTCAAAGAGAAACTAAGGCCCCGGAATGCCAAGTCGTAGTGCTTACAGAGACGCACAAGCAAGGCGTGAATGACTCTGTCAATGATGATTAAATCCAACAAAAGAGACTTCGAGAAATTCTCGGCGCAGTTTAAAACGAGACCATGCGCCTCGCAGGGCGATCGTTGCCTAGGATAGGAGAAGCTCCGATCATGTCGACGAAGTCGCAATCGCGGGAACCGGCCCGGCCCGGCGCGGTGGGTGAGTCTTGCACGGTCCGGCCAGAGCCGAAGGCAAATGTCTGAGCTCGGCCCAAGCCCCGGCGGCCCTGGCGCAGACGGCCCATTTTCCTCTCGCAGGTATTAACATGCTCGGCTGCGTTCATCTCGACATATGCCTGAGGGTGGCACCGATTCCGATGGGCGGAGAAGAAACCACTATAGCCGCCATCCAAAATGTAGACTTCGGGATACGTAAGCTTCGGGTAGCACTCGATATTCGCGTTCCTATCCTGGGCTCGAATATGGCGAGCCATGATGGGCGCTCGATGGGCCGAGTACTCGCAGTGGAAAATAAGGAGCGTGCGGCCTTCCATTGGCGTGTTAAACAGATGGCTTGCCAACAACTCCTTATCATTGTAGTTTATTGCTCCATCGATGTGACCACCATCATACTCGTACTCAAATCGGCAATCAACGATCATCTTCTGGCTGAAGTGCTCCGTGTACTTGCCGTCCAAGACACCGAGCATGGTGCTCTGGGAAATGCGGGGAATGTTGTCGTCGCTGCCCTCGGGGAAGAAATGCGGCAGAACCGGCTCGGCCGACTCGTCAATGTCCATAACGGCCTGGAGCGCTTTTGGAGGCGTCGGCTCCTCCTTCTGGGGCTTCATGATCTCGCCCGGGTTCTCAAACATGCTCAGCGAACGGCGAAACTGTTTCCGAGGGCGCATAAAGGGGTTTGAGGTTCGTCGGGCATGGCTGGTGATGGGCGAACCGTTGCGCGAGTTTCCCATACCACTCAGGCTAGCGAATTGAGGTTTCACGCGTAAAGATGCCATGGGAGGGCAGGGGCTGTTTGCAGACTGTGGCCGGCGTTCTTGAGGAGGCGAGTCTTGAAAGCACTCGCTCAACGACATGGATGGAGAGCAAGAGGTAATCTGACTATCCCCGCCAAAGCGAAAGGGGGGCAGCTGGTTTTCAGGAGCGTGCGCACGGGCAGGTATAGCACCCGTGCTGTAGCCTTTCACACGATTTAACGATGGGCGCCGCAGGCCAAGCTTCCTCCGACTTTTTAGAAAAAAACATTAAACAGTTAGCTGGGGATCTAGGGGAACCGGCGGAAACTGGTAGTTTAGACTTACTCAGCCACAACGGGCTTTGGCGGCTCCAGAGAAGTCTGTCGCGGCAGAGGAGAGTCCAGCATGATTTCATCGGCTGGCGACTGCGTCGGGGTGGGCGAAGGCACCTCGACCTGAACAACGTACGGAGCCTTGTGCGGCAATGGTGACATCTCCATCATATCGACATGCCCAGGTGACGAAGACAGGGGCATCGGAGGCGTCGTCACATACTCCGAGTCCTCTGCAAATCCCCGAGCTCCGTACCCGACCCAGCGGGTTGGCCCCCTCTTCCCACGGCCCTCAATAGCATCCATCATAGCGGCTGTGGTGAACAGGGCTCGGCGTGGAGTCGGGAACATGGGACTACTACAGAATGACGCAAGTGAGTACAGAGCACTGGGACGTTTTGGGACGCTAATGGAAACTAACCTCGAGTCGTTGAGCTTAAAGTTTTGTGACAGGTCGGCCGCCAGAGACGCCGTGGGTGAAGAACCTCGAACGGTCTTAACGTTAAAGTACCCGGTGGTCTGGTGAAAGTTGAACTGCTCCCGCAACGTTAGGCCGCCGCCGCCAAGAGACGACGGGGTGAAGTGAGCGTTGTGCGATCCGAACAGGTCTCGCCGGCCGAACGAAGGAGGCGCTGGCCGCATGGCAGCCAGGGGCGAAGACGTCTCCATGATCGAGATTACCAAAGACCCAAGACTCAGCGAGCGTGCGGCAGATGCTGCATGTAAAGACGTGGTTGGCCGAGGACTCAATTGGGACGTGCGTACAAGTCAACGGCGGGCGACAACGGCTGGTGCGTGGGTGCAACGAGTGGAGGGCGTCCGAGTTTGAGGCTGCCTTAGCCGTCACAGCAAGGTTGAAGCTGCTGCAGCGTGTCGATGCACCTGTGCTCGATCGAGCATCAATCACCAGCGATTGCCACTTCAATTGAGACCTGTCGAGAAGTGAGGATGCTCAATTGTGGCAGTCGATTTCTAGGACCAAGCTTAGCAGGGTTTTTGATCGGTCGTCCCGTGCAACGGCAGGGCGGTCTGCGGTGTGCGGCTGGCAAAACCAGGACTGGAAGATGTGATGGCGGGGTCCGTGTGGGCGCAACCTGCCAGGAACCTCCAAGAATAGGGTGTGGGATCGTCTGGGTCGTCAAAAACCAAGAGGGTTAGAGGCCGGAGTGAGGGTTATTCCTGAATAGTATCCGTAGAACGCGAACACTTTCCAAGTGATGGGACGGAAAGGACGCGAACCGACGTCGGTTGGTAGGTTAGGTTGTTCTATCCCAACCTCGAACGCAGCTGGACCAAGCTGCCGCTTTCCTGGCTACGGCACCAATTCGCCGTGTAGAGAGAGAGCCAGACGGAATCTACCAAAGTGCTGCCGAGCTGAGGTACGGTGTTGGCGCGCGTCGGACCGAAGAACGTCTGGCGTTGAAAGCTAGATGTCTTCCTCTCGAACTCCAGGGCACACGACACCTCCAAAGGGACGGATAGGCGATGAAGTGCACGCTGGAGAACAGAGCTCGGGGCCAGAGAAAGCGGCCGTAGTCACGATGCTTACCTATCCCAACTCGGCGGTCGCTATCAAGAAACACAGAAGAGGTTGCACCTGGCGCGGGTGCGTGGTGGTTAAGAAGGATTTTCCCACGCCGGCCTGATGCACGGCGTCGACAGGGAAGCCCAAACCAGCAAGTTGCTTTCTTCACGGGTTGTCAGGGGCGATTCGTCGCGGTTGCTTGGTCGAGAGAGGCGCTGGAGCAGCGGGGGCCCCTGCTGGTCGGAGAGCTTCGCTCGCTTTTGGAAAGAGTGGAGCGCTGGAGCAGCTTCCCTGCTCACCACCTCCATTCGCCCACTCACACATCCATGGAAGTTGCTGCACTTGCACGGTTCCAGCACCCCACGCCGCTAAGCGCTGGCGTACGACCTAGGCGCAACGCCTATTGAGACAAAGTTACATTCGCGCCGCCCACATCACGCAGCGGCCCAAGGTACAGTCTAACACGCGAGGGCCGGGCTGAGGTACCTCTAGCTCTTTCTCACCTCACACAACTGCCCTTTTTGGGCCAAGTCTGATGTCTTCTCTCGATTGTGGCTGCGATAGTGGGCCAAACCGTGCCGCCCTTCGCCCTTCTAGGGCAACATGCAAGCAAGCAATCAATGAATGCAGCCCAGCGGGTGCAGCTGCCAGCGGCCTGCCTGTTCAACAGGTCGGTCGGTCGTTGCCAGGCCAAAGACATGGTGACTCCGAGGGCGGTGAGGTCGATCGGCGAACGACGGAGGGCAACGTCGGGTGCTCTGGGCTTGTGTGGGCCGAGCTGAGCTCCAAGTCGAATCGTCGATGGACACAGGACAAGACAGACAGACAGTCCGGCTGCGAACCACTCGGCCGATTCGGGACATATTTGCATCTGGATCCTGTGTCAATTCCCTCTGGAATCTCCTCTCTCCCGAACCTCGCCCGTCATCCCATTCTTTGTGCACGCACTGTCCGCTCCATCCCATGTCCATGCTCCACGGCAACACACTGCACTATAAGCTCGTTACATAAGGTTACGGCTCGATTAGTTGCCCAGGAGAGGCTTCAGTGCTGAGGTGACATGGACGGGTATCAGGTTCTTGGTCGGCAGAGCACCCGCGTTCGGATCGCTTCAGGAATAAATTAAAGGGCACCGCGAGCACATTGATGACCTCTACCTGGCACCCAATCTTGGTACCAGCCCAGAGCTCTTGTCAACTTCTTAGCAGATATTTCTTGGCTCCAAAAGTCAATCCAGGCGGGTTTCAGCGACGGCGCGGGCATCACAGTTCCCACCAGAAGAGCCCGCTCCTATCCCACGCCGCCTCAGCAACCGTGGGACCGTGGTGGGGCTACCCCCCAGCCCTGGCGTGCCTGGGCGAGCTTACACAGTGAGGCGGCTGAGACGCCTTGCCGACCCTGGCTGCGAGTTTCGGAATCGCATCACAGCGAATGGGCTGCCGCCTGTCGCTCGGGGGTTGCACCGGAGCCTCCTCGAACTGGAGAGGTGCTGACAGTCGACAAGGAGGCGCTGCGGTTTAGCGCTCCTCCTGCTCACCTCAGTGCGACTTTGGCTCTGGTAGGGCGCCCACGGCCCCGAAGCGCGGTCGCTCTAAGATGAGTGGTGCCACCGCCAGCCACTGAGCGCCTGGAATGGCCAAGGGCCTGGACTGAGAGAGACGGCAGAAGTGAAGAGGGCCGAATTGAGGTGTAGAATTTTGCATTTACGCTGAATGCTTCGTCCACGTGTCGCCCGCCGCAAAAGCAAGTTCAGCGGCTGATCGAGGTCTCAGATCTCACAGTCTGGGCTAGCCTAGAAATAAGATAGGTATACTAAGCTCAGTAGGTAAGACGCCGTTAAAACCACACATTCCGAGAGCTATAGCCCGTCGACGGACCTCAAAGTTTCTAAAGCCTTGGGAAAATACTAACACCAAGCCGTATTGCCGTATTGCCGTTTCCGTCTTCAGCACAGACGCGCTCCGGACTAGAGAGAACGGAAGATCAATAAACTTGCGGCAAAACGTCTGGATACTCGTCCGTGCCCTGAGAACCACCACGCCAAATGAAGCGGCACTTTTGGTGCACTCCACGGAAATACAACATCGGAAAAAGAAGCACACATTATCCATTCACTATTCACTCAATACTACACATGCAGAGAGAACAGGGACGGCAGCTCTTCTGTTCCAAACTTCCAAGAGCAATGACGCTTTGATCGTCGGTTCCCCGCCAGCCGGCCTTGGCCCATTGACAATGGGTCGTTTTGTCCAGGTTTCCGGGTGAATTGTGCCAGGAAAAATCGGCAGAAGAGGGCGCCCTAGCAACTATCGCCAGGGAGGAGGTGGGGAGAAGCTCGAGCTCTTTTCGTCCCGCTTTCGATGCGGGTCCGAAAGGCGGCGACCTGGTTCGCGCGCCTTGGAGCCGCGACCTTCCCCGCGGCCATTGGTCGGCCATTTGTTGCTGTGCCCCTTGGCGATATTTCGCATGTGCCAGCAGGCGAGCGGGGAGAGAGCTCGGGGGCATCAGAAACTGCCCTCGGCCGGCAAAATCCATCATGACCTGTCCAGCATCCTCAAGCCGGATTTCAACTCGGCGCGAACATGTCCCGGGCGGGCCAATGGCCAGCTGAAGTCGGCTATTCCGTCCCAAGCGCCAGCGAGACGGTCATTGTCCAGCCGTGCCCCTTGCAGCGTGTATACAAACAGTATCCGTATGTCGTCCAGGTATTCTCCAGCTGCGGGATATGGAAATATCGACTCGGTATATAGCTCGCTAAGCTTTCGGAGAATACGGAGCTTTGAGCTTTGAACCTTGGACCTGGCAGCTCAAGCTCTTGACAGCCTACCTCCCTAGCCGCACAGCCGCCCTTGAGGGGCTTCCTGGAATACGTAGCAGAGGACCTGCTGGTGAGAGGGGTTTCACGTTTCCGATCCTTCAATCCGAAGACGTCATCCTTCATAAGGCGGATGGGCCTGCCCAACTCAGTACCCTGCTCCGAGCAGCGCGTCACCCGAGGTGGTCAAGATCGCCCGATAGCGTCTTGCCTCTCGTCATTCTGCGTACCAATCCAGCTCAGTGATGGAGCTCACAATGTGCGATCGAGATCTACTAGTTATCGAACAACTGACAGAAGACCGTCTGTTCTTCTTCTTGCTCACTCTTGGGGCGGATGCCAGTGCTTTGTTTACACGGCACTTGCGTCTCCGCACTTGTCTCCCTTGGCTCCTCCCCGAAGACGGACAGTGCGCAGTGTCATGCACATCGTCTGTTGGTCAGCTCGAACTGGCTAGGTAGGTGCTTTCGCTGCCACGACATGATGCTACCCGCAGCGCAGAGCAGATAGAGAGGAGAGGCGTAACCTGCATAGTCCCAGGAGATACGGTGTAAGCACACCACCAAGTGCACCACAGCTCGCGAATCCCGTCCAATGGCAGCTTGCAATTGACATGTCGGCGTGCCGCTCTGTTGGTGTTAGACCCCGCGCCTGGGCCACTTCAAACGCCAACCATTCTGGCTCGGTCTTGGTTCAGCTCTCGTCAGACACGCCAGCCTTTCCGGAAGGAAATGCCGCAGCATCCTCCCGGCCCTGCCCTGCCCGTGGATCGATCACGCCGACTATCAAAGCAAAAAGAAAGCGCATTGCTCGGTCACGTTTAAGATATGTCGCACAAGGCGGGGAAGACGTCTGCCTTACATGGGCTGTGAATTTGCCGAGTGCGGTGTGCACAGAAGAAGAGAGCACGCACGCACGGTGCACGTGTTGCATCGCGACATTCGTTAGCGAAAGTAAACAAAAGAAATGACGCGCCAAGCCCTGTGTCAGATAAACATTCTCGAGCCCCCTGTTTGCGGCGCGGGGTAACCAGCCCTTCCCACGCAGGGGGCACACGGATTCACGTGATCACGATCTTTCTCTCGGTCTTTGTACCCTTATCTTCCCCACACCTCGGTGAGCGGCTTGGCATCTTCTGCCCCTGAAGTTGTTTAATGTCAAAGTCTTTGGGCAGCTCGCATCACGAACAACTGCGCAGTCTGCACCATTTATTTGCAAAATACTTTGTTGACGATATCTTCTCAACGCGGCTGTGAGAATAAACACGCCGATTGTTTTTATTTGTCAGGGAGTTCTTTGTGACTGACTGTTGCCTGCTGACCGGACTAGGTTCGCGGCGGGCGGTGCGGCGTAAAAGGAAAGGGAGGGGGGCGGAGGAGGCACAACAACCCGAAGCCATCCATTCCACCCGGTAGGACATCGTAGTAAGAGTCTGGTAAGTCAACAACTCCGACGGGCCTCCAGATCCTAACCGGCGCATTGATACAGATACAAGCACAAGTCGACGTAAACCAACCAACCGCGGGGGAAAGCGCTTTGTTTACATAGCATGCAAAATAATTATCCGTCTGACTACCTAACTCTTGGAAGCTTACAGCCCCATCCTTCAGTGATGTGGTGGCGTCTTCATCCGCGGCCCACACTGCCGGTGGATACTTCTTTTTTTGTCTGGAGTGGAAAAAGTGTAGGTTCCTTGGTTTTTTTGAGTGTTTGTGGCGATATGCGATAGGGGGGCTTTACTATTTACTATTTACTATTCTCACTCCCTATTCCGCCTCATCTCTCAATGCGTAATGTGCATATCTTTGGAGCCAGTGTTAGCTAGCAAATAGGTACTGTCATGCAATTCTTGCTATACTGCGGTAAATGCTTAATTGTGTTAAATTTAGTGTGCGCATGACGACAGGTGTAAGACAATTTACTTTGGCGACAAATCTAACTGTGGGAGTCGCTCTTCGAGTGGACGAAAGAAAATAAGTACCGTCATGTGTTGAGCATGCGTCTTGTAAAAGATTGTCTGACCTTTAATCCGTTAACAAACGAATCATTTACGTCTACTTACATAAATAGATCCTTATATAGGTAGGTACTGTACCTAGGCTGGTCTCTGCATAAAAGGTAGTTAATTGTTGCGACCTTTTTTAGGTGCGCATATACATATAATTACCCAGTACGAGTTATTCAGTACAAGTCAAGGGGCATATATCAAGATCAAGAGAGGACGTGTGATTGTAACAAGAGAAAAGAAACACAGGTAAGAGGCTCAACTCTATATTCCTCCCTTTTATTTTCTTAACAAACTAGCACATTGCATCTGCTCTCTTCATTCAGATTAGCGACTGAGGTTAAGTGTTTAGTTTGGTATATGCCTTCTGGAATACTGTATTGCGGATTTGCTGCATTTGGGGTTTGGTAACTATTCCGCTCTCAGGTGTCATTTCTTTGGTCATACTATCTGCCTTGGGTGTGTGTACATCGAAACAGATATTGACGTCGGCAGTTATCATAAATAGCCTCCCGAACTTTTTCTCAATATTATTCCCCAAAAAGATCGTGAACAGGGCGAGAAGAGACGCAGATGCAAACAATACTGGTGGCTGTGGGCGGAAATAGTGAGGGTAATTAAAGCACTAGAGGCAACATATAACTGTGTTACAGATTAAGTCGTGTTTAAGAACTCGCTGCAAGTAAATCCCTTCCCCGAGCTCTTGAGTCGTGAATCGTAGAGGAATTCGAAGTTCGAGTTTCCCTAGGCTATGGAGGTTTGGAATTGAGTCACTCACAAAGAGCGTCAGACAAACTTTCCCATATTTGTATTGCTCAAATATATTGATAGATTTACTGTAATAGTATTCGTATTATTCTACATTTCCAGAGACGTTGTGCACATATGTAGCTTTCCACACTGATATCGCCCTTTGTGCCCCTATTCCAGAGCCAAACACGCTCTCCACCTATGCTTTGGTGGGATGGAAACTTTTTACCCCTGATACCCGGCTAGAACAACTCTAGAATTTCTGACATGCATGGAAGAGCCAGGGTCCGAAGAGATTGAACTGGGGACCGTTGTTTGCGCTGTGAGCTACAGCGAGATCAGTGCTGTGCAGTTTGAGATCCTCCACTGGACTACCCGAAATTCTCTTTCTCAGCCCCCCTACTCTTGCCACCTGGATCCTGCCGTGCAAGGAGACCGGGGTCTCAGACGAAGATACTGATTCGGCGTACCCTGCTATTGTGCCCTGTCGAGGCGAACGGGATCGGCGAGTGGAGTCCAACCGGTGATGCCGACGCAGAAACATGGACGCCGTGACAGGCCGACCCCTACCACGGCTCTATCTGGTTCCCCGAGCTTGATGTGAGTTCAAGGAACAGGACGAGAAAAACCAGAGAGTCTGCGCGGAGACGAAGGCAAACTCTCCTCGGGCGCCAGTCCAAAGAATAAAAGAATCGGCAGGCAGGCAAACCTTGCCATGAATAATGCAAAGCTTTTTATCCCATACAAAACGTGCCTTCATGACCAAGGTAGATATCAAATACCAAAGAAATAAAACGAGTGAGTCCAAGACAATGTTCCTCAAACCGCTATTTGAAGTGAATTGTGAGTTTCTGACAAAGTTTCAATACCAAGGCAGGTACGGATACCGTAGGCGTCAAAACCTGACAAACAAGCATGAATAGGTTCGTAACGATACTAGGCCGAGCCAGACATTAAGCAATTTTTCTGTCGGGGATAATATCGCATTCGTGGAGAATGCTAATATGGAGCAAGGCAGGATATGCCGGCCCTCGCGAACCACTTTGACGACTTACACAGTGGAACACCGGCATTAATCCGGTACTGCACATATGCAGATCCAGGAGCACCCCCGACGTGCAATAAGCGGGGTTACCCTTGTGGATGCACGCAGCTTCCCCAGCTTTTCGGGGCTGGCCAGAGCGGTGAACCGTTGCAGAAAACGGACCTGCTAAAAATTTCCAGGCGGGTTGATCGAAGCATTTGACGGGGGATGCTGTATTCAAGCCTAAGCCTGCCGGCCGTGCTCCATCGGAAGCGACCCTCGAAGCTGTTTTCTTTCCACAAAATGGGTAGCAAACGCAAGCGCACGAACAAGGAGGCCGTGGGTGACATCCAGCCGTCGCAGAAACGATCAAAGAACGGCCAGGCCAAGACCAAAACGGACAATGCCCTCGACAAGTCCCCCTTCACCGAGCAGCACACGGTCGAGCAGCGGAGGAGGGAACTCGAAATCTACGAGCTTTTGGGAAGCGAGGATATCGCCGATCGCATCAATGCCGCCGATGCCATTATCTCGGGCCTCCTGGGCGGAGACGGCGTCCCAGAGTCGGTCCTCCTCCGGCATCTCGACAAGCGTCTCTTCCGCGGGCTTGCCAGTGGGAGGAATGCCTCGCGCCTGGGCTTCAGTCTCGTTCTGACGGAGATTCTCGGCCAGCTGTTTGGCGAGAAGGACCTGGCTGGCACAAAGTACACGAGCCTGACTTTTGACAAGGTCTTGGGCCTCTTGGTCGAGAAAACACACACGGGCGGGAGCATTCCCGGCCAGGAAGAGAGGAACCACTTCTTCGGCCAATTGTTCGGCCTCGAGTGCTTTATCCGCGCCGATATTCTCTACTCTGACAAGACAAGGTGGTTTGCCGTCCTGGACCTGCTCCTGAAGCTTGCCGAAAAGAAGTCTTGGCTCAAGCCGCAGTGCGGCTTCATCGTCGCCCAAGCCGTAGCCCAGATGAAGCGTAAGTTAGCCGAAAAGACGCTGCAAGTCCTAGCCGAAAACGGCTACCCCAAGACACCAGAAGGCGTCGGCATCTGGATCGCAGCCCTAGACCGGTTCCCAGAGATGCAAGTCCCCTCTCAGCCATGGAAACACCCCCTGGCTGCCACGTCCCTTTCCGCTCTGCCTGCAGCCCTCAAGGACACAGGTAGCGAGTCGACTGGCGACCAAGAGCCGGGGAAGAAGCAGAAGACGGCCAACTGGACCGCTCGGCTTCATTTTGTGTGGGATACCATCGTTGCTCACTTCGTCAAACTTGGCAAGCAAGCTGAGGCTGATGCTGCTGAACAATTCAAAAAATTCTGGAACCGAGTTGTAGATGGTTAGTCTTGACAATCGTTTTTTCTTGTACTTTTTCTCACTAATACGACTATAGAGGGCTTCTTCTCAAAGGGATCGTCAGATAGCCAAAAGTTTTCTGGATTTATGATATTCCAGAAAATGCTTGAAGGTGCCCAGAACTGCCCCTTTGTTCTGCCAATTCTTTTCAGTAAGAACTTCATGGCTTGCTTGATGAACCAGGCCTCTGTTGAGGACCGTTACCTCCACCGTGCGGCCCTCAAGGCACTGAAGGCGATCGAGGCGGCCACGGGAAACGAGCCGTCTTTTCTTCCCACGACCCTCAAGCAGCTTCTTGGTAACCATGGTGCCTACAACTTTGACCAGCGAACCAACACCAAGACTGTGGACAAGCTCCTTCAAAAAACCAGTCCCGCTACCATAAAGGCTGTCCTTAAGCTCTTGCAGCTGAAGGACCCCTCCAAGAGTGGCCTTGACGAGGCTAAATACTACCAGGCCCTCGGCAACTATCTATACAGGCTCTCGAGCACAACCTCTGAATCGGACGAGGAAAGCAAGTCCAAAAAATCTGTTCCGGGCTCCGCGATTCAACTGTTGACAGAGCTCGCGTATTCCAACAAGTCGGTACCCGAGAATATTAAGGAAGCACTCCGGACCAAGTCTACGTCCGCATTTGCCAAACTGGTAAAGAGGCCCGAAGATTTTGGGCATCTCTGCAACGCCATTTTAGCAATTGAGACGGACCTGGACCCAGAGGATGAGATGGCTAGCTCAATTCTCCCTCAAGCCTACGAGAGACTCAAGGACTTGCTTGACCCTGAAAACGAGACTGATGCTACCAAAGGCACCCGGAGAGCGCTTGCCCTGCTGCACTCGGTGGGGATTCTGCAGTTTTACAACCAGGACCCCGATGTAATGGATTTGTTTGAAGAGCTTGAGGAATGCTATGATAAGCTGGCGGACGAAAAGCTCCAGGACGGCGAAGGGATCTCCGAGTATCTGGTCGAGATCCTGCTGGCCATGGTTGCTCGGCCATCATCTCTCATGCGGCAGGTCTCGCAGCAGGTATTCGAGGCCTTCACCGGCCTCATGTCTGCCGAGGCCCTCGAGCTCCTTACGGGCCCTTTAGCTGCCGACGAGAGCGCTAAGGGCCAGCAGGCTCTCTTTAGCACCGAAGACGAGGATATGCATGACGCTGAAGGGGGGAGCGAGAGTGGAAGTGATGAAGAAGAGCTTGACTCCGACGTGGAGATCGTAAATCTCGAGGAAGCAGGGTCTGAAGACGGCGACAAGAGCTCAGGGGACGAGGAGGACGACGAAGAAGAGGAGCAGGAAGAAGAACAAGACAAGGATCAAGAGGCCCTCGAGGCTCTCGACAATGCCTTGGCAGACGTTCTCCAAAGTCATCGACTTGACAAGGACAACGAGGCGGAATCTGAGCCCGAGTCGGATATGAGCGACTCGGAGATGATGGCTGTCGACGAGAAGTTGGCCGAGATCTTCAAGCTGCGCGCAAAGTCGACAAGCAAGAAGAAGGATAAACGAGATGCCAAGGACACGGTTGTCAATTTCAAGCACCGTGTCCTCGACCTTTTGGCAATCTTTGTCAAGAAGGAGGCGACAACTCTCAACCCGCTTGCCTTTGGCATCCTGCTTCCGCTCCTCCAACTAGTGCGCACGACAACAACAAAAGCCCTTGCCAACAAGGCCTGCGACATCCTCATCAACTTCTCCAAGGGTCTGAAAAAAGCGAGGGCCAGCCACGCCAAGCTGGGCGAGGAGGTGGACGCGGACGCGATGACGGCGCTGCTCCGGGAGCTCCATGACGAGGCCCCGAAGGATCCCTCGCACGCTTTTGCCAGGGCGGTCTCGACGGCCAGCCTGGCGGTGGCGTCGGTACTGTGCGGGATGGACGACAAGGCCACCCAGGACGTCTTCCAGCTATACGCCGAGACCCAGCTCAAGTGGTATCGCGGCCAGGTCAAGATCCAGCCAGCCTTCTTCTCCGACTGGCTACACTGGTGCCAGAGCCACGTGAGCACCTTGGCGGCGCAGGACTAGAAATAGATTCCTAGCTCAGTTCCGTAGGTAGGCGAAGAATAGAATGCCCTCTGATGTAGTAAAAAAGAAGACTAAAGGGGAAACCCAACCAACCGTAAGACTGTTATGGTGCACTCGTTGGGCAGCTACTTTTAGCCACCCAAGTGAGTTTTGATGCGTGATCAGTCAAATCACACAAGACAGACACGGAGCAGGTACCGCTTTCTCAGGAGTGACGATGCCAAGAGGAAAATTAGTCTATCTCCCACCGGGCCGAACCGGAACTTGGCCACCATGAAGGTACAATTACAATTGACGCGCCCGCTTGCAATGCCCCTACCGGGGAAACCTATTCCTGCATCTTATCGTCCTCCTTCTTTTCGTCGTCGTCATCCTCGTCCTCGAGCGACTTCTTGGCCAGCCGCTCGGCCTCCTCGCGGAGGGCCTTGGGGACCTCCTGGTGTAGCCCCTTTGTGGGGCCGTCGGCGCCGCTGATCCAGCTCATCTCGAGCTCGAACTCCTTGTCCTTGTTGTCGTCGTGGGCGACGTAGATGATGCGCGCGGCCTCCTTGACGGCGTCGAGCAGGCTGAGCGCGCCCGAGCCCAAGTCCAGCTTCTCGAGCTCCGCCTTGGCCGCCTGCCGGCCCTTGCCCGTCGCGGCGCCGTAGTAGCCCCAGTACAGGCCCGACGGCTCGATCATGTACAGGAAGGGCCCGCCGTACTTCTTGCCGGCGGCCTTGCCACCCGCCCCCACGCTGGGCCCGCTGCCCACCACGCCGTCCACGGCCGCCTCCAGCTCGCTGTCGAACCCGCCCACAATCGCCGTGATGCCAAACGGCCGCACCGACTGGTACAGCGTGTACGCCTGCATGTACCCGCCCATCCGGCTCGCCAGGTCCGCCGTCGGGATCGGCGTCTTGAACGTGTCGCGCCACGACCGCGACTCGTCGCGCGCCCGGTCTATGAAGTGGCGCCCGTCGGGGATCATACCCGAGTATACCTGGGCGGGGAGGGGAGGGTTAGTGGGCGGGTTAAAGAAACGGCTGGGTAGCAATGGAGGGGGAATGTCAGGATATACAGAGCAAGAGGAGATAACGATAGACCGTAACCCTGAGAAAAGGGAAAGAGAAAGAGAAAGAGGAAAACTCACAACTCCCAAATGCCTGTCTACGGTGGCGATGCGCTTGTTGGCGCCCTGCTTGAGCAGCTTGGACGTGACGACCTTCTCGACGGCCAGCACGACGCCGTCCTTGCACCGGATGCCGATGGACGTGCCGCCGTTCTCGACCGCCTTGACGGCATACTCGACCTGGAAGTTGCGGCCGTCGGGCGAGAAGATGGAGTTGGCGAGGTCGTAACCTGTGCCTATCGACGTCTGTGTGTTTCGTTGTCAGCCCCTGTCCCTTTTGCCTATTTTGTTCTTCCTTCTTATTGTCCAACGGGGAGCGGGAGAGAGCAGTGCCCGAATGGGGAAGCTCAGAGAGTATTTTGGGCAGTAGTGCGCGCTCAGCTCAGCTCTGCTCTGTCCGTTGCGCTGCGGGCGTGCGGGCGTGCGGGCGGGCGGCATCTTACCATTGTGATTTAAATTTGCGGGGGATGATCGAAATGTGTTGTTTCTCTGACGGGCCCGATGTGCAATTCTGTGCGTCGCTTGCTTTCAAGACGCGGGGGCAAGGTGTGCGGCGGTTGAGGAGGGAGGATGCTGATTATTTCGTCGACGTTGCGGCTCGGGAAGGTTGGCGGTTGTTGCTGCTTGACTAACGAACGAACCCCAGAGCTTCAGGCAGCCTTGGGAGCTGCGCGTTGCCTTGCCGTGATTGGCGACTGGCTGGCTTGTGGCGCGCTTGTGGCGCTTACTCCCGCCTCACTCAGCCTCAGCCACAGCTCCCTAAGCAGTGAGCGCACTGGCCATGTCCCGCACGCATGCACGCACGCACCTAGACGGGCTCAGCTCACCTTTCCAGCGAGGCAGGCACATCAGCAAGACGCGGCCACGCAACCCCCTCAATCAGACGACAGGAGAGCGCGTAGATTCCCTCTCACTCATTGGTAAGTCGCCACGACTCTCATAAAGTTTCATTGAGGCGGGGTAATATCTCATGAGTTTATTTTCTTCTATCTTACAAATCTCAGGTGAAGCTGGTTTCTGGAGCACGAGACCAGCTAGTAAGGTTTTGCACTATCCTAACCTGTTTGGAGACGGCAACTGACCAGCCTAGTGGCGGTTATTGCTCTTTGTACGTCTGCTATGGTGCTTACCGACAATTCTGAGCCTCAACCCCTCAACCCCTTTTCTTTACAAGTCTATTAGCTGGCCAGGCGGAGAACCTCAACCAAGTTTCGGCGTCGCTGACTCAGAAAACAGGCTGCCCTGCGTCGCCAAATTCTGTCCCCCGCCATTCAATGAAGCATCTTTTCTATTAGCCGCCCTGTCGTATAAACGGCATGTCACTTGACTTGACATGACAGCAGCGCATGACTGCAGTAAGTCTGGCCTTGGACTAAGCGGCGCAACATTTCTCTTGCGCCAGGGAGGAGGCAAGGCAAGGAATACCTTACCTAGGGTAATTACTGGTTCCGGGTGGTCCTGTGAGTTCGGTCAAGATTGTGAAAGTGAGCATAATCTGAGCTTCGGTATGATTTCCGCCGTCTTCATAGTTCATCAAGGTCTTTGATTAGCTCATTCGGACCCATCCTGGTCTAGCATCGCCCCGCCTCCACAAAACAAGCTGATCGGATTTACTAGCAAGTTGTGGTCAACATGAAGCGACAAAATTTCAGACTCTTGCTCTCCGTTGCGGTGATAGCTCTCACCTATCACAACCTACGACATGCGTTCAATTCGAACATGTATCCCTCGAGACTCGTTGCCGACACGCCCAAGGTTAAGCAGACGCCCAGTCGCGAGAGAAAAGGCGTGCCCGATGAGCAGTCCGGCGCCAATGGGAAATAATTAGACTATAGACTGAGCCTTTGTTGGAGGCAAGACGAACAACCAAGCCGTGTTACCAAGTCTGTGCCTACGGCAGTCCGCTATCTGAGGTGGGGATATCTTGACAGCGGCCGATATTTCTTAGGGTGGAATTAAATAGTTCTGGCACAACGCTTTGACGGAATCATAAGCCATGTATTATGTGGTTACACTGAATTCTTGAGGGGCGAATTGCTCTCCAAGTTTCCAAATTTAGTCCCAGGCCCACGGAGTGAACTAATGAGACCAATTTGTCGTGACTTGAATTATACTGAGTCACCGCTTAATCAAGTGAGTCGACTGACGTGGCGTGAAACACCATGGTCTGCCATTCCAAGATCGTACACGACTCATGAGAGGCAAGGAAATAGGCGTGGCGTCATAAAAGCCTCAGCCAAGCACTTCGCACTTGGTGACACAGCAGTCCAGTCCCTTCATGGAGACAGACCAGACCCTAATCATAACTTGAGCTAGTCTCTTTTTTTTGCAATGTGTTCTAAGAACCACAAGTACATTACGCAAAGTACGCTCCTCGCCTTCCAGGTTGTCAATGAAATGAATTAGAGCTGTAACAAGAAGGTCTTAGATTGGAGATAAAGCTCCCCTCGATCGGCCTCGGCGACTTTTATCTGATCAGAATCTGTGTTACTCCATACTTGTTGTATTTACTTGTATGCCACAGAGGAGCGAAACTCAATTCAGTGTGTGGCGGAGGGACGGACTGATCTATTTTCTGCGTGCAGTATCAGCACAGTAGCCCAAAATATACTCTGCTAGCAATAATGAAATATAAAAAAGTAAAAAGAGAAAAAAAGAATAGAGTGAATCTCTCCCGCCGGGAATTGAACCCGGGTCCCGAGCGGAGTCTGCTGTGAAGTTGACAAGCTCATATACTGACCACTATACTACGGAAGATTTACTAGTGTGGATCACTAACTGTAGCTTGGAATCGATGAGTGGAGAATGCCGATAAGGCATATAAGTAGGTAGGTAGTCTGCGGGCAATTGCGAAGCGGGATATGGGTTTTCTGGCGTGCATCCAGGGAGTGCCTGGCAAATTTCCGTTGACTCGAGGGGGTGGTCCCTGCGATAGTACCCTGCAAGCAATGTGAAGCTCTACAAAGTCCGACGACTCCCGCTGTTCTGTGATGAGACGAATCTGGGCTCACGAAATTTCCTTTTTCGTACATACGTCGTCCATGTGACATTGCTCACCCTGGCTCTGGCTCGGCTCGGTCTTTGCTCAGGATTTGCTCAAGCTTGCTCATCTTTGCTTACCCTAATTCCGTGTTTAGCAGGCTGCGCCGCGGCGTAGCAGCGTGCTAGATTGCTTTAACTGCCCGTAGTTAAGCGAGCCCAGAATTATGGAAGTAGTCCCTGCCAGCCAAAAGAAGGGTTTGGACTTAAGTACCAAGTTGACGCAGTTCGACAGTTCCAGGCCCTTCTTTCTGACAGTGGCCCGTGTTCCTCTTTCCGCACCGTAGTGCCTCTACTTCTCTTTTTTAATAGCTGAAACTGTTGTCTGCCGGCTCGGCAGTATTCAATGACTCTCTAATACCCTCCGTACCGATTTGATGCGGCTTTGCGCAGCGCGCTGTATTAAATGACGAGAATGATCGTTGTCTGCCACTTATCGAACTTGGCCCTTGCCCATTGTGCTAACCTAGTTTTCCATGGTTCTGAAGAGCTGTAATATGGGCGGCGTAGTTGCAGCACAGCACACCGACTAACTTACCTATTTGACAGCAAGCAAGCCGGCCTGATAGTGATAGGAATGGATCATCTTAAAGTCTAGAGTACTGGTGGCAACCACCCAGTCTTGGGATCCGGCAGAGAAGGAGAAGAAGAGAAATTTCCTACAACTCCCTACAATTCCCCGTCCGGTCCGCCGCCCACGGTAATATTATTAGCATCTGGGGGGTTAAACCGTTGGACAAACCCTCAAGATCAGCCACGGCCTGCCGGAAAACCGTCGGCCGGATTTTCTTGAGCGCCCTAACAAAATGCGACCTTTCGAGCCGCAGCCTCTGCATCTTCTTGCCCCTGGGCGTTGTCCTCACCTACTCCACGGCCCAGATCATGGCAGCCTCGGCGCACACGTTCCGCAGGTCCGAGCCCGAGTAGCCTTTGGTGCGGTGCGCTAGAGAGTCTCCCTCGTCGATGAAGAGCACGCAGGGAAAGAGCTTGGCCGCGAGCGAGAAGGCCGCCTTGGCGACCGCTCTGCTGAGGTGTGTCTTGCCGGTCCCGGGAGGGCCGTAGAAATGGGCCCCGCCGATGTGGATATGCTTGAGAAGGGAGCATGATGCCATCTCGGGTGGCAAGTTGGAGAGCGACACTAGGTGACTAACTATCTGCTTGGTCTCTCTATCTATAATGACATCGTCGTACGTGGTCCGTATCTCGCCTGGAGGGGTGAGTCACGAGTTAATTAGCGGATGTCGATGAGATTGTCAACACCTACCCGAAAAAGGCTGGTGCGCTTCTAGGACCTGCAGAACCTCTGGAGAGAAGAAATGGGGTATGTGATATCGTAGCAGGCGCTTCAGCCACACCATATTGAACCCCCCCTCTCTTGTTGGTGCACTTGAACAGCGAGACCACTATGGCGACTTTCTGTCCGGATGCCCGTCGGTGGTGAACGGTGTTCCATAGTCCTGCCAGAATCCGATGACCTTTCGGTAGGCGCAGTACTTGGCTATAGTTTCGGAAGTGTAGCAGAAGGGGGGTTTCGGCCTAACCGTTGCCATGTGCGTCAAGCACAGTCGTGATGTGATGGCTTTGCTATTCTGAGCCTAGTCATCATTCGATGCGTGCTGCTGGTTGCGGACGCTAAAGTAGTGAACTGCCATCCTCGCGAGGGAGTCGAGGTCGGCGGGGCATGGAGCCTCCTTCTCCGAGTTTGATGCCGTCTCTTCACCGCCCTCCAAGTCTGCCATACGTCGATCCTGCCCATCAAACTCCCATCCCAGATCCTCAAGGTCTTCCAAGCCCCATCGACACCAGATTTGCCTCGAGGGCTTTCGCAAATGCAGAAGCATCCTGTCCATCAGCGGCATGGCGTCGTTGGTTGGATAGCGGATGATAATGCTGGCCTGCGATGGCGATAGGTTTCCCGCTCGGCCCAAGGCCAGGCTTGCGGCCGTGGTGTCTCGCACCTCCGAAAACGCTCCATCGAGATGGTCGGTACCGGAGAACACAGTCGCGAACAGGGGCTCAAGGTCGCATAGCTGTGCTGCGGTTCGGACATTGCGGCTCAAAAACTAGCCGGGCAGGAGGTATTCTTCTGTGACCCCGGCGGCTAATACTTTGTTCTCCTCTGCAGGAAGTGCTGCACATCTTCAATGTGCGACATCTGCGTCGACAGTGAAGGCGGCGCTCCGGTCATTGTGACGGGTCACGGTCTTGGTGAGGAATGCTTTCCTGGTCGTTTGTGAGATGCTTTATCAGAATTAACTATCTACCTACCTAGCAGAAGTCGGATCACTTCGGTTTATGGATATCTGTGATACTTAATAGGTACTTAACTTATCTGAACCAGAAGCTCGTTCAGGACTGAGCCTTCATTGGTGCCTGATAAGCACCTACCTCGGGCATGAGAAAATCGGCGGAAGGGACGGCCCTTCTTACTAGCGTTTTACCTACGTCAATATCATATTGTGGCGGAGCATAGCAAGGTTACAGTTATGACTGGTTTGCCACTGTCAAGGCATATTATTCCGTGGAAGGCGATAAGTCAGTCGCAACGTTTGGTTTATTTACAATCTCTTGTGCAGTCCGCCGAGATAGACCTTTGAGTGACGGACGGCGCTTCTCCCCTCATAGGAGAAAAGAATCTGGCGGTGTAGAGGTCTTGCATAGAAAACCTTATGCTCGGCCGGACGTGCACCTTCTGGGAATCCCTCGGCCATGCCTCCCTCGGTACAGTGCCCTACGTGGACGGGCAGGCTCGTGAGACGACGCACACCAAGACTGAAGTCCTGCGCATGTTACCGCCCGTGTATGTGCTCGCCAACAGGACTTTCATCTCGGGCTCCGCAGCCGGACGAGCCTTCATCTCGACGACGAGCGGATACGTGGGACTGGGCCTGACGGCAAGCAAGCCAGGAGACGAGATTGCCTTCTTCTTCGGGGGTCGTGCTCCCTATGTCATCCGACGTCTCGCTTCTGGCAAATACAAATTCATTGGGCCGTGCATAATCCTCGGCATTATGGGCGGGGTGGCTCTTGATGGTCATCCAGCCAAGCTTGTGGAAGATTTTGTGCTTGTATAGCGGCCTTGTCTGATGGCTTTGTGGCACTCTCTAACCCTATTACTACGGTGGATTACTGCAGCATTCAATAAAACAGGTTCAGCTGCATTCCTGCCGTTGCGCTAAGCAGTGTTCCGTCTACGGACATCACATAACTGCGGGCCGTTCATGTGCATAATCATATTGCATGTTGTAGCATCGACTGTTCAAGTCTCGCTTTGGGGATATTGATAAAGAGAGAAAGGCTGCCTGAAAGGTAGTTAAAGAAGGGATCGCGTATGGCAAGTTCTCTGCTTTTTATACAGACCGGAAGGCTGATTCCCAAAACGCCCACAGCTCGGGCCAAGCTGAAGCGCCAGAAGGGGCAAGCTGGCTGACTTGCAAATATAAATCAAATCCTCGTTGAGTGTGCCCCGTAATAGTAGGGAAGAGAGTTACGGTCTTTGTCTAAATGTAGGGGTCTGAAGAAACAGGAGAAGAAAGTCACCGGCAAACACCTTGTTCTGTTCTGCATGGAATCCCATCTGTATAGCTTGATGGCGACCCACTTCGACTGGTTGGTTGAATGGGTCTTGATACCTACCCTCCGCGATACTCTGGAGAACTATTTCAAATTGCGGGTCGGGCTTGCCTCAGTCTTACATGCCTACCTAGGCATTATGCACTCCAATCCAAGCAGCTTAGGTCCAAAATGCCGCATACATTCTTGGCAGCTGCGTTGAAGGAGCAGGTTGGCTGGAAGCTCGACCATTGAGTGCCTGGAAAGCCGTGGCAAGCTTCCTAATGACCATTTGATGACTCACGATGAACAACAATCCGAGAATCACTTGGACAAGCTCTTCTAATTCCGGACCGTAGCCTCTACTTCAATACCTTACCTTAGTGAATGCCTTACACGACGTACTCCGCTGCCCTCACCGTCTAATTATCGTGTTGCCTTTTAAGTGGGTGGCTGTGTCGGGAGATTATAAGGTACCTTAGGTAGACACGTGGCACGGGAAGCGCGACTACAGGCTCAGCGGCGTGTTCGATAATAATAGAAGGTACCCGGCTTCAGTTACCCGGCGACAAAAGCAACCAGATCACAGACGCTCACACGAACGCCCCAGGCCTCGGGGTCGGTCTGCACGACGGTGCTGGAAGCGCAATGGGAACCCCTAGCCTGCGCAGTACTTGAGCCAAGGGTGGGATGCCGTCGCCGACACGCCCAGGAGGCAGGCATCACGGCCGTCTCTGACGTCTTGCATATAGAAATTTAGCATGCGGAGGGTTGAGTCTCGCGACGGCCCGAGCCTGATCACCTCGTTCGCGGATATCCGCCCGCGCCCACGGAGGGTTCCTAAGTGGTCCGGGACGTCGGGGACAGACCTTCCCGTGTCTTTGCGGAAGCCGAGCTGGACGTCTTGGACCAAACCCTTGCTCTCTTGACCCACCAAACCCAGTGGACGTATTCTCTCACGTTCCGCATTCCAGCCAGGGCCAGAGATCCAGCTCAACTAACTCCCTGGCGACATGCCTAAACGGGCGCTAGGACAAAGACCGGGAGGAGTCGTCCTGGAGGCGGAAATTGTGGCGATGTCGTAGGACGTCGGACCTCGAAATAGGGTTGTCCGAGTAAGCACACGGACTCTGCCACTCGTCGTCGAGGAACGGCTGAGGGGTCCCAGTCCAGGCGGGTATGGTTGTCTCGGGAAGGGACATGGAACCGAAACCGCAACGCTTTTTGAGCGTTTCTAAATAGCGGGCGATCTATTGTAGAATAGTAAAATCGCCCAGGAGAAAGACGCCCAGCCACCACGATGTTATACGAGGTCGGCGGCATGCAAAGACTTTAGTGAGCTGGCCTAGGTTACGGGACTCTAGGACGGGCTTGAGGAGTGGGAGATGGAGGAGAGCTAGGGACTTACCAGGTTGGTTTCGATGTCGGGTTGCCAAAAGATGCTCCAGAGCGCGGACCCAAGACACTTTGTGTTCATACTGAGCGTCATATAGTACCGAAGATCGGCAGTGTACTGTCGAATCCGAGCGGGTTCCTTTGTAGCGGCCTTGGCTGTGCCGGGGCTCCATCTCTTGAGAAGGGGGCTGGGGAATTGTGGTTGGAGGCCGTCGGAATGAAAAAATGGAAGCGCGAGTGCGGCCAGGAAAGCGCTGGTAGCCGGTAATAGCTCCGGCTGACGGTCATCGGGCTGGTGCTCGGGCTCAAAAAGTCCATATATCGCACACAACTGGATCAGGAGCTCGGTGGCCTCTGCCGAGTTGGGCGGTGATTCGCCGGGAGGGGGGAGGCTCGCCGGCCCGTCGGCGGTAGCGACTGCAAAGCGGACGTGTCCGGAACAGAAGGCGGCCCATGGAGGAACCCCCTCGCCGTTTGCGGTCTAGCCGGGTCGAGGCGATAGGATAGCACAAAGCCATCTTATCAGCCTGGGGGAGGCTGATTCGCCGCGATCTAGAAGAATCTCGCCGGCACTGGGCTTGAAAGCCCTTGCCGTAACGGGTAGCAAGCAGTGCTGAGAGTAGACTGGCTTCCTCCGCTGCAGCTCCAGGAGCCGGACGGATAGAATGTACGGCTAGCACATGGTCAAGATGGACAGGCCTCGCTGAGCACTCAAAAGGTCGTGACCAGGAAGCGAGTGGTGGGAGTAGACATGAAATTCGACTGGTTTCGGGCGGGAGACGTGGAAGTAGACGCGGCGGCCGGAAAGGCGTGCGCAGGGAGCGAGTTGGCGCGCTTGAGGAACGCCGTCAATGTTGCACGACCATCCCGAAAGACGCGGTTGATGGCCGCCGAGGGGGGTATTGGAAGGTCGTCGTCGTCGTCGCTGTCGCCGTCGCCGTTGCCGTTGCCGTTGCCGTCGCTGCTGCTTGACCTTGACCTTGACCTTGACCTTGAACTTGTGGACGAGGGCGGTGACGCATCCGGAACCGGCTGAGCTGCGCGGTTGCTGTTGTTGTTTATGTTTATGTTTTTGCCGTTGTCGTCAAATAGAACACTGTTGCTGCTGCCGTCCAGCGGCTTAACGTAGTCGGCCTCGACGACATGCCTGCCAGTGAATATCCACCCGAGAACGCGCTCATGATGCCAGGCATTCATCGCCGCGGCATTATCTCGGCCCCGGGGCTTGAAGGAGTGCGGAGTCGACCATGTTTGGTTTGAGGGAGAGAGCGTCGTTCCATTACGTCCAGAGGTATGGTTGGCCGAGAGTGCCCTGGCGGGGTAAGGCGGGGGCACTCAAATGTCCATTTCCGAATCATTGGCTTCTCGAGCTTCCCCAGTACTTCAAGGTACTCTGGCCATGTCTAGGTAGTTTCAGAGTGACGAAATCCATAAATACCGTGATAACTTCTTGGCTATTAGCTGTTAGATGGATGGGGCACAGAGTTTAGGCGGTTTCTGCTGTGACTGCTGACCGATAAATCTTTGCAACTGTCCTGTTACAGCACCTTTAGCGGTGGACGGCTGGCTGAATTGAAGACCCGCCCGAATATTGTCCAATCACTCATTTTCACAAGGCTGAATATTCGACAGCATTCCCCAACCAAAGGCAAATAGACTGCTTTTTTGAGAGAAAGCCTTTGTACAACTTACAAGTCAAGGACAGAGGCAACTTGGCGTGAAGGTGGACCAGAAAGGGGCAGACTGAGTGTAACCCGGTCTCTTGGTACGGAAGTACATACATGTACATACAGCACACATGCGGGGATAGGGTAACGAATAACGACAAGGGGCAAACACCACTCCGATGAACGAGATAGATAAAAGAAAAGCCCAACAGGTGGTTACCCACTCGCGCACCTGCGGGCAGCATTACCTTACTAAGTAATTAAATAGGCAACCATCTGAGATGGGCCATGAAATGATGACGCCAAGGGCAGACACCTTGGGGGATGAAGTCGCCCCTAGTCTCCACAAAAAATATTAGTGCCGAGGGAAGGAGAGCGCATTTCCATATAGTTGCAACACGATTGCAGCAGTGGCCGTTCAAAGGGCTAGAAATCTAAACAAGGATAAGTAGAAGCCGAGGCCAAACGTGACTTTTGGTCGTCAAAAGGTCGGCTTCCGGCCGGTTGCTGGGTGCCCTTCTCGACCTGCAAACTGGCCTCTGTCTCGGGCTTGGGCTTGGACGGCTGGGACCCGGCGCGCCATCCCTTAGTAGGCAATAACGGGAGCCTATTTGGGCAACCTGGCTTCGCCTAAAGCCGCAGCGCATATCTGGCAGCTTCCAGCGACGGCCTAAACTGTAAAACGTCGTTGACCCTGAAACTTTGCAATCGTCGGCAGTGCCATCTTTCTCTTTTTTCTCTTCACTTCCTTGCCTTTCGTCCACTACCAACCGGACTCATTGGCACATGCTATAATGCAATCATGAGGATTTCGGCTCTCTCCCTAGGCCTCTTGGCCCTCATAACGCCATTGACAGCAGCATGGACTAAGGAAGGCAAGTTTCTAGCTCAATCCCCGGATATGATGGATCCTCGGCCGGACGAGCCAAAAAAAAAAAGTAGCACCCGACAGTCAGACTCGAGCTAACCTGGCCTCCTAGACAACGAAATCTTCCGCGTTCGCGACGAGCTCATAGCGCACGAGGGCCCCGATGTTACCTTTTACGAGTTCGTGGGCGTGGAGCGGACGGCGAGCCAGGAGGACATCAACAAGGCGTACAAGAAGAAGTCGCGGCAGCTGCACCCGGACAAGGTGAAGCAGCAGCTGGCGGCCGAGCGCGCGCAGCAGAAGCTCAACCACAAAAACAGCGGCAAGCCGGGCGTGCACGTGTCCAAGCCGCCGACGGCCTCCGAGGTCAAGGCGGCTATCAAGCGCGCCTCGGAGCGCCAGACCCGCCTGTCTATCGTCACTAACGTCCTGCGTGGGCCCGGCCGCGACCGCTACGACTACTTCCTGTCCAACGGCTTCCCCACCTGGAAGGGCACCGAGTACTACTACACGCGCTACCGCCCGGGCCTCGGCACCGCCATCTTCGGCGTCTTCCTCTTCGCCGGCGGCGCCGCACACTACATTGCCCTGTACATGGGCTGGAAGCGCCAGCGCGAGTTCGTCGAGCGCTACATCAAGTTTGCGCGCCACGCCGCCTGGGGCGACAACCTGGGCATCAACATTCCGGGCATTGACGGACAGCCGGCCGCCGCGCCCGCGCCCGCTCCGCCCCCGCCGCAGCAGGTCTACCACGACGAGGACGGGCGCGCCATCCCGGTGAACCGCAAGATGCGCCGGCTGCAGGAGCGCGACGCCAAGAAGGAGACTAGCAAGAACTCGCAAGCCAGCAGCGGGCGCCGGGGCCGCCGGGGCCGCGATCAGCCGGCGTCGGGCACCGGGTCGGGCACCGCGACGCCCCTGCCGCAGCCCCAGGGCAGCGGGCCGACGGGCACTAAGAAGCGCGTCGTGGCCGAGAACGGCAAGGTGCTGGTCGTGGACTCGCTCGGCGACGTCTACCTCGAGCAGGAGGACGAGGACGGCAACGTGGCCGAGTACCTGCTTGATGCAAGTCTACCCTGCCCCCCCCTCGACATGTGATCCCAATCCGCCTTGATCTCTCAAAGCTAATTCATTCCTACAGCCCAACGAGCTCCCCCGCCCTTCGGTCAAGGACACGGCCATCGTGCGCCTCCCCCTCTGGGCCTATTCGCTGACGGTCGGTCGCCTCTTCGCGAAGCAGGGCGGCGGGAATGGCGCAGAGGACCAGCCTGCCGAGGACGAGTTTGTTGACAACGACGAGGAGGACTCTGAGCCGGGCAAGGCCACGCCCAGCACGGACTCGGCCGAGGAGTTTGAGCTGCTGGAAAAGTCGGTCGACGACCTGGGCCAGGCCAAGACGACGGGCAGCAGCCAGAAGCAGGGCGGCAAGGCGGGCAAGCGGAAGAACAAGAAGAGGTGATCGGATCGAGGGGAAGAAGATGGAGACGAAGAAGAATAGAGAGCAGTAAAATGGTATATATGCATACAGACACGCAGGCGAGGCATCTTTTTCTTTGTTCTTTTTGGTGTATACAACGTGGGTAGTCAGGAATTGCTTCTTGGTAGCGGAAAAACGCAGAGCTACGGAGAGAAGAGTAAACGTTTGCCAACCCCTCTTTTCTACTTGATCACATAGAATTCCAAACTAGCAATTACCCATCGAGATAAAAGGAGACAACCCGAGCAAGAGCCATGACCCAAAACGAAGTAGGTAGGCTGTTTGTGAGGAACCGATTCGTGCTAACTAAGGTACTTAAGATTCGCACAACGGCAATGAAAAGAGAAAACGAATTCGGTGCCTTGCTGTAACCCTGCTCATCGCCCGCCCCAAGAACCCGAACCCTCCAGTCGAGGTGTTCATGGCTGAAACTCCAAAAATAAAAACGACGCACGCCTGCCACCAAACCTAGACCCAAACCTAGACCTAAACCTAGACCTAAACCTAGACCTAGCCCCTGGAACCCAAAACCCGGAACCCTTAAACCCAGTCCTATCCCGATCTTTCCTCCCCCAGCATTGCTCATCGCGGCTCGCCTAGGCGCATGGTTTGCGAAAGCCAAGTTCTCGTCGCGGGAAAATCGAAATCTCTGTTTAGATGCCGACGGCGTGGCTAAACACCCTCGCGGCCAGCTGGCTGAGCAGCTTGGCGCGGTCGTCTTGCGGGAGATCCTAAACAAACAAAGGAGAAGCGGGCAGGTGTCAACAACCTCACTGCTTTTTACTCACTCACTACCACTGGCCCTCATGAACCAGTTCAAAACCAAGGGCGCTCACCTGGAAGACTGCATAGACGCTCTTGCCCTTGGCGTCGCGCACGGCGCCGAGGCGGTTGCCGGCGACGGCGCCCGCCAAGAGGCCTGGCACGTTGGCAACGATGAACCCCAGCGCGCCGCCGCTGAGCCCGCCCAGCAGCGCCCAGAACTTGCCCGTCGGCCGCCCCGTGGCGGGCTCCGCCAGGCCCTCCTCGCGCAGCATCTCCTCGAACACGTCGGCGAACTGCGCGTCCTCGGTCTGCGCCCGCTGCTGCTCGCGGTTGTTCCCTGCTCCTGTCCCGGCGGCATTAGTGTTGGCGTTGGTGTTTTGGCCCGTGAAGAAGTTCCATGCCCACGAGTATGCCCCGCCTGCGGTGTCATTGGTGGCGTTGTCGGTGTCGTCGGCGTCCGTGTCGAAGCCGCCGGGCATGTTCGGCGACGACGCGCCAAAACCAGCGCCAGCACTTCTACCACCCCCAAACAGCTTGCGTTGGGCGTCGTACTCGCGCCGCCGCGCGGGGTCCGACAGCGTGAAGTAGGCGTCGTTGACGAGCTGGAACTTGCGGGTGCGCGCGACCCGCTCGGGCGAGTCGACGGGCACCCGGTCAGGATGTGTCTTTAGCGCGGCGCTGTGGTTTGCATGGTCCGTTGTTTAGTATGTGTGCCTATCGGAGACGAAGCGATGGTTTCCGAGAGGGAAGGGGGCATGTCAAGCGTACCGTTTGTATGCATCGCGGATCTGAGCGCTTGTTGCCGTCTCGGGAATGTCGAGGATCGCATCTATAAGTCCGCCGTCCGGGGGTCAGCGCAACTCTATAGCTAAGGTACAGCCTTGCATGTCCCAGGCAAAGAGAAAGGCGAGATGGGGTTTGTAGACGCACAGTAGTTGGGAGGCCGTCCCGATGTCGACATGTTGGCGGATTGCTTCGTCACAGGTTAAATTGAAGGTCTCGTCCGGTCTATAATGTAAGTAGATTCGTCAGGGAGTCGTGTGGAAACTCAAGATTGAAATGTTAGGTATTCATTCGTATGTATGTACGGAAATGGAAGAAAATATACAGCGAGGCCACCAAGGCGCAGGCCAGCCTCGAGCTAAGGTATTCATTCACATCAGGCCGGAAGTCGCAAAGACACAAACTGTCAACGTCATCTGTGGCGTTGAAATGTGGCTTCTCCGCACATGTACCACTGTCCCGAGGCCTCGACGCCTCACCGGCTCCCGCCCCTTGTCCTTCTTTGGCTTGGCATCCAAGCAAGCATCGAATCTCTCGCTCGCTAAGATCACTTGAAGCCCAGGCCCCTTGGCCTCCGCCCTGCAGGCCGGGACCGGGCCATTCAAAAGCTCCACAGACCCGCGAACAAACTTTACGGTGACTCGTCCGTTTCGCGGGGAGCCACCTTTAATCTTTACTTTATTGGCCAAGTTCTGGCCACAGCTTTCAGCCGGCTGTCCTCAACACATCAACACAACATGAATCAATGGCCGTATCGCGAGAAGCGGTGCGTATCGGTTATCGGTCGGTTAGGTCCTAAGGAAAGCAAAAAGTCAAAAGCTCGTGTCGATGCTTCATTGGCGGGGGCGACTCACAGGTAGCCGCTTTAGGCCCGTTTCATGTCGCCTGCCCTGTGACGCATGACTGCTCTGGGGAAGGTCTGACTGTGTGACTGCCCAACCGGCACCCTATGGGCTTGAATGGGAGCCAGAACAGACGCCGGCCGAAAAAGGGTCGAGTGCAGGATTTACCTGCAACTGCAAGCACTGGCCTTTAATTTCATCGAATGTCCTTTTTGCAGCCCGACATTTGGGTTCTGCGATGGGTCGGTTCCATGCTGCTGCTGCTGCTGCTGCCCCTGGGCTGCCCCTGGGCTGCCACTGGGCCTGCCAGGCCGCCGGACCTGCGTCCGCCCACCTGTCCGCCTGTCCGCGTCAATCAGGATTAGAGGTTGTCGATCCGCAGCGGTCGTCCAGTGATTAACTGCCCCCTGTCTTCCAGGCTGTAGACCCCCCCTCCTCCCCCCGTCATCACATCGATATCTCCCGTCCTTCTCCTTAAATAGCAAGCTTCGTTGCTACCTTTCCCCGTTGCATTTGCCTTCTCTTTCTATTCTTCTTTGCAGCTCAACATCTCGACTTCTTCGCCAGCTCCGACTCCGACTTCGCCTCGCCCTTGCTCCTTCCCCTCTTTGTTGTCCACCCATAACGCCCAGGCCAGGTAGCGCCGAGCCTCGCTTCCTCGTGATAATCCCGCACGGCACCGCCCACCTGTCTCTTTCTGTCTCCCGAAAGATAGTGCGGGCTCCTTGTCCCCCTCCCTTGTTCCGTCCGATACGACGCTGCCTTTGCGGCGCCAGGTCGAACTGAGCCCCTCGACGAACAATTTCTCGGTTCACCCTCAGCTTCCAGAATTCTTTCTTTTACTGTGTTTTAGTCGCCCGAAGACTGTCCGTTTCGGTTTTCACCTCAGTACATAGCATAGTCAATATAAACGAGTTGTTGCATCCCGCTGCTCGGACCGAGCCCAAAGCTCCCCCACCCTTTTTGCTGGCCTTTTGCCCCTCCGCTGATCGTTAATCACGACACGCTCTGCTTGCCGCCAGCACCCGGAAGAGGAGTCTGCTGAAGTTCGGACCGCTAGGAGGACATTGGACATTGGCCCAGGTACACGACAATTCTACATTCCGGGCTTTGTTGTTGCACATTTCACCGGGTTTCCTTTTTCGTCCTTCAGACCTCACTTCCCCCCCTTCCGAGACACAACCACAACACCGCTGACCATGGCATCACAGCCAATAGCAACCTCCGGCATGGCTGTGGTTCACCCCAACAACCCGCAAGCCCAGGAGGAGCTGATTGCCCTATTCGCTCGGAACCTAAACTTTGAGTCTCAGCAGCCCACGCCAGCGCCAGCGCCGGTGTCGGTGCCGGTGACGGTCACTGTGCCAGCGCCCGAGGAGAAGATCGTCTACATTTCACAGCACTACAACCACTCGTCTCACATTGCCAGACACGATGTCCACGTGACTCAGCAGCAGTCATCGAGGCCCGCCTCGGAGCCGCCACAGGGTGAGCATTCAGCCATAGAATGCGTCCTGAGAGAGCACGGTGTCAACACGTCGGGCCTGTCGTCGGCGCAGCTGCAGCTGTTCAAGACGGTTGACGACGCGCAGAAGATGCACCTCATCGACCTGTGGCGCATCTGCCCTCCCACCAACAGCAACGACAACCCTACCCTTGCTTGGAGCATGACGAGCGTGAGTCAGGAGGAGATCCTAGCCAAGCTGCGCTACGACCAGAGACAGCAGCAGCAGCAGCAGCAGCAGCAGGTGGACACACCAATCATGAGCCTCGACGGGACGCCCATCCAGGCGCGCGATGGGCGGTGGGGCACGAGCGCTGCCACAGCGCAGAGCTACATGGAGCCGTACATGGCATCCGGCTACGAGGACATGGCTCGCCGTGAGTACGAAGAGTCCGAGCGTCGCGCGGCTTTCTTTGCTGAGGCCATGATGCAAACACGTCAAAAGGACGCGTACAGCAGCAGCCACTTCGCCATTGCCACCGCCGGCCCGACCTATAACCCCGCCCACGCCGACCCCGTCTACAACGTGACGACGGTCGACTGGCGCCGCCAGGAGGCCATGGCCGATCAGTACGGCCGCATGATGGCACTCCGCGGCGGCGGCGACGAGGAGATGCTCTGACGCTCTTGCTCCCTGCTCTATACCCGTCACTCTGAGACGGGAATAACTAGACTGCACATAGGTACTTTGATATCGCCGGGCCACGACAGACTACATCTCATTGCTTCTGCCTGGGTAGCAGGCAGAGGCGGGTAGTAGCAGGAACTTAATAGCAGCACTCTTGTGAAGGGGTTTCACTGATCTTCTTTGTAAATTGATTTTTATTCGCATTTCGCATTTCGCATTGCCAGGGAGTGAAGGACGCATGACAACAAGGGTCGATTGATTATTGCTAGACAGGCGGGGAAGAAAGAGGGCGACAGGACAGACTGGAGGCGGTTGTGTCTCACTATCAACTATCCCCCGCCCTCGTCCTTATGCTGTTTGGTGCTTGATCCTTGCTGCCTGTTACATGCTATGCTGCCTGATAATTCCTTGCTGGGGCGTGCTCTAATCGTACTAGGAAGGTATGCGCTGCCTCTGCTGTAATATTGCAATGCTCGTGCCGTGCCGTGCCGTGCCGTGCCGAGATGCTCTGGTACTGTACTTGATCAAAACGTCGTTCATGTAACCCCGATCCCGTGCCGGCCGATAGTTAAGTCTCTGCCTCTTTTGCTGCCGCCGCGCCGCGCGCCGCCTGCTCCCGCGCCCGCGCCTCCACAGCCTGCCTCTCGGGCCAGCTCAGGTGCAGCATGCTGACCTCGGCGATGTCGATGACGGGCTTGTCGGGCCGGAGCTTAACGAACAGGGGGCGCACGGCCGGCGCCGCACGCACCGGCAGCCCGGGCGACTGCCAGGGCACGGGCTGTGCCGCCATCGCCGCCGCGAGCAGCGCACCGCTCTGTGCCGCCACGTCCGTGTACGTGATGGTGCGGTGGTGCTGGCCATAGGGCAAGTGCCCGTCGCCCGCCCACACCTCGCCGGCGAAGTCGGCCGGCACTTCGCTCACGATCGGCACCTCGCTGCTGAGGCCGCTGTCTTCTTTGCCCAGCAGCGCCGCCGCCGTCACCCGATGCCGCGCGTTGCTGTCGGCCGTCGCCCCGTCGTCCGTCGTCGGCACCACCAGCCCGATGGTTTCGAGTGCTGGCAGCTGCACCATCAGCTCCAGCAGCCCGGCGACGCCGCTCACCATGCACCGGTCGGGGTCGGCCGGGTCCGCCGCCAGCTCGACGCGCCCTGCCGGCTCGACGTGCACCGCCACGTGCTTGATCAGCGCGTACTCGCGGCGCTGCTCGAGGTGCGGCCAGTTCTGGTAGCCCCACCGCGTCGGCGTGTACAGCAGCGCGCGGCCGAACAGCACGACGTCGACGTCCGGGTTGAACAGGATCGCCGGGCCGGGGATGCCGGGGAAGCTGCCGAACGCGCGGGACGACGGCCGGAACGGGTCGGCCATGGTGCTGCGCAGCTTATTATTGGCCGTCAGCTGCCGCTCCAGCATGCCGTACATCTCGGCGGCGAGTTCGCGCGGCACCACGCGCTGCTGCGCCATGTGGTGGAACGTCGTGACTATCCACCCCGGGTCCGACGCCGCACACGCCACCAACAACCGCGGCTGCACGACGGCTACGTACGCCCAGATCTTGAGCTCCAGCTCGACCGGCAGTAGGTCGAGACGCGTCTTCTTGAAGACGCGGTGACCGGGGAGGCGGCGGGGGGCGGCGGTGCCCGAGGAGACGGTGGAAGAGAAGGAGGTGGGCTTGGAGGGCGACATGGCGTGTGAGGGTTTGCTAGAAACAGATATCGGCGACGAAGTTACCGGTTACAAAGTTTAGAAGCTCCCCTTTTCGAGTACGACGGGAGAGAGCTTTCTGGACGCCGATTGGGGATGCGATGTTTGGGTGCTGGCTGCAAAAAATCAAAAGAATAGTCAGTAAAGGTTTACCAGAGCTAGATATTGGCGACAAAGTTTATGTGAGAGCGCCTAGAAACTTACCTTGACGAGTACGGTTGGGGGAGTTTTCTTGCCGCCTATTGCGGATGTGATATTTGGGGGTGGGGGAGTTTTCTGCACGCCTTGTGCGGATACGATAGTTGGGTGCCTGCTGCTAGCAATGAATTCAATTGTGAGTAAGGGCTCACCAGAAAGAACTAGATGCCAGTGGCGAAGTTAAATGTGAGAGCGCCTAGAAACTTTCCTTGCCGAGTGCGGCGGGAGAGGAGATTTTCTTGACGACGTTTACGGGTGCGATATTCGTGCGCTGCTAACTATAAATCAAATAGTGAAAATCAAATAGTGAGCAAAGACTTACCAGACCTACTAGACACTAGCGACGAAGGTAAACTGCGAGAGCGCGTAGAAGCTAACCTTGCGACGAGTGTGATGTGTGTGGGAGACTTTCCTCGACGGCGGGTACGGATGCGATGTGTGCAACGTTTGATTTTCCGAGGGTCGAGGGAGGCAAACACTAGACGCGAAGAAATTTATACGCCGTCAGGAGACCGAAAAGGGCCGGGTTCTGAGGGAGATCGGATGGAAGGTCGAGTTTACTACTGTGGCTGTTGTGGCAATTTTTGAAAAAAGAAGCAGGGGGGAAAGGGTAGGGAACAAAAAACCGGGTCTCACTCGTAGAGGCTGAGACTAGGCTTCAGGCTCTGGCTCTTTGAATTAGCAACAAGCAGGTGAGTAGGTTCTGATATTCAGTTTGAATATGAGACGCATGGCTCACCGGTTTGCACGCTTCTGCGGTCGTCTTCCCTGGAGCCTTGTCGAAGTTGCTCGCCACGTCTGGGCTACTGGGCGCCGACAGCAGCGTCATGACTATTCTCTCAGCCTTATGTGCTACGTTGTTACTTGCTGCTAAACGTTAACGACATGTCACATCGCGCTCCCCGACTCCTCGGTGCCTGTCCCTGCGTACTTGCTATTCTAGAGGTACGAAGGCTCAGGCTAGAAAAGGGCCACCTTCCCCAGTGCAAGGTCCAGAATGCCACGTCCGAGGGGTACGTTTTCTGATTTCTCGTCCGACGTTTGCTACCACCGTCGTTATAACCACCCACCTACAGGGGTTAGATTGAACTTGCCAGCTGCCAGGCCAACAGGCAAATCTTTTTCGTGGAAGAAGAAAACTAGCTTTAGGGGTATTACAGGGGGCTTAAGGAGCTTGAACGGATCCGCAGGGTGTAGAACGGCAGCTGGTAAATGAACTGGTACATGCGGTAATATTTCAAATCCTGACCACTGGAAGGTGACTCTTTTTTGACCCCAGTCGAAGTTACCAAAATAGCCTTCGTCATCTGACTCCAGCCATTGCCCACAGCGTAGCAGTCAGGCTTTGATTTTGACCAAACCATGAGACGCCGAAGCTGTGCCTGGGCGGCTCTTGGATTCCCGCAGACGATGTTGCAGGCCATGGCGACGGCAAAGCTTGGCATGCAGCAGCGTTTCTTGGCGGACATCGATCGGAGCCTCATCTCACTCAGGCCATCGGATGTCGTCTGTCTGCAGGCCCACGGCTTGTCTGGGGTATATTGCACCACGCAAGTCCCGGTGCAACCACGACAGCACACTCCACATAATCACTCCACGGGCAATCAAGAGAGCGCGGGCGGGCTCGGTACTGTGCCCCTCGTGGAGCGGCTATGCTGAAGCTAGGATGCTGCCCCTCTCGTCTTTTTTGATTAATCCCGGGAAAATGGACGGGTCCGTTAGGTACAGGTGCGTCGAACGGCCACCTCGGTTTGTCGACTCCTCATTCGTCAGCGCCGGACATGACTGAGCGTCGAGTTGTACAGGATTCGCCGCTATTTACCCCCATCGCGTCCATGTCGGCAACACTTGCCGTCCCCGCGCCATCGTGGCTCCCCACCCGATGCCGGCAAAGAGCACGAGCGAATCGGGTTCGCCCGGAGAAAACCCACGCCAGCTTGGACGGTCTGCATGCGGGGATGGCAATATGGCGCTGGAATAGCCTCTGCAGTATTGAGTCAACAGTGCCAAGCGATGTCCAGGGTTGCAGGCTCTGCGCTCCCTCAGTGATTGGAGCGTCTCCTGGCTCGACTCGTCACGACGATATGATCTCTCTCTCGATTCCCGCTTCCAGGCGGGCGGCGCGGCTGGGCCAAGCTTTCTTCCAACCGATGCTGTTCTATTGTTGGCAACCAGGTCCCAACGGCAACCGATCCCGGGCCACGGCGCCGAAGCTGACAATCAGGTAGACGCGTTAATTAGTAGACATGTAACGTACCAGTCTGTAATTATCTCACAGGATCGACACGGCCGTCTTCTCCAAGTACCGCAAGTACGTACCGTGGGCTGGATAATGGTGAACATAAAGCACCCCGTGCTCCTCTCTCGTTTTTTTTTTCAAAAGCCTAGGGTATTGCCCTCGAATTCAAACTAGTCCCCGCAGTGCCACTCGGGCTCGTTTACTGCTGTCGCATAGCATCTGATATGATGGCACTCCTCAAAGGCGCCCTCGTCCTGGCATTCGGGCTAGCCTCGGTGGTTGTCGGCGGCCCGCTGCCCGCCGCTGCCCCGGTCGACGTGACGCCCGCGCCAGAGGAATCGGAGCCGGACGCGGCCAGGCCTGCCAAGTGCAACAACTGGCTGCCGACTGTGATATCGGGCCTGACAGACGACCTCGCAACCATTGCCGTGTGTGCTCCCGAGCCGACGGAGCTCGCGCAGGACGACAGCCACGGGGCCCGCCACGACGCGCTTGACGATCTCCCGACCACGACCGTCACAGTCACCGTCACGGCCACCCCGACGGCCTCCATCGTCGTGCCGCCGGCCCCCGAGGTCGTCACTGTCCAGCGAACATACACGGTGACGGCGTGGACGCAGACGGCCACCATCGTCGAGACGCTCAACTGCACGCAGACGGTGCTCGCCCAGGCCTCGCAACCGCCGGCCCGCGCCACGCCCCCACTCCTGCGCCGGCAGACAGGCTCGTCGACAACGACAGCGACGGCCGCCACACCACCGCCGCCGGCCCCGAAGACACCGCTGCCGACTTCCAATGCCACGCTGCCGGCGCCGCCTCCGCGGCCGGCGCGGACGCGGACCGTCTGGACCGTGACCACGGCCACGCAGACGGGCCCGCTGCTGCGCACCCGCTATCAGTGCGACGCGACCGTCGCGTACGCCTTCACAGTCGACAAGACGGCGACAGTCCTGTTCACGGCCACGACGTGGGCCGCCAGCAACATCGTCACCACGACGTCGCTACTGTCGTGCAACGCCTACGGCCTAGGCACGCCGAGCCTACCCACGCCGGCGCCAGCTCCTCCTCCTCCGCCGGCAGCTGCGTCACCCGCGGCAGCCGCAGCCGTTAAGAAGCGCCAGGGTGCCACCGCAAGCCCGACATCGGCATCGGCAGTGGCGGCGAGCCCCGCGCCAGGGTCGACCACCGTGGCCGGGCCCACGACGTCGACCATCGTCGTGCACCTGACGCGCACCACCTACTCCATCGTCACAATCGAGGGACCCGGCACCAGCACGCGCCTGACGTACGCGTGCATCCCCACGCCCGTCGCCCCGCCGCCGCCGCCGCCTGCCGTCACCACGACCAGTGTCAGCATCATCCCGGCGCCTCCCACGACGACGACGAACCCGCCCGCTGCCGCCTCCTCGCCGGGCGCTTGAGTGTATGCTGGGTGCGGTGTAGGTGTGGTGCGCAAGGTAGTCAGATTGCTGGTCTTGCGCCAGATGGTGGTGGCAGTAGAGAGCGGCAGTCGGTTCGGAGGGGAAAGAAAGGAGATGTGTGGCTGGATAGGGGCGCCTCGAATGCGAAATCAAATACAGTCTGTCGTTATCATTTTCCGGAGCAAATATTCATGCGAAACTTCACTTGAACGGATGTATGTATGCGAGAGCCAAGCGCCTGACCATGAGCCGCCGGGTGTGTTTGTCGGGGTCGTGTAGAAAGCAGAGAAAGAAAAATCGAGAGAGGGCGAGAAAAACCAACGGTATACTTTTGGAGCTCCAAGCCACACGGCCCCCATTTATGTGTATATTCAAGGCAAGGTTGGTTCGCAAAGAAACTCAAAAAGCAGCCGAGGTGGTAGTACTAGCAGGAGGCAAAGAACGAAACTTTCAAAGGGGAAAAATGCCCAGCGGCTGCAGTCTTTAAAACAAATAGTAACAGTAACAGCAAACATTAACAGCCAAACTCCTCTCCTGATTAGGGCTCAAGACGGGCAGATAGACGCATTGTCTTCCCTCCTTTCTCCTCCCACTCCCGGGGATATAAAGCTAGCAAGAAAACAAGAATAAAAAAAGAGATGCGAAAAGGGAGTCCAAGCTTCTGACACCTGCCGGCGTCTCTCAGAAGAAGCTGACTTGGCCGAGCTTATTCGAGTGCGGGCGCTCGTTGCCTATGCACCAGAAGCTGTGCGAGGAGAAACACGGGGTTGTTAGATGTAGCGAGATATTGAGGAGGGAGGTTGGGGATGGCCAGAAGAGAAAGAGAGAAAGAAAGAGAGAAAGAAAGGAAAACTCACCCGCGACGGCTGTCGTTCTCGCGATCGAAGCCCTCGGGGCCCCAAGCCTGCTCCATGTCGGTGCGGTGCTTGGTCTTGGGCTTGCCCTCCTTGAGGCGGAGCTTCTCGAAGAAGACATAGGCGCCGTAGTAGACGCCAGTGGTAGCACCGGCGCCGGCGCCCTTCATGCCGCGGAAGCGCGACAGCTGCGAGCCCTGGATGCTGGCGGGACGGCCGGGGCCCTGCAGCTGCGCCAGAATGTCGCGGCAGAACTGCGCCTGCGTCACGCCTTCCTTCTTGAGGTGCAGGTTGATCTTGCGCCGCACCTCGTCGCACGAGTCGAACACAGGCACGGCGTCCGTCGCCTCGCCGGGCAGCGCGATGTCGCCGAGGTCGACGCCCGCCGAGTTGAAGGCGGGTTTCCTGCTCGCTGCGGTGCCAGTCGTGCCGGGGGCCGTGGCCGTGGCGCCTGACGTTGTAGCTGTGGCGGCAGTTGTCTTGAGCCTCTTGACGGGCAGCTTAAGGCCGACCATTTCCCGCTTCTTGAAGAACTCCCAGGCGGCACGGTACGAGGCATGGTTGTAGCCCTTGTTGGGGCCGTTCTCGGCCATGAAGCCGCTGAGCGACTTTGAGCTGACGCCAATCTCGCGGGCAAAGGCCGTCTTGGTGGTGGCGCCGCCGTCGATGTAGCGGTTGATCTTGCGGCGCACCTGGTCGGGGTTCTCGTCGATTTCCTGGTTTCCGAGGTAAATGTCGTCGACGTTGAATTCCGGTGCGGGCGCGAGGGCCTCGGTCGACTTGCGCTTCCTGCTGGCTGCTGCTGCTGCTGCTGCTGCTGCTGCTGCTGTTGCTGCTGGCGCCTTGGTGACAGTGGGGAGGGGCAGGGGCAGGTTCTCCTTGTCTGGGGCGGCCGAGAGGAGGCTCGAAATGGGCATGAGGCTCGACGGGCGGTTGGCCGCGATGGGGAGTGCGCCCAGCGCGCTCCGTGGTTGCTGCAGCTTCTCGTCAGTCGCGTGCTCACGTTCAGGCCGGGGAAACGGAGACTGACGAAGGGAGGGGCCTGTAGGTTCATGGCGGGCAAGCTGTGCTGGGGGGTTGGCGACGACTGCGCGCGGGGCTCGAGGGTTGCGAATGCTGCTGCTGCTCAGGTTAGGTACCTATCCACCGGACACCGAGTATTCCGCGTTTTGGCAACAAAAGACGGTCGACGACAAGGACAGCAGCACGTTTGCAGCAAACTTATTGAAAGGGCAAAAGGACGGCGAGACGCGTCTGTTTGCATTCCCAAACATCGATCCACGTCTTTGGAGGAAAAAGAAAGGAGAGCGTGTTTCTCCAGCGCTAGCAGGGTCCCCCCTGAATTGTGAATTGAATTGGGCTTCTCGCTTCCCAGGGACATGGCTCTTGGGACCGCAGTAGCACTGACTGCCGGCATGGCGCCCAAGAAGCTGAGACAGCTCATGTCTGCTAGCTGCTGGGATAGTTGCTAGTGCCAAAAATAAGGTAGTGAGGTGATTAGGAGCAAAATCAGGAGCTTGACATTTTGGTGTCAAGGTTTGGATCCCCCGCACTTGGGCTGACGAGTTGCTGCAGGCCGCTGACAGAGTTGCTGCTGGCCTGCAAGGGTCCCGGGACAAGCTCTCGCTTATTCCTGATTAATGAGCCTTCAAGGTTGGCGGGAAGCTGGGATAGCTAACCGTAAGGTACGGATGCTGCACCTGCATTTTACGGGTAGTTCTAGATTCTTGGCCAATGGTGTCGGGTTATTAGGTCGTCATGTACTCCGTAGTACTATGTAGAGCCTTGGCCGAACTGCAAACTCACGGTAGCCCTAACCATCACCGCCTCGACTTGGCGTTTCCAAAAATGACATTCTTAGCTCCGGCTGCTGGGCATCCCGACATGAAGTTGAGGCAGCAATCATGGGAAACAACGAACTGGATGAAAGGGCAGGGCATGAGCGCCGAAGACCTCAAATGGCTCAACGCTTTCGTGGCGATTGATCTCTACGACTCGCCGAACGAAACTGTCAGGGCTTAGCTCAGCCCGGACCGCTGCGCGATAGAACTGAATAGAGGGTTCTGGTACGTGATAAGTTTCGTTGCACTTCTAGGACCTATTCAATTATCATGGCCTCTGCGTGGACAGGTCGGCAAGACTGACACCGTGTTTACTGAGTAACTAGGGAATATTTCATAACAACGACCGCTACAGCTTCCTTGCTATCGACTGAAGAGTTTACTGATTCAGACGAGGACAAGTTTGGATTCACCTCCAGGCTTTATTCCCCTCCGAGCTCTGGAGGCCCTCAGTACTTTGACGTTCCTCTGAGCATTGACGAGTTCTGAAAGACTAACGGAGCATACCAGCTCCTCTGCCTGGTCTATACTCTACTTTTAATTCTCCTTAGTTTCTCTCTTGTGCCCCGAATGAGAAGGATAATGGCATTTTCCTTTCACCCCACAACTCAAAGCTTGCTCAGCAAATTAACCGAGTCTTCATGGATGCTAAACGCGCTATTATAGGCTCGACACGCTAGAAAACCCCAAAGATTGGAACGTGGTGGGAGAAGATAAGGCGGCAGTTACAGCGGAGAATGTTGGTGAGTGTTCATCAAGACAAGCATTTACCTGAACCATCCGGGCCCTGTTAACAAAGTCCCGCCATCCAGCTCTGTATGTTATTTGGTCAGCCCTCGGCCACATGAAATGCAGCTCGCATGTGGAGAATTCGATATTCGAGGGCGGTTATCCTGTCGACAAATCGTGGCACCCGGAACTCCCAATAACCGATCTTAGGTGGACCAATATCACGTACTACCCTGACATCACGGCGCTAGATCCCCAGCCACCGAAGCAGCCACCACCGCAGCCCAGGCAGCCTCAACAACCACCGCCGGGGCAGGCTGGGCAGCCGCCGCAATGGCAGGCTCAGCAGCTACCACTAAGGCAGCGACGACCACTGCAGTCCGGGCAGCAGCTGCGAAGACCAATGTTGCAGGCCCCGTAGTCGCTACAAGGATAGCAGTCACGATGGCCACCACCACAGCCGGGACAGTCTCAGCAATCGTCCCAGGGGCTGCAATGACGACCCCCAGGGCCGCCTCAGCAACAGCCGCAGCAGCCGCAACAACAACAACAGCCAAGGCGACGTTGAATCAATCTCAGAGCCGATATGATTGATTATAGCTCGTTTTGGATGGTTCCTTGGCACCGGTGTTAAGAGTTCCTCGATTAGACAGTAGAAAGGAAAAGTGGTCCACGGTACTTTTTCAGATTTGGAATCTCATTTTCTCCATCTCTTCCCATTTCCCTTTTTTACCTCTTTATTTACCCCATCCTCTCTCTTCGCATCCAGAATCCTCGCTGAGCTATATTACGACGTTTTTGGCTAGGATGTCTTTTTTCTTCATTTTATTTCTGCCACTGCGGCTTATTTGAGGAAGCTGCGTTTCTATTGTTGGAGGGGGAAACATATCGCATAGCCCAGATACGTCTAGGCGGCTTGTACGAGGTTCTATCGCACCGCACTGAGGATTGGGGGGCTTTCTGGATTGTCTCCTTTTCCTTCTAATTAGAACAGAACAAAGACTGCGTTCATCACGCCAGTCTGTGGCGACTTGACACAGGTATGTTTCATTTCGTCTACTCGAGGAGCGACATCCACAACTAGATTTATCACCATGTATTAGGTACGCTGCAAATATGGTTATTACGCCCTTGCCAAATACCCGATCCCTTCTTCTTTATTATTCTTCCTCTCTTGATCGTCCTCCAGTGCCATACGCGTCCCCACTTCTGCAAACTTGCCAACTAGGCTGGTGTTTTGATTGACAATTAACTGATTAGATGCTCCGAACTCGCTATTACTTGCTAGATGAGGCCCCGGGCCATTGGTCTGAAGTTACAGCGGAGAGAGCCCCAGTGACAGTCCAGAACGTTGGTGAGTGTTTATGCACCTTATTTGCGCAGCGTGATCAGTTACACACAAAACAAAATGGAGCCCCTACTGGGCTACCTCGGAACCGAGCTTCCAGTTGTACCGAGCCCAGGTGCTAACACAAATCCTTTGCAAACTTTAGCCTTGTTTATCGTCTGGGAAGCTCTCTCGGATATTAAGCGAGCCCGCCACAGTAACGCCGAGGTATTCCGGGGTGGATATTCTGTCAGCAGCGAGTGGAGGCTTCAGATGCCCCCAAATGCCGCGCCACATGAAATTCTTACCAACACTCGTCTGAGGTCAAAAATAGCATACCTGGAAAACATTACAAGAAACCAGAGATCCAGGGCCGGGGAACGGCAAAGCGGCAGCGGCAACCGCAACGTCTCCAGAATCCCCAAAACCCCCAGAATCCCTAGCATCCCCAGCATCCTCAGAATCCCCAGAATCCCCAAAATAACAAAAATAATGGCACTGGAGTCAGTCGCAGTCACAACAACGGCAGCCAAACCGGCCCCAGCAAGGACAAGGAAAGCAGCATTGGCGGCAAAGCCTATAGCGGCAACACTAGCCCCTAGCAATATTCTCAAAAACCACGCCAGCACCACCGAAGCCAGCGATAGCATCCGCCACAGCATCAAAACGCAAAGGCGACACCAGCAACACCAGCAACACCAGCAACACAGCTAATAACAGCCTAATCACAACTCTAACAATATCGAAAAGCATGACAGCAGCACCAAAGACAGCCGCAGGATTCTCCTCAGCAACAAAACAGAAAGTCGTCACCAGCGGCCAAGGTGGCAGGAGCACGGCCACACCGGTCCTTGCGGTGAAAACCGACAGCCCCGACAAGAAGAAAAAGACCAAGAATACCGGTAACGGCCTGAGAAACGTCGGCAACGTTAAATAATCGCGACCCGGACCTGGTTGCATTTGACCCCCCCGCTCTTACACCAGTGGCCGTCTTGAAAGGGACCTCGGCCTAGCACAACTCTTCCGATTGCTTTACCCCTTTTAATTCTCTATATTTACTTATCACATAGCCCCTTTTTTGTCTCTTCCTCTATCTCTTCCCCATGGCCACGGCATCCATACCGACCAGTGAGCAGTCAAGAAATTGGTAGCTTATGGCTCGTCATCGCCACCAACACGGCGCCTAATTAGACAGGTTGCGTGTTGACCAATCTCTGGGATTGTAGGGAGGAGGAAATAACACATAATTGGCCATGTCTAGGTGGCCTGTACCTAGATCCATCACAGACAGCGGAGATTGGTATTTCTTTTTGGACTTTATCACCCCCTTTTCTGGCAACAAGCGAGGGCTGGCTTTACGCGGCCGAATGGCTTCACACGCACACATACACGACAGGAACCGGGCCTGCTTGACTGGTAGTTAGGCTAGGGCGGGTTGGTTTTGGAGGAATTTTCACCCCCTTTTGGAACTCGCGAATGCGCAGATGGTCAGATAGTCTGCTAGGCAAATACACTCTTTTAAGCGCACGCCAAAAAGACATTTTGAGTGGCGAGATGTGAAATGAGATTCAGAACCATTCTGTGATGGCAATTGAGTGTCCACATGCGGCAACTCGTAAGTTGGACATGACTGTGCAGTTGTCTGACCACTGACGAGTGCTATATCGTCGATCGTCGTAAAGGCATGGGCATCCCCCTGGCTAGTAGCTAATGATGAGTAAGGTAAGCTAGGTAAGCTCCCTAGGTAACCTACGTAAGGTTACCTGTGCCTCCTCCAATGCGTGTTTTCCTTCCTCCGACCTCTCGCGCCCACAGAAGAAAGTCATGGGTATATTTTGAAACGCGCTTGACGGAGCTGAGGCCGGCTAGTGGCAGCAGTGCCGAATGCTAGCACCATCTAAGGAGGTCGCAAAAAATCCGAACACATTGGACGGCCGACGGATCAATCCTCTGTGCTGTGCCGGGCGTCGGCGCCACTGCCGAGGAGACCGTTGGCCGCCCCCAGGGCGCCGTACCAGAGATTCACGTCAATGGAACCCTTCCAGAACAAAAAAGAGGCTCGGGTACCTGGCGGATGGACTGGCGGATGGACTGGAGCCGTCTGCTGTGCCTGGGCTGGGCCGCTGCTTCCCTGCTCTGGTCTTGCCTAAAGTCGCCAATCAGAATCCCCACTGGTCCCGAAGGGCTTGCCCCAGTGGGGCTGCTACCTTAGCCTGGTTCTTGTGGTTCGGTGGTTCGGTGGTTCCGTCAGCTGCCGCAGAATGGCCGATGGATCCATTGGCAGATCGACCGCCCTTGCCCCTTTTGGCAGCGTGATTCGGGATTGCATTTTGAAGAGGAGACTAGGATCGACACCGGGCCCATCGGTCGACTCTCTTGCGCCCCAGACCCCGGGTACGGTTGCGTTAGCTAGGCGCCAACAAAATGATGATGTCTATTTGTCTTGCTCGGGTGCTACATTCCATGGAGGGTGGGTTTGCCTCCATTACCACGCCTTACATTTTCGTCCCGGCGGCCCCAAATTAGGTCGTGCATGATTAAAGCCGCGTGAGCGGCCCCCCTTCCTCCCCCTTCCTCCCCACGAAGCCTACTCAAACGGTCAAATCACACGCTGCACCGCCCTCCGCCCGCCTAACAAACTGGATCTTAGAAATCCGTGTTGGTTGGTTTGTCGTTGCAATGACTATCGATTCCTAATGAAAACGGGCATGGCCGAATCTTTTTATAATCTGAGAATCCGCCTATTTTAGCCGCACGCTTTGGATATCCATATCCATTATTCGACACTCTTTACCATCATTATCCTTCACCAAACACCAGTCTTTTCCGCCATGCGCTCCTTTCTCTTCCCCTTGCTCGCCACGGCCAGCGGGGTGGCCGCTTCTCGCTATGTCGTCTACTTTGATCAGTAAGGGGCTGCCAAGAAGCCGAGGCCGTCGAGACCGGAGCTGGAGCTGGAGCTGGAGCTGGAGCTGATCGACCACATAGATACCACACGGCATCCCTGCCCACCAAAGAAGTCACGGCCGGCATCACACATGTGATTACCGCTTTTGCGAGCTCGTCTCTCTTTACCACAGACCCTCCCGGCGACTATCAGCCGTTCATGAACGTCACACAGGTCAGGGCCTTGTTCGACCGCGGCACCAAGGTCTGCATGGCCATTGGCGGCTGGGGAGACACCGACGGCTTTTCCAAAGGAGCCGCCGACGAGGCATCAAGGAAGCTCTACGCCAAGAATGTCGCCGCGACGGTCAAGCGGCTGGGCTATGACTGTGTTGGTAAGATATTGGAACCCCAGACGATGGTCAGAAATCACTCCTCGGCCGTATCGGCCACAAGCTGACGCAGCACACCACAGACGTCGACTGGGAATACCCCGGCGGCAATGGCGAAGACTACAGGAAGAACCCGAATTCCAACAAGACCTCGGAGATCGAAACCTTCCCTCTGCTCCTTGCCGAGATCAAGAAAGCCATTCCATGCAAGGAGCTGTCCATCGCCGTCCCAGGCCGCGAGGAGGACATGATCGCCTACACCGCAGAGCAGGTCCCCAAGATTAACGCTGCCGTGGACTACATCAATGTAAGTGCCCCTTGTTTGATCAAAACAGCCTCCATCTCTGACCGGGCCTGAAGGCCATGACGTACGACCTCATGAACCGTCGAGACAACTTCACCAAGCACCACACCCCGATCCAGGGGTCTCTCGAGACAGTCAAGACGTACATCTCGCGGGGCATGACGCCGAGCAAGATGAATCTGGGCCTTGCTTTCTATGCCAAGTGGTTCATGACGGCGAAAGGATCGACGTGTACGTCGCCCGTCGGGTGCCCGACGGAGCTCCTTGAGGCCGCCGACGGCACCGACACGGGCAAGTCTGGGGCCATGACCTTCGAAGCGGCCAACTTCGCGCCCGTGCCGACAAACCTGACCGAGACCACGGACGGCACGTGCGGTGCAGGCACATATGCCAAGTGCAAGGCGTCAGACTGCTGCGGCCAGTACGGCTTCTGGTGAGTCCCCCCATCCACAGGCTGAGGTCCTTGCTTGATCGATACCTGGTGCTAACTTATTTACCTCAGCGGCACGGAAGTTGGCCATTGTGGCACCGGATGCCAGTCGGGCTTTGGGCGGTGTGAGGGCGTGTCGACGAAGGACTCGTTCAAGAAGGCGGTGGCCAACGCCGAGTACGACAGCACCAACGGCGGCGAGTGGTACTGGGACGCCGAGGGCGGCATCTTCTGGACTTGGGACACGCCCAGCATCATCCAGGCCAAGTTCGACCAGATAATCGGCCCCCAGCGCCTTGGCGGCGCCATGGCTTGGAGTTTGGCAGAGGACAGCGAGGGCTGGAGCCACCTGCTTGCGATGCAGGCCGCAGTGAAGAATCGCCACACTCATGGCAAGCACCGCCGGCGGCACGACATGTCCTGATTAGGTGGATAGCTAGATGGCAAGCAGAGGCTAGATTCATGTGGTTTCTTCTTCTTTGGAAACATACTTAGCTTACTTGATTACAATAATTGAGGCTTCTTGAATAAATCACTATTTATACAGGTTTGGATGAGCTGCTCGAGTCTGACCTGTCTCGAGCTATGTTCATGGCCGACAAATGGCGGAGGGAACGTGGAGGGGCAGCTCACCGGAGGGATTGTGGAAGCCATCATCGGCGAGCGGTCGCTCCCGCTGACCCCCGACCTGCGAAGCGCCCCATCACTAAGTCTACCGCGGCGTTTCGATAGGTTTCCAGCCGTGGCTAGACTGAGCGGTGAGAAATGTTGGCGTGGATTGATTGCAAACCGGACCGGGCCGTAGTACAGACCATCCTTCGATAGATGAAGTTTGCTCTCAAAAGGAGCCACATGACCAGCTCACGGACGTCAGAGGCAACGCCTTTGTCCCGTCGCTGGCCTTCTGACTCAAGAGCCTTGAGTTTACGGGGGACGGAACCGTAAGTAATGGGCGAATCATACAAGTCCCTCGCCTCCGTAGCCGAGAGAGAGAGAAAGAGAGCCGAGCAGTTAACGTAATTAGCTCCATCCCTGCCGAACGAGGCAACCAGATGTTTCAAAGCTCGGCTGGATATGTAATTATTTGGTGGCGCTTCTTGTTTCCGACACTTGTCCCAGACTCCGACGGTGTCAATGTCAGCCCGCCCTGTCTAGTCTATCTACCCCAGACAGCCGAAGCATTATTCTCCGGGACAAATTTCCTGCCCGGCCGTCACCGAAGGAGAAAGAGGATGTGTGTGTATACATGCCCGTGGTAGCACCAGGGGTCTGGGCCCAGGCAATCAAATAAACAAACACAATTAAATCAAAAAGCTTTGCGCACGAGGCCTCTCCAAAGCTTGACTGCATTCGGGTCTTGGTTTCTTATACATGGAGATAATTACCGAGAACCCCCGGCCTGTCTGACAATGGATAGGCCAAGCTGCGGGCGTGACGTGGCGAGGCGAGGCGAGGGAGGGGACGGGCGTAGGTTAGGCTATTTTGCTTCCCATGCGGACACCCGAGACTATCTATTGCTTGCTTACAAGGAAGCCGCCGGCAGTTAGTTAGATGAGATACACGAGAGCCTGTTTCCGAAAGCCGTTTGAGACTTTGCTTGGTGTAATACCACCTGTCAGTTTTTTCCTTTCTTTTTCGTTGCCTCGTTTGTCTCAGCTTACTGTACGTGGGTCGAAATGTCTGAGAAACTTAGCTTATCGCAGAACTGACGTCCGGAGTGCCAGCCAGGCAGTCAGTCATGCGGAGAATTTGTGCTTTGTCGAAACTGGGGTAGACCCGGTAGTTAGATGACAGCAAGTGGTTGCTAATATGTAGCGAGCCCGCCGCGCCATCTTGCTGTGACAGCAATGCTGTCGGATGCTGTTTTGGCGACGATGCAGCGCTATCATGTGGCGACATGAAGTACTCAACTGCTCTTGGCGCTCGGGTTGGTCACTTCCGAGCCGTCGAGGTCTCGTCAGAAAGGGTATGACATCAGAGGCCTCGGCTCGGCGGCGTCACCGGCGTCACCAGCGGTGAAGACTTCCGGACAGGGGACTGTATACTAATACGCTTGGTCGGTGGAAATGGGACGGCACTGTTGCTCTTTTGGGCCATCTTGGCGGCGGAATATGAAGGATGGCTCGAGGTGCGAGCTAAGTGTACGACGAGGAACATGCCTGTGGTAACACAAGCGGACTGCCAGCGTGTACTAGCACCAACGCTCCTGCAGTGGACCACATCCTCGGCCTTATTGTTCTACCGTGGTAAAGTGTCAATTTGGGATGCATGATGGCAGAGGGGGGCGCCTTGTTTTTCTGCCACCCGTCGAGGACTCAGGAGGTGACACATATCTACTCCGCGTAGACCTGCCCCCAAGGGGGTGAAGCTCGGTATCGCTGAGCACGAAGAACTCACTGCCGCCAAGAGCATGCAGTGCGACAATGCCGTTGCTGTGTAATAGCAGAGCTGACGTCTTTCTCCTGGTCGTATGATAAATGGCACCGATAGCCGAGTCGAGCAAATAGTAGCTAACTACTACGATTCCCCTGGTAACAGAACTTGGGAGAAACAACACACCACCCATAGGCACATGTTGCGAGTTTGGATCTCTCTAGCGGTGTGAACGTGGTAGCTAGAAACATCCAGGGGTATTTCTTGAACGACGGGCAGTTTCGTCGGGGTTGGCGCGTAGGATAGACATCAACGGCCTGTCACCAACAAGGATTCAACCTCCTGACAGCGCGGAATGTGGGTTCAGCCACCTCGTTGTTGACCATACCGACTTAGAAATGTCTGCCCATAAGTCCAAGAAGCGCCGACATCAAGCCACATGCAGGGAAACATGGGCCGGCGTCGACGTCGTGGCGTGTCGGCGTCTTCCTAGACAGGGCAAAAAGGGAGCCAAAAAAAAGGTAAGTGAAACCAGTGGAACAAGCTCTCTCTCTCTCTCTCTCTCTCTCCAAAAAGGCGTTAAACTCGGAACATGCGAATGAGACATGTTGTGCCAAGCAGGTGCGCCAAACGTACACAGACCCCGGAATCCCCTTGACCCGAGCATGGGCTTCCTGGAGTACGGTAGCAGTTTCTTTTTACCGAAGTGTTGGACTACACGTGTACGACGGCCATAGCACACGATCGAAGCCGGTCTGTCGGCTGTCCGTATCCCGGGCCTATCAAGTGGCACCTCATGTGTGCGGCTTTTAATTGCTGTATACACCGCACACCGCGTACTGCATCGCATTCTTTCTTTTCATTTTAGAAAAAAAAGAAAGGAAAAGAAAAGCTCCAGAGATTCCGTCGACCTATGCATAGCGACACCCGTCTCCCCCCCTTTTGTCCTCGAGTTGTGTGCCTGCGCTGCAATGCAGACATCTAGTGTCAGCCCTCGACTACATGGCAACGTGGATACCTCGGAAGTGAGAATCTTGGCCCGTTGTCCCATCCGGAGATGCTGGGTCTTGTGTGGTTGTGCAGCAGGCCTCGCGATTCCCAAACCAAGTTTACGATTTCCGGGACGGGACACCCGGCGGCGCTAAGCAAGCAGCTAGCCCTCTGCTAGGGGCTACTCGGGCAATGGTTCCTGATGGGTAAACATTGGGAAGTAACTCCAGAGGGGAGCACGCAATTGTGCTTCTGGGGATAACAGGGGGAGGGGGACGGAATGAGGCAACACAGTGATCCTCGACTCGGGTTCCGGCCCTGCTTGCATGGAGCATTTAACGAAAACGCACTGTGTGTGCCCTATACAATTATGTAGTTTTGCGTGTACAACATGCTGCACCTGCCGTGGTGCATTGCGCGTGGCCATCCCGTGTTGGCAACTTTGTGTTCCCACACATGGCTGTCTCCGAATCGACCCGAATGCTCTAGTTCTCATGTGCCAACCTTATGCAATGAGTGTCCCTGGCTGGATGAGAAGTGTTTATTAGCTCTGGACAAAGCACTGTAAATAGACGCTTGTCACATAGCCGGGTATCCAGTCAGATGGTCAGTGTAGGACGCTGAACCTGTCAAGGGGGTATTTTGGTCTTTGTGTTTACTTGGATGTTTGGGTTTCTGGGTTTCTGGTCAATCTCTTGGGGGCTACCAACTCTCTTGAGGGCCAGGACAAGACAAAAGGACACGGGAGAAAGAAAAGCCCCGCCTCGCTCCGGTGGCGCTACCAAGGCCCAGGGGCAAAGTAGGGAGGGCCCGGCAACGGGAGTAGCCAACCTGCCTCCGGGTACGTTGTGCCACGACGTGCGGCCAAGATCCTAACCTCTCGGATTATGCATGTACCATTAGAGCCAGTGCGTCTGGACATGTTGAGGAGCGTCTACACACCACACGCCACCAACAATGTTTTGGGTACTTGATTGCCTTAATATCTTGGCCTTTGGAGAACACAGCATATGGCGCCGCTCCGACACCGAACCAGACCGACAGTCTCACGCGTCCTTGTCGAGCCAGGCGACCCTCGGAATCTCAAGACTGGAACTCCGTGATGCGTCAGTTCCTGCAGCACCAAGGCGTCAAGCGGTCATCTTCTCGCCCCCCCGAGCTAGGGTCAGCCATGACGACCTCTTCCGTCTTGCGATACCCTCTGACCCGATGTTTTGCCTATAAATTGACCGTCTCCCGCTCCTCAAGGGCATCTGAATATTATCATCATCGAGCATCATCAGCCCTCATCAGCTCTATCAGAAGACTCACAACCTTGAAACACCACCCCAAGATATCTCATTCAACCGCCTACCCCTTTCTTCCTCATTGACCACCACCCGCCACCCAAAATGAACCAAGGCAGCACCACCTCGAACTGTAAGCTCCTCCCCAACAAACCACAACCTCCCCCCCAAGCCCATTGACTTACACGTGCTCCCACAGCCGGCAAGTCGACGACGTACGCCGGCCACGAGAGCGGCGCAGACCCCAATCCGCACTTCAGCAAGTCCAACGGCGGCAACGGCGACTACGGCATCGTCGACTACCTGAAAAGCGCCGACGCCTGGAACTCTGTCAGCGCTACCACGACTCTCAGCGGCGGCAGCAGCAGTGGCAGCACCACGTCGACTAGCGTAGGTTCAGTCTCTTCGTTCTCATCTTGAGACCTTACGGAACTGTTTCGACACTCTCTGTTCTTTTCTCTCTCTCTCTCTCTCTCTCTCTCTCTCTCTCTCTGAAGTAGTATTGGTTTCAGAGAATGCTACAAGCGCGCTGGCTAACGTCTGAGCCCACCGACAAAGAACGACACGAGCAAGAAATATTGATAGCACAAGGTACTTTAGTAGGCTCTGCCTGCCGAGTAAGCGAGGGCTTGGATTTACCGGCAACAACCGCAATTCGGGTCTCCTCGTGTCCGGTGCTCATGTTGGATGGGAACTCACTTGGGTGTTCTGGATCATGAAGAGTCTTGGTGGTCTGGAGCCGTGATGTGGAGATATTGTGGAAACATGATGGATCAGGTGCGGAAATCTAATTTGTTTGTTTCTTGAGAGACTGATTGGTGGTATTGAAGGGGTGAGAGGCCGAGGAGGAATGTGATATCTCTTGCTTTTTGAACCGTTTCTTTTTCCTTGTTTGAGTTAATGAATCTATGCCGCCTAGTTCTTCAGCTTTGAAGTTCCCTTGAGTGTCTGAATTAGGTAACATCTCGTTTACTCTTGATCGGAATGCTTTGAGCCATTCACGTTACTGTTTTTGTCAGTATCTAACGGTGCTAATAGTGGTGCGTAGCCTGGGTGATGTGAGATGTCCTCTCACCTAAGGACCTGAGTTAGAATACACAGACCTAATTAGGAAGACAAGTTGGTTAGTTTCGTCGAGGTAAACCTCACCCCTCGACACTTTATTTACTAGCACTAGATGCCTAATCGGTTTTACGTGTGAAACCCGAGTTTGGCTTCTTCCATCATTCTCTAGGCGACTGGGTCTGGTATGCCCCCTACTTCCTTCAGTCATTTTACATTTGCAATTCAAAGCCTACGTAAAGCCTCAGCCTTTGGTTACCGTTCCAGAGTCCCCTAAAAATAACATCACGTCAGGTATGCAAACCTCCTCTCCGGAATTTGAAGGGTAGACACACAATGTCAAAGACTCAAATACCACCCTAATTAATTACCAAATTCGAGCTGAAAGTGTCGTTCACAGACAAATTAGCACCTGCATTCATCAGTATAGGAACGATTTTGATTCAAGCTGGAAACCTTGGGTATCTTCTCTAGAACGTCGCATGCTTTCAATTCACGGCTCGCACTCTCGTTGATTGCCTTCTTTATCAATCGCGACAGCAATCTTTAGCCTTCGACTGGCACCTCTCATCTCACTAATTGATGCAGAGGCCGCCGCACCATCTGGCATTCATAGATCTTGGCAGCAATCCGGCATGAATGAACAAACTGAAGTGGCCCGTTTTGGGAAGGGCTGCTATTATGTTTTGTCGGGGGACGGTGTTGAGGGGAGAATAAATTAATTTGCAGTTTAAATTGAGCCGACGAGTCAGCATTTCGGACCCCGTTGAGGGCTGCGCCCGTGAGGTGGTTGTGGCTTGAGGCTTGGCACAAATCAAAGTGCGACGATGCCATTCCACAAAATGCAGCATGCGAGGCCCCAATCTTATTCGTTCCGACGCTGCGCACGTGACGTCAGCAGAGCACCACGCTTGTTGCGCTCTTTCAAGGCACAAGATTAAAATTTAAGAATGATTACGGCGCAGAGTAGAGGTGCCATGTCGTGTTGTGTGGATCAGACCCGTGGGTGCCTGCTAAGCACCAAACTTGCGCGGTGGAGCGCGTCCGGCCGGGCTTGGCAGCCACTTTGGCAGGGTGACAAGCAATGGCGGGGAGCGGGATGCACAGCCGTCACAAAACTGGGTCCCTTCACAGGTTTCCACTCGTGTTGCCCGTGTCCTGCAATTCTATACGCTACGGAGATTTCCGAGGGCGTGTCAGCATCATCGCCGCCTCGCTCTATTTTAGCTCAGCACGAGAAGCAGGAGCCTGGGCTGAAATCGATTGGCTGCTGGACTTGCGGTCCGAGACAAGAAAGACTCAGCTGCCCGTCAGGCCCAGCCACGGTGAAACTCGCAGAATAGAACAAATAATCGTAGGAATCGTTGGGAGCGACGCAAATGGTCGCCGGCACAAACAATAAATGGGTCATGGGTGCCTTTTCGTGGGTTGCATTGCCAGTTTTTAGGTAAAAGAAATGGACCGGCCTGGTCCTCTGGGCTCCACTTTCCAGTTCCTGCCGAGCAGCTCCGGGCACCCTCCCAGTCAAGCCGTCTCGTCAGCAGGCTCAATTCCCTGGTTTGGCTGGCTCCCACCTGGGCGCCCCGAAAAGGTCTCAGTCAGTAGCGCCCCAATTGCCTGCACGATTGCACCACCCACTGCAAGCAAGCTGGAGTGACCGCCGCCCAGTCACACAGCCGGGTTTCCTGGGTTGCTCAGTGACCCTTTCGCCTTTCTTACAGGCACCTTCCTCTCTACCCATTTCCCACTTTCTCACCACCTCGCTCTTCACCCACCTTCGTTCCGGTGACGCTCGTTTTCGCCCCTCCCCAAAGGCGGTCGATGGTTCTTGCGCAGACTGGAATCGTCCAGTATTTTGTTGGAAGCACAGGACATCATCAGCATTCGAACAACACTCGCTGGGTCGGCGCCGCGAACCGAAATAACTAGAGTTTTGGCGAGATCCGCGACACGCCCCGGTTCCACAGGCAAACTCTCCCCTGGTGCATGGCATAGTGCATTGCATTCCTTCTGGACGAAAAAGAACTTTACGAGCACGAGCACCAGCACCAGCACCAGCAGGCCTGATCGTTTTCACCCAGGTCGCAGCAATCCGTTGCGAGACGAGCCCTTGTCTCTCGCGGTACCAATATCCGCTGCGGCACCCGACACGCGCAGAATCGTTACAGGGGAAGAATAGGTGGTCAGGTTTCGGACAGGCAGAGAAAACACGCCAATTTCCTTCATCTCGACTGTTTGGGAAAATAGACGGTAATCTATCGTTTGTGTGTCTTTTTTTTTTGTGGAAAATCGACGTTCGCGGCGGGATATCCGGACCACTTTCCTGTCAAAGGAATCGATTCTTGTTCTTTTCCGGGAGACCCCTCAGACACTGGTCGGGCCTCGATTGACGGCCACTTCGACGCAACGAACCCAACTGCACGGCGATCTGTTTCGTGGATCCGCTGCAGCCCTTCCCAGCCGGTCGCTTGACCGAACCCAGAGAGCAATAAAGTTGTGCGCTCGCATCCTCCGCATGCGATTTGCATACCCGGAACTATCCACGACGACTCTAAAAACCGCCCACGATGGCAATGCGTATGTCTTAATTCAATTGTGCTTTTGCTGCCTGCTTCTCTTCGCTCCCCTCGTGCCCGGCATGCGATTCGATCCCATTTCCCCGCTAGCCACACCTTGGCAGCTGCGCGCTTTCCCACATCCTTCGTCACAAATGCCGATTGGGAGAGCAAAGCTAACCAGTCCCTGAGCAGAAACGACACTATTCCCGCTACAAGCGCTGCCCTCTTGCGTCGCCGCAGGGGGTTGCGGTAAGCTCTACGACGCAAATGGGAAATGCGTGCCTCCCGCGGCCGGCGTTCCTCAAAACGCGCCCGGTGTCTATTCCAGCTGCTTCTGTGCCGACTCGATCCTAGCGCCCTTCAAGACAGGGAGCACTGGCGTCTGCGACCCTACAATATGTACGGCCGGGAGTGATCTTGCCAGTATTCAAGGCTGGTTCACAAACTTTTGCGGGATCAACGGCAATCAGGTGGCAAAGACAACATCATCATCTTCATCTTCAACATCCACGCCCGGCACAGGATCCGCAGGGGTCACTAATGCCAATAGCGGCGGTGGCGGTGGGACATGGTAAATACACCCGCTATTTTACTCCTGTCATTTGCTCATGAAAGTCGTGTCGCCCTTTCATGTTGGTGGCTGTGGACTTCACCTGCCAAAAGGCTGCTTGGTCTGGCGATGCGGAAAATTCTCGGATCAAACATCATGGGAGCTGACACCCCCTTGTTCACAGGCTCTCAAATCACTACCAATGGGTCATTTTCCTCGTTGTCATAATCGTTGCCATTGTCGGCATATGGGTTGGAGCGTGCATGTGGCGGCGCCGCTACCTTCGCAAGAGGGACCGCCAGTATGCCCTGGGTGCCAACCTAGCACACGCTACTGAGTCGGGCCGGGTAGTGCCGAACGCCAGCAATGGCGAGTCTATACACGTCCCTGCGGCCGGCATGTTCGACCCTGCGCCCATCGCTAGCGCCGGTATCTACGGCGAGAAGTCGCCCAAGAAGCAGAAGAAGAAGTGGGTCGTCAAGGAGCGGACTTGAAAGGGCCGTCCCTTCCTCCGCACTCTTCCTCCGCACCCCATTTGACATATACACAACTCGCATGTATATACGAATCCTCTTACTTCGCCCCTCATCACTGAGTGGATTACAGTGGGCTCTGGGCACGCACACATTGCAATGCGTGCATGCACCCGAGTCTCTCGGGATTACTGTGTTTTTGGGGTTTATCACGACCTAGAATAATTACCTAGTGGGAACATGATATTTTTTCTCCGTTTTTGGGTTTTGCTTCTTCTAAGAGAATGGGGTTTTTTTTGGGTGGGATGAAAGGAAGGGATAAGGACGGGAGGGATTTTCCTTTGTTCAAGGGGCCACACACATCAAAGTGTTTTATGTTTTTCTTTTGGCGTTTTATTGACTCTGGAGTTCCAATGACGGGTTAAATTGGGGGGGTCTTAACTTTTATTGTTCATTATATATTACACATTACACTATCACATCGACATTGCTTGGTCTTTGTTCGTCCCTTTGTGTACGGTTCCATCCCGAAATCCTCTTCAAACACACCTTAATAACTGCAACACGACATAGCCCGGAGTCTTGTAACCCGGAGTCAGAGTCGAAGACTCCCGAGTATATGCCTAGGTCTCAAGGATCCCTTTGAGGGGGAGGAGCATTGGCATGCATGTCTATCTGTCCTCTGTTTATCCAGTTGTGCATTTACCGCCAACATACATCGCGAGCAGCTCAGATGGCTTGGATGAAGAAGAATATTACTTATTAGGCTCTTATCTCTGTTTCCTTGTGAGACTCTTGTGTAAGAATCCCGGAAAGCTCCTAGCCGAGCCATGTTCCCCTGTGGGACGCCGTTTTTACGGGATCTAATCTTGCCGTGCTTGTTGGGCAGGTTGGTTACATATACCTGGAGTCTTGACTCTGACTTTGGGCTACGAGACTCTGGGCTACGTTTGGTTGCAGTTATACAAACACAGAGTGATTGAGGAATGGTTACTTGTACGTAGTGCTATTTTTGTCCTGTGACGAAGAGTCTAGCAAGCAGACAAGCCACCAGCACGGCAGTCAAATTTGGAGACTATCAGCCTTTCATCTCATTAGTACTAATAGCTGTATTCATAAGGTCCCACGAGAACCTTAATACCATGTTGTGTATTTTACCTGTCTTTATAATAACCACGTAATGCGCCTGCCCTTACGCGAAATACAATCTGAATACAATCACTTAGACCAAAACCGGAACGCCAGCACATTCATATCTAGGTATGCAATTATTTCACGGCCTCCTTCATGCCAGCCCGCCCCCGCACTCACCGCAGCGGAAGAGTCTGAGAATCTAGCTTGGCTTGCTCATCCGCCGCATCCATATACAGGTCGATCAAGCAGCTGGCTGACCACGCTTGAGTTGGAGACTGTGAACATGTTAGCACCTAGTGATTGAAGACACGACCATCAAAAAGACAAGTAAACTTACAGAGTCAGCGCAGTGCTCGCCGTTCTTCTGGGTCAGCTCCGCAAGTCCAGCCCAGGGACTGCGCTCAATCATCTCTTTGCAGCCGATGAGTCTCCGTGTAACCTGCTGGAATGCTTCGGTGCGACCCTCTGCATCATCACGACCGCGGCGCTTGAGGTCAAACTTGAGAAGAGCGCGAAGGAAGAAGCCCGTAGGCCACAGCCATTCTGGGCCTTGGTGGTAGTTGCGACCCTTACTAGTGGCAAAGTCGGTGCTGTCTTCGCTGTTGTGGTAGTAGGGCCGGTAGTTCATGTCGCCGGGGTCAAGCGTCGCCATGCCAGTCGGCCCCCTGAGGACGCTGTCGGCAATGCACAGTGCATGCATGGCGTGCTTGTCGTCGAATAGATCAGGGGCGCTCGTCATGGCGATGGGGAAGTTTGGCCGGAGCTGGTAGTCTTCGTACTCCTTCCCAGAACGATACAGATCTTTGTAGATACCGCGACGGTGGACCACCGAGGTGTTGATATCATAGGCGCTGTCCTCGGAAGGCGAGATGGGGACAAAGTAGCACCTCTCAAAGTTGCTCTTTATGAGGCTGGCCCATCCCTCAAAGGTTACCTCTGAGCCGTCTGTCTTCCGGACGCTGGCGTAGCTGTATTTGCCAGATTTGTTCAACGACGCGACCCACCTCAAGCTGCTGTAGAGCAGGCCCGTAATTTCGACAGCGGCGCCGTCTCGAGGGGTACCCGGAACGCCCTTTGAACCCGCACGATCGCTCTCACCCATCTTGTCCATCCAGGTACCGCAGTTCTTCTGGTTGCCACCGAAGATGAAGCCATTGCTCCAGTCGACCCTGATTTCTATATTGAAGCCCTCGTCGCCCATCTGCATGTCCAGACCGGGACCAGCATTTGCCTCGCGGAACTTCATGCCAGCTGCATGGCGCTGGAGCACCTCGAGAACAATATCACCAATGGTACTCTCTTTGCTGTACGCGCGAGGGTCGTCGGTGGGAAACCAAGTATCATCATACGGCAAGAAGCGCCGCTTGATCTTCTCATCCAGCAGTGACAAACCATCCGGGGCGATGCGCGTGTAGTCTTGGATGCACTGCAAGAAGAACCAAACAGAATCTCGAGCGTTGTATCTTGGTGTGTTGCCGCTTCCAAGAAGATTGGGAATCATGCCGTGCTTGAGAACACCGGCAAAGGCACGAATGTGTTCCTTCGCTTCATCGAATCTTCCAGTGCCGAGGTACAAACCACGAAGAGAAATGAAGACATCACGGCCCCAGCAGCGAGCCCAATCAACCGCGAAGTGCGGCAGGCCGGCGGCGAGAGACGGAACAAGCCGGTTCGGATAGAGAGATGCCGACTTGACGAGTCCAGTCTGTTGAGTGCTGACCATGGCCAATTTCTGCAAAAACCACTGCCCATTGCGGATATTGTGATTCATGAGAGAGACGCCCTGCTCAAAGGCAGCCATGTAAGCAGTCCGGAGGACCAAGCCAAAGTATCGCGGAAGGAGGAAGCTGGGAATCCCGCGGATGGCATCAAACCGCTCCCTCAGCCAAGCTGCCGGTTTTGCGAGCCGGCTGTAGGCCTCAAGTTTGGAAGCGCGCTCAAGTCTCCCGACAATGTAGTCAAGAGCCCATTGTCCGTCTCGGAGGTGCTGGCAAAGTGGATGAGCCAGATTGTTGTCCTTGATGATGTCCGCAAGAATGCTCCACCAGCCTTGAAGGCCAGCATAGACAATTTTGCCGTGTCCCGGGATATCGTAAGTTCCATCCCTTCCATTGCTGACATCGTGTTCCTCGGGCTCACACTTGTACAACAAGAAGTTGAGGTCGATCAGGCTAAGCTCATCCATAGCTACCTTGGCTCCAGAGGTCACGAACGTGTCCAGGCCACTAGAGTGCTCTGCGGCCGGAATCCACGTCTCGAACAAGGCGATGCTGCCAGGAGGGAATCTGTCGCGCACGGTGATGATTGTGTCATCGCCCTTGACCTCCATCCGAATGCCTGGGAGAGCAATCAGCCGGCTTGGGAGTCCTCGAAGATACTTCTTGTCACTCAGGACTTCCTCGACCGCTTCTTTGCTCGAGTCAACTTCGAGCATCCAGCTTCCAAGATGCTTGGCCTTGGTTCCGGTCAGATGAACCGCATTGAACGCGCCATTTCCATTCCCGTAGCCGGGGAAGGCAGTGTGGGCGATTAAGAAGTAGCCCTTACGGGAGCCTGGATGGACACGATGAACCGTAATATACTGGTCCTCGTGGTGGATGTGCGTCTCGTCATAGCCGTCTAGACCCATCAGAGTGTGTATCTGGTTCAGCAATTTCTTGACACCGCCAATACCGCCCTTGCCGTCGCCAACCTTGACTGGGAACTTGGACGACTCTGAAGTGTAAAGGCGCGACTCGCTGACTAGATCAACCAGCTTTGGGTAAATCTCATCATAGCCCATGACGCTACCAGTTGCGCTGGAGCACATGCAGACCAGTGCCGCGTTGGGGAGCGTGTCACGGGCATCTCGCTTCTGAGCAGGAACCTCGTTGTCGTGTGTGCAATCCATGAACAAGGCCTGGACGGGAACGGGCTTGATCCGGCGGATGATCTCGCGCGTGTATTGGTGCTCGCCATTCACCGTCTCGCCGTTTTCCTTGACGGGGCCTCGGACGTCGAGGCTCGAGATCTCATCAACCTCGAAGCTGCCAATCGGACGGCCGCCATGCCGATGGACGAGTCGGCTGAGTTCCGCGGTGCTCCATGCCTGCATCGCTTCGCGAACGAGCGAGCTCAGACCAAGCCGCTTCACAAAGACGTAATCCATCTCTTCCGAGCCTGTGAAGAGCTCGGCCACAACAAAAAGGTCTGGGCGAACGCGGCGGGCTTCGTCTAAAATATGCTCGGCTACATGGAGAGGGGTAGAGTGGCAGTTGTCAATCCGGAAGCCGGCGAAATACTTTGCCAACATCCGGGCGTACTTGGTCATATGTTCCCAAAGCCATGGACTGTCGTTGGGACCGGCCCCATACCGGAGCTTCGTGCAGTCACCCCAAACGATGACCTCTCGTCGGAGATAGACGCGCGATTGCGGGCCGGCATTGTCGACGAGCGCATTTCCGCCCCAGACCCATCCGTTGTTGACGAGCGCCAGATCTTCCTTCCTGTGCTTCACCGTCTTCTCGTTCAGAGGCAAGCGGGTAAAGTAGGTCTCAATCAAGGGGTTCTTTGCGTTGATCGGCCCCTGCTTCGGCCCATGTTCATCCAAACGGACATACTTGATGCGGTTGAAGAGCTGCTGGAGAATCTCGGCCACCTCGGCGTCGTATTCTTTATAGAAGGGCACGTTCACGATGTCGAGTATTTCCAAAATTTTGACTCGGGCTGCTGCTTGATCCGTACTGTCACCCGATTCGCCTTCGTATCGGCCAAATATCGCAGACAAGAGCGCTGCAGCAATATTCGGGTCGACTCTCCTCCTAAACCGCTCTCCAAGGCGGTCCATACCCTTTAGAGCGTTCTTGACGAGGAAATCCGCCTGGTCCTTAGGCGCGGCTGCGCGAAGAGCATCGATGCCACCAGGGCCAATGGAGCCCTCGGGAAAGGCTGTCTTACCCACCACCCAAGACTCGATAGCCGCGTCGGCATCGCGATCGACGTCGAGAGCGTAATACTCCCAGAGGCGGATCTCTGCCATCACCTCCTTCTTGATTGCGTCCATGATCTTGACGAGATCGTCCACAGACTTGAGATCAGTTGGTAGCCCTAGCTTCTCTAGCTTGTAACTCAGCTCGAGCAGCTTCGAGTCCAGGAGGTAGGCCGACTCCAGCCACGGCGCCGTGGTCAAATTGTAGCCTGCCTCTGGGTGGTCTAGCAACCAAGTGCTGTTATGCGCAGTGTGGTTCAGGACGATGTCCGTCAGACTGAGCATGGAGTGGTTCTTTTCCAAGCTCTCCACCAACTTTTGCACGTCCTTCTCGCCTTCTGGGAAACAGTTGGGGTCCCAGCCAAGCTGGTCATACAAACTGTATGGCGAGTCCGAGGCACCCCTGACTTGCAGCGGGGTGAAATGGATCATGTTGTACCCGCGATCGCTTATGCCCCGGAGGTGCCGCTCCCAGTCTTGCGGATACCTGCCCATGAACTTGCTGATGATGGAGAAGACGGACAGCGCCGGCAGAGGCAGCGGCTGGCCGTCCAGCGTGAGCCTCGGCGCAACATCGATGTAGTACAGAGGCGTCTTCTTCGTCTTGGTCGTAGAGACGCCATTGGCCTGGGCGAGGTTGTTGGCAAGGTCGGGCAGCTCGGCGTACGTCGTGTAAAAGGCGTATGCGCCGGCTTCGTAGATTGGGATGGAAATCTCGAGCGTGCGGTTGAAGTCGGGAACGAGCCTGAGCGGGTACGGGTAAGCTTTCCACACGCAACCAACAGGACAACTCTCATCTTGCCACGGGGGCAATGGCAATCAAGGGGCATCGTACTTGAACTCGCGAAACTTGTCGCGGCGAAACTCGGCCCCACGCTCGGGAATGTTGACCCAGAGGCTGCCATGGCGGCAAATGCTCGACGTGCCCTCGATTGCAAAGCGGATTGTCACCGACTCGCGCGTCTCGGGCGCGAGGTAGATGTACTCTCCAGTGACCTGGGGCGAGCCATCGTCGTTGAGCGGCAGCAGGTAAACGTCGTTGGAAACCATGGTTTTGGGGATCATTGTGAAAGAGGATCGCTCCGAGCCCGTAGCTGGGTGGGAGCTATTGGCCTTTTTGGGCAGCACTGCTGCAAGCGACTTGCCCCACGTCCGGGATACTGCCGGCTGCAGATCACACTAAGCAGCAAATCAGGCAGAGGCAGAAACAAAGCGTTCGGGCGATTCCTCTAGACATCAGGTATTGTGGTTTGTTTTCCCTAGGATATATGCTAGCGACAGTACGAAGTAGGCAAGGTTGGTGACCTAGGATGTTCCCACTGACAGGAACGAGCCAAGGCAAGGAGAGCACGGCGCGGCGGGACGAAGACGTCGACGACTGCGGGCGTTCCGTTACGAGTTAGCCGCTAAACAGGGAATCCAAGGGCAAGGTTCAGGTCAGGCGATCCAGTGTAAGATGGACGGCACGGAGTGGAGGTCTGTTTCTCTCAGTTGGGACTCAAGCAAGAGCTGTACGTGTAAGATGGACGAAAGTGCAGGAGCAATCCAATGCGCGCGCCGCTCGCAAAGAAATTGAAGGGAAACAAGCTAGACGTGAACCGAAGGCACGATGCGCTTTACTAGTATTACAAGAGAAGCATGGAAACAGTCTGCGAAACGACCCGGAGGACGGAAGCAAAATCCATGTCGGGCGGTCAAGGCTCCGGTCACCTCAGGGCAGGCTGACGCAGGTCTCTAGGATTTCTTCGCCCTTCAACTGGTTTCCAACAGCGAAGATGGAAGCTCAGGGCACGACGGGCATCCATTGCTGGCCTGGTGGGCGGCCCTGTCCAGCCTGACACCATGGAACAAGGTCGGATAACCTGCCCTGGAAGCCTCGTCAGACGGCAGCGGGCCTGCGCTTGTAATTGCAATGTTTGCGGAGCGGTTGTGGCTGTTGGTTTCACGCAGGCCTGGAAGGGGCCAATAGTAGTGCAGGCTGCTGGCCGAGTCTCCATCCCGGTGGAAGCGGCACTCCGCATTCCAAGGCGCCTTGACGACCCGTCCGGGAGGGTCTTGGGCTCTTCGCCGGCCATGCCTCTCTCTGATCGGGCGCACGCTGTCAATGGGGGGGACCTGGGAGATGCGAGGCGATGACGATGACATGCAGCTGGTGGGGCTGTCCCGCCCGGTTTGGTTGGCCTGAGCTCCCTGTCATCTCGAATGCCAAATCCCGAGCAGCTCCAGCCATTCCAGCTCTCGCAATGGTATTTCTGTGCTTCAATCCGGCAGGATACCGCTCAGTTTGAGCCTCGTTTTGTATCAAACACAGGGCACGCGAAGCAGCCTCACTATTGAACGGCTTCAGAGTGGCCGGGTGGTGTGTTTTGTCAAGGATCTTCGCGATCGCCGATTCCTTCTGGAACCGAACCTTGCTCACCGACAAGGCCTGGGCCGCTCGAGCCCCGCACCCCCTCAGCTGCCATCCATGGTTTTAGCGCAGACTGCTGAGCAAAGCTCGCATGGAATGCTCAATGACATCAGTGCCCACACCTCGCAAGCCACGTAAAATTTCAACTGCACATTCGGCCAAGGTCGTCAACTTCCCGACTCCGGACAGTCGTATCCTCAGAGTCACCGACCATCGCAGGTATTGGGAATTGGCATTACCACAAGGCGAGTGCCGTGCTTGTGTCGATTAGAATATTCGCCGTCGGTAAGCCCAGGACCGGACCTGTTGGTGTGAGATGCTCAGTGGGGGCTAGTGTATGAGGGCCACCTTCGCCTCTGACCTCGCCAACCTCTGGGCCAACAGGCCGCTGGCACGAGAAACGCACGTTACCTTGCTTTGTGAACTGGAACAGTAAGGTGCATAGGTGCATTCCAGCCCCAAGTATCATTGGTGGTTCTGAGAACCAGGCCAATGGTTGTGGACCTGGTTCCTTCCACGCGCAGAGTCGCCGCATGGCTAGCATTGAGGCGGCCCGCGTTGGTAGCAGAACAGACAATCGGACCCGGGGCGGAGATCTGCAACGATCTCCGTACGCACCTTTGTGAAACAATTGCTTTGGTTGGTGTAATTAATCATCGAGGGTGAGCTAGAATATGGCGGGCGAATACTCTTCCTTAGTGCAAACCCACAACAGCGTTCCGCAGCAGGTTCCCCTTTACGGTCCAGAGGAATCCGTGGGGAAGGATTCGTACTCCGTTGTTAGTTGAGTATAAATCTGTCGACCCCCCTTTCAATCGATCTTTGAGAATGAGCCATCAGACAGGAGCTACCTGAAGACAGCCTTCACAATCGAAGCCTTCCTGGCAAAGCTTTTTGCGCTAAATAGGACTCGTTAGCAGCATTAGTATCTGTACGCGCTCTGCTCCGTACTATCTTCAGTTACGGCATTCTTGCGTTTTATGTCGATAATGGAGACATCGGGGTTGCAGATGGCTCGGCAATATGGTTGGGAATGTCTTGTTGGCTCGTTAGTCTGTGGCCCTGGAGGTTTATACCGTGGTTGACGTCGTTGTCGGACTTAACAAAAGGCACACCCTAGCTGGAGCAACCGTTGTTTTCCTATTCGACTTCTGGGCATTCGAGGAAAATGCCCGCTATGATGTGCTTGGCACAAAGATTGGGTCGGGAATATAGCTGATGCGCCATTAGACATGGCGACTCCTGTGACTAATTGCTAAGTAGATCTGCAGATATGATAGGATACGACCTTGTTAATTTTTTTCTCTACCTCGCGGGGATGCATTGTAATCCCCGCAAGGCGGCCCGGGTCCGCGTGGCCGAGATTTCCGTTCTGCGGTCCGAACTGTCGTCGGCCAGTGACCAGGAGTCCGGTCCGGCAGCCCGCCGTCCCCATCGGCCACACATCAGCGGCAGCGAGCGGCCTTCTTACCTGTTTACCGGCGTCGCGCTTAAATGTGGCCTGAATGAGCCGAATGGCCGATGTGGGAGCTCGGTTCACCGATCGACCATAGCAAGCAGATAGTGTGCCCTCAAGAGGGCATTGCAAAGGAGGAATACACTGCACCTTCGCACTCCGTCGGCCACCCGTGATGCCGGTATTTCAAATTGCAAACAACGCCCAGTTTATCTCGTATTGGTAGTTTGGCGCATCGTGCCTCGGCCGACGGCATTTGAGAGCGCTGCCGAAGGACATTCCGCCGTCTAAGCTTTCTAACCAGACGCCTCGGCGCGGAGGAAGCGATGACGGGATTGCGGCCGGCCGAGGTTTCTTGCAAGGAAATGCCAGCTGTACTCTACGGAAGGGGTACCTGCTGTCACAAGCCTGCAACTGGCCAATCAGAATCGTGCTAGAACCAAAAAAAAAATTCGAAGGCTGAGCCGCGGGAGACTAGACGAAAGGGGTAGCCGGTCTGAAGCGGCAGAATGGGCGGCCTGCACTTTGTTGCGTTGTGCACCTGCGTCATCTGTAAATTGAGCAGCCAAGGCCCAACCGTTTTGCTATCTTCCGTCGTCCCTTCCCGGTACGTCCTTGGTGGAAAAGGAAGGAGCGCAGCGACGTAAGGTCACCTGCAAAGAACCGAGCTACTAGCTTGACCGAAGAGAGAGCTGACGCCACGGCCGCCCTCGTCCGGCGTCTGCCCAGCCCAGTGACAATCCCGAGGCGAGTTTGCAGGTTTGCCCCTGATGGTTCGAGGCTTGGTGCGCTGTCGTGTGGCCCCCCTGTATAATAAGAAGGGCGTGAGCCTTTTCAGTTGTCTGAGCACTCCCAGTCCAGACTTGACATTGACCTATCCGCATCTGCATCCGCGCCTGCAACAGACACAGACGCAGACCCTGACATTATTCAAGTTGCTTGTTGGCCAGTCTTACCACTCGCCCTCGCTCTCACTCTTACCGCATCCGCCTCCACCTCCCCCCTCGTCGCCCAAACCCAACGTGACCCAGGCCCGGACCCAGACTGGGGCCCATCTGCATATCCACTCTGCTGCGAGCCGTCGTCGACCCAAGGGTTTCCAGTTCGAGGCCCACCTGCACTCGTCCCTGCGCCTGCGCCCTCGAATTGCCCATCTCTCGACCTGGTCTCCTTGCCTCGCCGCAGCCCACGCACCAGCATCAGCATCCGCACCCGCATCTGCACCCGCAGCCGCACGCACGCCTACGCCTATGCCCACGCCCACATCTGTCCTCACACTTGCATCTGCATCCGCTTCCGCTTCCGCTTCCGCTTCGCTGTTCACGCCCCGTCTAGTTGCCCGCAGTGTCCGTAGCTTCTCCCAGTCAGCTAAACTCAAAATGACGGCGTCTTCGGTATTGCCCAGTCGCAAGCACAAGGTGGTGGTGATTGGCTCGGGCAATTGGGGCACCACCGTCGCCAAGCTTGTGGCCGAGAACACGCGGGAGCACCCGGATCTCTTTGAGGAAAATGTGCAGATGTGGGTGTACGAGGAGAAGGTGACGCTGCCCAAGGTCTCGCCACACTACGACGCCTCGGCTGGCGACGAGCCGCAGAAGCTCACGGCCATCATCAACAAGTGCCACGAGAACGTCAAGTACCTGCCCAAGATCGCCCTGCCCAGCAACATCGTCGCGAACCCCTCCCTCCCGGACACGGTTAAGGACGCGTCCATTCTCATTTTCAACCTGCCCCATGAGTTCATCGGCAACATCTGCCGCCAGATCAAGGACCACATCCTGCCCTACGCCCGGGGCATCAGCTGCATCAAGGGCGTGACGGTGACAGACGACAACATCGAGCTCATCTGCGAGTACATCAGCGAGTCTCTGGGCATCTACTGCGGTGCCCTGAGCGGCGCCAACATTGCCACCGAGATTGCCAACGAGGAGTGGTGCGAGACCACCATCGCCTACAACACGCCCGCCGGCGACGTGCACCACGCGGGCAACGCCGTGGCCAACGGCAGCAGCAGTGGCGCCGCTGCCCTGACTGAGTACAAGGACGCACGCGGCCGCACCAGCAAGAACAAGCTCACGCCGGTACCCGGCGATTATCCGTCGCTGGACCACCATCTGCTGCAGAGCCTCTTCCACCGGCCCTACTTCACCGTGTCCATGGTCTCGGACGTCGTGGGGGTGTCGCTCGGCGGCGCGCTCAAGAACATTGTGGCGCTGGCCTGCGGCTTCGTCGAGGGCCACGGGTGGAACATGACGGCCAAGACGGCCGTCATGCGCCGTGGCATGCTGGAGATGATTGCCTTTGGCCGCGAGTTCTTCCCCGAGACGATCGAGGAGAAGACGTTCTGGGAGGAGAGCGCGGGCTGGGGCGACATGATTGTGAGCTGCACGTCTGCGCGCAACTGGCGCTACTCCAAGATGGCAGTCGAGCGCGGCGTGTCGCTCGAGGAGATTGAGAAGACGGAGCTGAACGGCCAGAAGCTGCAAGGCATCTCGACCACGCGGGAAGTCTGCGGCTTCCTGCGGGCGAAGGGCGTCGAGAGCAAGTACCCCCTGTTCATGGTTGTCGACCGCATCCTGGACGGAACGGTTAATGTGGAGGATATTCCCGAGCTGTTGAGGAAGTAAGCAAGGAAAACAGAAGGGCTGCGGTACGGGGTATTCCATCTACATCTGGCGAGGCACGGCGAGGCGCATCACGGGGCCCATTTACAGGATATCAATGATGGTAGTCAAAGGGGAGAGAGAGGGGGGGAAAGACATATTGTCCCACACGGGGCCGGCCTAGACGCGAACAGTAGACGCACGACCTGGTCAATAATGAATTGAGTTTTACAAATGTTCAATTTGGTGCGAGGAGCGACGTGATACAGAGCCGTGATACCCAGAACCCAGAGCTCAAAAGCATGTACCCCAAACCCAAACTTCCTGTAATAAAACTCCTAAGGAAATATATCAAATTGGCCGCCACCTTGTTTCCAGCTCCAGTCATTCCAGCAAGTGTACCTTTTCCTCATCAACGATCCCTCCCCGACCTCGCGCGAGCCACGGCCTCCTCTCACCCACAGCAGCCCGCCGTTGGCCTTCCTCATCCTCGGGTAGCGTCCTCTCACCGTCAAGAAACAGCGGCTTCCCAACAGCATCATAACTAATCCACACAAGATTGAACAACACAGCCGACGTGGCGGCGAGCCAGCCGGGAACGCGCCCGCCGTCGTCGGCCAGCACGCGGCCGGCCTCTACCAAAATCAGCACGAACGGCATCCAGAACCCCAGGAATAGCAGCCGACCCAGCCGCTGCCGCCCCGTCGTCGGCGCGTACGCCGCCATCGCGCCAAGGTGCGCCTGGTAGGCTGCCGGCAGGTCGTGCTCGCGCGCCCCGTCCCGCAGTAATTGTAGGTAGCGTGCGGACGGCTGCGCGTAGTCCGCCTCTGGCCGCCGGACCGGCAGGAGCAGCTTGCGCGCCCACGGCGGGAGGGTCGGTTTGGGTAGCTTGTCGTCATCGTCACCGTCGTCATCGTCACCGTCGTCATCCCCGTCGTTCGAGCGTCGGCTGTTGTTGTCGTTCTCGTCAGGCACGTCGGGCAGGCGCGGCGCGAACAGGGTGCGGGCGAGGAATGGGACGGGCACGGGCGGCGCCGGCGGCTTCTCGGGCACGCCGATGGCGGCCGGCAGCGCGAAGCACGGCACGACGATCTCGTGGTAGCTGGCGCCGCCGCCCTCGGTGGCCAAGATCGTGCGGTAGTCGTCGGCCGTCACCTCGTACACGACGCCGACCAGCCCGCTGTCCCACTGCTGAGACTGGGAAGGGGGCCACTCGGGCGCTGGCGGGATGTCGGGGACGCCAGGCGGGAGTTTCGGCGGGGAAGGTAGCGGTGGCTGCCCCGGGATCTTGCGCAGCGCCGTGTTCGCGAAGCACGGCTCCTGGTACGGCAAGCCCGGTAGGTCGAAGGTCAGGCGTAGCGATGGCGCGGACACGTTGACCTGGCTCAGCGGCCGGATGCCGCGCATGCCGAGGAACGTCGATGCGCACATGTTGGACCCGTAAGCGAGGTAGAGCACGCTCGACGGGGCGGCGGCCGCGGCGGTCGTCCCATTGCCATTGCCATCTCGTTTCTGTTGTTGTTGCTGCTGCTCGGAGGATGCGGGGGAGGTAGTGGTGGTGATGATGGGCTCGGTAGGAAAGGGCGAGGGCGAGGCGTCAGGCTGGGCGAGACGCGCGGCCGACGTGTGCGGGATCGACGAGATCGGGGGGTATGCGGGCCGTGTCCGCGACAGGAGAGAGCGCAGCGGCTGGGCATAGAGGGACTCGAGGTGTCGCAGAGCGGCCGGCGCCGAGTGGTGCTGCGGGCTCTCTTCGGCGAGAGATGCCCGAGAGAGAGCAGGAGCCCTGGTGGAACCCATGGAGCAAGGCTGAGAAGTAATTCTGTGTGGCGGTTAGGTTCTTACGTAAAGTCAGCGGGCGGATCAGCAATGATACTGATAATACGCCTCGGCTAGATCCCGGACGTGCACTTTGCGATTTGTGGTGATGATGGCGAGCTCGACAGATTACTCGACGACGTCTTTATCGGGAGGCTCGGATGATAAGCTGGCGATGGGCGAGAGTGAATGTGGTGCCCGCAGGAGGCACACGTAGGAGGCACACGTAATCCAATCAAAGGAATGGCCTGGCTCTTGGACCAAGCAGCATCGTCACAGCGGTTTGTGCACTAACAACGGACCCCTCACAGCGCTGAAAGCCCCACATGAGCCCGCAATCAAGACGGGATTCTGCATTAGGCAGGTATCTGTGCCTTTCTCGACTCTAGACTTCTAGTGCAAAACGTCCAGACAATGACGATTTTTGATGTTGTAAACCATCGAAACCCTTAGGTTTCCCTTTTAGCGACGTCTCTTGCCTGCATCACTCTGCTCCCTTTATTAGATCTGTGACTGTTGACAACGAGTCTAGGTTTGATCTGAAAGGGGATCCCTCTGAAAGGAACGTACCCGATCTCCCGTCGTCTTCGTTGCCTAGTTGCTAGCCTCCATCGCTGCATCAAGGGGCACATAACCGTCCCAGTTCGACCTATCGATGTGTGGTAAGTTGAGAATATGGCGTGCTTTTCGTCATCACCGGCATTTCGATATCACTCTTCAAAGGCTACAGTGTCTAATTATACCAGTGGCAGGTTTACAACTCGCATTGGCTGCAGCGGGCTCTACCCATCACCCGGGACCTTAGCCATCCTCTGCTTCTGTGTCTAGACTCGGTAGACGGTAGATTTACCGACGAGAGAATCAAGCATTTGCCATGCACTGCTGCCGAGCCTTGCGGCTCGGAAGCCGGCTCATTCTGGGACTTCAATATAGCTGATACCCCACGTCGCCAACTACCTTAGTGCCTAGGCATCTCGACCATGGGCCGTCCAAGCTCGGATCACGACCCAATATTGCATAGCTTCCCCTCGCCTCGTTGACTTTCGTCATCCTCCACATTACGCTGCCCAATATCCGCACTTAGCCGAATGTCTCTCCTAGGTCGGCAATCTTGTCCAACCTCCCAATGTAACAGTCCACTGGCAGATCAACGCGACCTCGTCTCGTCCGGCTGCTCAACAATACGCAGCTTGCAAATGGCGTGTGCTAGGAACTACCGTGTCCCGTCGTCAATGTCACCGTGGAAGGACCCGAGGCCAACCAATGCAGGGACTGAGTAACCCCGGGGCTTTAACCGACGTCAATAGCAACGTGGAAGCTTCCCGCCCGGCTTCTAGACCTGTCACCTATCTGCTACACTAAATGGCCGGCCACTATATAGGAAAGACGGCCGCCGAGCTTTGCCAAGCGTCCGGCTTGACGGCGGCTTGGAGGCCGTTGCTAGCCTGCCAAGATACAGATCATCTAAAACAATAGGGATCTCAAAAAATAATGCAGATGCGCTTTCCAAGACGAAAGGTCCTCTTGCTCACCAACTCGGAGCTTGGTCAAGCCAATGTCTTCCTCGCCACGAGCCATGCTCTCCTGCAGCTCGGAGCCGAGGTGCACTTCGCCTCCTTTCCAGCCATCGAGAGCTCTGTGAGGGCACTGTCCAGAGAAATCGTGTTCCACGCCGTGGAAGGGGTCGACATGAAGACGGCATATCCCCGGGCTGAGGTCGAGGGGTCTGGCTTGGAAGGCAAGACGCCGCGCTTCTACACCATGCCCGCCGTGCTCCGGATCTGTCTCCACACCACCATGCCGTGGTCCGGACCCCAGTACGTCGACATCTACCGGTCCATAGTCGGCATTCTCCAGCAGGTGGCCCCAAACATCATAGCCGTCGACCCGGCCTTCTCGCCGGCCGTTACCGCGTGCCGCCACATGGGCGAGAGGTTTCTCATCTTGGCCCCCAACACCATCAAGGACTTTGCAATCTCGTACCAACCCCCAGGCGACGTGTTCTGGAAGTACCCATGGTAAGTTGTCTCCGCTTCACGCTCTCAATTTCACCGTGCTGAGGGTCTCATAGCATAGCCTCGGGTCTCCCGTTTCCAATTCCATGGTGCTATGTCTTGCTGAACATCTACTACGTCGCCCTGGCCCTGGCAATATGCTGGGGCGACCGGCGGCTGCGAGAGGTCAAGCAGTACATCAGGGACTACACGGCAGGGGACATGATCAGCCTCGAGGACCTCAACCAAAGGCCGCCACCCGGCGTCAAATACCTGGTCGCCAACCTGCCCGACCTTGAATTCCCGCTCCAGACAAGCCCACCGCACATTATCCCCTGCGGGCCAATCCTCCGCCCGGCCGAGCCGATCTCGCAGGCCGACCCGGATCTCGCCTCGTGGCTGTCCCGGGGCCCGACCGTCTACATCAACCTCGGCACCCACGCCAAAACCACCGAGGGCACAGCTGTCGAGATCGCCAAGTCGGTGGCGCTGCTTCTACGCGAGGCTGCGCAAGAGACAGGCGAGGAGAAGATGAAAGAGAAGCTCGCCGGGCTGCAGGTGCTGTGGAAGCTGACGCGCAAAGGCCAGTACGACAACCGGCGCCTCGCGCAAGTGCTAGGGCAGGAGATGGAACAGGACAGGGTGCGGATCGTGGGCTGGGTCAAGGCGGAGCCGCCGGCGGTGCTCGCGCACGGAGGTATCGTATGCGCAGTGCACCACGGCGGCGCCAACTCGTTCCTCGAGGCCGTGGCAGCGGGCGTGCCGCAGGTCGTGCTGCCCGTGTGGATCGACTGCTTCGACTTTGCCAACCGCTGCGAGTTCCTCGGCGTCGGCCGCTGGGGCAACAAGTCCACGCCGCCGCGCTGCCGGGCCCCCGAGCTCAGCCCCGTCCTCGTCGACGTCGTCTTGGGCCCCAAGTCTGCAGGTTACCGCGCCAGGGCCGCCGAGCTGGCCAGGCTGTGCGCGCGCGAGCCCGGCAGGACCAAGGCGGCGCGCGTCATTCTCGGCGAGATTTGACCTACATGTCTAGATGCCTAGGCAAGGTACCTAGTCAGACAACTAGATCATATAGATAGGCTATTAAGTTTGACCGGGAGCGTCCCGCACGGACTTTGCTTGGTTACCTGCCTAGGCATCTACCTGGGTATTCGAGCAACACCGGAGTATTCGAGCAACGGGGTCCTGGATGTTCGTCCTGTTGCGATTATAAATCCAAACTATTCGTAGTTACTCGTCTGCCCTAAGCATTGATGGGATGAAATTTCAGGCGATAAGCAGCAGACAATACCTAATTGCCCGTCTCCGTTACACATAATTGGAAAACCGCAGGTCAACCACTGCACTGTTTCAATAAGACTTGCCTTGAGGAGGGACTTGCACAGTTGGATTTATCACAAAAGTGGAATGGTTCATACCCATCACCACCTACACATTAAAGGTTGGCACAGGCATTTGCCGCGGTACAGCAAAAAGTCAAACAATTGAACGGCACTACTCTTATGTCCTGTATCATCTTGCAGTTGCAGTCGAGACCATAAGAGCTTGGCTCCGTCTTTCGCTCGCCGCCCACTTTCAAGCCCCCACCAGTTCGGAAACAGCACTGCCGTGTGAACTCAGTAAGTATGGCAGAAATAACCAGTTTGGATGAGTGTGGGGCCGTCACTCATCAAGCATTAAGCAACAAAATGGAAATCCAAGTAAGGCAAGAGTCGTCGGCCCTTGCCCAGATTCCCTCCTCCCCATTCGATCGCGCTTGCCTTTCTGGCTGCCAAACGTGCTCAAAGTGGAAAGCGCCTGCCGTCTGCTTCACTGGCTCGCAATGGGAATGGGATCCTGGTAGAGATTTCTTTCCCGACACCCATTCGTCTGGCAAGCTCACAGCACTCTCTGCCGCTGCCTACCAGGAGCCGCCTCTCCCGACGCCCACGGCGCCCTTTGACCGCTCACCATGGAACCTCCATATTGGTCTCCGCAACCGCCCAATGATGAGCTCGTGTGCGGCTACCTTAAGGAGTCCTGGACGGGAGTTAATCAACCAAGCAGGAACAAAATCGACCCCATCACCTTCTCTGACGCAAACGACCTGGTTTACCTCGACCCTATTGCGCAATCTAGACGTGGTCGCTCAAAAGCGAAGAAAAAGGACCTGCTGCCAGACTTGCTGAGAGGCGTCATCGACACGTCCCCCGTGCGACACGCCCGGCTGTCAATCCGCTCTGCTCAGCGCTCTTCTCAGGCCCAGTTACCAAACATAAAGACTCAGAGAAAGGAAATCAACAGCGACACTACCGAACCGCACCCCGGCTCACAACCAAACAGCAAAAGCCAACACCCCGAACTTCCTGCCTCTGAGGCAATCGAGGTCTCAGGCTCTCAGCCATGTACACCGCCGTGGCCACCTCCCCGTCTCCAAAATCTTCACGCCAACGACCGCTCTGACTCCCCCGACGGTGGACAGCTGCCATCCAATTTTCCGCGCAAATATTTCCTCGCCAACGACTGCTCTGACTCTCCCGACGGTGGACAGCTGCCACCCAATTTCCCGCGCGAAGATGCCCTCGCGCTTCCGGCACTTCAGTCCCCGCCTAACGCGTCCCCTGTCCTTCCATCGTCAGACGACGATGTCGTCTTGGATGAGACCCCACGCTTGGCTTTCCCGGTTCCCGACCTCTTGGTGAAGTGTGGCCATCGCCTTGTTTTAGGCTCCAGAGCGACGAAGTCTTCGCAGGCAAACATAGTCCCGGATAACAATTTTAAATACACCAATGGATTAGGCTCAACGAGCTTGCAGTCTGAAACACGAAAGAGACACTCCTCTACACCGCAGACAGAATTTCAGGATCTAAACGAAAATGAACAAGATTCAAGACCCGAAAAGAGAATTAAAGGCCCTCAAGCCTCTCAGCATTCCCACAACCTGCAGCGTATTGGGCCATCAAGTGACCCCAGAGACAGGGGCCATGTTTCTGAAGACGAATCACACGAGAAAAGCCAGGAAGCAAGATCAGAAACTGGAGTTCTCGAGATTATGCTAGAGCCTCCCCTCCGGAAGGGAGAGACTTGCACTCCAGAGGCCTGGGAATGTTATGAACAATCCTCGGATGTGCAACACTATATTGGTTCTAAACTCGGCTCAGGAGGTAACAATTATCACGGCAGACTAGCCGTGATAAAAGACCGAGAGACTACTCAAATGTTTAAGCCTAGGATGGCCACCTCGATCATCGCCCCGTTCAAGATAACTGGTGACATTAACATACCGAAAGGATCTGCGCCGTTTCTCACCATCTCCCCTCCTCAACTTCCTCTCCCAGTTCAACGTCACTCTCTGCATACGACCCCGGAGTGTGTGCAAAGAGGTCAGCCGCAGAATTCTCCGCCTTCCCTTGTCAATAACAGTTCCCCACCTCAGTCGCGAAGTCGACCCCCTCCCACCCTTGCCATCGGCGCGGATGTCTTCAACTACAGATTGCGGCCCAGTCCAGAAGAAATGCGGAAACAAGCAATCGCCGATGACTCTCCCCCAGCTGTCATGCACAAAATTGTCAATGTAAGCAGCAACCTCCAAGTATAGACAATTCCAGTCTCTAACATCGCCTGTCTCTAGGTGCTACATCGTTCGTTGAAATCACGCGAGGACTCTATCGGAGACATTGCAAAGGAATATAATAACAACGCTTTGAAACTAATTAGGAATCTGGAAGACCGTCACAAGATGGAAAGAATCGAGACAACAACCGCTCTCTGGAGCTCAACCCGTGCTGTTCTTGCTACATTCACCGATGCCGAACGGGACACAAGAGAATTGGTTGAGCAAGTGCGATCCATTGTCATTACTCGCACGACGCCTACATTCGCAAAGCCCCAGCTTGCTGGAAAGGTTGAACTGTTGGAGCGCTTGCTCAATGTGAAGCTAAGGGGGCGTTGCAAAACGACCAACAACGATTTGGATGCAACATCGGAGGACCCCCGAAGCGACTCAGGAAGTGCAACTGGTGATGAGGAAACACTCGAAGAGATGTACAGAAAAAGCTTAGTATGGAGAGCAAGCCTTCAGGCGCAGCCACCCGAGGGTTCTTGAAAAGGTTGGTCTTCTAATCAATGAAATCTTCGGAATAGGGGGCAAGAAGTCCACTTCCAGTCTTCCCAAACCGGCGCCCAAACCTGGCCAGGGCGGCCCTGGAGTCCTCGAGGAGCTTGTGGGCGGGTGGATCAAGTCCCTGCAAGAACCGCCCAAAGTTACGAGTTCAACTAAGCTTCCGAAGAGGAAAGGATAATCAAGGTCCGAGAATCCCGTCGACTAGCCTTGTGCCTTAGGCAAAGAAAGCCCCAAAGCATGAAACTCAATTCAATGCCTACCGGTGCATTCGATTCGGTTTCAGATGGGCAGGTTTTATTACGTACTGTAACCTTGGGGCGGCCAGGTCGGGTAGTCCGGAACAATGGTCTTGGGAGCATTTGTTTAAGACTTCTATTTTGTAACTATGTGATGGAATGTCAGAGTTCGGAAGCAGCCATGATCTGTAGCACGTAGTGGTGATTAGACAACTTGAGGGAACAGGACGTTGCAATTTGTGCCGTAAACATTTGCCACTGCAACAATATCATTCTGCTGTAAAAGACTTTATGGCATCTAGCTAATTCTACTATGGTATATTAAGCCTCGCTGATCAAGGGGAACAAATCAACCCTCTTCATTCATTACCTGCGCCATCGCTGAAAAAAGGCAACCACCTGGTGTTGATTGACATGGAATTGGTTTTCCTCCAGCGGCAAATACATTAATTTCAGACCCCAAACCCCCTACCGGAACTTGATGATAGCAAAGAAAGCAAATTAGTGACGTTCGTTGCCGGCTAAACCGCTGCCCGTATACTTTTTCCAACTCTGTAATTACTTTAAATGACAGAGTTTTTTCTTCTTCCAAACGCTGTTCTGGAAACCCTTCCTAGAACAGTCCACCGCCGAGGAACATGGGCAGCTGGCGCACAATCGGCAGCGGCGCGTTGTTGGGCCAGGGCTTGTCGCTGTTGTTATTGTTATCTTTCGTGTTCCTGGGATTCTTGTCCGAACCGGAACCGGAGCCGGATGCCTGGTTTCCGGGTCTTTCGTCGTTGTTGGTCTTGTCATTCTTATTCTTGACGTGGTTGTTGCCGCTGCCTTGATCGTCGATGCCGAGCTGCTGGCTCGAGGAAGACGATGAAACGGAGTCAGAGCTAGAGTTGGGGTTGAAGCCAGACCGGCCGGACCACGATCCCAGTTGCTCGTTGATGCGCTGGAGCACCGACGACAAGGTCGACGCGCCACCAATGCCGCAGTTCAGGGTCTTGAGCTGGCGGCTGGACTTTTCCTCCGTCGCTGTAAAGGTGTTGTCCTCGTCGATGTTGTTGTTCTTGTCAAGGTGCGAGGCCGACGCTGGGCCGCGGCAGAGATTGCTCAGCACGGCGAGGCTCGGCACGTCGGTGATTTCTGCCGCGCTTCGCTGGCCGCTGAACGACGAGGATTTGAAGGGGCCATTGCTGCCGCTTCCACCCGGCTGGGGGATGGTCTGGGGCGCCGTCTTTGTCAGAGTGTTGGCCGAGGTTGTGTAGAAGACGGCCGAGTTAGACGGCGACTGCGAGAACTTGTTGGGGCCCGTGGCAGCGCTGGTGCTGGCAGCGAGCAGCGACGAGGGTCCGGCGTGGGCTCGGCGGTGGAACGACGCGAGGAGGACTTGGTGCTGCTGGCCGGTTGCGGCCGCAGCGGTTGGTAGCTCGCTGCCGTCGTCGTGGGAGGCGTACGAGATGTTCCACACGTTGCTCTTGTGCTGGGGCGTGATGAACTTGAGGTCGAAGACGGTCGGGCGCTGCTGGTTCTGCTTCTCGGTGCCCTCCTGCTCCTGCTGCTTGCGGTTGCGCTCCTTCCACTGCGCTATCTCCTCGAAGCCCATCGTTAACTGGCTGAGAGTGCGTGTCTGTGTCTTCATCGCGGTGACGCCGGCGACGAGGTAAGAAGGCCCCCGCGCCGGCTGCGAGAGAGCACGGTGGGACAACATCCTGGCAGACACACGAGGCTAGTGATGGTGTCGTGGTGGGAGGAGATGTATGAGATTTGGCTGCGAGGACGCTGTAAAGCTGGATCGTGTCTCTCTTTCTTGATGTGCTTCTTCTGCGGATTGTGCAGGGGAAGTCACAATAATTGTGTCGGTTTTGGTGTCAGAGGAGAGCGCCCGTGAATGGGAAGAGTGGAAGCGACCGTGGGTGGGAAGTTCGCGGGTGGGTGGCGCCCCGAAATATGCTTGGCCACACAGCTTTTCCCGAAGGGACCCACGAGCTGATATATGAACAATGTCTTTGTTCAGACAGAGTTTAATTCTGGACTGGTGCTCGGTAAGAATTTTTTTTTTTGCACGCGTGCTGAGGCGGCGGATTTCTGAAATATAAGGCCAGGAAGGTGCCGTTCCTAAACCTTTCTCCAGGCCAACCTCCTGATATCGGCGCTCCTTCCGTCACAGAGATGAAAGCAAGGGGAGCGGATGGTTGCGTGTTGCCAATAACTTCTGTTGTAACTCGGAATCTCAGATGTTTTCTACATTGACGAACCCTTTGGGCGGCTAGCATAGTTGAAGTTCAACGAAAGAAGGGCCATCTTTGGTTCGTGGATAAGGCTTTGCATCTGACGAGATGGAGGTGGAAGTAAACAATGCCAATGCTAATGCCAACGCTTCCAAGCCACACCGCCAGGATCCGTTGCATCGACGTGGGCCTCTCAGCAACGGAAACTTACACATTCACACGGCTAGAAACGGAAGGAAAGGCGGCTGGTTTGGCAATACGAGCGGATTGTGAGCTGAGCAATGAGTTCTGGCAAACTTTGAGGCTGTCGTCAGCAGGTACTAATAACCGATGGAACCTCACACCTTAAATTGGCCGTTGACTGGGCTTCTAAAAACATTTTCTGTGCAGTAAACTTTTACTCCTTTTCTTTTGGGTGCTTACCGAGGGGGGGGTAGTGCTGTGGAAGATGTTCTATTGGGAAATGAGGAGGTGGAGACTAGGACTAGGAAAGAATGTTCCTTTCACCATCCCATGTTTACGGCCTGTGCCACATGCGTTGCATCCACAGTATCGATTTCTTCAAGGCGCAAGTTGATCTTAAACAATGTGGCGTTTGTTTGCTCGTTCAGAGTGTTGGTTTCTCGACTAGGTTGTCGATCACCTGGTCTGGGTGTCATTCTCTGCCATGTTGCCGTCACATTTTACTCACAGTTATTAGACCCCAATCTCAGTTATTATTCTTCGTTGCAGTCTATTGCGGTGCGTATAAGCCACATCATAGTCTGATTCATCAACTCTATTGAAGACGCAATTCCGGATTCAGGGGTTCTCCACCCCGCAGGAGAAGAAAGGGAAGAAACAAAGAAACAGCCTAACTAACAAGAACACACAGCACGGATTGCTTATAGGAGGATGAGCGTTGAGAAAAAGGATCAGAGAAGAAATAAAAAAAGAGGAAACAAGGAAGAACAATTTGAGCCACGAGGTGTGGCTCTCCAACGTATAAACGACACACTCCATCCGCAACTGGAAAAGGAGAGGAGGATCGTGCTGTGCTGCGGTGACGTCTCCCCTCTTTTTGGGGTTGTCCGCTACTAAAGAAGCCTAGCGCAGCCGGAGCGTTGCAAGGGTATCTGCCGATTCCCGCGCCACGCCAGGGGGGGCTGTCGCCAGCGTTCCAGTCGGACAGTGACGTATTGACAATTGTGTGGCTCGCGCTCGCAGCAAGGCGTTTGCCCGCCGTGTCGACAGTCAGTAAGCGTCGGTTTTCAGGATGAATGTATTGTCCCGTCTCAACCCGGCGCTATTATCTGTGGCTCAGGCCCGCAAACCTGAGATCCAAGGCAGGCCGCTCTGTGTGTACTATTGTTCCCTATTGTCCAGTTCTCTTCAATAACGTCAGCCCGGTACTTAGCGCACAGCCACAATGCCCCTCCACAATACCAAGCGGCCTGTGTAGGCGTGCCCGGACAAAAATGCGGGGTCTCAAAGTCCCGCGACTTCAAAACCTCGAGGTCTTCTGCCTGCCCGCCGTGCCTTTTGCCTGACTGTCGCATGTCCCGCCCCCCTACTGTATCCTATTGTCCAAACCTTGATGACGACTCTGTCGTGAAGCTGAGCTGTATTGCGCCCCTCGCCCCGACCTGACGCTATTGTGCAGTAATTGTTTTGGCCCTGACAGACTGACCGAGGAACAATAGGAACAGGCACGCATCGTGCTTTCGCGACGCCCATTTGCAAGGCAAGGGCCGACGAATCCGACACACCTCGTCAGCGACCTCGTACAAATACCTCCGCCGCCCCCCGCCACCGCGACAACCGCTCCTGAAGTGAAGCCGACGAGAGAATGCCTTTCCGACAGAGAGTCGCAAGACACTTTGGAGACAGTGTGGGCAACTCCCATCTTCTTTGAACTTTGAACTTTGAACCCCTTTTTCCCTTTTCTTCGAAGTCGAACCAAACGGTAGAGAAAATGAAGGCGCAGGAGCAAGCGCAGGCGCAAAAGCAGGTGCAGGTGCGCACGAAGGGAGAGGCACGGGCGCAAGCCCAAACCATGTCTCCTCGGCCCCGTGGAGTCACGGTCTGCAGGATTCGGGAGAAGTTTTCTGCCCGTGCTGGGCCCAAGCCCAAAGCCTCTACCCCGGGCGCTGTGGGCCCGCACAAGTCTGCGAGCCCTGGAAAGACGGAACCCAATGCCAACAAGGTCACGAAGCCGATGACTGTTGGCCGCCCTGTCGCCGCCGCTGCCGCCGCGGCTGTTGTTCGCAAAGCCCCCTTGAGCAGCAGCAGCAGAGTCTCCAAGAGCACCGCCGCTAAAATGGCGGCGAGAAAGAGCGCCAGACTGATGGGCCAGCAGTTGTCTCCCACGGCACCATACCTGTCATGTAAGTCCAACCCCTTCTCGAATATTGAGTTTCTATCCCGCTGACTGGTCGCGCTTTAGACTATGACATCCTTTGTATGAGCCCTCGGTTCCCCGCCCATCTAGAATGCCACATCTGACTCTTTCTTAGTGACGGGCGACGACATCAGATCCCTCAAGCAAGATTGGCTTACTGACAATGTAAGTCGACATCCTCATTCGCCGACCGTTTCAGGTTGCTAACCAGACGTAGAACATCGCATTTTGGGAAGAGTATGTTGATTCCCTTCGTCATGGTTCTGGGCCCTTCAGACTGAGTCCAGTATCAGCTCACTCCACTTCCATAATTTATCACCTCCCAAGTTAAGTCGGCTTTGTTTTGCCTTGGTCCGAGTCTAACTGTTGTCTTAGATGGCTAGAGCGAGAGATCTTGCCCAGGTACCCGCAGGCTCGGATTGTCCTCCTGCGTCCCAGTATGACATTTCTGCTCATGCAGTCTGTCGATGTCAAGGGCATTGGAGCCGCTCTGCCCAACTTCTCCAAAGTCACACACATCTTCCTCCCCGTTAATGACAACCGGGATCGAGAGCGTGCCGACGGCGGATCCCACTGGTCGTTACTCCTTGTGTCTGTCATCGATGGTGTGGCGTTCCACTACGACTCCCTCGGCGGGGCGAACTTTCTCGAGGCACAAAGGTGCGCGGACCGACTTAGTAGGGTCCTCGGCATGGCGCTCCGGTTTCACCAGATGGAGGACTGCCCCCAGCAAGAGAACAGCAGCGACTGCGGCGTGTTTGTGTGCATCCTAATGCGCCACCTCCTGATCAAGCGCCTTCTCAACGCCAACGCCAACGAGAAAGTGTCCATGTCGATGGCGAACAAGATGATCGACAGCTACGGCGGCCGGAAAGAGATGATGAAGATCATCGAGTCTCTGCGTAAGGAGGGAGAACGACGACGCAGTGCTAGTCCCTATGCCTCGTCGCACACCCCGCCCCGCATCGAGTAGGCAACGGCGCAACCACCCATTCTGTCTTGCGGGTTCAAATATAGGCTTTTTGCGAATTTGTCTTGTCCGACACGCCATCTGCCTTTTCTTCTTTTTCGATCAAAAGCAAGCATTGCAGGTGGAAGGGGCGTTGAGCCGCCGTTTTGAACGATGGTGTTGTCCGAAGGGAGGTTGGTTGCAGGATTGGTGTGCAGGGTCTCTGGAACCCAGGGACGGGGCGTTTTTCGTGTTGGCATTCGGCGTTTGGCAGGTATGAGTACCCCATGGTATTATTGGCAGTTTACGACGGGAGAGGACGACAGGGACAGTCAGGGACGGGGACGGGGACGGGGGTGGAATTGACTCGAAAATGGCTTGCAAGTATGTGTGGGCTGGCAGGAGGTTCCTGAGTAATATACCTATTCATTGCCGAGCGGGTAGTAAAATAATCCGTAGGCGCCGGGATGGATGCATCGTCTTAATCTAAAGCGGCATCCGGGTAACAGTACCCTCGATACCGGAATATACATACATTCTTCTTCTTGAACACACGTTTTAGTCTGCTTTCGAGAGGTCGGCGGCACCTGTGACGCACCTTCCGTATTTACAAGCTGGAGGTTGACTTAGTCTGGAAGGTCCGTGGATCTAGGGCCAAGTGATGGTGGTTTATGAAGAGTTTCAATTCATTTATGTCCTAAAAAGGAAGGATTTTGCTCCATTGTCGCCGAGATGAACCCTCTCAGCGCCGCCCACCGGCTCGCCGTGACTGGCGCCACCGCCGCCGCCCCAGCCCCAGCCGCAACATCCGTGTCCATGTCTTCCGTAATCGCACTAGAAGCAGAAGCAGCAGGCGCTGCCGCCTTGACCTCGGCCAGGGCCGTCAGCTGAGCCAGGCTGCGCCCGAACCGCTCCATCTCGCCCCGCACCACCTTCTCCTTGCGCTTCAGCGCCCCCGGGCGCGACCGCAGGCTCTTGTGCCGCACCTTGCCCTGGCGCGCCTGCTCCGGGTCCATGGCATCCGCGTCATCTGCCGCAATCCCCGCCGTGATGTCGTCGAGCGCGTCGCCGAGCGATTCGAGCGTCGCGACGAGTTTCTTGGACGGCCGCCGCCGCTTGATGCTGCTGCCATTATGGGTCTGGGGAGGCGTCTTGGCGATCCGCGACACGAACGAGCTGTGCTTGACGATCTGCTTATCGCGCCTGCTGTTGCTGAATACACTCGCCCTGAAGCTGGAGGTGGAGGCGGTGTTGGTGGCTGGTGCAGATGTTGGCGACCGCGCGGCGGCTTGCGCTTTCGACCGCGCGCTGACGCGCTTCTTGGCCGCTGCTGTTGGCGCTGTGGGTGCCTTTTTTTTTTCGTCCAGTGTTGTTAGAGAGAGAGCGGGACTGCGGAGGGGATTGGCCAATTGGCGAGGGAGGGAGGGAGCGAGAGATACCATGTCTGTGAGAGTTCTATCGGCGGTGAGAGAGGGTTAACGGTGATGGCGGATTTCGCGATCGATTTGATGGACGCCTCTCTTCCCAATGATGAGCTGCGCGCCCCCGGCTTGACTTGATTGACTGCTGTGGCAAGCAAGCGGGGCAGTTTGGACTTTTTAGTGGGGTCCGCGGTCGATGAAGTCTTCACCGCCTTCCATGGTGGGGGTTGGATGCCAAGAACAGCTAGGATTGAGCTCTTTTGGTGGGGTTTTGGTATGCCTCAGCCTTACATACATGCACGCACATATGTACAGCGAGCGGGCTTGGTGGGGGACGGGACTTGGGATTGCAGAACCTCCACTTGCACTTGGTCAGAGCTTGACTTGGTTTGTTGCTGACAACCTCGACAAAAGGGTCAAGCCGTGAGACTTGAGTGCAGCTGCTATACTCGGGGATGCGCCTGGAGTGCTTGATAAGTGTTTAGACATCTATAGCTCGAGAAAGTGGCCATCCACCTCATCAGCGGGATGAGCGGTCCATAGCGTGTCACTGTCAGCCAGCAACGCCACGCAGACAATGAGAAGATGCACCAAGACTCTGAGAGGAACGGCGCCGCAGATGGGGACGCCAACGGCAAGGATGGACACAGCCGGCGTCTTACGGACGAGGAATTCGAGCGGTATTCTCGCCAGATGATTGTCCCTGGCATGGGTAAAGAAGGTGACGTCTCCCTCATCCGCATCACATACCTGTGCGACTAACTCGCATGCACATACATACAGGCCAGCTCCGCCTGATCAACTCCCGCATCCTCATCATAGGGGCCGGCGGGCTCGGCTGCCCCGCCGCGCAGTACATCGCCGGGGCGGGCGTCGGCACCATCGGCCTCGTCGACGGCGACGTCGTCGACAAGTCCAACCTGCACCGCCAGGTGGGTCACGCGACGTCACGCCTCGGCATGAAGAAAGTCGACAGCCTGATCGAGCACCTGCGCGGGCTGAACCCGCTGCCGACATACGTGCCGCACGCGTTCCACCTCGACGCGCAGAACGCGGCCGACATCGTCGCGCGGTACGACGTCGTCGTCGACTGCACCGACAACCCGGCCACGCGCTACCTGATCTCGGACGTGTGCGTGCTGTTGCGCAAGCCGCTGGTCTCGGCCGCGTCGGTCCAGAAGTCGGGCCAGCTCATCGTGCTCAATTGCCCGCCCACGCCCCAGGGCGTCGTCGACGGCACGCCGCGCGCCGCCCCGTGCTACAGGTGCTGCTTCAAGAAGCCGCCGCCGCCCGGTTCCATGGTCTCGTGCGGCGAGGCCGGCATCATGGGGCCCGTGGTGGGGATGATGGGCGTCGCGCAGGCCGGCGAGGCCATCAAGATCATCGCCTCGGCGCTGCACATCCCGCCAGACCCCTCCTCTTCAGTCTCGCCAGAAACAAACCTCGGCCAGCCCGCGCTGCTCATCTACTCGTACGACCTGGCCAGCGGCGTGGGGCCGTACACGTTCCGGGCGCTCATGATGGCGGGGCGGCGCAGGACGTGCTTCGCGTGCGGCGAGGGCTCGACGCTGACGCTAGAGGGGATCCGCGCCGGGTCGCCCAACTACGAGCAGTTCTGCGGGCTCGCCACCTCCATAAACCAAACCCGCCTGCCGCCCGAGGACCGCATCACGGCGTCGGCGTACGCCGCAGCCGCGGCCCGCGGCGAGCTACCCCCACACATCCTGCTCGACACGCGCGAGCGCGAGCACTTTTCGTTTGGCAGCGTCGACGGCGCCGTCAACGTGCCGTTTGGCAAGCTGCTCGTGGCGGCCGCCGCCATCAAGCGCGACGGGGCGCCCGCGGACACCATACTCCCTACCACAAAACCGTCGCTGCCCGACGACGCGCCCGTGTTTGTCGTCTGCCGCAGGGGGCTGGACTCGCAGGAGGTCGTGGAGAAGCTGAGGGAGCTGGGCGTGGACAACGGGGGCAAGAGGAAGATTATGGACATTATCGGCGGAATGAAGGCTTGGCGGGACGAGGTCGATCCCACGTTCCCCTTTATTTAGGATAGAATGGAACAGGTAGGGGCATGCACGCCGTAGCTGGCTAGAGGCTTTGACGGCTATTGGTGGTGTCACTTCGCCTCGCGACTGGAGGTTCACCACCTTTTCCGAAAGCGAAAGGTTGGGTAAAAAGGGGAGAGTGTCATTATTGTCCTGTCGATCCCCGAGCCAGATATATGGTTGGTAGTTACTTGTACAATGAGGGGGCTTTGAACACCGTCCGACACAAAAGAAACACATAAGGAGAAAAAAGCGTGACAGAGATAGTAAGTGTTGTATAGTGGCAGCAACCACCCGAATGCCATCAGAGAAAAACAATCATTTGTGTGTTTTTTGTCCCATCCATGGGGAGTCCCAACTTCAATTTCCTTTCCTAGGTTTCACCTCTTCTGTGATTTCCATCTACTCCTTTCTTTTGCCTGCCTGCTTGCCTCTCATGCCAAAGACCTTTCATACAAACGTCGTCCGCTTCTTGTTGAACGCTCTCTGGTCCCTCAGCCACTGCCGATAGCCCGCCACGCTCGAGATCTTCTCGCCGTAAAAGTCGGGCACTTGAAAACAGGTTAGCAACTGTCACTTTAGTTTCGTACCCGAAGTGTACATGGAAAAGCAGAACAAACCAAAAAAAAAAAAAGGGGGGGGGGCTTACCTGGGTTCCCCATGGAGCTGGTGCTCGGATCAACACGATGCTTCTTGATGCGCGCAAACAGCTGGCTCTCCTTGACGGCCATCTGGCTCTTGTAGCTGCTGCGCAGGGCGTTGAAGATGGCGGTGCCTATGCTCGGGCCGACCAGCCAGCCCAGTGCGGCGAAGCTCATTGTAATAATACCCATGGTGAAGATGGGGTCCAGCGGCACCTGGCCCATGATGCGGTCGGCCGTGCTCGTCGTCACGAACAGCGCGCCGCCCGTCGACGTGCCCAGCGCCGTCGCCACGCTCAGCACCAGCTGCAGCCGCCGCCGCGTCTTGCGCAGCTTGAAGAACGTGTTCCAGTCCAGCGGCGGCTGCTCCGGGTGCGCCGCCGCCTGCGCGTTGGCTGCGGCCTGTGCCGCGCTGGCGTCCACGTCGTGGTCGCTGCGGGGCTGCGTCGCCGTGGTCGTCGTCGTGGTCGAGGCGTTGCGGCGCTGCTGCTGCTGCGTGCGGAAGCGGATCAGGAGGGCTGACGGCGCCGGCTTGCCAGAAGTAGCGGTGGCGGTGGCGGTGGCGGCGGTGGGAGTGGCGGCAGCAGCAGCCGTGGAGATGGGTCGAATGCATATGGCCTGTGGCCGGGCTGCCGCCGACGCCGCCGCCGGGGACGACTGCTTCGACGGGCGGGTGGCAAGCTGGGGAGTGGCAGCCATGGAGAAGGGCGAGACGCCGGCGCTGGCGGCCGAGTAGGGGCAGGCGGCGTTGCGGAAGAGGATGGGCTGGAGCCCGTTGGACGAGCGGCCCACGCCCGTGCGGATCATGCTTGTCGCCGTCGAGGTCAACATGTTGTGCTGTGCGTGGTGCCCTCGGGTTGACTTCCTTCGAGGCCGGAGGAGAGAATTGACAAAACTATCGACCGATCGGAAGGAAGGCCCTGATTGATCGTGGAATTGAGTTGGCGATGTTGGACAGGTGCAATCCACCTCGTCGAGCGAAGAGAAGTCGAACTGCTGCTGGGAGCTGCTGGTTCGAGGATTTTGCGAGCCTCATCTATCAGGCGGCAGCTCGCTTAACGGCATAGTGGGCTGCTAGCCCGGGTAGATAAGCGATAAGAGCTTGGTGCTTGGTGCTCTGACCAACGTGCCTAACCCGCTACCCGCCCTCCACTGCTGTCCAGTAACTGCAGGCCCCCACCGCAGTAGCAGCTATAGTTCTTGCCAAAACAGCCCATCATGACGTCTTCTGTAGGAAGAAAAATGTATTATAACCGATTGTTTATCGAATCTACTTGATGACGGCAGCTCCACGAGGGTGCTCTTGGAAAGTTTTGACACGAGTTCATCAGCCAGAGAGGCCTCGGCTGCAACTTCGCCAGATACCTCTCTTGGTCTTTATACCCTTTCCAGTTTGACAGACGAATATATTGTACTCACTCCATAGGTACTTAAGGTAGGTATAATTCTATAAAATCCATGTAAAATTGCTCGCGTCGCTTCGTTCGTCAGTCGCGTGTCCCTTCGCTACGCTACGGGACGCTTCCTTCCTCTCTCTCGCTCCTGGCAATTTAGGGCGCGACAGTCAGCTTATTTGGATAACGTGGAGAGCAAGCGAAGCGACAATATCCTATCCGGAGGCCAATAACTCCGATGCTCAAGAGATCTTTTCTTACAACGATGGCTAATCCTACACAACTAAATCTTGCATCTATACAATAGAGCTATTAGTTATATACCCGCTCATATCTCTCGAGTCAACCTCCTCTTCCTGTGGATCTAATAGCTGTAACTTGTGATGAACCGCGCCCGTCCTGGGCTAGTCATAGTTCTGAAAGTGGGGCCGGCCAATAGGAATGACGAGACAGGCATGCGGGGCAGGGACCCGCATTTGCTCTGTGAAGCGGGGCACGGAGCAACGGTTTTATTGGCTCTACGGGGTTGCTCTGTAGCTCTGCCAGAGAGCAACAGAGCAATGCTCTGTAGCTCTGCCAGAGAACAACAGAGCAACAACCTAATTGGGCCGCTCTAGGTAGATATATACGACGACCGTAGCCACGGTCTTAGATAATTCTTGCTTGGTTCTTCAAGCAAGCAATACACATTCACTGCACTCATACACTTTGAGTGGCATTCCGATTTGACTGTATTACCCGTGCGATAGGAGCTTGCCCTTTGTTCTATCTTCATAATTACCAACCCTAGCATTCTGTGGAGCCCGTGCTCCCTTACAGACAGACGACCCTAACAGTCGAGTGGTTTGTAATATAACTTCCTTGCCTCGTAATCTGCTATCTTCAATTGTATGCTCTGTACCGGTATTTTGCGGTATATCCTGCTCCGATCAAACGGCGACTCAAATATTAGGCCATCTAAGGTCTTGACCCTGGAAACTGCCACGTACGATAGGCCGGATGCGAACTCTGGCGCGGAGATATCATAAACCACCTTGTCGAGAGTGACGCCCTGTGACTTGTGTACTATGATTGCGTAGCAAACAAGTAGTGGAAACTGCTCCCGGTAGCCAGTGCCAGCCCCAAGAACGAACTCCTGCCGAACCCTAAGGATAAGAACCACCAGCTTAGCCCTATCACGAAGCTCTTCTCCGCTAGGTAATAGGAACGGCGGCCTAGTATAGTTATCAAACGTAACCATAATAACCTGCGGTGGGTCTTCCAGCACGTTAGCGCCTTCAGCCTACTATTACAAACCACTCGACTGTCAGGGTCGTCTGTCTGTAAGGGAGCACGGGCTCCACAGAATGCTGGGGTTGGTAATTATGAAGATAGAACAAAGGGCAAGCTCCTATCGCACGGGTAATACAGTCAAATTGGAATGCCACTCAAAGTGTATGAGTGCAGTGAATGTGTATTGCTTGCTTGAAGAACCAAGCAAGAACTATATAAGATCGTGGACACGATCGTCGTATATATCTATCTACGTAACCAATAACAGTGGTTCCGTTGTCCCGTGGTCCCGCGTCCGGGTCACCGCCCGGCCGGACCTGTCCCGCGCCCCCGAGCTCCAGAGCTCGGAATCCTGGAACGCTCCTGATTGGCTCGCGCCAAAAGTGCATGCCCCACCTTTGTGCATAACCACAGGGAATCCACAGGGATTCGTGACAGGCGGGACTTTGTCCGCAGGTTACGGCAACAGCTACAGAAACTCTTACGTTCGACGCGGCTCTCTGGGAATGAAGTTAGCAAGGAAACCAAGGAAGATACGTCTAATAGACTTACCTGCTGCCTGCCACGATTGCGGCAGTCCGCGTAATCAAGGACGATCCGTCGAGGGCCTCGGAACGACCGGAATTAGTCGATATCCTTCTCAACGCCGCAGGTCTGGCAAACTTTGCGGGCAGCCGCCTTCGCCGCGTCCGCCATAGATACCAAATAACCTGGCCATAATAGGCAAAACGGTACTACGGAGGAAAGGAGGTTAGCTACGAAGAGCGGGCAGATTGTAAGGTTCGTCGAAGGTACTACGGTACGACTAATTATTGGAAAAAGAAAAGCAATCATAGGGTGGGCGAGGAGTTTCGAGGCGGGGTTGAAGGGCAATTCGCGTAGTCACGTACGCAAGCCCGCCCTGGCATTGGCACTACTTGCGTACGCCCCACCACGCCAGAAAGCATTTAAACGCTTATATCTTAGCCAATTTCTATTATAATACGAATCAGACTTCAGATTCAAAATTTCCGTAAAGTTATACACATAATAATACCAGTTGCATCAATTTTGGAAAGTATGCTGACTGAATAGCAGATAGGCACGTAATAGGGGCTGCTGTTGGAATAGCGATACTGGTGACTGCACACTAGCAGGGAGGAAGCAGAGATCGCGCGAGTACGCACGTGCAAGTAGGCACGTGCGGCGCGCGGACCTCTCACACACACACACAAAAACCCCGGTCGCAAGCAGAATCTACCTTAGTTCCGGGGAGAGAATGAATCAGAACAACTTTACACCCCCCCCCGGTAGTACTACCACTTTTTGACCCGTTGGAACACCTACGTGGTTGGAATACCACGAACAGCTGCCCATATTGAATATGACTGAGAAATCGGGTCCACCTTTCTATGTAGGTTAGCCAATCCGGAAAGGCGATAAGGCGTCTTATCAATTTCACATAACGTGGTTTACCACCGAGCGGGACACCCCACCGACCGGGACACTTTTCCTCGACCCCATGACCTATAGACTGAATTGCAACCGCACCACAATGAAAATTCAATCGGAATCCATCTCATTATCTTCGCCCGACAATTCTTCATTCATAGGGCAGGTTCGTACATTATGCCCAGGCTTTGCGCATTGTCTGCAGCGCCGAATAGTCGCCGGCCCCGCTTGCGACGGACCACCGTCTTCGTCCTCTTTGCTCTTTTTCTGGCGACTGGAATCTATCTTGGCCATTAAACTATGCGCATCTTCTACAGAAAGTGCACCGCCTTCTTGGAGTCTCGTACGCTTAGCTCGCCGGCGCTTTGCAAGGGCCTTATTGGCCTCCTGAGTCGTACGGAGCTCTGCCCGCAAGAGGGTCATCTCGTACGCGATTGCCTCCGTACCCTTTGCCAACTGCTTGATAGCGTTAAATATTGAAGTCTGTGAGCTCCCTTGATGGTCGTTGATTCTCTTCCGTACGAATTCGGACTGCAAAATAGCCTCGGCCGCCGTATGTGGCGTCTGGGAGGTCCAAGGGCTGGCGTCGGCGGAAGGGGGACCAGTCGGTGTTGGCGTCCGAAGCTTGATATCTAGCTTCGATAAGACGGCTTCTGGGTCGAAAGGTACTAATCCAGCACCGCGGAATCCAGCTATAATGTTTTCAGGCGTCATAGTATCGTGGTGGGCGGCAGTAAAGGCGATGAAGAACTCGGGCTTCATAATGTGGTTGATATGAGCCCGGATGAAGACCTCAAGTTGCTTGCCATACATTCGCTTTAAGACGCCAAAACAACCGACGTCGAGAGGCTAGGTGAGGTGTGAAGATTGAGCAGGGAGGCAGAGGGTAATAATCTTGTTCTCCTTGCAGTACTCCTCAAAAGGTATAGAGAGGTGGCTCTCATGACCGTCCAAGACGATCATGCGCCAAGAACCCTGTTGCCGGGCAATAGTATGCTTATTAAAGTGCTTAATCCACTCCATAGCTGCTTTATTATCCGTCCAGCCGTTTGGAAACGTTTTAACGACCCAGGGGTCGGGGAGATCGGTGCCCTCGTACCATACACGAGGTGGTTTTTGCCTTGTACGATGAGGAACGGCGGCACCACAAAGCCGTCGCTACATATACACTCGATCGCTGTTGCCCATTCTCGATTCCCTGATTGTAATTGCTTGCCTCGTCCGCGGCGGTCCGCACGTGTAACGGCCATTGCAGTGCAAATAACGCCCATCATAAAGCCAGTCTCGTCGAAGTTGTAGAAATCGCAGTCCTAGATGCCATACTTCGCGCGCATGTTCTTTACCAACTCGAACCACTTCCTGATAAGGTCTGGATCCTCGCAGAAGGCTCTCTGGAAGTCGTACACGCGAGAAAAACGCGTCTTTAGCTCTTGACGGCGTTGTACGAAGCGGTATGCCCAGTTCTTGCCGACGCGTTTCTCGCCACGCGTCGCGCGAAGGAGATTCGCCATTTCTTCCACACCCTCGATCCGGGGTCAAAATCCTCGCGAATCTAGGTCGAGAACATATCGGACAATCGTTTCTTCTTCGACTTCGGTCAATTGAAGCGCGGCGTTACGCGCTTCGCGTTTCATAACGCGACCGGTCATTCTAGCGTGGAGAGTAGATCTAGGTACGTCGTACGCCTGCGCAGCACGTCGGATTGACATTTTCTTAGATGCACGGATAGCCTCGATAGCAAGGATGATTTTGGCTTCTTGGGATTAGTTGGACATTGTTTTGGTTGTAGTGTACGATGGTTTGAAGTCTAGAGGTCATGGAGTCGCGGAAAAGTGTCCCGGTCGGTGGGGTGTCCCGCTCGGTGGTAAACCACGTTAGTAATTTTTTCAAAGTTTCGCAGTAGTATGTCCTCCGGACAGGAAAATAGGCCATTAGTCCATGTGGATACCCGAGCCGAAGCTGATTGACAAGCGCTCACTCATGCAAGTTTCATGCTCCATCCTTTATTAGACTATTCACATTGCTTTAAATGCTGAACGAAACGCTCATGCCATGTTTTTAACTAAGTTAACTAACCCAGATTTGGCCAGGCCCTACATTTGGCCCATGCGCAAGCCACCATGCACTTACACCAAGGGTGATTGACCGATTTTTCTTCATCACACCGCAACTTCCTCAAAACAAGACCAAATTCTTCCATTTCTTGGTTAATCGAGAGCTCAATCAATCCTCTATTTACCATGCCTGAATACGACGAATTGGAGATGCTGACCGCGATGAAGTTTGTGCGAGACGGCGGCAGTGTGCGTCAGGCGGCAGCAAAATATTGTGTGCCGAGGAGTACACTTCGGCACCGGCTGGCCGGCACAAAAGCCCGTTGCATTGCGTTTGAACACATGCAGACTCTAGATAAGCCTGTGGAAGAGCGTTTGACCGAGTGGATCGTCATGCAGGGTGCCCTCGGCCTGCCTCCTACGCATGCGTAGGTTAGGGAATTCGCCCGCCGGCTGGCCCGGGAGCTCGGGAAGCCTGACGAGATCGGGGTGAAGTGGGTGCGGCATTTCATGGCCCGGAACCCGACCATTAGGACCCAGAGAGCACAGCGGATCGACTCGGTGCGCCTCAACGGAGCTACGAAAGCCGTGACGGCCTGGTTCGAATACCTGGCCCTCCCGGTTATTCGGGGCATCAAGCCCGAGCACCGTTGGAATAAAGATGAGACAGGCATTCTTGAAGGCCAGGGTTCCAACGGCCAGGTCATAGAAAGCTCAGAAAACAAGTTGTTGATGAAGGAACAACCCGGATCTCGCAGCTGGACTACCTTCGTGGAATGTATCTCTGCAACTGGCCAGTCCCTACCTCCTGCGGTCATTATGAAAGGAAAGACCGTTCAACAACAACACTACCCAGAAAAGCTCAAATGCTTCGTTGGTTGGCACTTCACAAGCCAGGAAAAAGGCTGGATTGACGATGCAAGGGCATTGGAATGGCTTCAGAAGGTCTTCATTCCTAGGACCCGGCCAGCCAACGGAGAAAAACGACTACTTATTATTGACGGCCACGGCAGTCATACCACCAATGATTATATGTGGTCATGCTTCCAAAACAACATCTACCTTCTTTATTTACCTCCACACGCTTCTCATGTTCTTCAACCTCTCGATTTGACTGTCTTCTCAGTCCTGAAGAGGGCATACAGGAAGGAGCTCAATAGCAGGCCGACGTTATCGCACAGCACGGTTCTAGGGCGCCGGCTTATGTTGCTTTGTTATTTCAAAGCCCGGAAAACCGCATTTCAGCCCAGCAACTGCAAGGCAGGTTGGCATGCCGCCGGGTTGTGGCCTGTCAACAAGCAAAAGCCCCTGCGAAGCAAGTTGTTGCTAGAAAACAGGAACCAAGGCACCACAAATACAGCTTCACAGGCCCTGGAGGAAGCCAGGTCATTAGCTTACCTGCAGCAGCAGGTATATGATAAATACGGCGTCTGGAAGACTCCTCAAAAGGTCACGGAGCTCACGGTCTCCCTGGCGAAATTGAACATACATTCGGCGGCTCGCCGCACTCGCCGTACGCTATTCAGGAAGATCGAAAAGGCATTCAACATCAAGGACTTCGAATTGGCTAAGCTACGACGTGAGAATGAAGCTCTCAAGGCCGAAATTGAGAACAAGAAAGGCAGCAAGAAGAAGAAGGTCCAATTGAGCCCGAATTCCAAGTTTGCTACGATTGAGGACATTCGCAAGGCACAGAGGGCAGCTGGGCGCGATATTGACAGTTCAGACGAACCAGAGGGCTCGGAAGATGAAGAAGAAGACGAAAGTTGCATTGTAATTAGTTGATTTGACCTTTTTCTATAGCTTCAAATGTCATGCGTTGCGTTGTGTAAGTGCGGGCGGCGCCTGGGCCAAAAGTGGGGCCTGGCCAAATCTGGGTAAGCTAACTTAGCTTGTAAATGTGAAGGATGATGAACAAATGAAGCAACACGAAGGGACACGATTATATAAATCACCCCCTTACTCTTGACCACTAATTATTAGGTATTATTTACAGGATAGTCGACGGTCTCCCCCTCCGTAATATTCCAGACATGGTAAGATATTGAGGCTTGATAGCCTACTTCAATGCCTTTACTTCCTGGCTTGGCCTTTGCCCGCAACATGGGCTACTTTTTACTGCCGACAAGTTATATTGAACATGCGGAACCGTGCATCAGATAAGAGCGGTTAATTGCCGTCGCCATCCCGGTGCTTACTCGAGGTAGATGCCAAGGCCGAGGGTGTTTTACTGCCATATAGCTTATATTGCCTGAGACTAGGACTGGCGCGCTTCATAAGTAAGGCATGGCACCCGTTTTACTCGAGCAGGCGATGACTATGGGGTCTTGACATGATGCCCAACCCCGGAAAGAGATAGCCTCAGCCGAGCTTTTCAATGTTGTGCAGAATCCTCGCCGCCGTGGCACTGCTCCGAGTTTTCCAGGATGGCGCCGCCCAGAATGTCAATGTGGGCAGGTTGCTGCGGTTCTCATGTAACCAGCTCGTCATCGAGCGTATCGACCCACTGGTGACCCCTGGCATGAGTCCGTCAACGCACACTCACCAGATAGTCGGCGGCAACTCGTTCAATGCCACCATGGACCCCGACAAGATGGACCCGGCGTTCGCCTCAACCTGCACGTCGTGCACTTATGCCGAGGACTTCAGCAACTACTGGACCGCCAGCCTGTACTTCCGGTCTGCCGAGAACGGCTCGTACAGGATGGTGCCGCAGCAACCAAACTTCATCGGGCTCGACGGCGTGAGACACCCGCAGAGCGGCGGCTTCTCCGTCTACTACATGGCGCCGTTTCACTCCGCTAATCAAAAGGTGGTCGCGTTCAAGCCGGTAAGCCAGCCCTCGGCCCAACGGCTTACAGCTAGTAGAGCTGTATGCTCTCGCTCCAGCCTCAAATATTGAAAACCCCAAAGGGCTTCCGGATGCTCAGCGGCGACCCGGCGGCGCGCAGCGAGGAGGCCAAGTTCGCGGGCATCTGCCACCGGTGCAACGGGAACGGCGAGGGCTTCATCCCGTGCTTGGCACCCGACGCGTCGGGGTTCCCGGCTCGCATCTGCCCCAAGGGCATCCGGGCGTCGGTCAAGTTCCCGTCGTGCTGGGACGGCAAGAACCTCGACAGCCCGGACCACCGGAGCCACGTGGCTTATTGGTCCGGCAGCGGCGTGCTCGCGGGCGCCGAGTGCCCGGCCTCGCACCCTGTCCGCATCCCGCAGCTCATGTACGAGATCAACTGGGACACGGCGGCGTTCAACGACCCCCGCTACTTCGAGGGCGGCAGGCAGCCGTTCGTGTACAGCTTTGGCGACGCCACGGGCCACGGCCAGCACGGCGACTGCCTGTTCGGCTGGCAGGGCGACGCGCTCCAGCGTGGCATGGACGCGCTTCTTGGTGATGACTGCCTCAACGATGCGTGCGCGACCCTCAAGTCGCAGTCGGCCCAGGACGTCGTGAAGTGCACCAAGAAGACACAGGTGCCCGAGGATGTAGGGATAGGCGGCGAATGTGAGTCCCCAATAGTACTGACCCTAGTGTTGTCAATGTTGCCTTTTGTCACTCGTTCTACTTATTAGTAGCCGATACTGGCGCTCGATTTCTGCAGGGCTCGACGCGCTCCTGGGAAATGTGCCCATCATGTAGACCTAATGGCTATGCTTGGCTGGATATGTCGTAAAATTACTCTGTACTCTGAGCTTCTTTGGCAGCTACGCTCAACTCAGACGGCCAAAACAGGATCTGTCATATTATGGGAGAAGAAATCCCTCATAAATGTGGGAGAAGAAATCCCTTGTAAATGTGAATTGTGGTGAAGTTGATGACACTCATGGTGAAGGACACACAGATGCCCCATACGTATACGCCGTTCTGCAGAAGCCAGTCTCCTTGAATTATTCTAGCATATTTCCAGTTCTGAGATCAGCATAAAGGACAGCTTCGAAACCAAGTCGAGATTGTTATGCAGACAGATTCTTGAAATTGCCTAAATATCTAGGTATACCATCCCCCCCCCCCGATCACCCAGGCTAGGCGATCACTTTTTACACCAAAACGCTACAACTTTGAACAACCGTAGCATAGTCAATTGTGAAGCTATTTATAAATAAAACATGGAAAAATGTAGCTAATTAATCGCTTAATCCATATATTGTACCAACATCCTGGTTGCTCGCCCTAATCTGGTCATTCTTGCAGGTGGAATGTCGTCATCTGCAGCGTCATCCTCATCGTCTTCTTCATCCACCTCTTCTTCTTGCGGCCTGCCTGAGCGGTATTTTGAGCCTCAACTTGATGCTCTGCGGGAGCCTCGCCACCAAGTAGTATGGTAGCCAAAGTCATGAACCGTTTATTCGGGTTTGGAATTTTCCTCCTTTTCTTTGGCTTCAAGCGTTCCAATTCGTCCTCTAGGCCTTCGATTCGTGCCTGCTTCAAAACCAACTCGGCTTGAAGCCCGTCAACTGCTCGGGCGGCCTTTCTGAACTTCATTCTTGTGCCTGGACTAGCCCCCTTGCTCATATCCATTATCTGGCGGCCTGACACGGGGGTATCAGGGACTTCAGGGAGGGCCGGAGGTTCCGGGGTCTTTTTTCTGTCTTGTTGAATCTCTGGATGATTCAACGCCTTTTGCCTACTTATAGGCCAATTACCGGTTGTTCGCCATGATGATTTGATGGTTCTTGAAGTAAAACCTTCCTCTCTAGCCACCTTATAGCAGCGCATGAAGTTAACTTTGTCAACTGGTGCTGCATCGGTTAGACTGGCTAATTTGGCCAGCTCACGTCTATAGTAAGCTTTAACGGCATTGAATGGGCCGTTGTCAAGTGGTTGTAAGCCGTGAGTGGTGTGGGCCCGTAGGAAGCAAAGATATATGTTGTTGTGGAAGCAGGTAGTTATTACAAACCACTCGACTGTTAGGGTCGTCTGTCTGTAAGGGAGCACGGGCTCCACAGAATGCTGGGGTTGGTAATTATGAAGATAGAACAAAGGGCAAGCTCCTATCGCACGGGTAATACAGTCAAATCGGAATGCCACTCGAAGTGTATGAGTGCAGTGAATGTGTATTGCTTGCTTGAAGAACCAAGCAAGAACTATCTAAGACCGTGGCTACGGTCGTCGTATATATCTAAGGCGGACCAATCAGAGTCCTTCTCCAAAAGTCAGAGCGATCACTGCGATCAGTCTACACTGATCGCACTGATCACACTGACCGCTTCCTGACTGGTTGACCGTCCTGCCAGTGGTGGTCAGTCGGGCCTTGGCGGCCCGTCGTGACTGACCACCTCCTGGTTGGCTGCACCAGCCCCTAGGTGGGTCTACCCCACCTGGCTGCCCCAGCCAATCTGGCTGATAAATCTACACTAATATTAAAGTGCACACAATCATCTAACCAAATCTACTTTTTACTTGTGAATACCTTCAAAATTGACTATGCTACGGTTGTCCAAAGATGTGGTGTTTTGGTGTAAAAAGTAATCGCCTGGCCTGGGTGATCGGGTGGGGGGATGGTAGTGTATGTACTCCAGGGAATTGTTTACCAAAGCTCTCGGGCGCGCACCATGTCACACCAAGGTCTGTAAAGATGGCAAGCAAATCGAAGCCGAATAGCCCTAATCTTTTCTCTTAGCCTCGAATTGTTGGAAAGTGCGTCTTTGAACAAAATCCGAATAATTAATACGTGTCGAACGTGATAACCATGGCGGGCAAAACCCCAATATCGCCAGACCCGAAGGGAAAGGGATGGGTCGGCTGGTGGGGGGGGTGTGGTCGATATGGGCCCCACGTGACGATAGATCCCATCCATGCTGACGATTGGGACCACGACCGCTGTAGCTAGCAAAGCTTTGGCGCACTGCTCCAACTTTGGGAGACCTAGGCCAGGCATTGAAACGACGACGCGTCGTGCTGGCTACGAGACATGCACCGTCCGATGTCCTTCTCGTGTCTGCTCGGGTTTTCGTTTCACGACTTTCCCTAACTTACAGAAATACCTACGGCCACCACACATAATAATTTAGGCTGCACCTATTAGGAAAACTTTCTCGAGGCGCGCATCCGCATCCGCACAACCCACCCCTTCTTCGACATCTCCGTCTTCCTCGCTGCCATGGTTCCCAAAAAGACGGAGCCGAGTCGCAAGACAACAATAGAGATCCCCCTCCCCTCGGTGCGAAAATATGTGCGCGGCTCAGGCCCCCCCCTCCCCAAAATCTCCCTGATCCCGCCACACGACTCGACGGGCTACATTATCGACAAGTTCGTCCTCCCCCCACGCGAGCAGACAACTGCCACGACGCGCCGCCTCATGTACTACCGCATCGGCTTCACAGATCTCCCAGCCCTAAAGGTCCTGGTTCCTTGCCACAAGGTCCTCGACTACGTCTCGCCCCGCGAGCTGGAGGACTGGGAATACCAGAACATGGAGAGGAAGGAGCAGGAAAAGGCCCGCGAGCTCGAGGACGAGGACAAGGACAAGCAGAAGTCAAAGTCAACCGCTCGCAGCGCTGACCGCCCCGCCAAGGCCCGCCAGGTTGAGGTTGCTGCTCCGGAATCCGTCTTGAGCCCGCCCGACAATGCTCTCCTGCTCGCCAAGCAAGCGGCCGGCCCGTCCCTTGCAACTCCCCAAAAGAGGAAACTGGGCCGCATGTTGGACGACGAGGACCAGAGCGAGAGCACCAGTAGTCTCGAGTCCGACAGGTCTGCCCTCCGCCGCCAGCTCTACTCAGAGATGGAGGAGTCCGAGGGCAACGTCGAGCTTGGCCGTGGGCCAACGAGCCCGTTACCTTCTGGACTCCCATTCAAGGCATCTGCCCTCGAAGGCTCGTCCCGGGCTAGCAGCCCGACACCGCCTGCGAAGGACCTGCTCTTCAAGGCGACATCAACCTCGAGCCGCGCGACTACGGGACCCCCCCGGCAAACCCCTGTCCCTGTCCCTGTCCCTGTTCCCGGTGCCGCCTCGAGTCTCGGCGTGATTCACCCCCTGTGGGCCAACTCCGTTGGACTTGAGACTCCTCTCCAACCTAGTGGTAGCGGTAGAAACACTCGGACGAGTAGTTCGGCGGGTGATGTGACGCCCAAGCCGCAACCTAAGCCCCAGAATGGTGCGAGTCAGTCCAAGCCGTCCAAGCCGTCCAAACCGTCTAAGCCATCTCCTGCCACCAAGTCGACGCTGGCCGACAAGGCTCCTATTACTTCTCAAAGCTTCACACCTTATACTCCTGCTCCGGCTGTACCTAGTGGAACACGCTTTGCTTCGGATTTCTCAGCTGGACAACAGCTGGAGCACTCGGCGAAATCACAACCGGAACAGTCCAAGCGGAAGTTTGAGGGCCCGCCCAAGGAAAAGAGGCAAAGATACCTCACATCCACAAATGGAAAGAAGCCACGCCAAGCGGACGAGGACGACGAAGACGAGCTCGCGGCAGATGTCTGGGCGGTCAAGGAACTGCTCGACGAGAGCTGGGTGTTTGAGAACGGCACCAAGGTCCACAAATTTCTCGTCAGCTGGGAAGGCAACTGGCCCCCTGGCCAGAATCCGACCTGGGAGCCGGTCGCCAATATCCAAGAAGAGCTGGTCAAGATTTTCCGCAAGAAGAAAAACGCAGGCCTGCTAAAATCGCAGCCAACCCAGAGGACGATGCTCTCGTACATATCGAGGGCCCAGTACTCCAGCCTTGCCGAGGCGTTCGAGGGCGATGCTGCCGACCACCTCCACCCCCAAGCCTCGGATGCCGGACACGTTTCGGACGAGCCGGATGACGAGTTGCTGCCAACTGAGAATTTCTCGCTCAACGGCAAGGCCATCACGCCCATCTTCCCATCCTTTGACGAGAAGCTGTCAAAGTACAGGCAGAGCTTTTCACAGTTCTAGCCTCGGCCTGGTCGCTACTTGCTTCGCACATGCTCAGACTACCGACTATAGGCACCGTCGTGGCCTCTTCTGGAAGGAATGGAGTGAACGTGACTGACGTGACTATGACGCTTTGAGAGGGGGGGGAGGGAGGGCTTCGGGGCGAATTGCAGCAAATTTTGTAAATATAGCTGGCTTTGCTCTACCCTTTTGGTAATTGGATTATTAGAAGGCGGCTGCTAAGGCTCCGTCAGTAAGAATCGAGTGCGCTTTATTCCCCATTGTGGAGCACATTTCTCTTGACGCTTCGTTGCATGTTTGTGGCTTCATCGAGTGACATGCCATGTGGGTCTAAGTCTGCCTTGAAAGGAAAATGGGCTGGTACTTGGTGGTGATGACAACTATATGGCTATTTTTAGGCCTATTTGTTTGCTGTTCTCCGGTTGGCGAGATACCAGGCTAGGTTTTGCCCCTTAATTTCACCAGCATAACATGTGGACAAGGGCTTTTTGTGTACGGATGACCCTACCAAAAGAAAGTTCTCGCCGCCCTGATACCAATTCTGCCGCCAGAATCCATTATAGGGGGCCATAGCATATGTAACCAGGCCAGCCTAATTCGGAAGAACGCAATACGTTGGGCAGCAATATGGTGTAAATAGTACCTAACCCAAAAGCCCAGAATTTCCCTTCTTTCTTGCAACATCATCCTTTTGGCTATCATTAAACAAAATACCATATTCCGACATTGCATCTCGTGTTCAAGCCCTTACTTTACAAGCCCTCGGGTGGAAAAATGAAGATATTGAGAAGCTGACTGGCATTAAATCGAGGGCCCTCAATCGAGGGCCCTCAATAAGCTACTTGACCGTGCTATCGAACGCGGATTTGAGCCTAGGAAACTCCAGATTCAAGATTTATATGTTACGAATTCCCCCAAATCCGGCCAGCCACAGAAGTAAGAGGCCTTTAAAGAAGAGGTGCTTGATAAGGTACGCAAAAGCCGTTATGGGCGCGAGTTATCCTATGCTCAAATCGCCTCGGATTTAGGTAACCGGATCTCTATTATAACGGTCTGGCGTATCCTTCGGAAAGCTGGCATGCGCAAAACAAAGCCCACGCGTAAGCCAGGGCTTACAGCGAAGATGAAAAAGGAGCGTGGAATGGTACATAGCTCATAAAGATTGGACTTTGGAGGATTGGAAATACATGATTTGGTCTGATGAGACTTCTATTATATTGGGCTTTCCCCGTGGTGGTTATTGGTTTGGAGGAAGTCAGAGGAGCTGCACTTGAAGACTTGTATCCGCGAACGGTGGAAAGGCTATTCGGAATACATATTCTGGGGTTGTTTTTCTTATAACCAGAAGGGGCTATACTATATTTGGAAGGTAGAGACTCCTACTAATAGGAAGTTGGCTGATGAAGATTTGGAGCAGATGAATGCTGTGTTGGAGCCGATCATAAAAGCTAAATAGGAGCTTACTAACCCAATATCTCGTTTAAGAATCGACCGTCTAATTCAAGGGCGAATTCCGTAATGGAAATGGATAAAGAAAACGGGGAAATTAACACGCGGTAAAGGGACTGGAATTGACTAGTATCGTTACCAAAAACTGGTTATGATTCCTAAGTTAATTCCATTTATGTAGAGGTGTAGCCCTCAGGCCCTTATACAGGAAGATCGCGCTCCAGCATATACTCACTATTCGCAACGCGTAGTATACTCTACTACACACGTTTTACGCCTTCTTTGGGTTCCAAATTCGCCAGATCTTAATATGATTGAGCCTACAGGGTTCTATCTAAGGAGGAAGACTACAAAACAAGGTGCACTACAAAGTCGGAAGCAGGCGGAAATTGTATGGAAGAAGGCCTAGAAGGAGATGCCTTAGCAGATGATACAGGAGTAGATCTAGCGAATTGTAAGGAAACCACCCTCGTAACCACCATGGCCACCGCCACCAGGGCCACCATCGCCACCATCGCCACTATCGCCACCGCTAACAGGGCCACGCACTATCGCCACTACCACCCTGGCCACGCAAGGATGACTCGTAACCCCTTTCACGTGTATATAGACCATGGCCTTCGCACACCTCTTTAGCTCAGGCCAGGTTGAAGTCTTACGCCAATACCAGTCATTGCTCGCCCTGCTTGTTGCTTCTATTGTGACCACCTTGATCAGGCGTACCTGCCTTCTCTTACACGAATCTTACACCACGTTAATGAAGTTATTATTACAAACCACTCGACTGTTTTGGTCGTTTGTCTGTAAGGGAGCACGGGCTCCACAGGATGCTGGGGTTGGTAATTATGAAGATAGAACAAAGGGCAAGCTCCTATCGCGCGGTAATACAGTCAATTGGAATGCCACTCAAAGTGTATGAGTGCAGTGAATGTGTATTGCTTGCTTGAAGAACCAAGCAAGAACTATCTAAGACCGTGGGTACGGTCATCGTATATATCTAACTGTGTAACCAATAACAATGGTCCCACTGGCCCGTGGTCCCGAGACCTTGCGGTCTCGGGACGCCGGGCGTGCGGGGCACTGTCCCGCGTCCCCGACCTTAAGTTGTCCCGAACCTCGGGACCCAGGGACACTCTTAATTGGTTCCTTCCATGGGACGCTCCTGATTGGTCCACACCAAACTGAGCGTGCCCCACTATTGCGCATTTCAACAAGGATTCGTAACATAGAGGTTCTAGAGGAGGAAGAAGAAGGTTTAAAAGGTACTGATTCAGATGATCTGATAGAAGATTCCTGTTACGATCCTGGCTCAAGTCTGCAGGAGGCGCTGGGACCCGGTCGCTGATTGGGCAGCACGGGCAGGTGGGCCGAGCCACGCGGGAGCCGGTGCGGCCAATCAGGCGGCGCTCAGTGCATCTGGCCGCCAAGACTGGAAAGACCCACTGAGCAGGAAGTGCAGCCAATTGGGGAAGTGCTCAGCTACCATTGCGGGCTCAGTCGTCCTGAGAGACTGAGCGCTCTGGATCACTGAGCACTGCAAGAAACGGACTCTGATTGATTGTACGTAGTTCTATATAGGAGCTGGCAGCACGCTCTCTGGGAGAACGGTTCTGCAGCTATCAATGCATCTGGTTAAGCATAAATTGGTTGTGTGTTGAAAACCTGTCTTTCGCAATCTGTGCACATACTCCTTGTCTCCTGTCATCTCCTACCTGCCGTCCAGACCCCCACAATCCTAGGCCGGGCCTAGCTCCGTGGACCTATTGTCCAGATTGTAACAATTCCGAGTCAGAAGAGGATGTTTGGACTGAGGAATCCGAAATTTAGATAGATAGGAAGAATAAAATACTATAGTTGAATCTTTTAAGTAGTATTACAAAGTAGGTAAAAAACAGTACTATAAAGTAAGTGGGAAATAGTACTATAAAGTGGGAAATAGGCTGTAAAGTAAGTGGGAAATAGTGCTGAAAGTGGGAAACAGGGTGTCACGGCAAGTGCAGACAACTGGCTGGATTGGTGGGTCCCGCCCCGGCCCCACCTGGCCACACTGGATTTAAGCGGTGGTCTGTGCACACCATAACCACGCGACCCACAACACAACCTACTTCCCCCGCGCCCTGCCTGGGCCTTGGAAGCTTCTTTCCTTTTTTCCTTCTTTAGCTTTGGATTCTACGAATACAGCGACTACATTGCAGCCTTGCCTCATAACAGTTGACTGTGCGGTGACACAGGGCTGTAAAGTAGGTGGGAAATAGTGCTGCAAAGTGGTAAAATGATTATGTAGGAGCAGATCAATGGAAGGCGCTATAATTATAGTGGGTAAGACCTGAAGCGGCGAGATCTTGGCAAAGGCGGTGAAAACTTTCTTTTGGTAGGGTCATCCGTACTCTGGTTCTATAGGTATCTATCCCCTTTGACCATTAATCAGTGATAACCGACCTAACTTTGCTATGCCTACTTTGTGCTTGTGAGATGAGCCGGGGCAAGGGCCTCACGCTTCGATCTTCCAGCGTTGAGCGACCCTGCAAATGTCACCCAAGTGTCGATGAAAGAGGAGCAGCTCCGGCATATCCCTTCTTACATCGGGCTGGATAGAAAAGCTTCCACGCTGGGATCCTTGCAGAAGTTGGCAGGTGATCAGACAGACGAAGTCACCCACTGGACGACATGAGTGACGCCTCTATGCTGTTGAATGAATGATACGATCCGAGAACCACCGTATATCCTTTCCATGTGTGCATTACTACCTAGGTACCTAGCGGAGCTGTTCTTTGATTGGCATAGAGAGGTCAGGTGTCTGTCTGTCTGTCTGCGGTGCGTAGAATAAAGCCGGCAGCTTTCGTGCTACGTGTGTGTGACACAGGAAGTGACTCCTCTCTCTCTGGAGATACGATGACTGGCCGTCTCGCCCGACATCGGCGCCGCCGCCGCCGCCACCGCCCTACTGACGACAGTCTTGATTCGACTCGCGCGGCGTTTAGTCTAGAACTTGGGTGGGCGTCTGCAGCGTCATGCATGTATGTCTGCATGTATGTGCAGCTCGCCCAGACGCAAGGCTTCCGAGTCTAATAATTCTACGATGCAGTTCAAGCAACCCACAAGCACCTCCTCGTTCTCGTTCTAGTTAGAAACCAATGTAGCAACTTGTACGTGCCATCTCACTATTCAGATCTGGGCCCCCATTGTTTTGCCTGGTGTTCCTTCTTTCTTGCCCCAAACCCTCATGGCATTGGTCCCTTGGTCCTGCGTTTTCTTCCCCAACGCCGAGAGCGCTTGCCGCGGTGAAAACGTCCAGCTAATGAGAGGCTGTTCCTGGATTGGTGACCCCCACCGGGCACGAGAGCAGCAGGGCAGGGCAGGACAAGGGTGCTTCTGTCTGCCTGGTCAGTTGACCACCCCTGCTTAGGGTTCTGCTTCTGCGTCTCGGCAGCCTCTCGTAACCAGATAGACACTGCATCGTTGGAATATAGCTGAATGAGAGAGTAAAGCACTGTGAGAGTAAAGCACTGTGGTAGGGGGCTGCGTCTAGGGACAATTCAGCAACCGGGTCGTTTCTCGAAAGGGGAAATATAGCTCGGATCTGTCCGAATGTAGGCGGCTCCGTTGGTAGTAGATTGACGAATCGAGCGGCTTGCTGCGGGTGTGGCTGACTGGGAAAAGGCAGAAGTGTGTGGTGTGTGTGGGCAATAACCCAACATGCGGGAATTTGCGGGCCCCAAAAGAGACCACACACACGCACACACGCACACGCACACGGCGAGCGGTGAGACCCAGCCAAGCCAAGCACCCGTCACACAAGCAAAAATGAAAATCATGTTTACCTTGACCAACCGAAGCAGAGCAAAAGATCCCGGCCATGGAAAAAACTGCATTCGGGAAACAGCCAATGGAATGGCAAGGTTAGGTTGTCCGTCTTTTTCTTCCCCCTCCTTGCATTACTAACCTGGGTTTCCCAAAGAGGAGAGCGGTGTGTAAGTGCGTGTCACGATGTCTGTCTGTGATGGAAATCAAGACGTCGGTTGGGTTGCCAACGGTAATCCCTTCAACAATGACAGCCACGTGCACTGGGTGGTCTGATGTCTCGGTGTTTTCTAAACTATCGAAACTCTTCTAGTCTCCTTTAGGCCTTGCACTATTGAAAAAAAAAGAAACCCGAACGGGGGCCCTTCTCATTTCAACTTGGCCTAGACCTAGTCCTGAACAAGACCTAGTCCTGAACACGCACTCATCAGGGAAAAGACCAAAAAAATCACATTACACAATGAGAGATGGGTCTGTGGTTTGAAGGTATTTGCGTCACGGTAACGTATCTAGATAGTCAAATGCATCGCTCATCTGGGTGTGTGAAGCATCCGAATGCAAGTGCATGTCATGATTGGATGCCTCTTCCGCACAAAAGCGACCCGGGTGTCTGCAGGGTGGGATGCAGCATTCTGCAGCTTGTGGGAAGCGAGACGCCGTGGGTGGCATGGTCCGTCCGGCCCGGGGCGCAGGGCAAACGTTCCTCTTCCTCCCAAGGCGTGGGGGTTTCCATGGTTGTTCGTGTGTGCGTGCGTGTGTATGCGTGTGTGTATGCGTGTGTATGCGTGTGAGATTAGTGCCCGAAGCCATTGGGTGAGCGGGTTGGGTGCCACTGGCTCTCGCTCTCGGCCGAGATCTGTGGTTGTGATTGCTAGATGGTCCGCCATGGCGTAATCAGCTATAGACCTAGGCAGTATCGAACGAAGATATATCGTGATTCGCGAGGAAGATCCAACCCTTTCATTTCTGGTTAAGCAGCTGTTGACGAATAATCACGAATTAGCAGTTTCAAAACCTGCCATTATCAGAGCATTTCGCAAACTTAGGCACCAAGCAAGAAAGCTGTTGTACATGGAACTGCCCTTGTGCCGAGACATGTACAGATGAGGAAATATTGTCCTGTGGAAGCTGCAGAAGTCAGACATCCTGTACCACGTGCTATGAGGAGCAATGCTAGAGGTCTGGTTGGATGCAGCTTGATACCTCGAGGACTCTCAGAGCCCCGTCATGCACTTTATTATAGGGATTTGACGAGCAGTCTGAAACATGCACGAGCGCCTTCTAATGACGGCGTGCGCGCTCCGCGGTCGGACTGTTCTAGGTTACACCAGCTCGACGGGCGAGTCTAGACCTGTTCGCTCATTGGAGCAGGGGACGTATGAATGGAAGGCCCGGGAGGCAGTACGATATGAAGAAGGAATCGTGGGCGCCGTCGGGCTACGTAATCACGTCCACCCGCAGACATTTTAGCGATGACGCTGGCATGATGCACAGAGTCAGCCTCACTGAAGACAGGTTGGGTCACGAGTGCGAGTGGGGGTAGGTCGCAGAGCGAGTAGAAATCAATATCAAACAGCCCGCGCGATGCTGTGTTACCCCTAAAAGCGTGGCAGGCGGCGTTGGGCAGGGATTGTCGGAAATATCTCTGGGGGAGCCTTGAGCCTGACACAATCATGATTTTATTTGCCTCGTAACCGTCTTTCTGATCGCTTGCGCGGTCTAATCTCTGTCTAGGAATCTGTCCCTGCCCAGTAGTAGTAAACACACGGGAAAACATCCCGAAGCCTGGCCCAATTGGCCATCTTTTGCAAACCGTCGTGGCTCATAAAGACAAAATCGAAAATCCCCTGCTTCTCCACCCCTGACCGCTCACTCGCTGGCCGCCGCGGCAGCCAGCGTGGCCTCGATGGCCAACGCACCAGACATGCCCTGCTCAATCTCCTTGACCGCCGTGCCGTTCTCGTCCAGCCTGGTGAAGGGGCGGCGAGGCTCGGCGCACGAAGCCTCTCCCGCGCCGTGGAAGATTGGCATCGCGGCCTTGACGCCCACAAAGCCGTAGCGGATGGCTAGCCAGTCGGCTTTGGCCACCTCGTGCTGCAGCTCGCGCGCCTCCTTCAGTCTCCCCTGCTCGTACAGGTCGCAGATTTTCACACAGGCTCTCGGGGCCAGGTTTGCGAAGCCGCTGATAGTGCCGTGGCCCCCCACCACGAGGCCCTGGAGGATGAAATCGGCGCTGCCTCCGGCCACAAAGAAGTCGTCGCAGCCGCCTCGAATCTTGGGCGACTCGGCCACCATGCGGGCCAGCTTGCCAGTGTTACCGCAGGTGAGCTTGACGCCGACGACGCGGGGGTGAGCGGCAATGCAGAGCAGTGTGTCCGAGTCGAGGTCGACGCCGTTGGCGGCCGCGGGGAAGTTGTAAATGAGCACGGGGATGGGCGAGCGATCGGCCACGTCGTGGAAGTAGGTGACGATGGCGTCCTTGTTCAGGATTCCGGCGTAGTATCCGGGCGGCAGGATGAGGGCGTGCGTGGCGCCGGCATCCTTGGCCTCCTGACAAAGCTCTACCGTCTCCCGCAGCGACTGGGCGCCGCAGCCAGCAATGATGGGCACCGGGGCATGGCTGTCGGTCTCGTGCCTAACGGCGTCGGCCACAGCCTCGATGACGGAACGTCGCTCACGCCGCGACATGTGGACAGCCTCTCCGTTGGAGCCGTGAACAACGAGCCCGCTCACGCCCGCAGCTACGAGGCGTGCTGTGTGCCGCTGAGTTGCCGGGACGTCGATTTCGTCAGACGAGGTGAAGAAGGCGAGCATGGGGACGTAGACGCCATTGGGAAGACAGCCGGACCGGGCCTGCTGAGATGCTGTGTCATCGAGCTGGAGCGAGTCCGATAACAGACTGGTCGGCGTAGTCGACATGTTGAAGTCCGTGGCGTGTCCAACGGGTTTTGCGGGGTTGTGCTGGCGTTGGTGATCCGGGGCGGGAGGAAGGGCGGGAGGACGGGGACTGCTAGTCTATGTCTAGGTCTAGGTCAAGGTCAAGGTCGAGGTGAAGGTCTGGGTCGAGTGCCGAGATGTGCGTGGCATATGGTGTGGCTCGAGGCGGCCAAAGTAAGGTGAGATGAGGTAAAGTGATTAAATTGTGTGTGGCCCGGATTCAACGCGTTTCAAACGGTAGGCGGGAGTCTAATAACCTAAGTTGCTGGCTGGGGGTGGATCGGGGGGGGGGGGGGGGGGGGGGGGGGGTGGTGGAAACAATAAATGTGTCGGCCCTGGACCAAAGGCCGGGCCCGCCATTTTAAACACTGACTGGACTGGACCAGACGACCAGCGGACCAGGGCACCTTCCTCTCTCCAAATTGCACCTTAGTAACCCAAGGCCAGGGAGGGAAAACCCCCTGGAAGCCTGGCAGATGAGATGCACCAAAGATTTGCACCAGAATGAGGCTCCAGGGATCACCAGCCCAGCAGAGAGCAGACGGCAGCCACGGAGCGGAGAGAGTTCCTTGTCGTGCTTCGCCAGAAGAGTCCTTTTCCGGCCACGACTGGCAGGGCGTGGGGGTCCCAAGGGCTTAAGATCCACACTTTGGGAAAGTGCACAGTATAGATACTGTCCTACGACGTTCCCTAGGTTTGTATTATGTATGGACTGCTGCTGGGGAAGGAACTATGTGCGATTTTGTGGATTTACCTCGAGTGGGACAGGGCCTCTTTCTCCGGAATTGGCGTTTGGAAGGTGCTGCTGGCATGGCGGGGATCCCATCCATGTTCTACCGTCCGACCTGCAGCCGTCCGTCTCGACGCCACACAGTGACACCGGGCCTCCGTGGCATTCGGAGGAGCCAGTTGAACATGATCACAGGGACCACAGGGAACTTCGCGACTCCAGAGACCCGCAAGTAACCCCGCTGCGCATTGGCCGTGTCAATTGTTGCTAGTACTTCTCGTGCGCTTCACTTGTGGCGGGCGCAAGCGGCGGTGAGGCCGACGTATGAGCAGGGCTTCGTCGAGGCGAAGAGGCAACCGAATCCATGACGTCGGGCGCGGCTTACGGGGGACTGCGGACTTCCAAAAGACAAATCAGGGACCGGCGCAGGCTTCTAGGCAGCATCCCATCGGACCACCGTGCGCCAATCACTAAGCTCGGCCGCTTGCCTCGCTCGGCGAAATCCAAAATGAAATTATGAGCCCTGCGTGGACGCCATGTCTGTCTGCCGGGCTATGATGGGAGTGCCTTCTTCCATCCTGGGTTCTCGTCGAGTTTGCCCGAGACAAGCTGACGAGTTGCTTTCCCGACCCGAAGCTTGGGGCCAGCAGCCAACCTGACCCCCACGCCGTTTGGCTTCTCCTTCTCCACGAGGTGGGGCCTTTGGCCTTGGGAGCTAGGGTCTTTGTCAACCCCCCGAGACTTGTTCCCCAGACCCCAACCGCTTTTCACTTTTAGGAGCTGCTCTTGCCCAGACCGCGCCGTCTTCCCAGGGGCAAAGTCGTCCAGCGTGATCAGCTTAACGCCGCCATCCCGAAAATCTCGTTGGGTGTGCTGGCTCGTCTGCTCACTGGCCAATTCGCCGACTCGCATCACCGTGTCACTCTCTTTTCGCTGTCTGCCGCCCACGTCGACGCCCCAGGCCTGCAGAGTTGCAGCCCCGCCCTATTCCCAGAACTGCCACGCCCCCGAATCCCAGCTGGACGGTAAGACTCTCGGTGTGCAAGGACCTATGCCGATGGCTTGGGCTGCACCTCGTCTTGCCGGCCGTCAATGTGCAAAAGACTTCTTTTGACATAGAAGGGAAGGCGTGCTCGTCGTGGTCAAACCCCGGCAATATATTCCGCAGCCCTCCGTATACAGAGTGATTCCCTGGTTGGAATGCGAAGCCGCGCAAGAACTCCGTCGGCCTTTGATCACCCGACTAGCTCCACAGCCCCATCACGTGTTGCGAACAACTGGACCTGAAGAAGCAACGAAGCTCCGACACTCGACACCCGACACCCACACCCCGCCCTCTCCTGTCGCCAGCTACTCTAGTGTGCTGTGACTAGGCTATTCATCACAAACTAAAGATTCCCACTTCTCCCCCCCAAACTCATCTCGCATTGTCTACCCTCCCCGGGGCGCAGGGGCGGCAGGCAAGCAAAAATACAGCGCCAGAAAGTGCAGCGTCGGTTCAGTGATGGGCCCCCTGCAGCCAAGGACACTCACGTGAGCTGAAACCATATCTCGAGGCGCGGGGGTCCCCGCGACGGCCAGTCGTTTCAAGTGCCGTCATTGGCCCGTCCGGGCCTGCTTTGTGAGCTGAGCCCCTAGTGAAGCTCGTTTTCGTTTCAATAGTCAAGGCCCGGGCCCCGGCCTTATTGGCCGCCGGGCGGGACCCGTGACGATGATGTCTCTTCCCATCACCTTATCTCCCAAGGCCGCGTGACGCAGACGCGTTCCTGCTTTATCCCTGCGGTAGCGCTCACCTCGCACACACACCTTGGGCATGGCTGATGACGGCATCCTTTGCACCGCTTTGCTGACTCATGCTGGTTGGAAGCAGGCCATTCCCTTGTTGTCCGTCCCGACGCATGGCTCTCGGGATAGCGGAACCATCGGAATGTTAGCGACGATAATGCCCGCCCTGTGATGGGCCGATGATTGCGCAGCATACACAAGCTAACAAGGTACGCGGTGCTTTCATTCAGCTTAGTATTGTATCCTCGTGCAATCCAATTGTCTCCCGACGAGGACTTGATATCAAGAAGCAAACGCGCTAAAGTTCATAACCTCTCGACCCGACAAGGCCAGGGCAGCATGCGGAGGTTGCGAATGCGATCGGCGGAATTGGGGGGCCCATGTGGCCCTGAGCCCTTGAGCCTCTGGGATGGATGGACCCATTCTAGTGCGTACGCCAGGCACCCTTTTTTGCACTCACGCCTTGCAGCCGCGACGGCCGTTAGTTGTGGGATCGGTCACCGCAGAGCTATGGGGGGTCGTGGTGGGTTCTGAGCGGGAGGGGGTGGTTTAAGATTGCGCCGCTTGTCCAAGGGGGCAAGTGCTCAAGAAAGGTGAGCAGTAGCGCATGGTCCGGGGGACTAGAAATAGGAAAGCGTAGGTACTACCATACCCCCGATCACCCTGCCACCCGATCACCCTTTTTACACCAAAAGAGTAAATATTTGAACAGCGACTGTGCAGTCAATTCTGAAGCAATTCGCAAGCCAAATATGGCAAAATGTATCTAATTACATGTTCAACGATTATAACGAGCCGGCATTCGTGTTGCACGGCCAGATCGGGTCATTTTTGCCGGTAAAACGTCCTCATCCTCGTCATCTTCGTCCTCATCTTCATCTTCGTCCTCATCTTAATCTTCCATCTCATTTTCATCTTCCATCTCATCAGGTTGCGGCTCTGCTTGAGGCTCTGCTTGAGGCTCTGCGGAAACCTGACCGCCTAGTAAGATGGTCCCTAAGTCCATGAATCACTTATTTGGGTTAGGAATTTTCCTGCGTTTTTGGGGCTTGAGACGTTCCAATTCAGCCTCAAGGGCTTCAATCCGAGTCTTCTTGAGAACTAGGTCTATTTGAAGCCTGTCAACGGTCCAGGCCGCCTTCTGGAACTTCCTTCTTGTACTCGGGCTGCTCCCTTTGCTCAGATCCATAACTTGACGCCCTGTAGTAGGGGTATCAGGGACTCCGGTAAACATAGGGGGCTCAGGGGTCTTTTCCTTGTCCTGCTGAATCTCTGGGTGTCTGAGGGTTGTGTACCTGCTAATAGGCCAATTCCCAGTCGTCCGGAGCGATGATTTGATAGTCTTTTCCGTGAATCCTCCCTCCCTAGCTACCTTGTAGTAGCGAATGAAGTTCAGCTTATCTACTGGTGCCGCGTCAGTTAGACTAGCCAGTTTGGCTAGTTCACGTCTATAGTAAGCTTTAACAGCATTAAAAGGTCCGTTGTCAAGCGGCTGCAAGCCGTGAGTGGTGTGGGCCGGTAGGAAGCATAGATATACATTATTGAAGAAGCATATCGTCATGAATTCATCCTATATATATATATTGTGAGATAACTAGACGAAAGAGCGTGCGGGACTTATCTCTTGCAGTTGTATGGCTGCCGTGGCCATCGAGAATAAGAAGCCAGGCCTCGCTGTCGTACTCTAGTAATGCGTTGGTTTGTGGAAGGAAAACATCCTCAAGCCAGCTAATTGCTATTTGGGTGTCAGTCCACCCCTTTTCAGCGGTAACGAAGTGTCAGGGTACCATGTTCTGCATCTCTTGCTCGAACCAGGAGCTCTGAAGGTCTTTTCCTTTGAAAATAATGCCTGGATCGAGTAGAGTACCCGTAGCACCGATTCATTCGATTATGGTAGACCAGCCGCGGCCTTGATCGCTTTTTAGGTAGGTTTTCTTCGTTTCTGCAGTCCCTACGACCAATGAATCAAGCCCTAGATAGTATAGGTAATAGAAGAGACAATAAATATTATTTTCTTACCAAAGCCCGCCATGATACCAGCCTTATCGATATTGAAGGTAAGCTGAGGACTGATCCAGCCGTATTATTTCTCCCTGATATTGAAATACCAGTTAACAGCCTTACGAGTAACCCCGTTAAAACGAGCGGCTTTCATTCTCTTGCCGACCTTGGATCGAATGGCGGGATTCCGGGCTTTGAAGCCAATAATCCAGTTTTTCCCGATAGGCTCTAGATCCCCTACTTCTTTGCAGAGCGTTGCAGCAATGCTAGAAACTTGTGAGTATGTAGGCGCATAGCCGAGGCTTTCCTGCTTGATGATCCACTCAATGAGCTTCTTTTCTTGAGGCTCTGCTAGCCTGCGTTGAGTTTAGAGGCTCTCTTCTTTGGCAGGGATGCCTTTGAGCCTGTCGTTCAATGTTGTATACGGTACGCCGTTCTTTTGAGCAGCCCGACGAATAGAAAGCTTGTTATCCGTGACATCTAAGTAGGCATTGCAGTAGTACAACAGTTAAAGGTAGGGATAAGGGAACACAAGGAAGCTAACTTGCAATTAATTTGCGACGAGCAGGAAAATTCTTTAGGGCCTGCGGGCTGACAAATTTACATTAAGCTTAATCTAAATGCATACGGCTAGCCAAATCTGGCAACGGCTTGTGAATAGCTTCATAATTGACTACGTAGTTGTTGTTCAAAGATGTAGTGTTTTGGTGTAGAAGGGGTGATCGGGTGGCAGGGTGGTCGGGTGGGGGGTGGGGTATGGTAGGTACGTTAGCGCTAGCGCATTTCGCTTACTGTGCATAGCAGTAGCATCTCGTCCAGTCAAAAATGAGGTTATTCCAGGTGTGTGTATTGTGTTGTGTTCAAGAAAGAAAAAGGCCTGCCCAGGCTCCCTAGACTATGCCGAAATTCTGACAGGAGCCTCTAGGGCGGCCCCCAAAAGCGACCGAAAGTAAGTTGCGACCCTATAGCCTAGGGACCTTCGTGGCTCTACACGCGCCCCGGATCACGTGATAGGTACACCATTTCAACCTTTGAACTTCAACCGAACTTCAACCTTTCACCCTTTCGAAAAAAGGCCCATATCGTCTTTCGCCCGCTCCTGCTAGTCAACCGCGCAATCACGTTGACAAAATGGCTCGCGCTAGATCGCCAGATCCCGACCTACAATTTCCACCACTTCGGCCACCCTCCCTCGCTATAGTGAAAGACGAGCACCAAAGCGTACGGCGTACTTCGCATGAACTGCAGAAGGCATACGAAAATCTATGGAAGATGGCGATAGCAGCAGTGGCGATGAGGACGAGGACGAAGATGAGGGTGAGGGCGAAGATGAGGATGATTAGACAGGGAAGGGCAGTAAAGTCACCAAGACTTTGAAGCGTCCAAAAGAATGAAGGAGTGACCCCACCGGCGAGTGACCAGGGGGCACCTGGGGTCGTGGTTGGCCGATCAATCATTGTGCTGCCGCTACGGCCAATTTTCTTCACTATACCCAGTCAGATACAGTTATTCGACTGCAGCATATCCCTTGGCCAAAACAACAGGACTTGCATGTCCTGGTTGATTGATAAGCTGCATGGCGGAGCGCGTGCTTTGAAAGGGTTCTTATCCGGGGCAACCAATACTTTTTCAGCACCCCCTTGTGACTAATGAGCCGTCCAAAATGCATACCTCAGCCGTGTAATAGGTGTATACTTGAAGCCTCTTGAAAGCATAAATAAACTGTTTTAAATCTCAATAGAAACTCTTCATAGAACCCTAACCAACTTCAACTTAGTCGAGATAATAATTAAGTAAAACCGACTTGGAGAACGTGGACCGAAGTAGCGACGGCTGGAGCCCGGCCAAGGCCAAATTCACCATAATTAAATGTCAACAGAACTCAAGTGTGTTCTGTAATTATCTCTCAAGTAAAATCAGGTAAGCTCACCTCCGTAGTAGTATTGGTATCCTTTGTTAGTAAAATAGGAGGCGGAGTTTAGAGCTGGGCAACTTTGGATACCGGTAGCGAGTAAATACAAGCAGCAGGTATCGAGAACCCGGCGGACCAACACGCTATTATAGAGCGTTTCATGAGCTGCTCTCGTATGGTTAGTCACTAGTCTACTGCCCTCCTACTCTATACCTCCACTGCAAAGCCATGCCTGGGCCCCGGCTACCCTGCGCGCGTCATCTACCAGATCGACGAGTATAGCTCTATGCGTGTCGAGTACATCGCGTATGTCGACCAGGACCTCGCCTTCCTTGCCCACGACAACACCATCCCAGTTCGAGAGCCCATCTTATACGGCAATAAAACGCACCTCAACCATCAATATCTTGAAGTCAACCAGAGTAGATGCGATGATGGAGACGTGTCGCAGCATCTCCGTCCCCTGGTCGAGCGCGTCCGGAACGATCCGGCCCTTAGAGACTGGTAGATCCGGAACTAGACGGTTCCAGGACAGTAAGCTACGGCATCACAGCAGAACCGGATTCCGGAGACTTGGTTGGCCCTTCCTTTGTGGGCTTGGCATTAGCTGGCAACGGCAGCTACAGATTCACCGCATTTGTAGCATGTTAAAGGAGTCGCTGTTACTCACGGCTTCGGCGAGTCTGGCAGCTTGGAAGACTCTCACAGCTCTGACGACGGCGGCGGACAGTCGGAGATACGGGAGACAGCACGATAGCTGGAGACAGACTTGGTGACAATTTCAAAGTTACCTAGGTAGTGGGCATGCCCCTCGCATGGTAGTATACTCAATCTCATCGTGAAATAGAGATGCAGGGGCCACGGATGCCGGTTGTCAGGCTCTGCTGGGGGAGGGAATATCATTGATAATAAGGCCTGTTCTTTTGGACACCCAGCTTTTCTGCGTCAGCGTCCGATAGTTTGTTGAGTTCACCAACGCGCAGGTTGTGCTTGGCAAGCGGTCCGCGTTTATCTGCGACTCACTCAGATCTGCTTCAGAGACTGCCCTCGGTCAAACTGGAGGAGTGGCTAGTCTATTATTACCTCTACGAAGCCTTCCACTAGTATATGAGCTGTCGCGCCATATCCAGTCCGCTCGATTTTGCGACACCATCACGAAAACCAACCCTCACGACAAATTGCCCGACTGGCCTCACTCAAACGAGTTCTTGGCAGCCCTCAGGGACGTGGCAAAGACCCCTCTAGGTTCCATTTCTCCCTGTGCGTTCCCAGGGTCGAAAACGACGAATCTCAAATCAGACGCCGTAAAACTTTCTCGCCGCAGATGTTGAAATACGTTAATAGTGTCCCAAACGATTGCTAGTGGAGTCTATATGTTCCCGTCATATATTTATATCTGTGTATATCACATATTGCCCTTCCTAACTCTCTTGAACATGCATTTCTCTCTCCGTTTCGCTAGTTAGGCTTGTCCTCCTTACTATTAAGATCCAATACTTAGCGCGTACAGCATACTGCGTAAATAAATGATCAGCATCTACTAGGCCGCTGTGATCGTATTAGAGGTCAACCGTAAGCGCCGCAAATCTCTTGTCATGCTCGATCAATGTATTCACCTTCTCGATGATGTCGATGATAGCTTGGTTCTGGGTATCATTTTTTCTAAGCAGTCCCTTGCGTCCAATTACAGCTTGGGCATTTTGCTATCTAAGTACCTTGGTTAAGTATATAGTTTATAAAGGGAGCATAGTCACGAAGCTGTGATGAATATTTCAAAATTTCAGTGCATTCATGAGGGGGTACCTACCGCCCTACCTTGCCGGGCTTTTCCGGTCCCAAAAACACCCGCCCAAGAAAAACCTCCTCTCACCCCTTTCCAGTCCTCCCCTACGACTTCTAAAAAAAGAATGAAGCCGTAAGTCTTTACCTAAACCAAAACCTTGTTAACATACCTAGTACTAGACAACAATAAAACAAAGTCAACTTAAACACTTACCGATGCTGAAACTAGACCAGCTCGTGCTCGGCGAGCACCTGCAGGCGGCGCTCGCCGCGTCGGTGCCGGCGGAGCCGCAGACACACCCAGCAGGGCAGGCACAGCACCCGCAGCGCGAAGCGGAGCGGGGCGAGGGCGGGCTGGACGGGCTGTGCGTGTGTGTGAGAGAGAGAGAAAGAGAGAGAAAGAGGCGCAAGGTTTTCTGTAAAGTCTGCATTATCAACTGTTAGCTGGGATGGGAGGCTTCGATCCTATCTAGTATGCGTGAGATAGCGCGAGGGATGAAATTACTTGAGTCTTTGGATGCGACTGAACTGACGAACTTGGTAAACCTGAAGAAAGAAAAGAAAAGGAAAGCGAAGGCAGAACGGGGGGGAAGGATTTATTTATACTCCCTCCCTCGAGACGGAAAAAACGAGCCGCTTGGTCGAAGTATCCACACGGCATGAGACAATAGCAGTGGTATGAATAAGTGCGGACGGTGATGTTATGTTGCTGTACGTGCCTTGCCATTGTTTGACGGCTGCGAGGTATCCACCGGGCGTCGAGACAATAGGATGAGGGAGAAGAGTTCGAGGTTCTATTGTCACTCATCATGCGGTATCCACTCACGCGACGGACAATAGACTAATTAACGAACAATAGCTACCTAATTCCTTTTGTTTAGTCTTCGTCAAGAGCTCGTCATGGAACTTCTCGCCACTCTGACGACGTCGCCCGGCAAAGGCGCGCCTATTACACAGCGGCGCGAATATAAGAAATGGTGTACGGGTCGTTCTTGGTGATGCATCCGGTCCACCACTTTCTCACAGACTCGCTGTCTATGTAGGCAAACTATAGATTACTGGATTTTTCGGAATAATTACTAGATCCTGCGGAATAATATGTCACCTCAATAAAACCCTCCTCTCCAAGCTAGATATTCATTTCCCACAGAGTAACTCAAATAATCTGTAATATTCCAAGTATTCAAATCCGGAGTGACGTAGTTGACGCATGTAGCGAGCTGCAAGATATTCAGAGGGAGCAAAACACAGTGGTTACGAAAGAAAGATAAATTGTTCAATACCTGCTACGTATTCCAAAATAATAATAATAGGGGAAATGCAATCCCCCAACACATTCTACAGCTCTCAACGAGTTTCATCAGCCCAGGGGGAAGGTGTTTAGCTAGGCCACTTCTATTGGCTCCGCTACGGACCCGTCGTCGGCCATGATGGTCTCGCTCCAACATATAAAGTCTGGGAACTCGCGGATGGCGACGAGGTGGCGCTCGGTGCTAGGGGCTTGCGCGACGTCGCGGTAGTGGCGGAGGATGGACAGGCCGATGTCGGGCAGGCGGGTGAGGGCCTCGACGTTGAGGTCGGTCATGATGGGGGGCACATCGAGGGCGAAGCGGAAGCCGCAGAGGACGCGGGTCAGGCAGTCGAGGTCGCCGTGGTAGGCGCCGTCGACCCAGTAGTAGCTCAGGGGCTGGGTGCTGTACCACTCGGCGACGGTGCTGCTGCCGAGGAACAGGTGGTTGCGCGCCGCCGCGAACGCGCGCCGCCCGCGCTGCTCGACCGCCTGCGCCGCGTCGAGCGCCGCCGGCGGCTGCAGCAGGTACACTTGCCGCAGCCGCGGGAACGACGACGCGAACTTGACCAGCGCCGCCTCGCACCGCGGGTGCCCCGACTCGGCGTCCATGAAGGTCTCGCGGTCCGAGAGAATGTCCAGCCCTAGGTGCTCGATCCCACTCAGCCCGTCCGACATCTTTTCCACCTCGAGCCCTAGCTGCCGGAACTTGACCAGAAAGGCCACCGTCACGTCGTCAAGCATGATGACGTCCTTGCTGAGGTCGCAGCGCAGGACCCCACCGCCGCGGAGGAAGAGGTAGTCCGGGAGGAGCGAGTGGCAGCGGAGGATCTCTCTCCTGGATTCGTAGCAGGCGCCCATGAGAGCGCGCACGCCCTGGGTCGAGTCGACCAGCGCGGGTGTGGGCTCGAGCTCGAGCTTGGTGCCCTCGAGACAGCCGTCGCCGTCGCCGTCGCCGTTGCCGTCGGTAGGCGATGTGATGACACAGCGGACTCGGTGGACTCTGGCGTTGGCGGCTGCGGCACCCATGGCGAGGTGCCAGACGCGCAGACGCAGTTCGGGAGGTAGTATTGGGAAGAGATGGAAGACGTCCTCGGGGTTGGCGCCGGCCGCGGCCTCGCCTGATATCATGTCGAAGTCATCGTGAACAGTACTACGCGCCGAGTCGTCGGGCTTGGCGCATGACTCCTCTGCGGGCGGTTCTTGATCTTGAATAGCCGAGCCTAGTACCATCAAGCCAGCTGCAGTGTGCATGGCGTATAATTAACAAACAAAGCAGCACAAGGTAGGGCAGGGTGGTCCCTCTGGGCGGTCCTTTGTGCGGCGAGGGAGACTTCTTTCAAGCCATTTTCTTGGGGGGCTTTTCCCGCATGATTTTGCGCGGCACAATCAGGTATTTCAACCTGAACATGAAGTGCCTGGCCGAGAAAGCGGGCGGGTGGACCGTCCCGGCGGCGGCGACCGGTTGTTGGCCGCCACGGGCCCCGTACTGGCCCCCTCGGGCCGGCACAACTCGGACGTGCAACAGCACCACCTCGCCGAAACAGAGGGCCAATGTTTCATGATGGGCTGAGCCTTGCAGTCCCCAAAGAGGCCCCAGATGGTTTTCGGGAGGGGGCGCTCAATACGCACCGTCGCGTCCATCTGATGTCTGGTCTGCGTCAGCACGTTAATTTGGTAGTAAATACGCCCTGGTGCGGGCCGAGGTTGTCAGTGAGGCTCAAGACAGAAGCCAGTGAGTAATCGGATGATGCATGAGCCATGAGCATAAGCCATGAGCTGGTGCATGACACGCCGAGACACCATAGTCACCATCAACTCACTGTCGACGGTCTGAGCTGATTTGTCGAAGATGACTTGGATGATGCTTTATCTGGCTCCCATGTTAAGCCGCCAAAATACTTGAGGACCGGGACGGAGTTGCATCTATCGCTGGCTTAGCCGGCTTGGCTGGCTTGGCTGTCTTGGCTGGCTTGGCTGTCTTGGCTGGCTTGGCTGGTTCTTGGCCTCTTGAGCCTTGGTAGCCCGCTGTTTCGGCCATTGCATCTTGGTAAAACGGACGGAATGAGGGGGTATTCCGCAGCCGATCCAAACACCACAGAGTCTAGATCAACCAGGGCACTTCTTTGCCGCCTCTTGAACGGGCCAGGTGATGTCGATCATTCACAGTGGAGGGCTTGGAGTGGCGGTGGACAGGTTTGATTTAGTGTTTATGTTTGGGGGGGAGGGCGCTGAAGCATCAGGGCGCTGGCTGCCTGTTTGGGGGGCACAGTTCTGAACCGCCCCACCAGCCCTGCCCGTCTCTTTGTTTCGCGCCGTGTCGGGGCTGTCAGCCACAGAAAGCGGCCGCCCGGCGCGTGGGAGGGCTGGGAGGGTCATATTTCCATTTCATTGGCAGTCAAGAACGCTCCGTGCGTGGAAAATATAGGGGAAATTAAATGGAAAATGGGAAGTGACTGCGCTGTTTTGCCCGTTTCTCGGCTACCTGGTAGGTAGCACAGGCAGGCAGCCAGGCAGCCAGCTAACCAGCATGAGCGCAAGTCTTTCGCTCTTGCCTCACAGCCCTCGTCCGTGACACCTGCGACACGCGCGTTATTATTAACGTTGCCCCCCCTGCAGAAAAGGAGGAAGAATTAACCCAAAAAGTCGAACGACATATTGCGGATACTAATCCACCCGAAGTTTTGAATCCACCCGAAGTTCTGAATCTACCCGAAGTTCTGAATCCACCGTACCTTAGAACCGACCCCGAAACCCACCCCAGTTGCCGCCGTCATGAAAGTAATTGTCACAGGGGCGACGGGGCTCGTCGGCAGCGGGGTGCTCGCCGCGTGCATCGCTGACGAGAGGATCACCCACGTCTTCGCCATGTCGCGCCGGCCGCTTCCCAAAGCGCTCGCTGACGATCCAAAGGTCACGTCCATCATCCACCACGACTTCGGCTCGTACCCGCCGGACATCTTGAGCGAGCTTGCAGGCGTCGAGGCATGCATATGGTTGGTTCTCCTCGTTTATCACTGATGAGGCTCAGAGAAAGGCATCGGCTGGCGCGTCCCGGGAGTGGCACCCAGAGCTGTGTCTTTAGACTTAGTCAAGCTTGAGATTAGAGTTCAGACGACAGTAACTGACATTTTTCTTCTCTTCCATCTCGTCTGCAGGGCTATTGGCGGCAGGGCCCACCAGTTCCCCGACATCGAAACCTACAAGGCCGTCCAGGTCGACTTTCCCGTGGCGGCCGCGAACGCGTTCCTCGACAACCTGGTGCCGCAGCTGCCCGCGGGCAAGAGGTTTTCCTTCATGTTCTGCAGCGACCGGCACGCCGAGTGGGACGAGAAGAAGCCGCTGTGGTTCAACCCTGACACGCGCCGCATCCATGTGAGTGCCTCTTAACTCGATCTTCTATTCCTCGCTTTTCATGCTGACGGGCCGTGACCAAAACCCCCAGGGCGAGGCCGAGCAGGAGCTATGCGACCTGGCAGACACGCGGTGTGGCAGCGCCGGAAGCAAGCACCATTTCTCTGCCTACTGCGTGCGGCCCGGCCACGTCCTCCCGGCCGGCGCCAACATGGCCAGCAAGTTCGTCGGGAAGCTGCACTGCTCCATCGGCGCCGACCAGTTAGGACGTGCCATGATCCGCATCCTGCTTGAAGGCTACGACGAGCGCATCGTCGAGTACGAGGACCTGGTGAATCTCTCATAAGCTGGGTAATCACGCCTCGGAGTAATAGATGGAGATCACATCTCCGGCTGGTTGGGTCCATATCGGCTGTTCCAGCAGATCTTCGGGCCTTTGTCTCTCTCTATCTCTTTTCTCCCCCCTACGGAGTAGTGTTCTTTTTTTCCCTTTAGTCATTGACACCTTTGCTGTCCGGCAGTTGAGGGGCTTGAATTCCATATCGGGCAGGTGATCGACTGGTGCTGCAGGTCGTATTTGATGTCGTGTGTGATCCGTTCGTAAGCGGGGAGACCGGCCTACCTTAGACAGCCGTCTTCTTTTCGGTCTTCGAGAAGCGGCTCGTTGGGTTTGATGTAACAGGTTCGCCCCGACGTTTTCCTTCGGCGATTAGGTGCCCTCTTTGTACCGTGATGCGACTAAATCGTTGGACCCGGACCCTGCGGGTCAGAATCTCACACAGAATCGCTTCCATGGCCATTTCCAGGCCGAGATGCCCTCGTCGTATCGGAAATCCCCAAGTCCCGTCCCGTGACCGTGTTCATTGGTTCCCACCCCAACGTTGGGGAGTTGGAGAGTTCGTATAGTAATGATCCTTCCCCCTTGGCTGCGTGTGATGAATAGTGGAGACGCAGTTGGTAGGTTTAGACGGCGAGTTAGTCGCGAATCAAAACGGTTTTATGTACGTCCGCGTTGTTTCCGGGTAAATCGAGTCTTGCCCGCTTGATATGCCTGATGCACGGCATGGTCAGCGACGCTCTTGTCTTGGGGCTTGGTACGTGTTACGAGGGCGGCAGTATCACCAACGCCACCCTCCTGCTGGCAACCGGCTTCTAGCTGACATATTCACAGACCCGTATCCAGATTTGGCTGGTGGTCAGACGGTGTCCCCGTCATCCGTGCGACGGAAAAAAACACGAGGTGGAGTCGTGCAGCATCGGTGGATTCAGGAGAAACAAACAGTGGGCAACCAAGGTCATCCGGAGATTATACAGATTAACACGCAGTCTACTCCGTAGTTGGTGTCAAGATGGATATAAAGGCCAAGCTTTGCCCATGATGGAAGTGGCGTTCTCTAGTTCCCCAGTAGCACCAGCCGAAGCACACTCGCAACAACCTTATCCAGATAGCGTACAAGCCAGTAAACAAACACACGGCAGACTTCCTACCCTCCACCTCAAACCCAAGCCAGAATCGCCAAGCCAGAATCGCGAAGCCAGAATCGCCAAACAGCTCCAGCCTCTCTCCAAGATGCATTTCGTCACCTCCATGTCTTCCGTCATCGTCATGGCCATGGCGCTCGGCGCCAGCGCGCTGACGTTCCGGGCGGACGGCTTCGCCAAGGTGACGCGCCAGGACCCGCACATTGGCGATATCCGCATCTTCGGCGAGACCGGCTGCTCGAACCAGAACCTGGGCGTGTGGACCGTCACGCAGTCGGACCTCGACACGTGCAACGACTTCAGCGACGTCGTCAAGTCGGTGACCTTGACCGATATCAACGCCGGCTGCAGCTGTAAGACACTCTCGCTGCTGCCCCTTTTCTGGACAAGAACTTTGATATCTGACCTGAGAGTTTTGCAGTTTTTGTCTGGGCCGAAGCAGGCTGCCATGGCGTTGGCCGCTCGTTCAGCACCGACAGCGGCTGCGGCAACGTGGTTGAAGGCATCGACTCGTGGGGCTCTTTCGCGTTCACCTGTCCCACGAGCGCGTCCAAGGCATGATTGATGCAGGGGAGGGATGGTTGACTGTTACTTGGGGTGTATATCGAGTAGCCTGTGTGTGATTATATTATCATTCTCCTCTTCAGGGTTAGTTCAGTCGCGGAAAATTACCTCAAATAATGGAACAGAGATTGAAACCTGTGAGCGATGCCAGTTCATCATTATATAATTTACCGAGACACGAGACGATATAACAACAGAATGCTGGTGATTCGGTCCCTGATGATGCTACTCAGGGGCAAAGGAAGAGGAAAGAAGAAAGAAGAAAGAAGAAAGAAGAAAGAAGAAAGAAGAAAGAAGAAAGAAGAAAGAAGAAAGAAGAAAGAAGAAAGAAAAGAAAAGAAAAGAAAAGAAAAGAAAAGAAAAGAAAAGAAAAGAAAAGGGGCAGACAATTTTCTTTCACGATGCGCGGATGTTAAAGATGACAGGTGACATCCCTCACATTGACCGAGGATTAGGGCAGTGTTTGACGCCACCCCACGATTTGTCTCTCAGATTCCAAAACTTGCAGTTAAAAACTCCGAAGATGGCAGGTGAACAGAATGCCTCTTGTCAGATCTCAAATTCATGGATGCCCGCTGCGGGCCAAGTGAATCTGACCAACAATGGAGAATTGTTATTGAATCGGAATCTATTAGCTCCCAAGTCCGCACCAACGAGCCTCAGTAGGAACCTTGACCCTAAAACTAATGACTGCACCTTCACCAACGAAACCGAATACCCCCGGGCTCCAGCTGTTGGTAATTTCCAGATACGGACTTGGCAAGCTCGAAAGCTGTGCCACTCCGCTCCCCATTCCGCCATGAACTGCCGCTGCGCTCGGCTCAAGCCGAGAGAGAGGCGTAATCATGGCGCAACACATCCTGGAAAAGTTTGTGCTACACGTTGTACCGCTACCCGGCTCGACTCCCAAGTGAGTGACAAGGATTAAAGCTCATCTCACCAATCCTGCTATAAGTCCGAGGTACTAATTAATTACGAAAGAAACCTCGCTGCACCGCAGCTCTGGTACAGAGTGTCCGTGAGAAACATGGAATGTCTCACCTGTCCCTCTGCACAACGCTAACGAGCCTTTTAGGGCCGACGGAATCCCGATTTTGCAAAAAAAAAAAAAAACCCCTTCTGAATTCCGCACCAGTGTCTCGTAGGCTTGGCTGCTCACCCAACCCGCTCTTGGCTTTCGCGGCAGAAATGGAGGATCTGGTGAGGGTTAGGTGTGTAAAGACGAACAAACGAATCTGGAAGTCAATCTTTCAATCAGAATCAGGTAGGTACCGAGGTATCCCAACCCTGCTCCGCAAGCGCGCAATCCATCGTGGCGAGCTAGTGGTCTTGGCATCGAAATGTGGGGCTGTGAGTGGTCCGGTTTGGTGGGTCCAAAGCCACTCGGAGGACAAATTCCATCACCTTTTTTTGTAGACACACACACCACCGACTGTCCTCACCGCATCATGTTTCCACCACCTTACGAATACGATATCTTAGCGAGTGTGCAAGAGTAGCAGCAGCGGGCTGGCCAGCAGCACAATGCAAGTTCAGCACGGTTTAACTCTCGTTGGCTCTCTTCCCCAGGTCGCATGTCCGAGGCCACCAATGGGGGCCGCTGAGCGGACGAGAAGCTCCGATTCTGCCAGCCCGATGTCAGCAGGGTCGCAGTATCGGCTTATTCCGAGGACCGGGGACCGAGAGAACTTGAAATGAACGAACCGGGCATGGGGTATCAGAAACGGGTTGTCATTTTTTCCCTTTTTTCCCTTTCTTCCTTGTATTTTTACCGAGAAATCCGCACTCGAGTGCGACGGCAGTTGGGAGCTCCTGGCGATCTCGATCCACGCTGGCTTTCTTTTTCGGCGCCATCTGAATGACAGACCAATCGCATCTGCGGATCCCAATACCCAACCTAATCTAGGTGGGAGACCAGAGTGTCGGGACACGCACCAGCAGGTGTGAAGGCGTCCCCACTTCCTGTACTACAACGCCTTGCTCTTTCTCGTGCCGAGCCTTGCTGCCGTCACTGGCTCTGCGGTGATGTGCACTGACTTTCGTTCCTTCAGTCCACCCCTTTCTGAATATTTGCGGGAGCATTTAATTGTTGCGCGGTCCACACCTTCGGGTGTTCCACTTTAAGTTACCTCACCTTAGCTTCTTGCCCAGCCCCCGACCCGTAGGTGCGGGCGGCACCACTCCTTTTCAGTTGCTTTTCGCGGACAAGCTCAGCAATGAGCAAGGGCGCGTGCACGCCCTTGCCCGGGGTGACAGGCCCTTGGCGACTACCCAAAGTCGGCCCCCCGACGCTGCCAACTGCCTGCCAGGACGTAATTTCTCCCAGACACCCGACATTCCCGATTCCCCGCTCACTGTCCAGGACTCCAGCTCGCCCTCCGGGTCACAGTCATTCAATTATGCGCACAGACCTGACCTAGCGTTAGCTTGCGCAATTTGTGGAAGGTGACCACGGGTGCGTCTTAGCCCAGCTTGGACTTAGACCCGACTATTACCAGAACCAAGCTATTTTTTAGGGCCAGACGCACCCCCTCCCAACCATGACTAGGATCCGAACGACTGGGATCCGAGTGACTGGGATCCGAATGACTGGGATGCCAGCAACCGTCAGGTACTCTGACATTAACTTCCTAACTGTGCCTACGTTACACGTACCTAGTACTCCAGACTTGGGGTCTGAGGCTTGGCTTCTTGGGATGTGGAAACGTGGGAACGGCAACCGTATCAGTCCCACCTTGGACTGGTTTCGGGGTGAGATGCGCTAACTTGAGTAGCTTCCCAATATGTTTATATAAACCACACCCCTCTCCCTCCCCCGATCTCGACCTGCAGAAGGTTTCTTCTCGCGGCTTCCTCTGACTACCAATGCCGACCTTCTCCTCTACCGACCTCAATTTTGTCCTCGAGGGAATACCCAGCAACATCATGGCTACCAGCATGTGTCAACCCGCTCGTCCCGTGGCTGCATATGGCTGCCAGTCTCGGCGTGCACCGCCGATGATCCAACGTGAACCTGGGCCAGAGTTCCGCGTTGCTCACGTTCAAGAGCTTGCGTCTTTGTCGCCCTCAGCACTCGACATGACCGCGCACGCACGGTCGATGCAGCACGTGGCCTGGCACCCTGTCCCCAACCCCAGCGAGCTCAAGAGCGGTATGCCACCGTCTCTCGACCTCCTGGTAGCTCTCTGGCGCACGGAACAACCGGGCCGTGCCGCCGATGAACTCTCAAACATAACCACAACGAAGCTCGGGCTCAGACCTCGGCGGAACCAACAACAACCCGCCGCCTCGGCCTCCGCGGCCCCGACCCCACTCATTCACATACCACAATGCCGCCTTGAGATCACATCCGGCGACGAGCTTTTACCGATAGGTGCCAGCTCGGCCTCCTTCTCCGGGGGTATGCTGGAGCGAGTGGCTCTTCCAAAGTCGCTTGTGCAGCCCTTCCTGTCTCGCCTTCCTCTGCCCCACGGCGTCTCGGCAGGCGCTCCTCACTTTGACGATGACGACGAGTGGGTGTATTCGCGGTGTTTGCTGTCAGACTTCACTGAGATGGGAGAAGAAGGCGCTGCTGTCCTGTCGCAGCAGGGTCGCCTATGCTGCTGGGCCAGCGTCGTGCTCATGAGGTACGCCGTGGACGGCGGCGGCCACGACAACACCGAAGCACACTGGGATCTCGGTTTCATCGTCCACAGGGTTCTCACCAGACGAGACCCCGACACAACGCTCTGCCCCTGCGTACTTGGCGAATAGCGCTGCGCGTGCCTTATTATGTTCTGCGTTTGTTTCATTCTCATGATGGGTACTGTGTCGGTGGGCGCGGGTATGGGGGCATATGGATGTATCTTTACGTTGCCAAGGCGTTTGGATTGATTTATTGGGGTGCTGTTGGGAACTCAGCTCTGTCAAGTGCGAGGAAATTTCTGTTTGGATTTTATTATACACCTGTACAATTCAACAAGCTCTTTTCTGCATCGAATGCAAATTCCTTTTTTTTTTTTGTTTATTCGAGCATATTCTTAGTGCTAATGATCTTTTGGCTTGGCCAAGGGTGAGAGGTGTGTCTCGAGATTCACTCCCTCTCCAGAAATGTATCTTTTTGGTTTGGGCGCTCGCTGTGTTGCAGTCCAAATATCACGTCTCCTCACAAAGCTGCGAGGAGTGCAAATGAGCGAAAGTCGGCCCGAGACTGGGCAGTAGCAGGGAATCGGATCCTTAGGTGAGCTAGGCGAGTCCAAAAACCTGCGGGGCACCCCATGGATGCGAAAAGATAGCGAAAACGCAGAAACTGGGGGCGCAGTAAGCTGACTGCCGGCTCGCTGAGGTCCTGCACCGGGCAGAATTGCCGCAACCAGCCCCAAAGAGGAACGAAGAGGATGACGTCCGCAAACCGGGCAGCTACAGCCTGCGGAGGCTTTCGCTGTTTCCGGAACCGGAATCGCCCGGGATATCGGAATTATTAGGCTGTTGGTTCGGGCTGGGTTGGGTTGGGTTTGGTCAGCCCTCTTACGCACGCACGAACCCACGCATTAAATTCAGTCTCTTATGGATGGGGGATCCTCACACCGCAACCCCCTTGCATTTTGATTATTTATGTTCTGCTGAGCCAACGACCGGTGAGCCTGGAAATGGGGATTGTACGTGGTACCCGACGCCAATCAAAACATCGGATTCTGATGTCAGCTTTCCCAAGCTCCCGGCCCCCCGGCCGTCCATGGAGGTCTGGACTTTGAGATATACGTATCTTTTATCCGCGGAGGGGGGCATAAAGGAGCGCCCAGGCGCGCATCCTGGATATTATAGATCAACTACCAATTCGTTGAGCGCAATGACTCGTCGTGTGGCGTTTCACAGGTCGCCGACCGCTTGTTTTGTGTTACCCCCAAGTTGTGAGTTCTCGGTGAGGGACAAACCTGTCTCAACTTTTCTGTCTTATCTTAAACCATTTTGGGTCTTCAAGTTCAAAAAGGGAATTAGGTTTCAAATTTCATATTAGAGCCTTGAAAGTCGCACCAAGAGAAGTGATTGCTACTTGATACAGCTGAGCTGTCTGCTTGGGTTTTATAACTAAGGTACCATCCCACCTGTCAAAGCTTTCCGTCACTACCTAATATCAAGTACCAACGTCGCCTACGCCGGTAGAGGAAAACTGTCACAGCAAAATGGAAGGCAGCTACTCCCCTGATGCTGCCCCGGAGGGTTTCATCTCTCCCTCTCCCCACACCCAACCAACTCAGTATCAGGCAGCCTCGGTCGAAATCAACGGTGCGGTCTCGGAATCCTGAGCCTGTTCTCGACCGCCGAAAGGCTCGGGCAGTAGCGCGCTCTCTTCGTCCGGCTGGGCACCGGACTGCTCCGAGGTCTCGTCTAGAAGATATCTCCGATCGAGCCACGTGAAGACGGCGGCGGGATAGAAAACAAGCCTAGTAAGGTGGCGACTTGTCAGCAGAGTGCATAAGGCCTATGACCGATCGATCCCCTCGCTCTGAGTGCTTGGTCGGTACCACCGGCGGCGCAAACCCATGCGACTTGAGCGGACAGACATGACAACACAGCTAAACTCACAGAAGCACAATTCCAGAGGTCCAAGCCGCAATGACATTGTAGAACCTGAAGTCGCGGCAGGAATAGTAGGAGCAGGGAGCCAGGGCACCGAACGCACTATGATCGGTAAGTGACGAACCAGACTGGGCTAGAGTGCTAATATTCGGCAGCAAGGGACACCACTCACAGCAACAGGATCCACAGCACAGTGGCCAGAATCGACTTGCCGACCTCGAGGCGGAAGTTGAGCGTCTTGCGGGCCACGCCCAGCTTGCGCTGGACCAGGACGTAGAAGAGGATGGAGCCGGCCAGGACGGCCAGGGAAAGACTTAGGATAAACGTGGCGATGGAGTGGTCGGGATAATTCTCCATGACGCTCATCACGGCGGCGAGCGTGAAGGCCAGGAACAGGATGCCGGTGATGAAGGCCTGGAACAGCCACAGGCGCGTGAGCATGACGCGGCCGATGTGGCCGACATCCGACACGACGAACTCGACGGTCTGCGGCATTTTGATGACGGTGAGTAAAAGGTTTTTTTTCTCGAAAAAATTCGCGATATTGAGATTGAGAAATGAAGATTGTTGCGCGTTCTAATTATCACCCCCTCATTAAACACGCAACCCTTTTTGTTTGGCGAAATCTGTCCTGTTTTTGAACCGTGCAACAGATTCCGCTGCTGCCTGGTAGGCGGCCGACGCGCTCACGTTGTTCAAAACGGAATTGCAAACCGCAGCCCCACCCAACAGCCCGTTACATAGGGAGCTACAGGCCCCATCCTCCTCTCCAGGCTCAAAGCAAAAGGCAATGCTACCCAAAGGAATTAGAACCTTGCTCGCCCCGACGGACGAGGGGACTGAGGCGCGCGTGTGTGTCGCGACTCGCGCGCCTTGATTGCGCAAAGGAGCAAGGACTGGATAAAATGTAACTTTGGAGAACCACGCTGCTTATGCTATTAATTAGGTAAATGGTTGGCTTATTGGTTAATACGCGGATTACCCGTGGCTGGTGGCTTGATGACCTTACGCGGGCAACTAATTGGCTTGGCGGGTTCTTTTCTGTCCCCAACGTGAAACGATTTATCGCCAGGCAACATCATTCTGTTTGTTGTTCCATGGGGGTCGATAATTATAAGTAGAACTACGGCACCTAAGTTTTTGTCAGCTCAGGGCTTTGCTGATGGTTTAGGGGCGATCAAAACGCTTGCCGTGGGGCGAAGGAGAGGAAAAAAGAAATAACGGGAAAGGCCGAGAGAAGAAGAAAGGAAAAAGGAAAAAGAAAGGAAAAAAAAAGAAAGAAAAAAGAAAGAAAAAAGAAAGGAAAAAGAAAGGAAAAAGAAAGGAAAAAGAAAGGAAAAAGAAAGGAAAAAAAAAGAGGAAAAAAAAAAAAGAAACAAAATTTTGGAAAGAAGTTGGAACTGCCAAGACTCAAGGAAGTTGTTGAGCTAGACCTAGACTTGTATTGCGTCAGGGAGGCAAACTGTCAGCCAAGGATATACGGGTTCCTGTATCTCGGCACCCGCACTTCTTAATCTCGGCTCTTTACATCCTTAAGATGTTGTGCGTGCCGCCGTTGTAGATCTTGCCTCTTATCAGAGACGGCGGGGGGTAAGGTGGGGGGTTAGGGGGGTCCCTGGGTTTTGGGGGGGGGGGGGGGGTTCAGCCACTCGCCGTCATCATGATCTCATCGTGCATGGGCTCGTCTAGGCACACTGGCCGGTGAAGGAGAGGAGCCTGTACAGACACGATCCGATTCGTCGCGGCGATGGGTCCAACACCTGTCATAGGTCACGACTATGCAGTCCCGGGTAAGGCGGTATGCAGTAATTAATGCGCTTGCTCTGTAGCAATTATTATGTGTTCCGCAAAAGGAGTGATCGGAAGAGACAAAGAGCAAACATTGCCATGAATGCAAGTTTATGCATGTCGGATGAAGTAATTTCACTGCTACCTAGATGGTAGTTAACGGATATATAAATGGGGGTGCCGAATGAGTTTGGCTCATGTACATAATCCCCACGGAGAGCTCATACACTGCTCCCGTCTCCTTCAAGCGAATGGGAGCTTGCCGGCCATCGCGCTGCATATGATGCAGGCGAGACAGGTAAGGTAAGTCGATATGCCTTCCCGCCTTCCACACAACAGTCGCCATTCGACCTTTGTACCTTCCTGACCCAAGACAAGGCGTCTCCTTCCGTGGTGGTTCTTGGCCTGGAGGAAATAAGGTTCAAGCCCAGGGCCCGAACCCAGCACCGCCTGACCCAGCAAAGACGCCTCCACTCCACTTGCGAGCGGGAAGGTGCCAACCTAATGCATGGTAGAGCCTAGACCTCTGTCCCAATCACAGCCTGGGATCAGATGGGCTTTTGCCTCTCTGCTCTAGATTCGAGGTGCTAAAGGGGTTTGCACCCGACTGTACCGCCTCAAATTCATTCCAACTTCCTGTTGACTTTGTTGTCTACGCTCTCACCAGGCACTTCTTTCCCTTCCGTCAGAAGCTCGACCTTCCTCCTCAAACCCTTCACCTCGTCCTCCAGCGATAAGATATGACATCCGGCGCTTCGAACGACCTCGTACTTGCTCAATCGCTTCTTCCGATTCGGACTTGAGGTCGGGGAACTCGCACCGTCCTCGCCAGCGCCAGCGCCACCCTCTCCCTCGGCCTCAGGCAGTGCCTTCAGCAACAGCTCAAAGCCTTGGTGCAGTCGACCCCGATACTGCTTCTCCACCTGGTTGTGGTTGGTCCTTGCGAGCCGCTGCTGGGGCGACTCGCCAGGCTTCATTGGACCCTGGGTGCGCCTCGTCCGACGAGCTGCCGTCCGCAACGCCGGACCTGGTGGTGGACCAGGCACCGCCGCCGTTGCTTCCCCACCCGATTGTTTGGCCTTCCGTCTCCTCGACGACGGCGGAGACTTTCCCCCTTCTGATGTCTTGTTGCTCTTGGCACGTTGACTTTCTCGACCCGCCTTAGTTTGCGATTCCCTGCTCTTCTTGGTGCGCGCGGAACCGTCTTCGGAACCCTCGCTGCTATCATTGTTGCTGCCATCATTGTTGCTGCCATCATTGTTGCTGCCATCATTGTTACTGCCATCATTGTTGGAGAGCGTCCTAGTGGAGTTGGATCCCGCGAGGCTGTACCCCAAAGATCGACTTTGGCTGAAGTCTCCAAGTGGTGCCGTGTGATCCTCTGGCAGCCCAGAGTATGCATGGTGGACATACGAGGTGATGTTCACCCAGCCGTGGGGAACAGTTTCCACGCCCGCTGGCGATGCCGGGGCACTTCCGGCGTAGCTCACCGAGCCTGGGTGGCCGTGGAAGTAGCTGGTCAGGCCATCACCTTCAAGCGGAGTCGTCGGCGTGATTGGGGCCCAAGTAGAGCCAACCGACGAGCCGTCATGGACGGAATGGCCGAAAGACGCTGTCGCCGGGTCTCCCGAAGCCGTGCCCGAAGAATAGCTGTACTGTTCCATGTTTCCATATTGTGAACTTCCGGCCGGGGCGAGATATTCGTGCGACGACCTGTCGTGATAAAGGGCCGGGCTCGAGGTTTCGCCGTTGATCCATGCAGGGGTTCGGCTCTCGGCAAGTGCGTCCTGATCAAAGTCCTGGGGCATCAAGTATTGATAGGGCGGTTCCTCAGAGGGCTAAAGTCGTCAGCTTCATCCAAGTCTCCTCCACGCGTGACAGCTGTGGGTAGCGGAGTAGCTGAGGGCATGACTGTGAGGTGCGAGGGGCAAAGCTGAAGGAGGAAACAAGACTCCCCACGACTCGCGATCGCGGTCATCGCCAGACGTACAGACATTCTCAACTAAACAGTGCCGAATCCCGCCGCTAATGCAGCTGTTAAGCACTACGTGCCTTAGGATTTCATGTATCCTTGCTTCCCGACGTTGGGGATCGACCGGGGTTCAAGCACGGACAACGAGCAGACAAGGCAGCAAGAACACGCGAATGTCCAGATTGGCGGGGTAATAACGAGACAAACATCCTTGACATACCTGGGACGGAGCTTGACCGTACCAGTCCTGATCTTGATTCATGGCGCTCTGGGACTCGGCAGCTTGGGATTCGGTGTGGGATGAGCCTGCTCTTGGTTTTGAGTGAGGGTTGGGACGGTTTGAGTTGGGTGTCGCCATTTTTGTGAACGTGGGTAGTTGCCGTTTTCCATCGGTCTTATAGGGTACTGACTCCGGTCACACTCGCTGTGATGTGTGCTTTTAGTGGGAGCTCGGTAATGGGCCCACGGCGATCCCTACCAGATCCGCGGGCAACGAGCCCGCCTTCACTCTCTGCCAGAGAATGGAAGCAAAGCGAAAACGACAGAACCGACGTGGACGGTTTCCCGGGACCGCATTCTGCAAAAAAGAAGACCGCTGTAGGGGTATTCTGCTGACAACAGGCGGCAGGTATTGTTCCATCCGTGAGTCTGGCGCAAAGAGGCCTGAATGTACGCCCGGCCGACGCTCTGAAAGGGCCCGACTGGGTGCCCTCTAATTACGTGTGCTCGCTGTAGAGTGCGCGCAGCATCACGCGAACGCCAGATCAATGCAGTCATCAGCAGACTTTACGCCACAGAACGGTCCAGCCGATATCTTACCTGCCGGTGGACCGCATCTGTTGGAGCACCAGCCATTTGGAGAGCAGGCAAGGCCCAAACTTCCAACCCGACACCGTGTCCCGGTGGTAATGCCTGTCAATAGGTTCGCCACCTCGGGCTCCTCGAGGCCAGATGCTGTGGGTATACCCCAAACGCTCAGATGTGTCCCGCCATGCCGCGGCACGACAAGCTCGAGGCGTCCGGTGCGAGGCCAGGAGAGACGGCCTTGCAGATGAAATGCAACCGAGACCAGGATTCGCCAAACAAACACGACACGCCCAGCCAGAGCCCCAAGTTCGGCGCCTCGGCCACAGGCGGCAGCTCGCTGCCAGCACAGGGGCGCTGTCGCTGGACAACTCAGAGGCGACCAAGACCAATATTTGGTCATAACTAGGTTCCGAAAGGGCAAGGCGAGTCGCCACTCTGGGAACCCATAGCAGGCAACATGCATCGCAGCAGCAGCGCTGTGCTGTACCTATCCAGTGCTAAGTCGGAAACAGAGAATCGTGGTGCGGTGAGAGACAGTCTTATCTGCGGTGACTGGAGTGCATGATGCGAGGGTGACCAGTCGCGTGGCGGCGTCCGGTCCGGAAGGCCTTCCGCCAATCGCATCCCCCCGCGGCCTGGCTGCCCGAGTTCGCTCCACCTCGTTCTTGTGCGAATGCGGAAGACAACATGTATGTATTGAACGAGGACATAGATACGTGGGATGCCCCAGCGACGTGCAGCGCAGTGGGATTGGCGGGCGAAAGGGGCAAGGTGGGCATGGCCGGGGGCCCGGTGCAGGTCGTGTCGATGTGTTTGGACCTGGCCGGTCTCCTTTTGAGCAGCTCGGCGGAGGGAGGGTGCGCACGGGCAGCTGCCACCTGCGGACGTCATTCGACGGTCGGGTGTCGATCATTGAGCGGCGGCTTTGAAGACCGTTATCGGCCCCAATTCTTTTCGGGCCGGAATTCGTAGTCGCGAGAGACTTGCGCCCATGTCTCAGCGGCCACCCAGGCCAACTGAAGTTCCACTCGTGCCGCCTCCGCCGGATGCAGTTAATACAACTCCACTCGCTCGCCGGTCTGTCGATCTTTAATCGGCGGCCAAGCTAAGGCAACAAGCTACAAGCCACCGGTCCACTCTGGAGCTGGTCTGGCGTCAACCGCCAGCGGTGCAGCAGCCCCACCAGTATTTGGACACTTTGAGCCTGGCGTGCTGGCGGATTTGACAAGTCATATTTCCGAGCACCACATGAAGCACGGCACCCGATGTCAACATCCATGCGAGAGTCGGTTGCGTCAAGCATGCCGCACCACTGCTATACATAAATAACGTGATATATTGGCGTTGAGGGGCCAAGAGCGCGCTAGATTAGGCCGTGTAACAGCGCCTTGCCTAGTCGGACATACTGTCGCAGCTTATCCTGTGTCATTTGGCAAGAGCGAGACTGGGTAAGGTTCGCGAAGAAAGCGGCAAATAAGTAATATAACGGGGATCGACTGTCTGGTCGCAGGAATTTTGGCAGGCTGCACTGGTTTGCCAATTCTCCAACGATTAGATTGGACTAGGTACCTACGTATTAGTGGAAGATGGGCAATCGAGAATCCGATTTTTTTTGGGCACATTTTTTGGGGCACATAGTGTTCGTTTAATTTCAGACCCATTCCACGTTTCAGTGGGGCCAGTATAGTTCAGAGTCAAGCTCGTAATTAGACGAGTAAAGGGGTTGGGGGGTAGCAGAAACAAAACAAATTTGTGGGTTTCCATTGGACATCGGCGGTCTGTCTCCCTACGTGCCAATTGGGGGACCGCGTGCACTAGGCGTTGTCGGAATAGTCAAACTGAACCTCCCTCTCTAGCTGCCGTGCAGCACTTTTTCCAGTCATTCTTGAACTGCTCCTCTTTTACCACTGTCACGGACATGGACTCTTGTGGTATTCGCGGCGCCGTCGGTGTCAAATGGCGGTATATTACCACTCAACCAAAGTCATGCAAGTAACTATTCGTAGGTAGGTAAGTAGGTAGGTAGGTAGGTAGACCCTTCAATACAGGCCCCAACTCTCGATGGAGTGCAAGTCTGTGAAGGGTAGAGAGAGAGTTAGCTACCAATGTAATTGAGTCTAGGAGGACGACATGGCCCGCTCATGCGAGCAGAAGGAACCTATCGAGATGAAGGTGACACTCCTAGTGATTGCTTGGGGAAAGATCTGCAGCAGCTGAGAAACAGCAGTCGAGCAGTGGTTCCTTCAGCGTGTCTCGGCGAGCTTGTTGGCTTCACTGGCACCTCACACTGCGGAGCTGACCCTGCCTGCAGATATCTAGACGACCCTTGTCGGTGCATCTTGCATTTGCCCACCCTGGAGGGAAGCAACCCAAGATCTGAGGCCTGCCTTGTGTTGCATACCTGCCTACCTACACTAGGCAGGAAGCTGGCTCACTTGGAGGCTAGGGGGCGCTGGAGACAGAGGGTCGATGGGAGTGTCCACTCCAGCAGGTCCTCAGGTCTCCGGAGACTGGAGGGTCTGGGGCCCAACACCTCTTTGGGACTCGTGCATATGTCCATGTATGTGTCTTCGGCTCCGTCCATAGGCAGGTCAGGCAGGTAGGTAAGCAGCTGGGAAAATGTCTCCGGGCTTTAGCACACCTAAGCTAAGACTTTACTGGCTACAGGGCCACCACAATTTGAAACCGGCGAAGACAAGCCAAGGCGGAAGGAAGGCACGGACTGGACAGACCGGCTCCTCTGGATCTTTCACAACTCGAACCCCCTCCACCTCGCCCCAGCACCACCGAACATCTCCTCGTCTGGTCTTCTATTGTCTTGAGAGAACCCGGAAGGTGCACTCTGTGCCTACTATTACGCCACTCTCTCCTTGTCTTGTGCTGCTTTCTTGGTGAGGCCAACCCCCCCAAATTAGGTGCTGAGATTAGCACCTACCTAGCTTTCCGAGTTCCGACATTCCCTGTCTACAGGCCTGCCATGGATCCTTCTGTGTAGGTACTGCATAGGCATGCCTAGCTCCGTCTCTCATCCCCTGCGCCGAAGCTTCCCGTCGCAGGGAGCTGCCTAGCGGCACATGGGAGGAACAAGGGAGCCTGGGCAGGCGCGTGAGACTGCCTGCATGCCGTGCACGTCCATCGGGTTAGAGTTCCCGTGTGTGTCCGCCGACATTGAGGGCGCACATGGAGGCGGCCGCGATTCTGTCTTTACCCGCGTCCCTTCCCGCGTTCTGGAGCTGACCCAGCGTCACACTGCATCGGACCAGTGCGCGCCTCGGCCGGGGAAACACGACAAAGGCCGGCGAAGGCAAGAGGAGAAGATAAGCAAACATGCAAGAAGAAAAAGAAAAGAAAGAAAAAGATGAAAAATAAGCACAGAAATGTTGACGTGGAGCGCGCGCTACCTCTCTTTACTCTGCCCCTTTGTCGACTCGGAAACGAGGCAGCCAGACATAGACGAACAGACGGTCCGACCGACCGACCGACCGACCGACCGACAGACAGACAGACAGACACACAGACAGACAGACACCACCCTCAGACGAACACGTTCGGCTGCGCGCCTCACTCGGCAACCAGCCAAGCCAAGAGTACGTACCTAGTGTACAGTACATACATGCATACATACATACACACCCGGTTGCATCTAGGCCGGGCGTGGCAGCGGGCAGTTCCCCAACGCGACCAATCTGTCTTCAGTTAGAGTGGTACGGACAATGCGTAATGCACGACGCTGATCATGTGCGACGCCAGCGCGGCTGGTGCCATGCCATTCCACATCCCATATCCCACATCCCTTGTCCTTTAGAGGCCGGCTTCAATGTTTTTTTTTTTTTGGCTCGAGGCAAGCCGCAGATCGCCCACCACGCTGCCAAAACCATCGCAAGGCTCTGGGGATTTTGGAGTTCATGGGAGGCTCGACCGCGGTGGCTGCTGAACCTAGTTGCCTAATTCGTTGCTCTCGTCGCAAATCTCTTGCACCTCAGCTTGGATGCTGCGCACGAGAATGGTCTCTGCCGCCAACCTACGCACCTCGGCCATTGAACCTCACCTCACTCGGCTCCGAGGAGATGCGGCTGTTGAATGTGCGCTCCCCTTCCAATCACAGACAAACGCAGCTCTTCTGTTCAGTTCACACATTACAAGCAGCCAGCGATCCGAGCCCGAGACCGAGAGGAGCGGAGTTGGTCGTCCGAGACGAGCTGCTGCTGGGGGCGTCGAGTGAGGGGGACTTGGCCTCTGCTGTCATTCCCATCCCATGGCTACCTTGGGTTAGTTGCCAAGCGGCTGGGATGAGCGGAGCATGAACGGCCGAATCCGGGCGGCGGCCCACCCACCCCCGACTTCCGTCTCCCCCGCAGTATACTATGTACAGTACAGAATGTGCTGGGTGCTGGGCCTCGACAGCTGCCTTATCCGCAACCCACCCAGCAGAACCGCAGGACGAGGGAGGAAGAAGCTAGGACGAAAAAAGGATGGGCCAGCACGACATGCTCACTACGGTGAACTACTACGACGACCCGGGCGATGGAAGCCCGCCGACTCCAGTCTACGTGGGCAGGTAGGTGCTCTACTGTGCTTGCTTGCTCTCAACAGGCTAGGCTTCGCCCCTCCCCCCCTCCCCCCCCTCTGGCTGACGCGAGACGAAGCAACCAAGTCACCAATGAGCGGCCCATGATAGCAACCGCCGTGGCGGTGACGGATGTCACAGGCAGCGAGAGCAGCTTCACGCTCGACAGCCACGGCTTCCAGTTCCATGGCCACACCACCAGCCAGAGTGACGGCTTCCACGACGATGACGCCCTCCGCGCTCGCTATTACCCCGAGTGCGAGCTGCTGGTCAAGGAGATGTAGGTTTGCCTGTCTCGTTTCCTCCCCTCCATTCCTGGCACTTGTTCAGGCCTGCCCTCGCTGCCAGTCATTTGCCCATTCATCTCGGGCTCGGCGGTTGTGCAGGCCCACCACGATCTGTTCTCTCACCGTGCTGATGCAGCGCATGTCGACAAACCAACCAGCACCGGTGCATCCCGCGTCGTCGCATTCGACCACAAGGTCCGCCGCGGCCCGTCGTCCTGGCACAAGCTGGGCGAGAACAACACCGAGTCGCGCGGCCCCCTGCACCGAGCCCACGTCGACCAGTCCTACGACGGGGCGCTGGCGCGGATGCACGAGCAGTTTGCTGCCGACGAGGACGTCGGCGGGCTCCTCCAGAGACGGTGGCAGATTGTGAATGTGGGTGTCGTGCGTGTCGTCATCCTGAGGGATAAGCACTGATCATGGAACGAAAAAGATCTGGCGCCCCATCAAGACGGTGTACAAGGACCCGCTGGCCTTTGCCGACGCCACGTCGGTCGCCGACGCCGACCTCGTGCCCGCGTCCATCGTGTACGCCCGGACGGGCCGGCGCAGGGAGTCGTGGACCGTCAAGCCGAGCGCCGGCCACCGCTGGTTCTTCAAGTACGCGCAGCGGCCCGACGAGGTGGTCCTGATCAAGTGCTTCGACAGCGACGCATCCGTGGCGGCCCGCCGCGTGCCGCACTGCGCGGTTGAGGACGCCGAACACGTCGACGGCGAGTGCCGCGAGAGCGTCGAGGTGAGATGTCTGGTTCTGTTTTGAACGTGGTTCTAGTCGTTGCTGTGGATAAGGGCGCTTTTTGAGCTTGCTCTACTTTCCCAGCAATCGCCGCCGTCACGTGCTCAAGGACTGGTGTGAGAATGATTGTATGAGAGGGAAGGAAAAAAAAAGGGTTGCTTGTCATTGTACTAAACTATCGTGCCATGTGGCCTGGTCGGTGATATGCAAACCAAACGGATACAGTGAAAGGTTCCCTTTCACATTAACATGTCGCTCTTCATGCCTCCGTTGCCCATGCAATGGGCAATGGGCAATGGGCACAGGTGACGTGAACGTGTTCCGGAGAGAAGCTGTCATCAAGTGTCCCTTTTCAGCTAACGGATAGATACCGGCATCTTGACAGACGAAAGGAAGAAAACGAAATCAACGTCACACGCAATCCCATGGCAACCATATAGACTTACTAACAGTACACGAGCTACACATGCACGGTATTCGGCGTACAGACCGGTAGCATGCCAGCCAAGACACGCAATAAATTATATTAATTAGGTCTAGCTAACTACATCCGCAAGTCATCTCCACAACCAAGGCAGACTCGCGCCCACATACTACTCACCATCTGCGGCAAGGCCACACACCATCAAGCACACCGCACACCATCAAGCACACCGCGCACCATCAAACACACCGCACATCATCAAGCACACCGCCAGCTGGCCGCGCTGTTGACATTGCCGCTGCCGTAGACGGCGCGCTGCGGGAACGGACACAGCGGGCGGGTGCGGTTGACCGAGAAGTCGGCATTGAACGCAGTGGCGATGATCTGGTCGACGGCGCGGCCGGCCTCGACCCACTGCACCAGCGCCGCCAGCGCGTCGTACCGCGAGTCGTTGAGGTGGCCCGGCACCGACCACCCCTCACCAACCGCCGGCAGGCCCACGCCCAACGTCGGCAGCAGCCGCAGCTGCGTCGCCTGGCCAGACCCGGCAAAGTCCCAGGGCGCGTTGTACCGGTTCGAGAACCAGCAGTGCTGCATCCCCGGGACCTCAAACAACCTGAACCACGACCGTGCCACGTCAGCCGTCCTGCCAGTGGCGGCGATGGTGCGGTTGTAGAAGCGCTGCGTCGTGCGCGGCGAGATCAAGCCGTCCGCCAGCCCGTGGTACATGACGATCCTGCCGGGGCGCCCGGCGACGCCCGCGCCGGCTGCGAAGCCCGCTAGGTTCGCGAAGCCGTCCGCCGTCGCCTGCCCCGCGTTGACGCGCTCCGAGTCCGCCACCGCGCCGTCCGTGTAGTCGGTCCACGCGTAGCTGCTCCGGTTATACACCCAGTACCGCTCGTAGTCGAAGTCAAACCCCGTCAGCGTGCTGTCATCGCCAAAGTAGACGGCCCACTGGTCCTCGGAGCTCAGCCCGAACCCCTCGTACACGCCCCGCCCGCCGACGACGTAGTCGCCCCAGATGCGCTGCGCGGTGGCCGCCTGCGCGGGCGTCACGCACCGCGACGCGTCGCCGCAGGTTATCGTGCTGAGATTGAACGCGCAGTTTGCTGGCGCGCTGACGATGCCGTCGGCGACGCCGTCCTGCGCGTCGCACTGCCGCAGGACCTCGGCCGCGAGGATGCTCAGCTGCGCGGCCTTCAGCTTGCCGGCGCCGCTGCTGCCCAGCTGCCACGTCGCGACTTTCGAGATCCACGGCATCAAGTGCGACGTGTCCCACGCCGGCGCGCCGATCAGCGCGCCGTCGAAGCTGCGCGCGTCGTACTCCATCTCGCGCAGGCCCTGGCGGCCGCCCGTCGAGCAGCCGCTGTAGTAGCTGTACGCGACTTCCGTGTCGGAGTAGTAGTGCGCCGTCAGCAGCTTGCCGACGACCACGGCGCCGTGCAGCGCGCGGTAGCCCCAGTCGTAGAGCCGCGCCGGCGTCGCCCACGACAGGTCGCTCCCCGCGGAATTGTGGCCGTTGTCCGTCGACACGGTCGCGAAGCCGTAGTGCGGGCCCTCGCCCATCCCCGGCCAGTTGATCCCGCCCGCGAACGACGCCGAGCCGACCGTCAGCATCCGCCCGTTGTAGTTGTTTGCGGCCGGCAGGAACAGGCCCACGCGGTAGCTAGATGCCGGTTTGGTGGGCACATCGCTCGTGTTGGTCACGCGGACCGTCACGGCGCACAGCGCGGGGAGCACGTCGATCGTTTGGGGGAAGCCTAAGTTGCCGGGCTCTACGTACGAGCCCCGGTTGGGGACCGCGAGGACTCGCTCGACCGTCACGGTCACCCCTGGGAGGTTGACGGCGTTGGCGAATGAGGCCGTGACGCATTGAAGCGCTGCTGCGACGGGTCGCGACCGCCGTTCGGCATGGTTGGCGGCGGTGGTGGTCAGGGGGGCAGCTACTACACCCGTGTCACGATGGAGGACGAGACCGGAGGTGGCGAGGAGGAGGCCGAGGAACGTGGGGCCCAGCATGGCCGGGAGGGACAGGCCGGGAGTGGCTGCCCGGTCGTCTAGTTAATTACGAAGTATAGGTAGGTAGGTAGGGAAGGCAGCTGGATAGGTAGGTATGCAAGACCGGCTGGTCCCGGAGACGAAGATTGCGTTTAGATTGAATAGCAATCAATCTGATATCGAGTAGCTCCCGGGGCTCCGGTCGAGCGGTGATTATAGCCAGTCTTAATATAGCTAGGGGCTGGATGGCTGGCCTCTTGGTCTTCTTGGTCTTCTCCAGACTCTCTCTGGCCGCTCCGCTGGCTCAGGCTGGCATGCTGGCATGCTGGCGTCGCATCCAGAGAGAGTCTCTGATGCTCGAGAGGAGGCCATGCACGCTCAGCAGCTGTCGACACTGCCACGCCAGAGGGCGAGGGAGGGAACCGTGATGGCGAGCTGGTGACCGCGTCTTGCCTTGCCTTGCCAGCCCGCCAGCGAGCCTGTCCAAGGTACCCATTCTGCCTCGCTCGGTCAGCGTCGAGTAAGTAAAGAGCCAGCATCATGACCTTCGTCATCTACGAGAATGGATCAGTGCGCTGCTGGGGGGGAGGAGGGAAAGCAAACAGCCAAGATCGGCGGCGATGCGGTGCGTTGGTGTAGGACGCGGGCCGGGGATTTCTGTTTTCGGTTCTTTTCCTTTTTTCAATATTTCAGCAGGCACTGCAACCCTCCCTTCCCGGCCGGTGCGTCCGTGACACAGGCCGGCAGACCGACGAGAGTGGGCGATCAGATGCCGGATGGGGCTGGGGTAGGGGTGCGGGCGTGCGGGCAGCAACAGCGGCTCGGCTGAGCAGGTAGAAGAAAGCTGGCCTCAGACAGGCGAGGGCTTTTTCCTGTCCTTTTTTCTGCTCTCCTTTTTTTCGTTTCCTTGGCCGCGAGCATGTGAAGTGATTATTAGACTTTGCATCCATGGTGGTTTAACAGAGGGGGAAAATTGACCCGAATCCACTTAATTACCCTCTCTAGCGACAAATAGTCGTAGTCATGGTCGTGGTGCGTGCATGCGTGCGTGCGTGCGTGCGTGTGTGAGTGCGTGCCGTCTTCTCGCCCGACCGTTGCATCTGGCCCCGCCGTATCGGGCCGGAGTCGGGCACTGGGATGGACTCCTGACAGGAATGCCCTTCCCCCATTTCTTTCCTCTTCCCCGCAATCAAGGTTCTGGGTAGGAAGGAACCGTAGGAGTGGGACGAGGCCCGAGACCGAGCCCCGACCGGGCCCATTAGGGAGGCAGGTGACACAAAGCCCCCTCTGTCTCTCCCGTCCGTCCCAGGACAGTAAGCAGGGCCGAGCGAGGGGGCGAGCTTGGGGGCGGGCAGCCCGTCGCCGTGTGACCAGAGTTGTTCTGCCAGCGCAACAGCATCTTCACGTAAGCAAGCAAGCAGGCAAGCAAGCAGGCAGGCAAGCAAGCAGGCAGGCAGGTAGGTGCTCCTCCCGGGCCTTTTTTTTCTGCAGCAAACCAGGACAGAGACAGAGACAGAGCATAGACAGAGACAGAGCATAGACAGAGACAGAGCATAGACAGAGACAGACAGAGGGGGTTGCTTTCCCCCAGACTGGGCAGAACATACTGACGGACCCTCGGCACTGTACTAGGTAGGTAGCTTAGCTAGGGCTGAGACTGCGGGGAAAGCAGGGCAGGATGACCCAACTGATCGGAAAGAGGGCGTCGACGCAACGCTGGGGCGAGTCACGCCCTCTCCCAGGACGACCGGCTGCTGCGTGATGCAGCTTGGTGGTCAAAAGGTGGCCAAAAGGTGGCCAAAAGGTGGCCAAAGTCTGAGTAAGAGTGCGAGTCGCACTTTCTCGTATTCTGAGACTATTGGTCAGGGCTGTGAATCGTGTCTGGAGTTGGTGTCTGGTTTGTCGAGTCTCGGTAGTTGTCGTGAGGCTGCCGTCACGTGTATTTCGGCCGTCGGCCGTTCGTTGAACAAGTCTAGGTATTTAGCCAGGTCAGGGCCGCATCTCGATCACCCCAGTCGCCAGTGGACCTTGGTAGCCTTGGACGGCGCCTATTCCTGTGTCCCGGAATGGTGGTAGCAATCTGTTGAGCCTCCGATTTTAGGGAGCCAATGCGGTGGTTGGTGAAGAGTGTGGCGTGCAGACCCTATCGAAAAATAGCTAAGCCCGGGCGCAACCTCCTCTCACTCGTAGACTCCAGAGCCGAAAGTCCAGACATGGCAAGAGGAAAGCAAGAGATGTTATTAAGCTACTCCTGACAGCTCCCAAGCCCGCGTGCCTGTCATAAAGGCGGGGCAGTGATAATAATGTAGAGGCGACGCGGCTAAATACACCGCGTCGGGGCCCCTCGGGCCACACGAAACCTTTTAAAAAAAATTCCCCGAATTATCATATCATACATGGTATACACACAAGATACGTCCAGGCCCCTGCAAGGTCATGCGGCGATAGCGCTGGCTCGGCAAAGTCATCACAGTTAAAAAATTGCCGTCCATTCTGTTGTGCCCGAGAGCGGTCCACGAGCCGGAAGGGCTCAGTTGACCCGGTAGGCGTCGTAAACAATCTCGGCGCCTCGGCGGCAGCCGCTTCCAACCCAGATGCCCGTGTTGATCTCGGCGTAGCGCGGATCGCCAGTCTCGAGCTCCATGGTGACGCGGAACTTGTACCGCTGCGCAGCAATGTTATCCGCCGCGACGGGATCTTGGAGCCGCTCCATGATGTCCTTTTCGCCGAGCCACCAGCCCTTGATGTTGCAGGTGATGACGGCCGGGTTATCGTCCTGCGTCTGGATCAGGTATCGGGCCGAGATGTGAGTCGACATGTCTTTGACTGTCGTCTGCATGTCCTGGCCTCCGGGCTGCAAGAAAGACACACGGGTTAGTCGAGGAACTAGGCGCAGAGAGGAAGGGGAAGACTCACGAGGACGGTGCCCTTGCCCCAGCGGCCAGCCCACTGCCCGCCGATGCACGAGATCCAGCTCTGGCGGCCAAAGTTGCCCGTGCCGACGTTGATCTTGGGCTTGACGCGGATGCTAAGCCGGAAGTCGAGGTCGAGGGTGGGCGAAGGGAGGGCCAGCGAGCTGGCGACATCGTCCTCGTCGAACTGGTGGCGGAGGTTGTTGGCGGGGATCTTCTCCTTGAGCACCGACTGGTAGCCGGAGCAGGACAGCAGGTGGTCGCGCTGGCGCGACGTGTTCTTTGCGCGGACCTGGTTGCAGTAGATGCAGCGGGCCGACACGCACTTGTCGTCGTCCTTTACGCGGAACTCGACGAAGGCGGCATGGACCTCGCGCAGAGGGATCTCTGGGAGGCTCGACGTGTTAGCCTTAGCGACCTTCTGGCGCTTAGCCGAGGGGGTTCCGTCGGCGGGCGTGGACAGCGAGTGGCGGGGAGGCTGGATGTTGGGGGTGCCGTTGACGTTGACATTGACGCCGGGGACGCGGGTAGGGGTGGGAGCGGGGTAGCCGCTCAGGGCAGTGGTGGGATCGGCCGAGCCGTCGAGGCTGGGGCTGTCGGCATAGCCGTCGGCGGCGGCGTCGGTGATGCCACCGATGCCGCCAGGGTGAGGGTGGGAGGGTCCGCCGATGACCACGTCGGGGTGGGCTTGGAGGTAGGTGGCGCACTGGGCCAGGTGCTGCTTCTGGCGCGTCGTGTTCTTCGCGCGCACCTGCTGACAGTAGATGCACTGCACCGACATGCACTTGTCGCCCTCTGGGGTGGAGCCGGGCCGACCGAGGAGCGCGAGGTTAGCACAGAGGCCATTGATGGATCGTAAGATGACGGTACAGTAGGCAGGTTACTGTCAATCCTGTGTACTCGCAGGTACGTGTACCGACCAGCGAGTATCCGTACAGCGACGCGGTAAGAGCGAATACAACGGAACGAACTTACCCTCTGCGCGAAATTCGACAAACGCGGCGTGCACGTCCTGCTCAATGTGCCGCGCCATGGTTTTGGCGCGTTTAATTCTTCAGATGGGCCCCGTATATAACAGACGAGTCGTGGCAGGCATTGGCGGGCAGCTAGACGGTCGAGAGAGCGATTGTAATGACAGCTGGTCCTGTGCTTTGGCGGAGTCGCTGTGCAGGGTTAAGAGCACCAAGGTCGAGCGGCCGACCTGGCCCGATGAAATTTTGGAATTACCGCGTATCCCAGACGGTCACGTGCCCGCCCTGCACCGAGATTACTGCCGTCAGCTGCGCTAGCTGAAAGCGGAAAGCTTAACGAGATAGGGTTAGGGTTACTCCACAACTTCCTTCTGCTGCCACCGTCCGCCAGCTGCCATTTCCTGCCGGGCCGATAATTAGGTAGCTGTCCGTGTTGCTGGGATCGGGCGGACCGTACTAGCGACCACTCTCAATCGCTCCAACCATTCCCTGGTATCCTATTGATATCGCCGGACAAGTCCCCAGAGCAGGCTAAGGAAATTGTTGTCGTGTTGTCGTTCTGCGCCTAGGGCGCACCGGTACCGCATACGTCTTCATGATCTGGATTTTGCGGCGAGCTTTCGTCCGAATGCCTCCCTTTTCCAGCGCGTGCGACGGATCGGAACATGCCGGTTGTGCTAGTTGGGCCGCGTTAAGTATATGCTTGTGGTTGATTTGATGGATTTGGTTGGTCTGGTAGACTTGGGTAAGGATTGGAAGGTGTGTGCAAGGAAGACCCTTTCGTCAATGCAGCATTCTTGTTCTATTTGTACTCGCGCCGGCCGATTGAGTTTGACACCACGGCACGGCGTGTAGTACCTGTGATGGACTTCCGAGTTCAAGTCTCGGCGGAGCCGTCAAGTCCCCTATTTTTTGTCTTTTGTCTTTTTTTCCTTCTTGTTCCACTACCATGGAACCTTCAGCCCATTGACTGTTCGGGCCACCAGAAAGTCCTTGCTCTCTCTTCGTCTTGTCCATCACCACGCACGCCTTCGGCTCCAGCATGGTATTGTTATCCACCACCTCCCTTCCAGCGACCATTGTTTTCTTTTCAACTTCGCATTCCTGCTCACTTTCTGGCTTGTATGTACACAAAATGCCACCAGGTTGTCTTTTTTTCAAATCGGAGAAGCACTGTCGATTTATGTCAAACGACATCCATTCCGATTGAACAATACCGACATCTTATCCTAGTCCGCCGACCTTCCTCGTGATGCACGAAGAGCACATATAATTTCCTCAGCTGAATACCTGCCAGAGCAAGGAACATGATTTTTCATTCTTGGTCGCTATCGTTGGAATGGGGAGAAGACGAACTAGTCACTAGACAGCCCCTGACCCCTGAGCAAAACACTCGCCATTCACAGATCCGTTCGTTCTGACATTGTGACGAATGTAACGTCGTAACCAGAGCAAACGTGTCGGACGATTGCCCTGCTTGCCATATTCTCGTCGGTACAAGGCGAATGATGTGTGTCAACTCATAATTCCCAAGTGCTTTGCATTCTCTCCACATCGCCGCCACGGTTCAACGTCACCTGGCCCTCCCTCACTTGGTCTGCAAACGCCCGATTCCAGAAACACGCGAGCGCGTGTTTACGGAGCCATTTTACCCGAGATGATGGGAGCTTCAGCCTCTCCTCCGTGAGGCAATGAAACGATAGACCTTGTCCTCACTACCAGCACTTGAAAATTTGGCCCTCGGTTTAGTTGTTGTTTGTTTGATCAGCTAGACGCCCTGGTTCTCCAAAGCGGAGCCTAGGGAGGGATTACAGATGCATACTGCAATGGACTCGGTTTGGGAAAGTGTACTGGAGATCACAAGAGTATCTGGGGGTAGGGGTCATTGAACTAGCTACTGAATCACGAAATTTGAACTGTGTATATGTTGAGCCTTGGAGAAGGGGTCGAAGCTTCGTTCGAGGACGTGAGCCAAAAAACCTGCACAGTCCCTGGCGCAGGTAAGAGTCAAGAACGCATTCCACGAGATGGGAGAGGTTGAAGCCAGTAAGCCTCGAGAAAGCCCTTGGCATGGTCCGATGACACCCCTGCGACCCATGTAGCCAAGCACCTATCACGAACGCTGCCCGCCGCGGCAAGGTAGCCACAGGTAGCCAAGCATTGGAACGTGCTGATGTCGATGCCAAGTCGCCAAGATGCAAACTCGTCGATGGACGCCAAGTCTCTCTAGTTTAGCAGCTATTGTGGATAGCGAACGGCCCGAGATGCTTGGCTGGCCTAAGGTGGAATTTTTGCCTGACCCGAGCTGAGAGAACGAGCTGTCTGGGCAGTCATCAATGACAATCATCAACGATTTAATGATGATAGGCGACGCATATGGTGCGAGGCATCTGCGCACCATATATGCACATCCAGAGTCCTAGTGTATCGGGGATAGTCGACAACAGCTGCAGCAGCAGCAGTGAAGTTTGGGAGTCTGAGTCATTCAGGGGTTGTAGAATCGTGAATGGGGCATTTCAGGTGATTTGGAACGAAGCTGCAAATGTTTAGGCTAGTTCGCTACTCAACCAAGGTAACGACATGCCACGCAGCTCCATCCGTGACCCCAGGGGTGAGAGGCGCATATGGCCGGCTTTGCAAGTCGAAGGAGCGGGGCAGGGGTCAGATGAAATACCGAGTTTTCGGTTGGTCGTTGTCGTTGTCGTTGTCGTCGCGTTGTCGCTGCCGTGCCGTTCCCAGAAGGATTTAAAGACGTCCGAGGCCGGAGCAAACTCGGCAAGTAAGACGGGTTGTGCCGTCGTGTCGTTCAAACCTGGGAGGAAACCTCTCTCGCGCTCGCCTCGGGCTTTGCAACAAAGAAAGCTTCTTATTGGCCTGGCAGCTTGTTCTTGTCCTTGACGCCTGATGCGCACACTTTACTGGACACAGCCTGCATGGGCTATTGACAATGGACCGCTTTTGATGGGATACGATCCGAACATGGAGAGAAGCAACGGCTCGTTAGTTTGGGCTTGACAGGTGTAAGTGCCAATACAGAGCTCGCTCTACAGGTGGCGAGCCCTGAAGAGCGCCAAGAACACTTCGCTTACCCATTTCCCACAGATTCGAGTGTCCACTTGACAGGCTAGCCGCTACGGGCGTGCAGTGACCTCATTTTCAGATCCAGCACCCCAGGGCTTGGGCAAACCAACGGCAAGCATCTTCCAGGCCCCTTCCAGGCGCTCTGCGACTGCATTTTTTTTATTGCAGGACGGGCCGCGAATGAACGAACTCTCCACCGCGTCGCCTTCTCGGAATCTGCTGCTCGTCAAAGAAGCACACTCCACACCGGTATCCTTTTGTCCTGTTTGCATCTTTTCTTTCCTGTGGACCTATGTGGGGCCTCTGTGCGCGCGTCTGTCTCGCTGGGATTCATGATGCGTGATGCACCAAGCAAAGAGACCCCTCTAGGTAAGTATTTTGGCCAATCGAAGGACACAAGACACTGACGGGAGGCTAACAACAACACTCGATAGGTAGCGAAGCAGACTCTGCAGCTGCGGCTTCTCTCCCGTGCATATACCGCCGCACCGATGCAGACTAAGCTTAGCGCAGCTGAGAAGCGGGCACTGCGTCACGGGCAGAGACAGAGGCGATAACAGCCAAATATTTGGTCGAGCTCGCCTTTAACTCTGGACGCGACGCCGAGACGTGGGGCCAGCCGTGGATTCTTTTGCCATTCGCCCAACGAAGAAATGCCAAAAGACCCCTGTCGAGTGGGTATGGTGTTCGCAAATACCATGCCTTCTCTTTTTGGTGTCGTGGGCGGCCATGCAGATACCGCACTGCGCTCCGGCCCCATCTGCTGCCGCATTGAGGATGAAGATCGATGCAGGGAAAAAACCCGCAACCCGGTCACAACCTCCAGTACCTGTCCAACATTTCCGAACATTCCCGAGAGACGGCCGTTTCCAGCTTGTTTGTTGCCATCTATAAGACTCGACAGGGCCGCCGCCAAGCTGGATTGTCAATCTTGGGTTGGATATCTAATTCTTCGACATCGACACAGGGGCCAGGCTCAAGCACGAGCCGGATTGCATTCCTTTCTTGACCACCTTCGCTTTCGCTACTTTTCTTTTTCCCTCGAGGAATCGGAAGCCGCTCACTCCAAGCATTCTCGCTGGGGACTCCAAGCATTCTCGCTGGGGAGTAACAAACGACGCATCGTCTACCTACTCACCCACACACCCGAATCAGGATGGCCAACGCAGGTCCTCGGCCCATAGAGCCGGCTCGCCGCTCCAGCTCAGCACGCTCCTCTCACCATGCCGCCGCTGTCGCAAGAACAGGCACGGCATCGGCTGCCCACGAGCCCGTCGATGTCAACTTGCCCTACCGCACCCTCTCGGCCAACGCAAACATGGCCGAGTACGAGATCGAGACTAAGACGGGCGTGTTGCCGGCCGGGCCTCTGAACGGCACCGAGCGAAACTACAAGCTCGTCACTTTCGTCGAGGGCGACCCCGAGAACCCCAAGAACTGGTCCCGCGCCTACAAGTGGTACTGCACCATGGTCGTTGCCGTCACTTGCTTCATTGTCGCTTTCTGCTCCAGTGTCATCACAGCCGATATCCCCGGTGTTGCCGAAGAGTTCAACGTCAGCGAGGAGGTTGCTTTGGTTTCTATCACAGTCTTTGTTGTTGGATTCGGTGTCGGTAAGCAGTACTTGGAGCTCCCGCCAGGCTGGGGCAATGAAGGTGAACGGACAGGAGGCTAATGTCTTGCCGCAGGGCCCATGATCTTTGCACCGCTTTCTGAAATCTACGGACGCCGCGTCATCTAGTATGTCTTTCCATCCGGTCACCAGGAAGAGGTCGTATGTGCTTACCAGCCTTCACAGTGGCTCGACCCTCTCTATTGCCGTCGTCTTCATCATCCCTTCCGCTGTGGCCAAGAATATCGGAACTCTGATCGCCTTCCGGACCCTTGACGGCATTGCCTTTTCCGCGCCCATGACGCTCGTTGGCGGCACGCTTGCCGACCTTTGGCGCACGGAGGAGAGGGGCGTACCCATGGCTGCCTTCTCTGCCGCCCCTTTCATTGGCCCTGCGAGTATGTTCCCCCCCTTTTCCGTGACACTGCGCTCCTCTAACCGCGAAACCCACAGTTGGCCCCCTCGTTGGCGGCTTCTTGGCTGACGCCTGCGGCTGGCGCTGGCTATACTGGATCCAACTCATCGCGGCTTTTGTCGTTTGGGTTCTGATCACCTTCACTGTTCCCGAGACATACGCACCCACTATTCTTGACAGACGTGCCAAGAAAATGCGCAAGGAGACGGGCAACGCCGACCACGTTACCGAGCAGGATCTTGACCTGCGGCCATTCTCTGAGCGCCTGGGAATCTTCTTGATCCGTCCGTTCCAGCTCCTCTTCCGAGAGCTCATTGTCCTTCTCATCAGCCTCTACATGTCGGTTCTCTATGGGCTGCTCTACATGTTCTTTGTCGCCTACCCTATCGTCTTCCAAAAGGGCAAAGGCTACTCGGCCAGCATTACTGGCTTGATGTTCATTCCTATCGCGTTTGGCGTCGTTTGCGCCGCCTTCTGCGCGCCGTGGGTCAACAAGCACTACCTCGAGACCGCTAAGAAGTACAACGGCAAACCGCCCGCCGAGATCCGTTTGATCCCCATGATGTTGAGCTGCTGGTTCATTCCCCTGGGTCTCTTCATATTTGCCTGGACATCTTACGAGCGTCTGACCTGGGTTGGCCCTTGTCTTGCCGGACTGCCCGTCGGATTTGGCTTCATCTTCCTCTACAATTCCGCCAACAACTATCTTGTCGACTCGTACCAGACCCAGGCGGCCTCAGCCCTTGCCGCAAAGACGTGCATTCGTTCATTCTGGGGCGCCGCTACTGTTCTGTTCACAGAGCAGATGTACGAGCGCCTAGGAATGGAGTGGGCCTCGAGCCTGCTCGGCTTCCTCGCTCTTGGCTGCTGCCTCATTCCGTTCCTGTTCTGGAAGTATGGCGCCCAGATTCGGGCCAAGAGCAAGTACGCCAGCGGTGACGAGGACGAGGAGAATTTCTCGTCGTCTTCTGAACTAGAGCATGAAAAGCACCCTGATCAAGGCCATCAGAACGCCGACGACTTGAGACGAGCCCAGAGTTATGTGAGCAACCCCTAATCGGGAGGGTCTACCTGGGATGCTACACACGGCAGCCTCCGAGTCCTCTGGAAAATAGCTTTCCATCTAGATATCGCCGCCGCCAAAGTACAGCCTGCCTGGCTGGCATTGTCAAGTAGACAATAAACACGCCGAGCTGCAAAGCTCTGAGACATTAACAAGACGAGAATCCTAAAAAGTCTCTAATTACTTTAAAGGCCAAGACAGCTTAGTGGATAGGCCTAAAGCTTTAGGCATCAACCCCCGAGCCTTGTCATACGCTACGCCTTTTTTTTTATCAAGTTTTGATTGGGATTTCGTGGAATTATATAGCGTCATGGACAAGTATAGAAGGAAGGAGTTACGAGGGTTAGATTACTGATGGGCCATATTGAGTCTTGCAGTCTATTAGTAGTTCAGCTACTTTAGTTTCGATAGTTCATAATGCCATACAAATTACCATGTTTTCGTCGATGCGATGTCACCATTGGCTGCGTAGCTGCAGTTCCTCGTGATGCATCAACAACAAAAACAAACGATGCTGGCTAAGTCAAAGAGGAGCCACAGCATCGTGCCGCGAGATCCGCACTTGACAAAGAGTGGAACAACGGAACCCGGTAATGTTGACAACCGGAATGCTTCGCCATTTCCTCGCGTTTAACTGCCTGTCCCCCACGCAACGGATCTAATTAGCGAGGCGGATGAAGCGGCAACAGTTCGCATGCTATCGGTTTAGGGCTACCTTGCCAGTAGACCGTGCCCGGTGCATGCTACAGGCTCCCTAGACGTTTAGAATAGATAGATGAGTGAGTGGGGGGTTTCCATCAAATAATTTCTCGCTGCAATTATTGGTAGGCACCTAGGTAGTAGGTATGTACCCCCTTCTGTCATTGTTCAGTGTTGCATTTTCCAGTGCAAGGACGGATCATCACAGATTGACGCGACGCGTTGCTGTTCTTTTTTCTTCTAGGTTTCCTTTTAGTATTGGGAGTAGTCTCTATTATCCTGCCCAGAGGACAATATTACTGCGAAACTCTGAGAAAATTACCATGTGAAATTGATAAGATGCCTTATCGCGTGTCTGGGTTGGCTGACCTGTATAGAGAAGTGGACCCAATTTCTCAATATGGGCAGCCCCTATCACGTGCCTATCTGCCATTCGGTCAGCACACTTTCCAAAATTGATGTAACCGGTATCATTATGTGTATAACTCTACGGAAATTTTGAATCTAGAGTCCAATTCGTATTATAATGGAAATTGGCTGAGATATAAGCGTTTAAATGCTTTCTGGCGTAGTGGGGCGTGCGTAAGGGTGGGCTTGCGTACGTGACTACGCGAATTGCCCTTTAGCCCCGCGTCAATTTCCTCGCCCACCCCATAATTGCTTTTCTTTTCCAATAATTATTCGTATCGTAGTACCTTCGACGAACCTTACAATCTACCCGCTCTTCGTAGCTAACCTCCTTTCCTCTGTAGTACCGTTTTGCCTATTATGGCCAGGTTATTCGGTATCTATAGCGGACGCGGCGGAGGCGGCTGCCCGCAAAGTTTGCCACACCTGCGGCGTTGAGAAGGATATCGATCAATTCCGGTCGTTCCGAGGCCCTCGACGGATCGTCCTTAATTACGCGGATTGCCGTAATCGCGGCAGGTAGCAGGTAAGTCTATTAGATCTATATTCCTTGGTTTCCTTGCTAACTTTATTCGCAGAGAGCTGCGTCGAACGTAAGAGTTTCTGTAGCTGCTGCCGTAACCCGCGGACAAAGTCCCGCCCTTGCGCCTCGCCAGAATCTCACCTTTCGTTTGATAAGTCGGTATTCTGAACCACAGTCCAATGGCAATAGGGTGAAGACCAGGCTCTATTCCGGCAAGCCCTGAAAGAATTACGGCAGGCCAAAGTATCTGTTTCGTCGTGGGAGCTTCTCACGTCGAGATGTGCGATCAAACTGCCTCCGGCCTGGGTTAAGGCTTTTGATAATGCCCTCCGCATCTTCCCCATCAAGGCGCAGGTCAACGTGTTACAATCTTGACAACAGGGTCCACGGAGCTAGGCCCGGCCTAGGATTGTGGGGTCTGGGACGGCAGGTAGGAGATGCTAGGAGGCAAGGAGTATCGTGCACAGATTGCGAAAGACAGGCTTTCAACACACAACCAATGTCTGCTTAACCAGATGCATTGATAGCTGCAGAACCGTTCTTCCCAGAGAGCGTCCTGCCGGCTCCTATATAGAACTATGAACAACCAATCAGAATCCTTATCCTATATGCTCAGCATGCTCAATGTGCTCAGTGTGCTCAGTATGCTCAGTGTGCTCAGTGTGCTCTTTTGCCACTGAGCCAATTGAGCGTACTGATCATACTGAGTGCCTTCTGATTGGCTTCATCCGCCTTGCCGAGAGCCCTACCCTAAATGCCGCTCCAGCCAATCTATCGCGAGCGGGCAACGCCCTCTGCACCTTTGAACCAGGATCGTAACACGACGACCTCTCCCTCCAGGCTTCGTCCCGAAGCCAACAATCGTTAGTCGGCAGCCAGAAGTCCTGGTGAGTTTCCCTCAATCAACCTAACCGCGCATAGCTAACTATGAGTTTCCTTCCTAAGAAAACGATCGCGAAAAGCACTCTTCGTCGCCACAAACGCGCTGCTGCCCTATCCTTATCCGAAGAAGCCATGCCCTCCTGTATGCGGTGCCGTGAGAACTCCCTGACTTGTCGAGCTCCGCCGGGTGCTAAACGCTGCGGCGAGTGTACCCGCGTTGGAAATATGCAGTGCGGCCTGGACGGTCCTGACCGTACGTTCCCTCTCAAAACTGCAAGTTCCCTGATTCTGACCTCCGTCCTAGCGCGCGCACTTCAGCGCGAGCGCGCTCAAATTGAGGCCGTGGAGGATGAGGCCATTGCTTTGGACGAGGAAGCTGCTGCTCTGCATGCTGCTGCCGCTGCTGAGTTCGCGGCCGCTGCCACTGCCGCTGCCGCGAAAAGCGCCGCCGCTGTCGAGAAGAGCCAGACTGCGGCTGCCCATCGGCGACGTGCACAGCGCCAACGCGCGGCGTTCCAAGCCAAGGTGACGAAAATCCTGACTCACGAGGACTCCGCCATTGACTGGGCCTCGATGAAGGCCGACTTCGCCTCCTTCTTGGAGTCGTCTGCAGCACTGCCCGCACCTTCTGTAGCTAGCTGACTGCCGCTCCCCTCCGGGTGCGCCTTCCGGAGGCCCTAGGCCTGTCCCGGTTAAGCTGATGAAATCTTTGTAGCTCTTTGCTACAGTTAGTCAAATTTGAAAGTGGTTCCTACTTATCGTGCTCGTGAGTCTAGTCTTTCCAGTTGACTAGGTATTCTAGTCCCGAGGGTCCTTCCCTCGAGTCGAGGATGTCGTAGACTTCCTATTTAGTCTCGTCCTCTTCCACTTCGGTGGTTTGGTCTAGGCGGGCTCCCCGTGGAGCTGGCTCTAGAAGTGAGATTTGAAACACCTTGGTGCGTAATCTTATAGTAGGCGGGAGGTCCAATTTATAGTTGGAGGCTCCTACCTTCTTCAAAATCTTGAACGGGCCGAGCTTCTTGAAGTCGAGTTTGTCGCTTGGCCTACTAGTTTTGAGGTTTTTTCGAATAAGGTAGACCTTGTCTCCTATTACAAACCACTCGACTGTTAGGGTCGTCTGTCTGTAAGGGAGCACGGGCTCCACAGGATGCTGGGGTTGGTAATTATGAAGATAGAACAAAGGGCAAGCTCCTATCGCACGGGTAATACAGTCAAATTGGAATGCCACTCAAAGTGTATGAGTGCAGTGAATGTGTATTGCTTGCTTGAAGAACCAAGCAAGAACTATCTAAGACCGTGGGTACGGTCATCGTATATATCCAACTGTGTAACCAATAACAATGGTCCCACTGTCCCGCGTCCCCGACCTTAAGTTGTCCCGAACCTCGGGACCCAGGGACACTCCTAATTGGTTCCTTCCATGGGACGCTCCTGATTGGTCCACACCAAACTGAGCGTGCCCCACTATTGTGCATTTCAACAAGGATTCGTAACAATAAGCTAACTATCGCGCTTTAAATTACAGGAGCGAGAGAGACGGAGGAAGCGTCCCGTAGCGCAGCGAAGAGTCACGCGACTGACGAACGAAGCGACGCGAGCAAATTCAGACTATTATTATATAGAAACGCGCTGGCCTGAATTGCTTGAATTTATAAGGGGTTTAACTGTAGAGTGGTGGACAATATGGTCTACCGCTTCTACTTTGAAAAATAGAAACTGAACTAGACCGGGGCCGTGGTCAATATGCCCACTCTTCCTTCAAATTCTGCTACTTCATTGGTTAACAATTTAACTGCGATGTTAAGATTGATAAGATAAACTTATCGATCGCATCGACGAGTGAATACCGACTAGGCCAATTAAACAGACGAGCTGAAAGGAAAAGTGGGTATGGTGACTGGGCCCCGGTCTAGTTCAGTTTCTATTTTTCTGAGCAGAAGTGGAGGAAATCCTGCACTGACGAAGACGGAAGTACCAAAGTACCCTGGGTAAGGGGAGTTTGATGCCCCCGATTTTGCCCCCCGGCTGTCACGACCAGGGCAAGGCATTGAGGTGAACTCAGTCCATTGGGTGCTATCGACGAAGATTCTAAACTGAGGAGGGAAAGAAGGAAAAGTCCGACAACGCGTCGCGTGCTCGCGAATAAGTTTTCATCTATCAGTGGGGTAGGTGGGGCCTCGAGGAGGCTTCTGATAGGCCCGGGGGTTCTGGGCGGCTCTGGCTGCTTGAGGGCCAGTTTGGTGGACGGGTCCTCACACCGGCCTTCAAATTGGGAAGCCGCCCTAGCTAGCAGCAATTGCCCTTGGTCTCTGCGACAATCTTTGTCTTTCCTCCGAGCCATTCGCGGTGGTGGTCTACCCAAACGCAATTCAAGATACACCGAGGTGAGTGTTTCTTTTATCTCTTCGCCTCTCACACGACACAATGTAACCCCATAACTGTGTTGACGAAACGCGATTGCAGTACAGCGTCGATTGTCGGTCGCAACTTACCGCGCAATATTGCGCCCCCGAGCGAGCGCCGAGTCTTGACTCGGCGCCCCCGACATTCAGAGTCAACACAATGATCACCGCCACCGCATAGAACAAGAGGAACCTAGCCTCCTCGACAGCTTATCATGGTATCCCTTTCTTTACGATACACCAGCCTCTCCTGGCGGTTGGAATAGGACATCCAGAGTGTGCAGCGAGTTGAGCGAGCCGTGGCCGTCCAACGGCCTCGTGCAGGCGCCAGCCGCTGCCGACAGCGACTTCAGTTTCACCCCAGGACAGGGCTGTATCTCACCTCAACAACTAATGTTAGTTCCTGTCATTGGACCGTATCATTCACTGGCAAACACCACCTCTCCGAATCCCGCCGAAGCAGCCTCGTCGTTCGACTTCAACTCCCCGCTTAAGCATCCCAATCACCCCCACGACCGTGGCCTCGCACTCTCCTACGTCCAACATCCAAACACCGCCACGAGCATCGCCGTCCTCTGGTTTGCCGCCGCTGGCCTGCGACCATTGCCACATCCCCGCGACTGATGTGGCATTCTTGGTGTATGTAACACCGTCCCTTGCTTCATTTGGTATGGTTCAGCCGTATCCTGTTCAGCCCGAGGGGGAGCTGTGCAATTCGCGTCATGATGGATGATCACTCGTCAACCGTTGAAATGTCTGGACAATCGCCGTTTTCGCTAGGGGCCGCGAAGGCTGCGCAAGACGGCCGCGCCGACACCGAACCAACACTTGGAGTTGTGGGCAGGGAAAGGAATTTGTCTTGTTTCAATGAGACACAGGACTAGGAAATACCCCATAAGAAGGTTAATTAGCCTTGTAGGTACTGACCATAGTACCTATCTACCTACAATCAAAAGACATCGTTTTTTTTTCTCAAACCCACATCTCACCTAAACGTGCCGAGCAACCCCCTCCCCCCGGCCTCGAGCTACACGCAATAAACTTAGAAACCCGCCAAGCCATGTTCTTTACAAGGGAAGGATTTCGCGTGAAAGAGATTCCTAATTAAAAGAGTGGCTAATATAAGGTCCCATCCCTTACGGTACGTTGACGGTCAACAAATCTTCCTCGACGTCCGACTCAGACTCGAGTACACAGGATTCCAAAGCTTGCTCGGTTGACTTTAGTTGCCTTGCCAATGCCTCCCACCTCCCAGCCAACTCGCCAAACGTTGTCGACAAGGGGGCAACATTGTCCTGCTAGGTAACAACCGTGCGCATCTTCTCCCGTAGCTGCTCCCGCTCTCCGCGCAGCGCTTCCACGTTGCTCCTCTCCTCCTGTCGCCGACGGACTCTCTCCAACTTCTGCTTGAGCTCCCTGAGGGTCTTCTCGGCGTTTTGAATCATACCGGGCAGTGCCTTAGTGACGTGTCGCACCGTCATCAGCCGGTGCTTCGCAAACCGCGTCACCCTTTGCGAGTCTCCTTCCATTGCCTCGAGCTCGGCGCGTGTCGGGCCCGCTGCTCCCGCACAACGACGAGGCATTAGTCCTTGTAGTTCTGATCAACGCTAGGCATCCGGCTGAGTAGCCGTTCGAGAAAGATAATCTCGCTCTGCTTGACGGCCATGTACTCTTGCATGTACGCGGTGCTGGTGAAGTTGAGGTTCTGCCGTGAGAGGTATTTCTGCATGTACCCCAGCAGCACGGTGCTCGTGCCTTGCAGCGCCTGGCTAGAGTTCTCTGGGATGTCGTCGCGAAGCTGGCCGGTTTCGTCGTAGGCCAGGTACAGGAGAACCAGCATCCAGAAGTTTTCCGTGTCCCCCGACTCGTCGAGCTTGGCGGCCGTGCTGTTGTCGCCATTGCTAGGGTCGCTCTTGGGCTGCTGCCGTCTGGCTTGTCGTGCGGCTTGGCGACGGTCGCGTTGCCTTGCTTTCTTGATTCTTGTTGGTAAGGCGATTTGCGCGGTGGGTGTTGCTTTGGCATAGGTGCGCCTTGGTCTTTCTTGCCATCATCGATGGCAGTTGGGTTATCGCTGGTGGCACCATATTCCTCCCCCACCGAGACTTCCACCGTATTATCTGAGCCCTTTGCGACTGAGGCAACAACCGAAACCTGTGTTTTGGACGTTTCATTACCTAGGTCCCTCGGTTTTCGATGTCGCCCTTTCGGTACACAACGATGCGATAGGATGTCGTACCGGCTTCGAGTACAACACGGTTAGCAAGCCTCTTAATGCAGCTCAGCTGATGACGTCGTATCTTAGGAGGCACCCTTTGGGGGTCAATCAAAAAGAACCGCGCCTCGTGGTTAGGGCATTCCTGCATACGATCTTTCATTGTATTAATAACAGCGTAGACCTTGCTGTGGCTCTCAATCCGCAGCCACTGGCCGACGACAAAATATCCGAGGCCAATTCGTTAGTGGAAGGGGTGCGTTAGAGTGCCTTCGGAAACTGCTGAGCCTCGGGGCGTTGACGGCATGAATGCATCCATGATAGTGATACCTCGAACTGGTATGATAGGTGGCTGGGGCTGCAACAACCAAGGAGAGAGATTTAATCTGGCTATTTTTCCATGGATAGTATGTTCCTAGGCAGTGTGACGTGCTTACACGTGGTATGGGTTGATAATTGAACAGGGCTTGATTTTTGAGGCTGGCAAGACCCAAGGACAAATTCGCATGAGCGAGTACAGTATCTACCTCTTTAACACCCTATTGCAGCCTCATTTTGGTTCTGTGCTGGTCATTGAGGGCCAATTTGGTGATTGGCTGGCACTATTTTCTTGGCGCGCAACTCGATAGTGACGGCCGTACTGTACCTCGCCCAGCTGCCCGGTAAAGGATTGGCTGAGAAAAATGGCCCTCATCCAAGATCTCACAGTCGATCTCGTTTCCGACGGTCAAAGCCAGGGCCAATTTTGTAACTTGCTGGCCAGCATATGCCCCTATTCGGGAGTAAACAATTAACTAATGAAAAAAGTGGCCTTCATTTCAACCGTTCGGTTACCGAGGGGCGGCATTGAAGCAGGGCACGTCGGGTACGGTCTACTCATTGTGTCTAGGTGTGTTTGTTGGGACTCGAGGCAGCTTATATAAATGCTGTCATGAGTGGTGGCTCAGAGAGATAACTTACTCAGTGGTATTTTCTAGTGATGAGTAAATGATTGACACCGTACGATTAAAGTCAGTAACATTAACCCCAAGATCAAATTCAGTAACATCAACCCCCTAATTTACCGGCCAATTTAAATCAGAAGCCTCCTACACACAACCCTTCGCCATGGACCCTAGGAGTTTCTCCAATCAAGAGACTTTGGAGCGTGAGTGTACCAAATTCTGCAACCCAAGTGCTAGACTTTGAGCTGACGAGCCAAACGCAGAGACCACCGGCCCCCTCATGGACTTGCTGTCCTAGCCAAAGGATGAAGACCCGTGGTCGGAATTAGCTCGATTACCCCTAACAAACAATGGTACCCATCAACCACGAACAACAAAGGACATGATGGAGATGGCGAGAACATGGATGTGGAGGTTGGATTGGCAACAGAATGATAGCGGAAGCTGAACCGATTCACTTGGTAGGAGCCCAAATAAAATATGTGTTACAAAGTCCATCCATGGTATCACGAACGTCATTCCTTCCTATCAATGACGCCAAAGGGTTGATAGCCCGGTTCCCTTGAAGAAGCCCTAGCTGGTGCGGGTTCGTTCTTTCTTTGCCCACAGAGCCGGAGTTGAAAGTATTTAACCGCCTGCCCCCCCCCCCCCCCAACCTCCCACCCACCATACTAGGGCTTTACCGAGCTTATTGCTACCAACAACCTCCTTCGCCAACATCTTCTCTTGTACGCTCTACAAAGAACACCTAATGCCTTTCTACGGAATACTATTCTACGGTAGCTAACATACCCATTGACAGGAGGGGGGTACGGTCAATCCAGGCCTTCCAGGCTGGTATTGATTTTTCGTGCATCACTCAGATACGGTAAGTGTAACCGGGATATCCCTGAGACTCACCTCGGCTTAGAGTAATGCTTAGTACGCCTCAGCTTTTGCTTAGGTTCTAAGCCTAATACGGATTTGGCTAAAAAACGTTGTTGGGGGTGACTATTGAGGTAGGTAGGGTAATTAAGCAGATGCTTCTTTGCTAATTACTTAATATCTGAGAGAAAAAAGAAAATATATGAAAGGCTTGAGCCCCTCACACACCTCACACACTTCGAACTTGACACAAAGGAGAACCGACAATGACGTACGCCTTTGCCATGTTTCAATGTGCAGGAAATACCTGGCTTTGGCACAGGGAGTGTTATGGCAGGGACGGATGGCTGCAGTGAAAGTGTGGTCGGGCGTGGTGACATATTACCTGGACGAATAAGCACGGTATTATGAATTTGTCTTTTTGGCAAGGTCAAGCGGAAACTCCAAGAGATATGTACACTCATGTATTTTCCATGTTTAGCTAGAATCCCATGCCGGATATAATGGTACAGCGCCTTGCGAGGTCAAGACTTCCCGCTAGATGACAAGAGAAAAGATGACATCAAACCAATTTCCGAGACGCTGCAGCGTGTCACGCCGTTCAGATCCATCTACACTGCGTCGAATCTTTTTGGAACAATGAAAAGGGGGTATTTATTCGGGGTATTGCTGGATACAAGGCCGAAATGGGGAACCCATCTAGCACCGCCTCCACTCAAAGTCCAGCTTCTCTGTAAAGGCCTCAAAATAGGCCTTGCCGTCGCCATTGAGGGCACCGCGGAAGTTGACGTTGAGGATGCCGATGGACCCGCCGTCGCCTGTGCATGGCGACCAAACCTGGCCCGAGAAGGTTTGGCGGAGAGTAACGCCCTGGTCGATGGTGCCGTCGCCGCCATTCGTCCATCTGCCGCGCAGGGAGGCCTATCACCGGGTTGGACGCGTCAGCCATCGACTCTGTTGGTCAAGGTAGGTGGGGTTCACTTGGGTCTTACCGTGTTGGAGGCCGACTGGCTGAAATAGACAGTCGTGTAGTAGTCAAGGGTTGTGCCGGGGCTCAGAACCAAGTGGCCCTTGACCCAGTTGTTCTTGAGAGCGACCTGCCACCCGGGACTTGTGCCCGCCGTCTGGATGTGGACCTCGCAGTTGAGCGTCTGGTTGGTGCCCGGTAATGAGGCGGCAAAGTTGTTGTATGTGAAGACTGGGGCGTTGAAGTCGCCGTCGAATTTGGGATCCCGGGGGCACCCGTTGCCGGACCAGCTGATGCTGGTGATCCTGGGAGACGACGACGGAGTGTCGGCCGCGGCGAGCGCCGGGTACACTGCCGCCAGCAGGAGGGCGAGGTGCGAAAGAGGACCCATGGTCGATTGTGAAATGGCGGTTTCTGCTTCAGTCGAGGACGTTATGCTGCTGAAAGAGAGCAGGTGGGCGGCGAGGGTGGAGATGCTTTTCATTGCTTGTGAGCGGACGCAGCGTGCTTTCTTTATATACGCGCATCAAATGACGACTGTAGACGCCCACGGGAGTTTAGATTGAACAGGCGACGGTGGTGGTGAGAGGTTTGGACATTTTGCCACCTGGGCATGATGGACGAGCATCAGTAGCAGCGTCGGCGGTGTCGCGGGTGCGGAGCTTGCCAATTTATCCATATTGCAACCCGCGAAACCGAATGCCTGGATTGGCAAAGACTCTGGATTAGATTGCAACCCAAAAATAGGATCATTATAGGTTCCGGGTAGCATGCCATTGGCCTACCGTCTGGGGTTAGATGAGCGGCGATAACCTAAAGCACCTGGGGTGGTCATCTCGGAGGCTCGATGTAAAGGGGTCGCGGCGGCCAACCTGGGAACGGTCAGTGGGCGCGGCGCGCACAGATGCACAGCACTCAATTTAAGCATAGATTGCAAAGATGGGATTGCCACGCCAGGGTCACACCACGGACAACCTGACGATGCGATTGTCTTTGGGGACGCAATGGCGAACACCCACCATCCACCCCTAAACAAGACCGGCATTCCGTCCGGGACGCTCTCACAGGGGACGTCGCTGATGCAGCCAGAACCGTTAGGCCGACCATGCTCAATTAACGACGCGAGCGCGGAGACCATTTTCCGTCGTCATATTGCGTCGATGCGACACCACACCTGTTCCTGATTAGAACTAGTTCTACAGACAAGGTGCAGCCCGGGCTCAGTCTGCCAGCGCCAGTCTGGGAACCCAGGCACCGGCAGAGCCGCTTTCGACTGTCGACGACCACCCAGGCCGGCGGCTGATTTGCCCCAGTCGATTCCAAGGGCGAGCGATCATCATATGGAGATGGCGAAAAACACTCAAACCAGGGTGGTATCGTCTCCCAACCCCGGAAAGCTCTGGTCCTATTTATGGCAACGTCAGTAGATCCAAAGACCTTGGCGGCCGCGATTTTAACTCGGGGGCTGCTGTGTTTTCCGCCCGTGCCTTGCTTTGGTCCGGGGGAGCTCGCCTGCTCCATGTGCCAATGTGGGTGTGGTGACGAATCGACGATGGCGTTTTGATTGCTGGGGCAGGCTGTTTTCCAACATCGTCGCATTGCGTATTTGCTGCGACCCGACCTGGGCCTGCCCGTCTGAAAACCAAACCTGTCCGCACCGCTTGTTCCTTCCTCCGTTAACTAGCGGCAAGCTAAAGCCAAAGTTCATTGTTCGGTCCCGCCGCGAGGAAGCTGCGAACCATGCATCTTGCTTTCCGCCAACGACCGTCTTTCAGATTGCTGTGCTTGGCGACTGTGATGTAATTAATCCAGACTCAAATGCACACTCTTCAAGTTCAACATAAGGAAAATTTTGCTTTGGGGACCGAATAAGTTGCTTCCCGTTCAAATTCTCATCTCGCCCAAATGAAACCCACATTCGCTTGCCAATTCAATCCCTTTTGACCGTTCCTGCGAGTTATAAGTCGTGCCGTCAACGTGGATTTTCGGGTTCCTCGGAGAGGAACATCCAGTGGTAAAACCCGGCGCAAAAGACGGCACCCCCGACCATGTTCCCGAGAGTAGCCGGAATGATGCCTGACGTATAGAGAAGTGCGAGAGATTAGCTCGTGCGGTATCATCTGCGTCGGCTCAACTAGAAGGAGGTCACTCACCTTTCCAGATATACATGCCAACGCTCAGGCCAGGCGTCTGCAGCCAAATGCCCAGCGGTATGAAGAACATGTTGGCAACCACATGGTCCAAGCCTAGGGTGGCAGAGGCAAAGGTTGGCCACCATATGCCGGCGATCTTGGAGATCAGCTCCTTACCCTGCATGCCGAGGCAGCACCCAAGGCAGACAAGCCAATTGCAACCCACGGCGCGCAGGAATATTTGGTGGAACTGAGGGCTGACTTGTTTTTCTATGGCGGTGGCGATGGCTTGGTCCCGGTACGGTGAGTGGTCGAAAATCCCGCCGTCTGGAAGGAGAGGTTGAGTCAACGAGGAACTCAGAGTCTGCTTTTGATCACACAAAGACTGAACTCGATAGGATTCTAATTAATCAAACTTACAGCCGCATATTATGGCCGTCACAAAGAGTGAGCCAGCCAGGTTTCCCCAGAAGCAGATGAACCAGTGCACCAGCATTTTCCAGATGGACAACCGCCCGTGAAGAACGGCCACGGCTGTGTACTAGAAGTCCATCAGTCGGAAACCATGGCTTATCGGCGGGGTGTTTTGGTCGCCAACGGGCTGCTTACCAAGTTTGTTCCTGTGAACAGGTCGGCTCCGGCCAGGCTATTTAGTCAACGACACCGTCAGCATTCGCACCCGACTGGCAAAACTTGACAGGACCGGCTGAGCCGGAACATACACTATCATAACCAACCCTATCGGGAAGATTAGTGCGCTAATCATGCGAATCAGCCCTGGCGCATTGGCCTGGAACCACGGGGCCGTGTTGGCGCTGAGCGATGCGGCGGCCGCAAAGCTCAGAAGACAGCCTGCTGACACTGCTGACAAAAAGGCCTTGTCGAGCCTCATGTTCCCCTTCTTGACCCCGGCGCGGGACACGAGCTCGATGGCCTCTGCCGTCGTGTAGGCGTCGGCAATGGCCATGTTGATGGTGGCAGGGTTTGACATGCCCTTGCTGTCACGCTGTGCCCCGTGTGATGCCGTTGCTACTAGTGCTGTGGTCGATGCAACGTACTTTTGTGGTCGAGGTGAGCGTTGGCCGATGTTCAGTTACAGGTTGCACTCGCGTCGCAGTGAAAAACGAGCGAGGAAGAATCAACAAGGAATCATGATGCAGACTGTGGATCTGCCGGGCCGCGAGTCATGTCAGAGACAGTATCGAAGGGCAGGCGAAGCTGCTTACCGCAAGATGCCGAGAGCCCTCCAGCTCCGCCGTGAGAGTCCATGCCTTCAAGGAAACAAAGAAACTGCGATGAATAGAGCATCACCGGTATTCGACACAAGATTTTAGCTATGCATGGGAAAACACTGCCTAAGCCCCAAGATCGCGGTAAAAGTGGATCAATAGGAGCCTAGTGATGCACCACTAGTTCGTCTCGAAAAGTGGGGTATCAAGGAGGCGCTGGCTCAGCTGCAAAGAGATAGCGGGTACATCACATCAAGAATCACTTTGGTATGGGAGACGCGGATACGCCGATCTAAATTAGATGCTGCATGAAAAGGCGAGATCTCAGATGGGATAGCGGGCTTATTTCATCAGTAATCATTAATTATTCCCGTAAAATTGCCTGAATTTCCGCGGAACTGGGCGTCCAAGTAGGCCGCACTAGAAATTGTGACTGGGCGTAATTAATCATGAGACATTATTCTCAAATATTTTGGTGTCTGCTTTAACAATGGGCTACTAAGAAGATGCTGGGTAATAAGTTACGTGATTATGCAGCACTGCTGTCATCCAGCCGAATTTCCTCCGTAGCCAAAAGTAATGCTCCGGACTTCGCGATGGACTTTTCACTGCATTGCTCACGCGTTGGAAGCCGGCTTTCAGAGAACAAGGCTCCAGCCCGTGACTGAGCCAAATACGCCAAGAGGCAAAGGGCAAACACAAAGGTTGGTACCAAGTGGGTAGTGCCTTACTAGATTTGACTTTTGATTTAGAGATGGCGTGCAGGCCACGATGTCACACCCGCTTCAGCTCATCTGCACATTAGCTTCCTCAGACATACCAGGGCTATCGACAGAAACGTTACCTGTCCATGGAAGGCATGCCCTTGACGTCAGCAGGTATCTAGGATCTAGTCCACAGTTCGCTTATTTTTCTAACAGAATTTCCTGCTCATTGGAAGCTGGAGCATGTATTCACCCTGAAGCAAGAAATAATTACCTAGAAACTCGTGTTACGCACATGTCAGGCTATGGACGTTGACATTCGCTCAAGTTACAGAACAGGCGAAGCATGTCGTTAGAAGTACCCTAAATTGATATAATAACTCTTTAAAGTTATTATCCGGCGGCACTTACGCATCTAGTCCTTGTAGTATCACTTGATTACTTGAATGCCAAGGAGTAACATCATTTCACGTTACAGGATTTCTACGCATAGGTAGGTAGGTAGGTAGGTAGGTAATCAGGCAGGGAGGGACACACACGACTTGTCGCGTCGTGGTTTATTTTCTTGCCAATAGAGAGGAAGAAGATACCGGCTAGTGACATGGGGTCGGCCGCAGAGATATCGGGATATAGCCATCCCTTTTGTCACGAAACCCAGGCCCAAAACGTCCAACCACGCCCAAATCCCGGCGCCCCCCACTCAACGCTGCTGTTCTGACCCAATCACTCCTCCTCATCCAACTCCATGCCCCACTCCCAGCCGCTCTTCAGTTGCTTCACCACCTCCTTGACGCCAAAGACGGGCGTCGCGACGATGTCGTCCACGACGGCGGCAGGAACCAGGCGGCGGACTAAGCGCGCCGCGGCGCCGCCCTGCTCGACGACGGCGGTGAGGCGCTCGAGGCAGCGGAACACGGCGACGACGTTGTCGAACTCGGCCAGCTCGGCCCGCTGCGCATGGGCGCGATAGTAGTAGCGGAGGTCGCAGTCCGCCGGGTCCTGGCCCGTGACGAAGCGCGCGCGCACGAGTAGCTCGGCCAGCGCCTCGGACGGCAGGCAGCCGGGGATGTCGATGTGGGGCTCGCCGCCCAGGATCTCGCTGCGAGGCAGCGCGATCTCGTACTCGATGACGGCCTCGGCCGCCGCGCAGAGCTGCGCTATGTCGCTGCTGCTGCCGGAGCGCGTGCCGACGATCTCGGCCTCGTCGTCTAGCCCGACGCGCACGCCCGCCGACTCAAACGCCTCGACGATGGTCTCGCGCATCGCCGCGCCCTTGGCCGCTTGCCGGTAGAGGTACCTGCGCGAGAAGCCCTCGTGGTCGCGCTTGAGTTTCCAGCGGACGTACTCGATGATGGCGGCGAACAGCGGGCCCTGGGCCTCGACCTCGGCGACGGCCTAGAGTTGGGTTGGTGCGGTGGTTAGCTAAATCAAAACGCATTGGCTTTGAGCATGCTGCTCGGTGTGCGTGACGTGACATCATAGACTACCGCTGCTCTAGCAGACAAGACATATAATGCCTGTTGCCTGGATACCTGCGCAGCTGTGGCTATATGTGGACACAGGGCGGGCTATATGCAGCATATGCGACAGGCGGAGACTAGATTGCCTAGCCTAACCAACTAGAAGATGAAGGGAACGAGGGAGAAGGAGTGAGTGCGATAGGTGATTGAATATAGGGTGGCCTGGTTGGCCTGTGCCTTGGACTAGGAGCACCAGATGCTTGGCACACTACATCTGCGGAGCAATGCTTACGGCTAATCGCGTCGACCTGAAGTTTTCCGACCTGGTGGCGGTATCCTGCTGCCACATCTTGGTTGTGTGGTGGTGGTGGGGATGGCGAGGGGCGAGGGGCGAGGGGCGGAAACCCGAAGATCTAGATGTTACTGGAGTAGGTAGGTAGAGTGGGTGATACTGGTCGTTATACCAAAGCCGAGGAATGGAGGGAGACTTGGAAGACTGAACCGACGAAGAGAAGGAATCCAGGAAAGAAACACGAGGAATCACAGGCAGCTCCCAAATTTATACCTACGGGGAAGAACTCTACGGGTGGGGCTGGGCCAGCAGAAAACGTAGAACAGTAAGATCACTTTCACTTCCTAGTCCCCGCTTCGCATTTTCAGACGATTAGCAAGCAGTGCAGATATACGAGGAACCTGACGAGTAGGCCTAGGTACACAGATTCTGCAGAGCAGGCCCAGGTACGCAGATGCCGTAGAACAGGCCTAGGTACGCAGGTACAGTAGAACAGGCCCAGGAACGCATATACCTCAGAACAGGCCTAGGTACGCAAGGACCGAGAACAATAGGGTCACGTTCACCTCCTGGTCAGTATTCACCGTTTCGTCTGTTCAGTCGGGGAGTGAGAAGCGGGGCTGGTGGCCAGCCCAGAAAAACTTCACGCAGAAACCGTGCAGAGATATGAGGAAGACGAGGACCTTGGCAAGCAGAAACCGTGGAACAACAGGATCGCTTTTATTTCCTATTCACCATTTCGTCTACTCGGTCTAGTAGTGAGCAACTAGACTAGTAGGAGCACGGAGAGCTTCACGCGGAAACCGTACGGAAACACGAGGGACTCGACGAGGGTCTGGGCGAGCAGGCACTGTAGAACAATATAATTTCACTTCTTGTTCAATATTTCGCCTGTTCGGACAAGTAGTACGCAGCGGAGCTCTGGGAAGTCCGAGACAACTTCACGCAGAGGCTGTGCAGGGATACGATGGACTCGGCGAGGGCCCGGGCAAGCAGACACATTAGAATTTCACAGAAAGAAACGCAGCTGTGAAGTTAGTACCGATAACAGGGCTCAAAACGGAGAGAAAAGCTGGCTGGTTTTATTCTGGTAATATGCTGCTGCGTGGACGCAAGATTCCCGAAAACGCTGCTAAAGAGGGGGCCTGTATCATCTTCAAAATTTCGACCAGGTTTCGAGGCGGAAAGAAAGGCCACTGCGCCTGCCCCGCCGCTCCTGCAAGTGCCAACGTTCACTTCTTTTTCAACTGTTCGCCTGTTCGGACGAGTAGCAAGCAGCGGGGTGGTAGGGCTCTCCGGATCGCGCTTGCAATGATTTGCATGGAGGGTCTAGTCACTCAAAAGCAGCTGGATGAGTTCCTGGAGAAATTACTAGAGGGTCTGTACAGTTTGTACACGCATATTTTGCTTGGGGTACCGGAAATCTGCTGCGAAATAGTCCGTTGTGCTCTACAACTGTGCAGAAATATGAGAATCTCGACGAGCGGGTCTGAGCAAGGAGAAATCGTAATCAAATGATCGAATCACGTTCGCTTCCTACTTGCCATTTCGTCTGTTCAGTCGAGTAGCAGGCGACGGGCTCGCAGGCAGTCTGGCACAATGCCACATCGCTCAGGAACTATGCAGGGAATCTCAGGCGGCCAATGCCGCCTGTCCAGGTCCACTGCATCGCAACATTATTTGTAATGGACGGCGTCATTATAGATTACCAGCCTCTATCGCCTTCCATTATCCAGGGTTTCGTGATTCAATGCTTATGTTTTAGCTCCATTTCTTTCCCATTTACTTGCGGGAGGTGTAACAGACGCGCATGGAAGGCGTACCAGATGGTTTCGTCTGGAATCTGAGCTAGGCTCGGATTTAAGCCCTATCATTAAGGCAAGCAAGGCAGCGAAGGGGCGGAGAAGAAACAGAAGACGTAAAGGACACAGGGACGCGCGTTGAGGGAGGCAAAAGGACACAGGGACACGTGGAGGAAGTAAAAGGTCACAAAGGGGACAAAGCATTGCCATTTTCGCACATGTATACTACACAAATACGTCAATCAGGACGTTAGGAGGAAGCAAACGTTGCCTGGAAAATGTCACGAGGAGAGACAAGCCGCTTAGAGAGCAAATGCCACTGGACGTTCATCCGCGCCCAGGGCGTACTATAGCGGTCGATTTTGTCGCTGGCCTTTCGGTCGCCACCGAGTCCAAAGTCTGGGCGGTACCCAAAGCTAGCTTCTTAGATTTCTCATCTAGACTATTCATTCATCCATGTTTCTCGCATCATGCTCTGCCCAGTGCCGCTTTCACGGATTCGTTCATTGGTATATAGCGTGACACTAATCGCCTGCATTGATGCCTTCATGTTTGACTACTGGAACTGCTCGGCGTTGCGAAATAGCGGTGCTAATTATAGAAAGATGCCGTGTCTCTATTGGTCCATTTGTAATTGACACCATCATGAGCTTGACAAAGGCCACATTGATGCTTCATAAAATTCCATAATATTAAGCCGCGGTCCAAAGAATAGTAGGATTGCTAAGCTTATTCAAATACCACAAAATACCATGACCCAGCGCAATTTTCCTGACCAGTATCCAACATGAAGTGAAGCTCAAAGCTGGTCCCTGAACCGCTCATTCCGCCCTATTTTCCCGTCCAGCAAAACGCCGCGCATCCCAAGCCCAGTAGGTATCCGACTGAAAGAAAATAATCCTAGACCCTTCTGCGATCCTGCGCAGGCACTCATGATACTCCGTAATCCAACATTCAGCCACCATATCATATCTCGACCATATCGCTGCTCCCCTCGCCGTTGCCCGACTCCTTCATCTGGCCGTGTTCTTGCGTTCTATCTATTGTCTCCCGAGACGGGAACTGGGCTTTCTGGGACCTTTGTCACCTCGACGGATCTCGTCACGTGGATAGAGAGTCGCAAATGAGCCTTGGGCGGAGCCCGGAGAGCGCCGGCTGCTTCCTCGTCACATGCAACAGTCGAGATGCTGCCCGTGCGCTGCGCCTCGAGATCCTCAGGCTTCAGCACCCCCAAGCAATGCCCTCCCTCGAATTCCTCCAGTTGCGGCAGCACGCTTCCCTTGCTCCCGCAGCCCGAAGTGCCGCTTGGGTGGCTGACATGACGTGTGATTGGACGCGAAAAGGACTGTCTCGAGTTCCTGTTGGTAAGGGGCGTGATCCATGGAAGGCTCCGGTCGCGAGCGTAGCGTGAGGATAGGAGACTCGGAAACCATCTTTGGATGAGGGGCTTCAAGGTCATCATGCACGCGCAGCATATCGAAGCATTAACCTCTACCGACGTCCAGAAGATGAGCTTGGCGCTCGTGTATGTCGAATCTAGTGATTGCTGTGCCTGTGCCTGGACGTTGATGAGTGTAACGAGGCGTAGAATGGAGATGATGCAGATGCTGGTTGGTCAAAGCTGTCAGTCCTACTGAGGTGGGAAGGTATCCCGAGCAGTTGCTGCTTACATAAATCCAAGAGCAAAGACGCCAATGAGGGCAATCTTTTGTCTCCTCGGGAGCTTGAGCGACGACAGAACAGGTAACTATGGCTGTTAGATCAAGTCGCCAACTAGACGCAGAGGCTGGAATACATACCGGCAGCGTCATTATGACCAGATCGCATACGATGTGTAAGGCCGCATTACCCCACCACAAGTTTGGAGGTTGGCAAAAAACAGGCTGTGTGTAAAAGAGCCCCCAGTTCCAAAACGCCTCGAGCGGGACGCATGCGGTGCATACAGATGCCACCAGCCATATGCCGATGGCAATTACGAGGGTTAGAACAACCTGGATGGCTTTCTTGGTCCAGCTGTAGGTGAAAATCCGCCTATACAGCAGCAGAATGGAGATTCGAGTGAAGACAAGGCTCAGGGTGTAGAAGAGGATGCCGTACCAGGCCGCCTGAATCAATCTTAAGTCAGTAAGTTGGCTCGCAGGGAGTTTGGCTAGTCGGCATATCGGAGCTTTACGACAACCTACTTTCTCGAGGTCCGGCACTGACCAGAAGTCCACTTGCCAATAATGTTTCCCTGCGCCCCGGCACGCCTCTGTATTGTGTTAGACATGGCCGGCAGTGAAGTTGGAACGCGTGGTCGACCTACGTTCAAGTGAACTGGCCGTGACACCGGCGGCAAAAAGCTAAAGTTGAGCTGTTAGCAGCACACATGGAATGGGGAGAGAGGATTGCGTACAAGAGCCGGTAACAAGAACCAGTCGGCTGGGCCGAGAACATGGTTGAGCCAGCCTCGGGTGTAGAAGCGAAGCACGACGAATGCCAAGGCGATCAGCCATGTGAGAATTGCGCAGACAAAGATATCCGGCTGGAGGGACCTCCTTTGATCATCTGGAATAGGGGGCCAAGCTATTGTGGAATTGGTCGGAAGCGTGTTGTTCCCGTCGATGGTGAAATTTGACCAGTCAAAACTAGTGGCCATGATTATTTGCACTCCACTGTTTCAATGTCAAACAAGCGTCAAGCACTTGTTTACTTGAAGTCGGCCGAGTCCGCACAGTTCACACATGCTAATTAGCTGGGCGGTGGGCAGGCACCGGCTGTCGTAAAAGTGCCAGAGATGGGGACCATATACACACATCAACCCTCCCCCGCAAACACAAAATGTGGAATCGGAAGAGGTACGGGACATGGAGGGCGATGGCTGGTCTGGCCATGGCCTATGGCCCAGATCAGGCCGTTTTCGAAGTAGCAACCCGAGGAATCTGGGGCCAGGAACGGTGACATGGCGGTGCCTGTCAAGCGGGGAAGCTTTCGGGAGGCCGGGAATCTGTGTTGCAGCCTGGGGTTGTGACTGGCTAGGCAGGAGATGGCAACGGAGAAACTGCGAAGGAGCGGGCCAAGGTTCACTCCGGCCGTTGAACGCGCAGCTGACGTTGTGACAGCACGTCGCAGCCCGGAGCCCTCGATCATTTTGGCATGATTATCTCGGAGGCGATGGCCGTTGTCATTCGGTGGTAGGTGGCCAATGCGGGGGAGCAAGGGCGGCGAAATAGATTAAAGTGAGGTTTGGTATGCACAAAAGCGACGGCTTTCCAGTTGGGATTGGCCGGCTGCGAAACCAAAAGTTTGGGTCGGCTATAGGTCAAAGCTTTTTGATATATCATTCCTCATCACGCTTGCTGCCCGCTTGCTAGCCAAGCTAGCTCCAGGACCAGACACTCTTGGCCAATGATGAGCAGAGCCAACCAGGTTGCATGTTGACAGAAATTTGCCCAGGCCAAGTGACCATCGCCCCACCCACTTCTGGACCCAGAGCAAAACCAAAACGAATGACGAAAATGAAAGGATGGGAAGTGGAAGTGAGAGCCGGAATAAGCAGAAACAGCTCAGTAGACGATGTGATGGAGTTTCGACCTACAATTCTGTGTCTCACAGGCAGAGTGAGGCTCTTCTTGTCGAGAGAGCTCTCCCGACAATAAGGCAATCACAATGTGTGTAAAGTTGCCGGAACGGGAGATAAAAGACCGGGGCATGGCTGGTGCGACGCGGGCCCAGATTTCCCAGAGCCGAGTGTAACACGCACAGACAGACGGTAGCTATTAGGCCGTGGAGGCTCCAGAAACCGCTCCGTTCCTTTCCTAAAGCGATGTCGCTACCACCTTGCATTCTGGCAAAATTTCGGGTGTGTCCAGTTTGTTAAGGCTCGCTGGCTGGGTTCCGGGGAATTCTGCGGCAGTTGCTCATGCAAAAATTCTCTGCGCTTTGCTTGGGTGCCTCGAGAAGTAGGATGACAAGCTTTCGCACAGGAAGATGGGGAGTGGTCAATGCATGGCAGTATGACGCAGATGACGCAGATGACCCAGTACTACTACTAGTTAGTACCTCGAGGCGGAGTGTTCAAGCTGTGTCGTGGCTGCCTGACCGAGCGGTCTAGTTCAAATGGACGAGACGTTCGGGAAGGAGCGAGTCGGTGCGCGCTTCGTCATCGCATCAACTGAGGCAATTACCAATGCGGATAGCTGCCAATTATTAAAGCAGGCACAATCCGCCCGGCCCTGGAATCATCAGGTTGCGTGGTTCTTGCTACGTCTGCGAGCATGCGGCGCCCCAAGGCTACCCAAGAGAGGAACAGAGCTGCCCACTCCCGCCCATCAGGACCGAATGGCAAGCTGCCTTGAGACACCGCAGGTGTCTCGTCAATGCAATCAATCGGGAATTTTCATGGACCCGTCTCGCGACTTTGCGTTGGACGGCATCCCGTCTCGCGACTTTGCGTTGGACGGCATCCCGCCCCGTCCGACTCTCCGGTCCACGTCACGCCATCGCCACGTTCTCCCAGCAACTTGATCGAGGCTGCGCACGACTCAAGCATGATTTAAGCACCCCAAAACTTCACAATCCGCCTTTTTACTTACCTTTCTCAACTCAAATGGTTTCCGACTTTCTGACTTGTTGCAAGACAATATCGCTCAGATTGGGAGTTGGGAGGGTCGGCGGACGGCGAGCGGCCCCGGCCGGGCGGTCGGGGGCCGGCGTGCCGAGGACAAGGGCAGCCGAGAGCCGAGCCGGACCGCTCAAATGATTTGGCGAGGCGCGCACCGGAAGCCACTATTGGAATGCCAGCCGACGCACTGCGCCATTCGAACGCCAAAAGAGGTGTGGAAGAGCGCTGTTTGTGAGACTTGCGTAGCCGCTAAGGCAGCCCATTCTCGTTAATATCCCAGCCCCGGCGTCGTGGCATCCAATCAGCTATGGAATGCACGTGCGCATTTTTTAACCTGTGCATAAATCCACGTATGGTCCCGGGTGGCCGCATCCGTTCATTCTCGGGCTGCCGGCGCCTGGCCACGGTCTCCCTGGTGGCTTGGGTCTTAGATGTTGTGAGAATTGCAAGACACAGGATGGACAGCCCATATGCGTGACCTCGGAGAGGTGCGAAACCAGTGGTTCACCGAAAGCTGCACTGCTAGTGAATTTAGTATAAATCGCATAATCTCTTGCATTCGTCCTGGCACTCTGCGCCACATCTTTGTTTTATCGTCGTTGACTTGCTCCGCTTGATAGTGCACCAAAGAGACCTCGTACCGCAACCTTGCCGACTCACTGACTTTGAGTGTGCAACAATGGCCCAACCAGATGTCCCTACCCAGCTGGATGCCTTGGCTCAGGAGCTGAAGGATGCTGCCAACGGCATCCGCGCCGGGACCCTCTCCTTGGAGACGGGCGCGCGCTTCAAGGTGCTCGAGGCCGCCAGGGCTGTCATAGGCGCCGTCGAGGCCCCCACGGATCTCCTGATGCAATGGGTACCATCCGTGACCCAGCTCACAGCCGTCCGTCTCTTCAACCAGTGGAAGGTGTTCGACGCCATCCCGACCGAGTCCGGGTCGTCCATCTCGTACAAGGAGCTCGCCGAGAAGGTGAACGCCGATGTGATCCTTCTAGGTATGACAGCCTTACCAAGTCGTGCCATGCACGAGATGCAGGGCAGACACTGACATTGCACACCTGCCTTGCACAGTCCGCCTGGCCTGGATCCTGGTTGCCACGGGCGTTTTGGAACAGATCGGCACGGACCGGATAGCGCACACGCGCAAGTCCAAGATCTACATCGGCACCAACCCCGTCACGGCCATGGTGCGGCTGATCTTCGACGACAACATGCCGTCGTTCATGGCCATGCCAAAGTACTTTGACAAGTTCGGGCTCAAGGAGCCCACGGGCCGCCTCGACACGGTGGTGGCCTTCGCCTTCGACCAGGTCGGCAAGTCGGCGTACGAGGTGATGCTCGACACGCCCGAGCGCACGGCCAACTTCATGCTGGCCATGCAGTCGCTCGAGGTCGAGTACCCCTTCCTGGGCACCTACGACCTGAGCTGGGCCGTGCCCGCGGCCGGCGACACCAGCGACCGGCCCCTCGTCGTCGACGTCGGCGGCGGCAAGGGCCAGTCCATCAAGGCCATCGTCAAGGCCACACCCGGCCTCCCCGTCAGCCGCTGCGTCGTCGAGGACCTGCCTGACGTCGTCGCCGAGGCAAAGACCATCGACGACCCCGAGCTCGCCGGTGTCTCCTACGTCGGCATGGACTTTCACGCCGAGCAGCCGGTGAAAGGTGAGTTCCCCTTGTTCCTGCACACCTGCATTGAAGAGAATAGCAAAATCTGATTCCTGCAAACAGGCGCGCTGGTGTACTTCATCCGGCGGTGCCTGCACAACTACGGCGACGACGACAGCGTGGCCATCCTGAAGAAGATCGCCGACGCCATGGCGCCCGACAGCCGCCTGCTGATCGTCGAGCAGGTCATGACCAACCCGCCCAACCACTACTCGTCGGGCTTCGACATATTCATGTCCACCATCGGCGGCAAGGAGCGCACCTACGACATCTTTGAGGACATTGCGGCCCGCGCCGGGCTCAAGATCCTGTCCCTGTCCCGCAACCCGGGTAATGATGTTGGGACTGTGGAGTGTGTCAAGGCTTGAACGTGTGTGCGTGTGTGCGTGTGTTTGTGTGCCCATGGGGAGGGGTGGTTTGGGAGTAATTGCTCGCCGGGAAGCCGCAGTTGGATACATAGCTACCTATATAAATACGGTGCTTGGTCTTTGTGTGCGTGTCTTGGTTGCTAGGCTAGACTTTATTAGGTGATTGTAGCAATAAGAAGCTGTCCCCAATGATCCATGAATTATTGGCTCTCGTCGTTCTCTCCTCTCTCTTTGAACAGTATGAAATGTTTCAAGCCTCTACTATCTAATAAAACCCGGAGCTTTCATGGAGTTGGCTGATAATAGTTAGAACTAGGTAGTTAGGTAAGTGTGACTCGACGCCTGTAATGGCTGCGTGAGGATTCGGCACGCACTCGGATGCTGAGCAGGGGAAATAACCCACGCTTGTCAGGGGTAGCCGCCCTGCGGCCTAGCGTTTAACGATAAAATATCTGCTCCAAGGCCCTCTTCCTTTCTAGGAAACATCGGTAGTTACACCCTTTTCCGAGTTACGGCTCGCCCTGATTCTGCTTTTGTTGTTGTTTTTGTTACGTTGTGGTGCCTTTTCACTACTTCAATGCATCTTGTTTGTCGGAACCACCGTTACGGTACATTTACATGCCTGTGAGCCAATTGTTCCCTGCCTGAGCAGAGATGGGTGGCTGTGCCATTGTAGCTCATTAGCTGAGAATCGAGAACCCGCAATTGGCACTGGGAGATTGGCTTATTGACTACCTTAACTATTAACCTCCTATTCGTCGATCGGTTGCACCACCATGGCTGTGCATTTCAGCGGCTTTTCGAGCTTTCCCCTCGCCCCCACGACTTCAACTTCCCACAAAAATCCCGCCAAACAGTCTGTTAACCTATTCCCAATCGCCCGCCCCCTTCGCCTGCACAGGTGCCCTCACGCATTTTGGCACCATGGACCATTTTACGGCGTTCAGCTTGGCATCGAGCGTCCTGTCATTTGTGACTTTTGCCGGGACGCTTGTCAAGGATGGGATGAAGATACACGAGTCCGGTGGCCTGGAAGAGAATGCGACTCTGGAGAGTGTTACTATCAGAATGAAGGCGTTCTGGTCCCGAATCGACCGCCCCTTAGCAGCCCTCAGCTGGGAGGAGATGAAGAAATGCTTTAGAATCTCCTCGAGGAGAGCGATAAAGTCGCCGCCGACCTTCTGGCCCTGCTTGGGAAAATGAAGGGGCCGACGGGAGGTGGCCTTCGAGCACGGTGGGCGAGTTTGGCGGCCTCCTAGCGAAACCTGATTGGCGAAAAGAGCAAGAAAGATCTCGAGGCCCAGCTTGGTAGCATCGAAGCGAGAGCAACAATAGTCCTAACGCAGATGACAAGATTTGCTGCCCCCTCGCCCTCCCTCCTTTCAGTTCTAGGATTTCCCGCGCTACCCATCTAATTATCTACTTAATTACCGAGAGACTACGGCTTCGGGGTGCTGGCTAATTCCCCTAATAGAGCAGAGATGGAGAAGATTGTCTTGCTGGCAAAGCAACACGACGACAAGCTTGGCGATCTGATGGAGAATGTCGACGAGCTCAAGTCGCTCTACTCGAGGCTCAAACCCCTTAGCGAGGACACAATACGAGGGATCCAGAGCATCCTTGACGTCATTGACAGGGCATGCGCTGATCGCGTGTTAAGCGCTCTGAAGTACGACACAATGATGGAGAGGAGCACTTGGGTCAGGGATGACCCCTTTGCAATCCAGAGGGATGTCGACTATGGAAACGCAATTAACTGGATCTTCGAACGAGGGAGAGTCCCGGATTATCGGAGAGGGAGAAGATCGCCATGGAGGAAGCCAGACGTCGATTTGAAGACTGGTTGTCGTCCTCCGCAGGGGGGATCTTTCACATTGCCGGAAACTCGGCTCTGGCAAGTCGACCTTGATAGAATTTCTATTCAGCCATGAAAGAACAAAGAAACAATTGACTCGCTGGTCAGGTAAGTCTGTGCTAACCCCCCTACTCTGTTCTGACTCCTGTGGATTTGCTGACGAACTGCAGTGGAACGCGGCAGCCGCCTCAAGATGGTTAATTTCTCCTTCTCGATGCTTACTGGCGGCCTTCAGGAGCGATTCGACGGCCTATACCGAACTCTACTTTACCAACTCCTCAGCGACGACCCCGAACTAATCTCAAAAGTTCTAAAAGGACCTTGGGGGCGGGCATCCAGCACCAAACGCGACGTCAACATCACCATGGAGGAAAAGGTCCAGGCCCTCACTGATATATTCGGCGGCAATGCCTCCGCAGACGTCAGCCTGTGCATATTCATGGACGGCCTGGACGAGCTCAAGGAGGTCCAAGTGGGAGACATGATGGACTTGGTTAACCAACTTAGCGCCTGGGCCGCACCAACTGAGAGAGGCGTTAAGATCTGCTCGCAAACAGGGTGGATTGGCCCTTCATGAGCATGTTTGATCGCGAGAAGAGATTTCTGCTTCACGAGATCACTCGGTACGATATGGAGCGCTTTGTCCAGAAAAGAATACCAGAGCACAAAATTCCAGCGACGGTTCGGGCCCATATCGTGAAGGAAATCCCAAAGAAGGCGGAGGGCGTGTTCCTCTGGGTCCGGCTAGTTGTCGGCTTCATACGCGACGAGATAGCGGATGACGAAACCACCGTTCAGGCTCGAATTGATGACGCAACACGACGACTATATACTAGATTCAAGGGATTCATCGAAGCCTCGACGGATGATGGGATCCTCAAGTTTATCCACCGTCAGTTTGGGAGTACCTCAAGAGCGACGACATGGACAAACTACTCGCAAAGAGCAACCCCCATTTCAACGCTGCCGATGCCGCCTCTATCATCTTGCTTGCGGAGGTTCGAGTCCTGGGTATCGAGTTGTACGTGGATATGGAACGCGAGATGTCTTTGTGCTGGGACATTCACCGACTCTGCCTGGATCACAACCTTATGTCAATTAACGTTGTGGATTGTCTTCAAAACATCACGGATGCCAGCCATCAGGTGAAATTTGGGCATTTTACTGAAACCGGCTCTCTACGAATACGTTACTTGCACCGCTACCGCAGCTCAAGACCAGTTAGGGTTCCAGAGGGTCAAGAAATTGCATACTCGAATATACCGAAAATGTGGAATGGTTCCCTTTGGGTAGGATCGATTTGCACCTTTTTCACGCCTCTCCATGCCGGCGCGTTCATTGGGGATTATCGCTACTGCATACAACGACTGAAAGGCCACCCCACGGAAGCCATGAGCTTTGCCACCTTCGTCACGCTGTTTTTTCTCATCCGTCACGCTGTTTTTCCTCATTCGTCGACGCGGGTTTCGTCACGGGTTTCGTCACGGGTTTTCCGAAAAAGTGGGCGACTTTCTCACTCTTGTTCAGACAAAACCCAGTGCACGTAAAGAGAGCAACGTCCTTCTCTCCTACATATCGATTGGAATATCACGACATATGCACAAGACGGGGGAATATTAACAAGGAGAGGCCAAGCGTTTGGCACCGCTTCCTCACAGAGGAGTTTCTCTTCAGACTGTATGAGTTCATCTCTTCGGCAGTCCTCTTCCGGCCAAAGCTCTTGACGCTAATTTTGGGCTTATTCTCAAGTCATTTTCACGATTGGGTGTTGACCAGCACTTTCGGTGCTACTGGACTCTCGGTTCACATGATTGGGTACTCTCGGAAGACGAAGTGGACGAAGACGAAGTGGACGAAGACGAAGTGGACGAAGACGAAGTTGACGAAGACGAAGTTGACGAAGACTTGGGCGGGCATCTGGTAAGATTTGAACTCGGCAGTCAGAAGACTATAGTGGAAGCATGGATGTCAAGAAATAATTGGATCCGCCGGGACTCTTCCAGTAATCCGTCTCCGTTGTTAGAATGGGAGGAGAACCTGAATGGTTCGTCCCTCCGAGACTGGATTGAGAGAATGGACTTGCCAAACAAGACCACGATATTGAACCTGCTCGGCCCCAACCCTCCTACAAGCGACGAGGCTCCGGTTGAAAAGGAGACAATCACTGCCGAGGATATGCAGAACACAGATCAGGCAACCCCGGGGAGCGAGGAGAATTCGCTAGCCTCAGAGAAGGGGATCTCGGTCCATGATGACCACTAACAAGTGTCCATTGCCGCACTGCCCTTACCGCCGACGAGTCACCCGAGGTACTCGGTCGTATTTTCGCTAGGTTCGTTCCACCGATTGGGTTCAAATAGTCCAGAAGCTGACCATTCTACCTCAATTAGGCGCATGCTTTATGCTCGTGTGCGTGTTATCCCTCGTCCTCTATCAGGTATTCAGGCATTAGCAGCACCGCGCCCCGGAATAATAATGTCTACCACTCGGGCAACACGCGGGCCTCGTTCAACGCCTACGCCGACTCCCGTATGTTTTACGAGCCGCTGAAATTCTAGGCCACGGTGGGGATCAACGTTTTCGCGTCCGCACGCATCGGCGGACGTTGGCTCAGCAAGAACGGCAGCGCCGAGATCCACGCCGACGCCGAGCTGCACGGGCCGCCCGTCGCCGGCACCGCCCACCTGCACTTTTGGTTCTCCAAAGTAGGTAGAGCTGGAAGCGTGTCGAGCATTTACCAGGGTTGCTTGGCTCTTACTGATCAAAGTTGGAAAGCCATTAATTGAAAGTTCTCATACCGCCCTGGTGACGTGACCTCGATTTGCACTCTGAGACAGATCATGTCTCTGGCGTCGTTACTAAGTGAGGCTGTCATGGCTGGGTGGTCTGACGGTCATATCAATAGGATATCCCCACCTGGCCTTTATGGCACATCTACATTCACTATTCACGCGGCAATTGAACGACGTACACACTCAGCGCAAAACACGGCGCATCGACACTGCCCGAGTATGAAGATTCGACGATTCAATCTGGATGAAATACTTCTTCCAAGCAGCACTTGCAGCATGTTTGCACTCGGATCCAGTGCACACTGAACGAGAGAGGCAGCTCGTGCATGGGATTCTGCATTCTCCGATCAAATCCAACCGGAAAGGCTTTTTCGACGGCGGGGCTTGGCGATACGACCCTGTAAAGTCTGCGAAAGTCTAGAACAACGGATTTTGGGGGTGTGCAGGTAATAATTATACAGATTGGGGTGCCATGCAGCCATCACATCATTTTTTCTAATTTTCCCATGCGGGCGGTATGCGCGATCTGTGCCTGGACGGGTCTCGCCCCAGGGCCTCGCCCCGTTCCTGCCACCGCTGCCACCACCACCACCACCTCCACCACAACCCGACACTGTGTTCCGAGACCGTGCGCGCTGAGCAGACGATATCCTCGGAGAAAGGTATCGGCCCCGCCCCTCCGCGGATTGCAACTCCAGGCCCTCTGATTGGACCTTTTGTTCCCCAAAGTCTGCCCCGCCCACCTGGCATCGGGCTGCCAGTGCCAGCCCAGCGCGCCGGGTTTTGGGGGCTTTCGCAGCTAATCTCTAGCGCTTGCTATTGGACGCGCGCTGGCGTCGAGTGCCAAAACGAGCGCTGCCAGCTCTCTGGTTCTTGTGTGAGGTACATGCCCCCGCCATCCCGCAAGTACTGTACGTGCTGTGGGTGGTACATGCAATTCCGGTCCCCACCTCCCGTTCCTCGTGCCAGCAACCACGGCTTGTGTTTGAAGTTCGGCATATGTTTTCTTCTTCCTACTGCTACTTACTACCAGGGTCTCCGGGACAGTGGAAGCGGAGAAGGAGCGGTCTGTCCCTCCCGTTGTCGAACCTGGTGGGCTGACCGAGGGCGAGCCTGGCGGCTGTGGTATGATGGCGTGGTATGTCTTACAAATCGGGATCCAAACTTCTGTCATTATGTAGTATTTCCTAATTACACACCCCTCAATCTATCCCTTGAGCCAACCCACCGGAACGAGATGCTGGGGCTGAACTATCGAATCTCTGCCGCCGAGGATCCCCAGTCCAGATCCAGAGCGGGCGCACTAGCCGCGGGCACTGATGCACGGGTGCACTATGCTGGGACCAAAGAGAGAGGCCCGGGAGAGAGGGACCAAGGTCCCCGGCGGGCGAGCAAGAAAGGAGGTGTGGGTTGTCTCCCTCCCCCTCTCCCGAGTCGTCCCCAGCCCAGTCCCGGAGATCTGGAACGCTAGACACCCGACCCAAGGCGCAGGCGGACGGATCCTTCGGTCACACCTACCTAGCTGTTCCCAGCTCCAGGTCCCCGGGTTCACGTCAGACTGCCTACGTAGGCTAGGTAGACAGACACGTGGCTGTCCCCGTGCATCAACTTATGGCTGTCCTGCCGCACCAGTCTAGTAAGCTGAGACCCGAGACCCGGTTCGAGTAAAGTGGAAACCCGTCTCCCGCGTCCCAGCCCCTCGGCCTCTCCCCGTGAACCAAGCTCGACACGACATGCGCAAAGGTACGGAGTCGATACTGTAATATGCACCTGTAATCAGCCTCACACCACGTCAGCCAGCTTGACGTGATGCAGACCCGCATGCACGTGCACAAGCACAGTATGGGTAGGACGGCCTTTCATCCCTTGCATCCCGGGACCCGGGTTGGTGGTCCCTTACGTCAGCCCCCATTCCCATCCGAATCTGTCACAGCACAAACAACCACATTGTCTTGCTCTCCACACTGCGTGCAGTCTTCAAGCCATAGTGCAGTAAAATGGGTTATCCGTAGAATGATGTAGCTCTTGATCATTGAGAACCAATCGAGACCTCATTCAATGAGTGATGGCAAATAATGTAATGCGCAGGGACTTCGAGATGACGAGATACTCTTCCAATTCTAGGCAGAAATTGTGCAAACTAATTCTACGTGATTAAGCCGTCACATCATATCATTCATGAGCGTCATTAAATCCCAACCCAACCACCCATTCCCATGAAGGAAAGACTTAGGACACGGTGAAGAAAACCCGAAAACCGAGTGCAGTTATGCTCTAGTCTAGTACGACCGAGCTAGACTCTCAGCCTTGAGCACGGCGTCGCGCAGGTTAGCCTCCTCCCTGTTGACGGCCTCGCGCATGCGGCCAATGTTGACCTGCAGCTTCTGCGTCTCGCGCTCGAGGGCGCCGCGCTCGTGCTCGATCAGCATGATGCGGCGCTGCGACATCTCCAGCGCCTCGGCCTTGCAGATGCGCCACGCCTCCTTGCGGATCTGCTCCGCCGACGCTGCGGCAGCGGCAGGAGTGCCGCCGGGTGTCAGTGGCGGGCTTTGTGACTTGCGTTTGGAGGAGGAGCCGCTTTGTTGTTGCGGGTGGCTGCTGCTGATACTGCTGCCGGCGGCCCTTTTGGATCTGGCGTCCGATTTGCTAGCTGACACGGACTTGGCCTTGGCCTTGTGTGCTCTCTTGGGTTTGGTGGTGTTTGACGGCAGGGCGGCCGCCACCGGAGACGACGACACCAGGGCCATGTTCCCCGGCGACGCTGGCTCGCTCGAGCTGCCGCCGTGCTTCAGGTTTGGCCGCCTGGTGAAGTCGAGGCCCGAGCCGGCGCTGAGCCCGTTCTCGGCAGACACGCTCCGGATTAGGGGTGTGTGGTGGGTGGCGATGAACGGGGGCGCCTCCGAGTGCGGCGAGTACAGGGGCTGGTCGTGAGATCCCCAGACGCTGCCGGCTGCGTAGAGCCCGCCGGGAGAAGCCGGCAAGCCCGAGGTAAAGTAGTCGACGGGGGACGGGTCCGGGTGGCTCCACGTGTTGTGGTGGTGGTGCGAGGATGGCATGGGGCCGAAGGAAGACCAGTCTATCTCGGCGCCGTCGGCGCCAAACATGGTCGGGTCGTCGTAGTCTGGCCCGGGCAGGCGGGGCAGGCTCCCGTGCCAAGCATTGACGTATTGCGTGTTGGACGTGTTGTCGGCGGCGGCATGGCTGTCGGCCCCGTCTGCGCCCGTCCACGGCACGTATTCAGGGCTGCTCTCGAAACAGGACTGGAGGCTCGGAACCTAGAGGGAGAGGAGAGGCCTTGGTCAGATCAAGGTAATTCTACGCTGTGCTGACACGGCTGTGCCAAAAGGCCAACGCAATCACTCTAGCAAGGTCTGGCCCGCGGCATTGGTGTGATGTCATGGGTGGGTTTGCCGTCCGATATCAAAGAAAGAATGCCAAAAAGGTACATGCCGCTAACAGCACCGACGCAAGCAAACAAGTCTCTTACATCGCCCGCATCCATATCCGGCTCGGAGGAGTAAGAATTGGCTAGCATGTTGAACTTGTGACGACCACAGTCTAGGCCTCTGAAAATGCTGCGACGGTGGTGTGATGTTGACGTGGGGCTGTCAAGGCGACGATGGGACTAATGGACGGTTTTATTCGTACCGTGGCTTTGTATCCAAGTGTAAGTCGGTCGGTGGTGGTGGGGTTGCGGGCAGTAGGTACGTGGTTCGTTGCGATGACGCAGGGCCAGACCTGTGATCGACAAACGACTAGGGGAAATCCAAGAAGTTCCTTTGGGGCAACGACATCATCCTCTCTCGGTTGGGCCCATCGTGCCGCACGACGGGTGGGTTCCATCTATATACGTACTCTCTCGGCGGTTAAGACGATAACGATACCTAGATACATGACGGAGGGATGGGGTTCAAAGTCGGCTTTTTTGGCATCGAATTTTGCGTTCCCTTCCATTTCACCCATGCGCATTCTCGCACATGGCAAAGCGAGATGGATGGTCATGTCATTGCATGTACTTCTTGCTGCCCGTACCCGTCCTTTGGGTACAGCCCGTACAGTACATACACCACACGAGCCGCGGGTACGCTGGGCAGCCACAGGCCAAGTACCGCATGTCTCGCCGGCACCTGCCTTGAGGGCCTAAGTGCTGAAGGTTCAGACATTTCAGCACCACCTGCAGGTCTCGGCTAACGACAGGGGTCATGGCCACACCCCGGTCATGCCGCACCACTGCCTCCTGCTGAGCAATGTCTATCCGTACCTCCGCGGGAATCGCACCCAAACGCAAAGCACACCTATGGATGAATTGGCGCCATTTTCAGCCGTCGTCTTTTTTTGCGTCGTCGGCCACGTTCTAGATTAGTGAAAGCCCCTTCTAGCCTCGAGGCGGCGCATCCAAAGGGGAACAGCATGCCGCGCTACGGAGCCTCTGCAGGGAGCCGAGAAGTCTCCATGCCAGGGCCCCATGGACGCCCGACGCGACCCGGCCATTCACGTTTGCGTGCCTCGCACCAAAAACCCTAACCTTGGGCCCCCAAGACCCCCCCAAAAAGGAAATCCATTAAAGGAAGGAAGCTGCCATTGACGCGGCATCCATGAAGCCGGCGATGCACATCCCTTCCTCGTCGTGCGTCTCGGGCCAAATACGAGACATGGCAACCCCGAGCTTTTTTTTCTTCTGGTGATAAATCACAAAAGAAATGTCATAAGGTTATCTGTACGAAGTACTTCGCACCGCCTGAGCACACACCACACCGCATCCACGCTCCGGTCCCGAGCGCCTGGAAACATCTCGCAGGCTGCTGCCGCCGCCATTCCCGACTCAGCTCGCTATACTGTCGCCAAGACGCACCTCCGGAGCTATCACCATATCCGCCCGTCCATCTATCCAATCGCGTGTGTGGCTCTTGCGCCTTAAAGCGGCATTGCGATATCGCAAGTACAGATTACACCACCTGCAAAATAATCCACACCCCTGCTCTGCTTGGCCTGTCAGGGCGACAGAAAGAAAAAGCCTTGCTGCAATTGAAAGAATGTGATTTCCGCTCACAAACACATAGGTTGGGTCGGTCAGCTATCCAAAGCAGTCGTCTATCTAGTCAGCCTCTTCGTCAGCTCCCCCAGCCCACCCGCTTGGGTGGTTGCTGCCGAGGAATCGGCTCTGCACATTGCACAGCGCACTCCGGCTAGCCACGGCTCCGGGGCTGTCTCTGTCCCACTGCACTTTCACGCTGTTTTCCCACCCCCAATCTAGATGTCTGTCCAGTTGCGCCAGTGGCCCTGTACTGGCCCCCTTCTGCTGCTTCTGCTGCTGCTGCTCTGGGAGCGCGGTGGCCTCGGCTATCTTGAGCTTCGCGTCGTCGTCGCCAAAGGGCCGGCAGAGAGCCTCTAGCAATGACAGGGACAGGCTCACATTGGAAGAGTCAGAGCCTAGAGGAATGGTGAGGAGATAATCCGCCGGCGGTGGGGGCTCTGAGAGCCCGGGAGGAGCTTTCGGGGACGAGTATGAGGCGACCTGCGTGTAGATTGGCTCCAGGCAATCGTAGAAGTTGAGGGCCACGCTGTCGATCGTGCCGCAAAACTCAAGGGCCTTAAGACAAGTGTGCGCGTGAGCAAGGTCGTCTTCCCAAGAAGACTGGGGGAACAGGTGCAGTTGCTTTTGGATGGCCGAATGCAGCATCACCATGCACGCAGTTTGCGACTGAAAGCTGCACGGACCATGCATGTTAACAGACCTGTCGGAAGAGGAGGGGTGAACATTGGGTAATTGGTAGGCTGGCTCACATGACGATCCAGCACCTCTTGAATATGCCCTTCTTCTCCAGCATAAGACCCAATATCCGGGCCGAGTGCCTCGCGGCCGTCACCCCCTCCGAGGTCTGGCTGACGAGCGTCGTCTCGAACGCCCCACCAGACTTTGGCTGACCCAGCTCGAAGCCAAAACACTTGACAAACTGCGAGGCTATGCGTCGGTAGAGCAGCATGATGGTGCCGAGATAAAGAAGGTGGGCGTGGAAAATGGAGAGTAAAACGCCGTCGGGGAGGTCCTCACGACTGACGTTGCTTAGCCGCATGTGACCTGGGAGGCGGTCGTGCCAGTCGTGGAGATCTTTCATTATTGTTTCAAGGGCTGGTCCTGTCATTTCTTTGAAAGCGAGTTGCACGTGCAGTATGTCTGCTTGGAGGAGGGAAATCTTGGTCATCTCCATCTGGACGACTGTGAGAAATACTGTCAGTCATAATCAACTAACCCAGGGCGAAACACGGATTTCGGGCGGCCGGAGACGCACTGTTTCCGATATCGTATGGGTTATCGCCTTCCACGTCGAGAAACTAGAAGAATAGAAATGGTTAGTAATGCTAGCAGTGGGGGGTACTCAGCAGTGGGAGGTACTCGGCAAGGGGTGGGTCAAGCTCACGGGAACCATTTCCCGAAATTGGATACCCGCGCCAGATATGTAGCCTAGAGTTGACGAAAGCCAGCTGTATTGTCAAGTCACATGATGAGCTTGGAATTTTGAAATTGAGCGTCAATCGGGAAAGACTTGCCTGGAGAAAAACATCAGAGTTCGCCATGTTCTGCGGTAATCAGCCCACGCCTTGTCCGAGACATTTGGGTCACGGCACTGCTTGACATGGAGGCTGTATTTTCTCGACATATTCAAGCCGACCTCTGGAACCGGGAGGTTGGGCCTGTTAGTCTGTCTGCGCCACCGTATCGTTTGTCTGAGGGTTCTAACCAATATATGCCAGAGCCACGGTTGATTTGTCCATGATATTGTACATGGCCAGCACTGCGCATACTCTGATGGCGTCCAGGGGCAGCTCGCCAAGAAAGCTGGAAAAGTAGTGAGCTGCGATGTTGTAATAGACTTCGGACATGCCTTCTCCAAAATCATCTTCGTTGTATTGCACACCGACAGCTGCAACGGCAGCGAGACAGCAGGTTGCGATTTTCTGGTTCGGGATGGGATTGCTGTCTCCTTGAAACACGTCCGAGTGGTAACTTGCGACCTGCTCCTCGGAAAAGACGTGGAACAACCTGCCACTGGAGCGATAGAAGCTCTCTGTGGCTGCCTTAGTAGTGGCAGGGTCAGGCATAACCAGTCGGATCAGAGAGGCAGACGCATTCGCCAGTAGCTGTGGGTTGGAGAGACTGCTCGAATTCGAAAGCGGTGAACCGAAAGAGAACCGCACCTCGTCGTCTGACGACGCGGTTAGAGGACTTGCGCGACGGGGTGTCAGCTTTTCGTCGATGCTCATAGAGCTGCCCGAGCTGGGAGATGAAACCACAGAATCGTCCATCTCAATTAAGGTGAGAATGTCACTGGACGAGCGAATGCGACGGAAGAGGCTCTCGGCGTCACTATCGGGGATCGACTTCAGCGCCACGAACAGCTTCTCCATTGCCCGCATGCGCGACTTCATGAGTGCCTTTCTCGACTGGCCGGCGTGGCCCTCATAGTAGCATGGCCGTTCCTTTGCGGTGCACGTCCTGCATGTAGGACGACTTCTATCGCACTGGTAATGGCGGTGAGCAAGTGTACGGCGTCAAGGGCCGAACCTGAAGTTCTGGGCATGAAAATAACGAGGTACAGGTTAGCGGTCGGTTACCTTGACCTTGTTCTGTCGACATTCACGGCAAGCCTCGGCAGCATTACGGATTCTTTTCCCGAGGCTCTGGTACGACGAATGCAGCGGCCAATGGGCCGAGTCCGAGGGTTGGATGAGGCGGTATGTTGAAGCCATGACGAGCAGCGCGCCGGCCGCGACTATTTAATCATTGGCTTGGAGCTGCGGACCTCTCTGTCGTCTGATGCGCGCCTGCTAGCCCCGGCAGGATAGAGCGACGAGAAGCTGGAAGTGGTTGTGAGCGAGCTGCTGAGTCTCGTCATGAGGGGAAATCAAGCCGAATTTGCGATGTGGGTGCGGTCAGCGCGGTGGCACAACTGGCCGCCAGTGGTTGGACAGCTGGGGCATATCGTGGTCCCGGCACGCCGAGCTTTTGGCGGCGGCATGTCGCTGGAAAGGGAAATTATCGGCGCCAAATGCACAGGGAGCGTGCCCGGGCGATTCACATTCGCGCAAATTCCACACATCAACCACCGAGACGAGAGCCACTTGTTGGTTCCAGCGTGGCCTCCGTCGCTGTGCGAAATGGAACTGAGGTCAAGGATCGGCGGAGGAGGAGAATGCAGCCCGACGCCAGCTAAACGCACCGAGCGAGGAAATGACGTTCGACACCCCAAGACACTAGGCTGAGGTAGGCACATTAAGTACTGGATGGAGGATTTTCATTGAAATTGTTTGAAATTGCTGCCAAGTTCCCAAGTTCCAGGTTCGAGGCAGGGACGAGGAAGCTCCCAAGCTCCTTCCATTTTTCGTAGTCTTCAGTGAACGCCTGACTACCAGCTGTACGAATTAGGCTACTGCACTTATCAAGGTTCCCGTTGCAAAGCAATACGTTCTTTCCCTTTTTTCTACCATGCCCAATGGCGTTCAGCCCTCGGTGTTACTGCACGCACTAGCGGCCGAATTCCGAACTTGCATTGCAGATCTTCAAGAGACCGTTCTTCATTAGTTGGGGCTGGGCTTCCCGAGAATTACTAGTGCAAACTCTCCGCAAGATCCGCTGTTTTCATCTCATGCTGGATGAATGGCTCTATCTACTAGCGCTACACACGCCCATTACCGTTGCCATAGCTAAAGTTTGTTGCTCTACCTAGTCCGTCTCGTCGGTACTCTTTCGATCGACGTTGATGTGCTGCCGTGGCGGCTCGTGAGCAGCGAGCCCAAGATGGCGGGCCCACCAGCGCGGTGAAACTGAACGCCACGGACTACCGGACAAATCGAATCGACGCGTTGATTCAGAGGCAGGTGCGACAATAAATGGCGGTGAGGTGAGCTTAAGTCGGCCGTTTGACCGCTGCCACTGGTCTCACAACGTTGACCCCTCTCCACCATGGCACCATCGCAGCCTCCTCAACGTGCGACTCTGCGAGTGTGTGGCGCATCCACGGTTTGATGGTTATCATGAAGGCCAAGTTCGCTCTCGGGACGCTCGTCGTCGCGTCGCTTCCGATCCTGGGAACTTGCGTCAACCCACTGGTCAATCTGACATACGCCACGTACATCGGGCGGCCGCTTGTCAATGGAATCACGCAATGGCTAGGCATCCGCTATGCAGCGCCGCCAGTGGGCAACCTCCGGTTCGGACCTCCCCGAGATCCGCTCTTCGTCCCTACGCCGCAGCAGGCCAACAAGGTAGGAAGCGCGGGCAAGCCATTCAATCGACAGGCTGGGACATGGGAACTGATCTGCCAGATTGATTAGCACGGGAAGTTCTGCCTCAAGACGGGAGACAGGCCGAACAGAACGATGACGTCCGAGGACTGTCTCTTTCTCGACGTCTACGCGCCCAGCAATGCGACAGCCGACTCCAAGCTGCCCGTCTTTTTCTTCATCCAGGGCGGCGGCTTCAACGGCAACTCGAACCCCAATCTCAACGGTACAGGCCTTGTCATGGCGAGTCAAAACTCAATCGTTGTCGTGACCTTCAACTATCGTGTTGGACCCTACGGCTTCCTGACGGACGGGAAGAACGCGACTGCTAACAACGGGCTCCATGACCAACGCAAGGCGCTCGAGTGGGTGCAGAAAAACATTGCCCGGTTCGGCGGCGATGCCGGCCACGTCGTGCTTGGCGGCTCGTCGGCCGGCGCCGCCAGCATCAGTCTGCACATGATCGCATACGGAGGCAAAGACATGGGCCTCTTCCACGCCGCAGCCGCCGAGTCGGTCTCTTTCGCCACGGCCCTCACGGTCAAAGAATCCCAGTACCAGTTTGACAACTTCGTCATCAGGCTCGGCTGCGTGGGGAGCGACCCGCTTGCCTGCCTGCGCGCAAAGTCGGCCAAGGAACTGCAGGCTCAGAACTTCAACATACCCTATCCCGGATCCGCCAACAAACCTCTATACATGTGGAACCCCGTCATCGACAACGACCTTCTCTCCGAAATTCCCTACGTTGCCTTTGACAGAGGCAACTTTGTCAGAGTTCCGGTGATAATCGGCGATGACACAAACGGGGGCACCACCTTTGTGCCATCAACCACTTCGACACGTGGCCAAAGCAATCAGTTCTTGAAAGACCAGTTTCCCTACCTCACACTGCAGCAGCTGAGCAAGCTCAACGACCTCTATCCGAATCCCGATCAGGGTGACTGCCCCAATGAGGGCTGCTGGTGGCGCCAAGCGAGCAACGTCTACGGGGAGATGCGGTACATGTGCCCCGGACTGTTTATCAGCGCAGCTGTCACGCGATACGGGGTGAATGCATCATACGCTTACCGCTGGAACGTGGAAGATGCAGCGCAAATGAGCGCAGGGCTCGGCGTCCCTCACACCGTTGAGATTAACGCCCTGTTTGGGCCATTCAATGTGCAAAGCATGCCACCTGCCAGCTACTTTCCCAACGGCACAAATGCGCACGCAGTCCCGGTCATTCAGGGATACTGGACGAGCTTCATACAGACATACGACCCGAATAGGAAGAGGTGCTGCGGGTCTGCCGTATGGAAGCGCTGGGACAACTGCACGAAGGAGCGTCTGCGGTTTGATAGCGGGGGCTGGACCACAATAGAGCCAATCGATGATGGGCTCAAGAAGAGATGCGAATATCTACACAGCATAGGGGTGGGCCTTCAGCAATGAAGCAGGAAAACTCACAGAGAACTCGCAGAGTTCTGCTTTATCACACCCTGAATTCCCGAGTAAGATTCCTATTATACATCTTGATGGACATGCATTAATTCCGAGAACCATAGGAAAGCATTGGTATTCGATAGCAATAGTAATATTCTTCATGTTTCAGCATTGGGTTTCTTCTCTCCTTTCGGGACGTGAACTAGTACAAGATTTGACTTGGAATCGAGTCGAAGATCAAGGACCACGGTGACGTGATTGGTCTCGTCGTCGGATCACACGAAACATTGCTGGCGAGTGGGAGATTGGTTGCTAAAAGGTCTTGGCACACGGTCGCTTTCGCCAAACAGACTCACGGAAATTGTCCATCCGCTCCGAGGTTGCATCTCGACTAGCGTCCACGAAGCCCCCTACCACTCGATCAGCGGGCTCGGGGGACGTTGGCGCACTGGCGGGCCGACAACGTCGAGATTAGTCCGGTTCTGGAAATCGGCCCAGTCCCCACCGCCCTCGCTATGGATGGCATGGGGAGCTCGGCGGCCGTCTGTCCATGCACTAGACTGCAAACCGAAGGCTAGCGAGACGGAGCGCTTGGCACGGTTCTCGGGGCTCGCAATGCGACGCTGCTCCGCCTTCCCAGTCATGCTTCCCGGAATTCAGTATTAGAATCCCGGAACGTACGATCAGGCCGCCAATCAAGTGATGCTGGCCAAGGAAACGAGGGCCTTGAGCCGCATTCCCCGCGGGGGGCCGACGGTGCACGCCGATCTCATCATTTCGTCAACGGCACGATGAGAGCAAGAGGGGGGGTATAAGTCTCGATACGGCGCCGCTGTAGACTTATCTCTGGCTTCCTCAGCAGTCGCTCCATTGTTCCCCGAGAACCAAGCCCGGACCTAGCTGCATCCCGCCATGAAGTCTTCGATTCTTGCCAGCGTCGCCACCAGCGCTGCTGGAGCTCTCGCGGCCGGTGGCGCCTGGCAACAGTGCGGTGGCATTGGTTGGAATGGAGATAAGACGTGCATCTCGGGCTACTCGTGTGTCTACTCGAACGATTGGTATAGCCAGTGCCTACCGGGCGCTGCCGCTCCCACCACCTTGTCGACGTCGACGACCTCAAAGGTCAGCACGACTTCTTCGACCAGCACGAAGTCTTCGGCTGCTCCTACAGCCACACCGACGACCACACCTGCTGGCAAGTTCAAGTGGTTTGGAGCCAACGAAGCCGGCGCAGAGTTTGGAAACGACGTCTTCCCTGGCACCTGGGGCAAGCATTTCACTTTCCCTGACAATGCCGCTGTCCAGGTAGGAATCTCGAACACAGCGTCCTGGCGTGCTTACTGACACGTGACAGACCTTAATCGGCCAAGGGTATAACATCTTCCGCGTGGCCTTCTCCATGGAGCGCGCTACACCCAACACGTTGACGGGCGCCTTGGACACGGCCTACATCAAGAATCTGACAGACTCGATCAACTACATTACAAATGCGGGCGCTTACGCCATCCTCGACCCCCACAACTTTGGGCGCTTCTACGGCAACGTGATAACCGACACGTCGGCCTTCCAGACGTGGTGGAACACCATCGCCAAGCAGTTTGCCTCCAACTCCAAGGTCATCTTCGACACGAACAACGAGTACCACGACATGGACCAGAACCTGGTGCTCAATCTCAACCAGGCCGCCATCAACGGCATCCGGGCCGCTGGCGCCACGTCCCAGTACATCTTTGTCGAGGGCAACTCGTGGTCTGGCGCGTGGACGTGGAACACGACCAACACCAACCTCGCTGCTTTGTCGGACCCGCAGAACAAGATCGTCTACGAGATGCACCAGTACCTTGACAGCGACGGCTCGGGCACGAGCACGGCGTGCGTGTCGACGACCATCGGTGTCGAGCGCGTCGTCGGCGCGACGGCCTGGCTGCGGGCCAACGGCAAGCAGGGCATCATTGGCGAGTTCGCTGGCGGCGCCAACAGCGCGTGCCAGACGGCCGTCAAGGGCCTGCTCGACCACCTCAAGACCAATAGCGACGTGTGGACTGGCGCCCTCTGGTGGGCCGCTGGGCCGTGGTGGGGTGACTACATCTACGGCTTCGAGCCCCCCTCGGGCACTGGCTACACATACTACAACTCCCTGCTCAAGACGTACACCCCGTAAGCTGGCCGAAGCTGCGCGCCAACCGGCTGAATGCTCCCTGGCAACATGGGGGGGAAGAAAATGGTGGTAGTGAGAGGTGCCCTGACGCACATAAGACGTTGACTCGATTCTCTGTACATACTTTAGTCGCATGTTCCTCGTCTGGCGGAATTGTCCATAACTTCATTCTACACCTGCTTGCATATATATAAGCAAACGAATACTACCACACCCATGGAACCATTGCATGTCTTATCACTCGTCATCTTTTCTTCGGTCTTTCCTGCGCCGGACCGGCCGAGTCCTCGTCTTTTCGTTTCCGCCCCCTCTTCGGCGGGGGGGCAGCAGCTTGCTGGGCCGCCGCGGCTGCTCCGCGGGCAGGGGGACCAGGAAGAGGACCGGCAGGGCCAGCGGCACGTCCAGGTGGAGGAGCAGCAGACGCTGGCACGTCTAGCGCGTGAGAGAAAAGGCCCGGACTATCACCGAATCTGGCACCGGGAGGTCCCGGAGAAAGAAGCCCGGGAGCTGCTAGGCCCGGATCGCGAGTGGGAGGACCAGGACGGGGACCAGCGGAATCGGGAGGCTGGAAAGCACCACTGCGAGGACCAGAAGCTGTAGGACGAGCAGGGCGGGGACCAGCACGAGGTGTAGGACCAGGAAGGACAGGACGAGCAGGGGTGGGACCAGCACGAGGTGCAGGGGGAGCAGGGCGGGGGCCGGGTACGGCTGATGGATCGGGACGGCGCCTAGGCTGCCAAGCAGCAGGAACTGGACCATGGGGCCCAAGAAAGTATAGTGTCCCATCGATCATAACTCCTTGAGTTTCGGCAAGAGTTTGACCACGGCTCTCGGGAAGCCCAGCCGGTGTAGGGCCAGCACGAGGTGCAGGACCAGCAGGTGTAGGACGAGCAGGGGCGGGAGGAGCGGGAAGAGGATCGGCCGGACGCCTACCAGGTGTAGGACCGGCCAGACGCCCACCAGGCGTAGGACCGGCATGTATAGGACGAGCAGGCGCGGGAGGAGGAGCTAGATGGGGGCCGAGAGGATGACCAGCACGAGGCGCAGGACCTGCAAGTACAGGACGAGCAGGGGCGGGAGGAGCTGGACGGGGAAATACGGCCCATGGCTTGGGACTGCGAGCAGCAGGAACTGGACTAGCAAGTGTAGGAGGAGCAGGGGCGGGAGGGGCCGGATGGGGACCAACCGGACGCCGAGCAGGGACTTGACCAGCACGAGGCGCAGGGCCAGCAAGCACGGGACGAGCAGGTGCGGGAGGAGCGCCAGCCGGACGGCGAGCGGGGACGTGACCAGCACGAGGCGCAGGAGCTGCGAGCACAGGACGAGCTGGGGCGAGACCAGAACGAGGTACAGGACGAGCTGGGGCGAGACCAGCACGAGGTACAGGACCAGCGGGACCAGCAGGGGCATTGGCCCGGGGCGGCTGAGGCCGAGCGCTGCCACTACTGGAATCAGGGGGAGGAGCGCTGCCACTAGTGGGCTCAGGAGAAGGAGGCAGAGGTGGAGGAGCGGCACGAGGTCCAGGACCAGCACGACGTGCGGGACCAGCAGCGGCGGCGAGGGCGGCCTGATGCTCAGCAGCGGCCTTTATCCGCGCAGCAGCAAGTTTCTGGGCCCGAGTACGCGGCTCCAGAGTAGGAGCCCGAGGTGGAGCCGGGGGCGGAGGAGAACCACGAGAAGAAGGGACAAAGGGAAGAAGTGGAGACGGCGGCCCCGCGACGTCGGGGCGGCCGAAGAAGTCGCGGGCCCAGGCGCGCGTGGCCTCGTCGGCCTGGTCCTCGGAAGAGTACTCGGCGTTGATTTTTTCGTCGATCGTCTCCCAGAGTCTGCGGAGGTCGAAGTAGGAGCGGTCGGCCGGCACCTCGCTCATGAGCACGCCCACTACCCCCTTGAGGTCGTCGTCCAGGCCGTTGGCGACCATTTCCGTCAGGTACATCTCGTACGTGTAGCGATATCTCGGCACCATTGTCCCCGACTCGGGATCCAGCTCCAAGTCCCCTGGGACGGTCCTGGGGCTTGGCCATGGCTTCTGCGGAAACCGCAGCAGCATTATCAGCTGCCACATTATCTGTTTTTTTTTTTTTTTTTTTTTTTTTAAAAAAAAAAAGAGTCAGTTCGGAGCCAAGGTGCGTAGGTATCAGGGGGGCGGACACTCACGAGCCCGATCCAGTAGGCGTTGGTCCTCCAGCTGTACTGGCCTGCGACGGTCGGCTTGAACTTGGTTTCCTTGTCGGGCAGTCCCTTGATGTAGTCCCACTCTGCGTGGAATTGTTCCTGGATGGGTTAATCAGACGGTGGTGAGCAAAGACCGGTACGTTGCAGACGAGATGGATGAGACTGATAGGGTGGGATCGGGTGGGCATTGTGATGATTACCGGCGACAAAAAGCCACCGGCTGGCTTGCCCACGTGTCTCGTCAACCACAGAGTCTTCCTGCAGTTGTTGTTCTTCTTGTACTTGCGCATCTCTTTCGCCAAGCCTAGGTCGGCGATCTGGAATTTTTAGGCGACGAAAGTCAGTACCGCGTTCTGGGCGGCCCGGAGGCCAGCTGTAGACGGATGTGTCCACTATCACTAATTCATACCTTGAGAATGGGCAGGAAGCGGTGCGTGTGGTCGCCGTACGGCCCGTTGTCGAAGTCGCCGACGAGGACTAATCAACCAGCCAAGAGGACATGCTCAGCAACTCGTCGAAAGAACTAAAGGGTGGGGGATCGGGATCCAGGGCCGTCTTACTGTTCAAGGGGTCAAGATCAAAGTGGATAAAGTCGGGCGACTCCTTGTGGCCAGCGCGCGGGAGCATCTCCTCCTCCACGGGGCCGTCCTCCCCGCCCGTCTCCTCGAAGTCGGAACGAAGAGCCGGCGGGTAGGCCATGGCCAGCATGCCGCGGAACACTAACGGTAATGCGCCGCCACCGGGCACAGGTCAGTATACTAATACTGATACAACAAACCAGACCACGGGGCAGCTCACAGCAGTCCAGCATCATCCACAGCACCCTGTTGGTGAAGTATTTCCCCGACGACGACATCTTCTTGATCCACGTGTCGAGGTTGCCGCGCGCCATGACCTCGATGATCAGGATCCTGTCGTCGTCGTTGATGTCGGGCTCCGAAGGCGGCGGCGACGGTGAAGGTGGCGGGGGTTCGGGCTTCTTGCTCTCTGTAATGGCTTTCTTTCCTTTCTTTGCGGCCGCCAGCATATTCTTGGCCACCATCTTGACCGGCGCGACGTGTTCGCGGATCTTTTTAGCCACCTTGGCGCCACGCTTGGCCACGTTGTCCAGCGCGTCCGCGAAGACCTGCGGTCGCTTGCCGCTCTTGCCGCGCCCCTGTCCCACCATTCCCCCGGCGGCAGCCGTGGGGACGTAGCCGGACTCGGAGCGCTGCCGCTTCCCCCCCCTGCCGCCGCCGTCATCGTAGTAGTCGTCATCGTCATCACCACCATCATACAACCGGCCGCGCTTCCTGCTGCCGTCGGCAGGTTCGACGCGCACGGTCTGGATGACGTGGTGGGCGCGGGCCATGAGGCAGTGGTTCTGCTTCTCGCCTGCCAGGTCGCCGGCGTCGGCACTGGGGTCGATGTTGCACTTGACGACGACGCTGCACTGGCGCCGGCCCGCGCCGTCGCGCACCTCGTACAGCGCCGCGATGCCCAGCCCGCCCCACCCCAGCAGCTTCTTAAAGTGCAGGTTCCCGCGCTGCGCTAGCGACGCGCGGCGCATCGTCACCGCGCCCGTCACGTCCCCCGGCGCCGAGTGCTTGGAGAATATCTCCTTGCTCTCCCCCGCGTGCATCCGTCGCGCCGACAGGTTCGACAAGGTCGGCATCTCCTCCACCTCCTCCCCGTGACTCGGTTCCGCGTCTGCCTCATGGCCCGGCCTGTGCGTGTATGTCAGTCGACAGCAGGTCAAGTGGCCGAGGCGGTTCCAATGTTTGATGGTTACGAAGGGAACGAAAAGAGAGAAAACCCTCACCACACGCCCGGGAAGGGCACTCCCAGTTCCTCCCAAACATTCTTCCGGCCCTCCATGTTCCACTCGTCTTCCTTTCCCTTTCGGTAGAAGTCAAAGTAGTCGGTAAATTGTTGACGCAGCTGCCAAAACGTGCGCTCAAATTCGCCATTTGCCTTAACCATGGCGGGTAGCTGCAGCGGTCTGTCGCAACCAAGTGTCTGTCGAATTATAGTCTTGTGGCCTAATTAAACGCGGGCGTAATTATCTTGGAATGACGGGCTGTTGCTGTTGTTTGCTGGTCTGGCGGAAGTTGAAACAAGTCCATTGCAGCTCGTCCGACGGATAATAGGGGCCACAAAAGAGCAGGCGTGACAAAGTACGGAAGCTGATGTAAGGCATGCGCAAAGAAACGCGGGGACATGGAGTATTGCGGATGGGCGACGACGCATGCGGAAGTCGGAGAGACAAAGAAAGGGGTTCAATGTCATTTTTGTGTAAAGGCGTAGGTCTAGATCAGACCTTGTTCGTCCGTCGCCGGGGAAACCGCGCCTTTGTGTCCATCCCCCTTTGAAGGCTGTGATCGAGTAAACAACCCCTGAATTGCCTAAGAACATTGTAGGTCCTGGGAGAAACAAAAAACCACCCGATGAATACCAGGACTAATAAAAGAAGAAAGGTAAATTATGTGCCTAAGTGCCTAGGTAATTGATTCAGGAAAGCGGCTCTTATCCGCGTTCCCCTGCACTACCGTGATTGCACCGCTCACGCAGACAATGCACCGCTAACGCAGATAATGCACCGCTCACGCAGATAATGCACTGCTCACGCAGATAATGCACCGCTCACGCAGATAATGCACCGCTCACGCAGATAATTGAGTGCCAGAAGCAGCAAGCAGCAAGCAGCACCAACAATACACAACTAACTCACTCACAAACCAACTACCTCTCAGCAGCAGCCAGCTCAGCACGCATCCTACGGCCACCAATCTCATGATACGGCGGCGGCGGCTGATGCTGATGCTGATCCAACTCCACACCCACACCTCCCAAACCCGCCCTTACAACCCGCGACTCGCCAGAACCCACCGTCGACATCGCCGCCCGCCCATCAATCTCCGGCCTGGTCTGCCCATCACCGCCGCCTCTTCCCCCAAGCGAAGAAGCAGACCCCGCCTTCCCGCGCCGCTTGCGCCAGACCACGAGCCCCGCGCCGCCGAGAACAGCTAGAAGCAGCGGGATGCCGACGCCGAGCCCCACGCCGAGCCCCACGCCGAGCGCGAGTTTACGGCCGTCTTGGTCTTGGTCTTGGCCTTGGCCCTGGTCTTGTGCCGGCTGGTTCTGCTGCCCTGGGACCGACGACGACGATACCAAGAATGGCGAGGACGATGAGTCGCGGCCGTCGGGGGTCGCTATGCCCGATGTCACAGGCGGCGCGGTAGCCGTGTTACCATTCCCGCCAGTACCGTCATCGTCATCATCGGCCGTCAGCGTCGGCCTGTCTGGCCGCGGGATCTGCGAGAAGGATGGCCGTGTGACGGGTGTCAGGCTGGGGCGCTCGACGGGTGAGATAGTCGGGCGCTCGAGCGCATCGGGAGACGATGACGATGATGTGGATGTGGATGTAGATGTGGATGTGGATGTAGATGTGGATGTAGATGATGTGAGTGTAGATGATGTGAGTGTTTGTGCGCTGGCTGCTAGCGGCTGGATGAGGAGGAGGAGAAAGATGGCCACCAGCGGCAGGGCCAGTGAGGGGCGCGGGCTTCTGTGTCGCGGCATGGGCGGTCAGATTTGATCATCTGCGGCTGATGAGAAACGATATGTAGCGATGGCGTTTTGTGTCATTACAGGTAAACAGATTCGAACCGGTAGTACAGAAGCTCAACACGTCTAGCGGAAAGAATGAAAGACTGTGAGACGAATGCATGTCGCAAGCAATGGGAAGAACTCAAGTTCTTTGCATTCCCCTCTCGTGCCAAGAGCCTGCGCCCGCGCCTTTTCAGCTGGCACCCGAGACGGCCGCCGGGCCATGCACGGGTCCTGCCAGGGTAGCATTGTTATCGTCACGTCACTGGGCTTGGCGGGCTGCCAACAAGGCATTGATCGCGAAGGCAGACGCGGACAAGGGGGCCACATGGCTGTGTGTGCTCTGCGTGCGCGAGCGAAGGGCAAAAACTGGTCCTTAATAATTACTAAACGCGATATTCTAACCGGCACCGTCTTTGTTCTCGTCGCAGGACCAACTTGTCCGACTTGGCCGGGAGAGACATGATCCTGGAGGAAATCACAGAATGTCCCATCGTGCCCGTCGTGATCCAAAGGCATCTTTGCAGTGTTCGCCATATTTGCAGTGTCCGCCATCTTTGCAGCTATCGCCATCTTAACACACCAAAACATTATCGTCTAATTATCCCCAGCGCAGCCGTTGACCTTTAACCCCCCCGATCATCCTGCGAGCAAGATAACTATATCTATGCTCCCCACAGCAGTCGAGACCACTACCAGACATCGCCGTCGTAGTTCCACGCGCGGATGGCGGGCGGCAGCACGCGGCTGCAGTCGGTCAGGTTGTTGATGTTGTAGACGCCAAGCAGGCTGAGGCGCACATACTCTCGCGCATAGTCCTGTTGCGATGGGGTCAGTCCACCGCTCACTCTGTCTCCCGAAGCGGAACGAGGTGAGAGGAAATCAAGAAAGGGGACTCACATCGTCCCAGTGCTCCTGGCCGCCGGGCCCGGCAAAGGCCTGGAACTCGGGAAAGATGCGCGGGTCCTGGGACAGGTTGATGTCGCTGGGGAAGCGGAAGACGTTGGGCGGGGCATGGCCGAGCGTCTGTTTGTAGTAGAGCGTGTCCCAGACACCCGGAGTGCTGTCCTGGGACGCGCCGGCGCGCGCCTCGTCGACGAACCGCTGCCGGCTGGTCGAGTGCGCGCCCAGCAGCGCCGCCAGCCCGCGCGGCTGGATCGTCTTGTCGCGGAACAGCTGGATCAGCTCGTCGGCCTTGCCGAACGGGCTGGGCAGCAGCCCGTCGGGCGCCGCATGGTAGCTGTCCCGCCGCCCGACGAACGAGAAGACACGAGGGCCGCTGATCAACGCCAGTCAGTTTTCTGCCCCTGGCAGGAGGGGAGGAACACGTACAGAGGGCAGACCACGGTGGCCACGTTGGCGGCCATCTGGATCAGATCGGCCACGCTGACGCCGTAGCGGCCCCACTTGTGGTGCCACTGCCTCATCTGCTCGATGATCTCGCGCAGGCCGCGGTTGGGGAGGCGCTCGATCTCCTCGGGGGCCAAGACGATGGAGCCGTCGGCGCCGCCGTACTGGCCCGTGTTCTTGGACCAGCCGGCGGCGTCGTGGAAGCCGAGGCGGATGGCGCCGCGGGCGGCATCGGTGCAGCGGCCCGAGGGGTCGCGGAACAGGCGCTCCATGTCGTTGGCGATGTACTGCCACACGCAGCACGTGTCGTACGAGCAGGCCGGCGAGTGCAGCGGCGGCACGTACGTGTTGTACTCGTACGACTGGCCCGACGCGTACCCCAGCAGGATACCCTTGATCAGCCGCGCCTCGGGCTGCAGCTCGTAGTCGGACAGCCACAGCAGGTCGCCGATCAGCTCCTTCGAGTCCCAGCAGTCGGCCTGCTTGAGCTCGACCATCAGATCGTTCATGTTCGGGCCCGGGTGCGCCACGGCCGCTCCGGGGAGCTGCCACAGGCACAGGGCGGCCGCGACCGCAGCGGCTGCTGCGCTGCGTGAGGTTCTCATAATGGTGGGAACGTGTCTGCGATGGGGATCGTAGTGACGAGGAGGGAGCAAGGACAGTGCCAAGGTTGACCAAAGAATCTCGAGGCGACGCAGACTCGTAGCAGAGTGCAGAGGATGAGGAAGGCTGAGGATGAGGAAGGCTGAGGATGAGGAAGGCTGAGGATGAGGAAGGATGAGGATGAGGAAGGATGAGGATGAGGATGAGGTTGCGGCAAGCCTATCGGAGGACCAGAGGGGCTGGTTATATACAATTCTTTGTTGCATTCAGGTCGCCACTAGTCCGCCGGAGCTGCAAGCCCTCGCCCACTTGGGGGCCTCCGCCCACTTAGGTGCCAGAGCGGAGGTGAGCACCTAATCCCTCCCGGTAGCGCGTCTGTGGTTGAGAGGTTGGTAGGACGCTTGCCTGTGATGTTGAGCCGCCATCTTGCGCTGGTGTGCTGCCATTTGGTGGGAGACGTTTTCGAGTGGTAAGCGAGAGAGTAGCGAATGTGCTACCACTTGACGAGCGGAGACGGCTCAGGTCCTCTCACAAGGTCCACCTCGTCCATTGTGTTGAGGCAGCTCTGTCAAGCCCTGGTTCCTCCGCCCCGATGCGCCGAGGTCCGGCCTAGGAGCCGGCAGGGTATGAGCAAGCACTCCGTGGCCCGGATAGGTCTTGCAAATCCGCAGATGGCAAGCCCGCGTGGAGTGCGTCCACCTAGTGTGCGCATCTTGTGTGTACCATCTCCGCAACACCTCCAGAATCGTCAACAAGACAGTCTTGGTTTCGGCGCCATCCTCGCTGCTGGGGCCGCCAATGAACCACAGCCGAGGGTACTGATTCCCGAATTGAGTTTCTGGCAGCCATATGGAATTGGCGGTCACGTCAATAGCGCACTTGTGAAGGGGATAAGGTAGCCACTTGTGAAGGGGATAAGTAGCGCACTTGTGAAGGGGATAAAGTTTGAAGTGGCCGGCAGCTGAGAAACCGGCAGCGGCAGTCGCTTAATGTGAGCAAGGCCTAGCCAAGTTACAGGCCATCATGGACAGACAGCGTAGCCGACGTGCGTTAGGTTCGTGGTGGCGTCGACGAGGGCCCATCAACCCTGGCTTCGAGGTGTAATCGGGAACACAGGATTGGCTACCCGGTAACATGTGGCCGAGGCTCTACGAGTCCACGCAACGAAAGTGACGACCCCGTGCTGGAAGACAGGACAAGACATGATCCAGTGTCCCTCGCCAATGACACGTCCAGACTCCAGTGTGGCAGCCACCACGGCCTGACTGTCGACCCAGAGCGTGTCCCATGCGATTTCACGCTTCTTTACCACGGGTATAGACCAGGCTTCTCCACATCCCAGCTCAACCCCTGCCCGCTCGCGGTGGCTGTCTCTGGCCCACCACCTCGACGTATGAACGCAACCCCATCTGCCGACTCCTCGCTTCTCGTGTTGTCTGTGTTGGAGCCGCCTGTGCTCCTGCGCTCCCTCGGCTTTCCCTTTGCTTGCCGAGACAGCACTCGTCCGGTAAATCGTAAAGGCGTGAACGAGTGGCTGGGGATCTAAGCAGCTCTCGGAACATTCCCGCGCAGCCAAAGACTGTGAAAAGGGGCCCACTTGTCACCCCGACGTTGGAAATAACGAGGTCCACACCACGTAGTTGCACCTTATCAAGCATACCCAACTCGTGCTTTCACACGCATAAACACCTCGTGGTTTTCTTAATTATGCTGGAGAAAGACTCGGCCACATGCATTTTGCACGTATTCAAGGAAATAGAGCCGCAGTTTTTCTTTATTTTGTTCCTCGCTGGAAACTGCCGGAGGAAAGTCTCAAAGGTTTGCGGAGTAGGAAGGAGTTCCCTAGCTCCCTAGCTCCTTACTTTCTGAACAAAAAGGTTCCTCCCTCACGGCTTTCGTAGACTTCTCCCCCCAAGTTCCTCACAGAATCACACGCTGGCAGGGGCATGCACCACATGCTGGCAAGGGCATACACCACATGCTGGCAAGGGCATGCACCACATGTTGGCAAGGGCATGCACCGCAACATGGCTCATTCCCCCTTTCCAAATATAAACTTCGGACCCACCGCTGTTTCATTATTTGTCCATCTCTTAACTCTCCCAAACCTTGGGCCCCGGAGCCGTGTAGGTGGTGCGCACGGGGTAGTATGACCACAAAAGTCCTTGATCGCTTGCCTTGTACGCTCCTGGGAAGGCAACAAGCGGGCTGGGTGTGCCGGAGCCTCCTCCCGTGACCTCCACCTGTGCGCACGACAGATAGATCTGAGCGCCGCCGGCCGACTGCGCCTGGTGCAATGCGATGCTCTCAACGCGCACGAGGTACTTGCCACTGGGCACGTGCTTGGGGATGACGAACTCCACCGTCTGCTTTTCTGTTGCCAAAGAAAAGGTTGGTTAGTATCTTGTGCCTGATCACACCGCAGCCGTAACTGTGGCCTAAAAAGGAAAGAGAGAGAGAAAAAGGACACACTTACGGTATGCTGGCCAGGTCCACCCAGCGTCGCTCTTAACGGCGTCGATGCTGGCAGCCTTGAACCACACGTTGCCGGCGGGCTCCCACGTGTTGATGTCGGCGCTTTCCGGAACCTTGGCCATGTAGAACTGGACGGGGCCAAAGTGCGTCACGGCCGACGCGGCAATGAATCCGAGCGTCCCGCCTGCAGTAATCGTGGCCGTCGACGTGCCGGGTCGATTCTGGAAGCAACGCATGTCGGCGCTGTTGACATCTGTCACCCCCTGGTTCCCCTGGTAGTTTTTCGTCTGTCGCACTGCCGTCCACTCCTTCGCCTCGGGCACCCCGTCGACAATGATCTTGGAGAAGCGGTCTGTGTTCTTCTGTCTTAGCATCGGGCTGGCAGTGGAACGGGACAGCGGGCGAGATACTGACAGTGGGCCTGGACGGTGGATGCCAGTACCAGTGCAGGCATGAGGAGCTTCATCTTGGCGGCTCAGAGACTGGAGCGTCGAACATGGGTTGAGGTGACCAGAGCCCGGTAGAGGTCCCTGGAGAGAGAGCGCCGCGGTAATAAAGAATTTGAGCCCAAAGAAATGACGACGCGGGACTTCATATGCCGGCTGCAATATGGATGCCAAGCGCAGGCCCTTGAGTGTTCCCCAGTCTCGCTAGCCAATTCGTAGCTGATATTGGGAAGCCTTGATTTAGCCTGTTTTTGCAGCAAACAAATGGAGCGCTGCGTCTTGGTCGTGCTTGAAATGTCCGCCACAACGTTGTGCAAATACCGAACCCGCCAAGAAGGCTAATTCGCATATTTTGGATCATGAGACCAATCTTTGAGTGACTCTTTCTCCACGGGGTTCGACCCATAAAACCAGAGCACCATAAAACCAGAGCACCGACAGCCTAACCGCAATATATCCAGGACGGTGGGGCTTTTGATTGTGCGGCAGGCGGAGGGAGGAAGTGGTTAGTCTGGATATCCTGCTAATAGGCATGCTCGTAATAACGCAACTCGTGTCCCATCGCTTTGTGATGACCCAATTGATATTTGAGTTCCAATCTGTTGAAATAATCTTGGTAGGCCGAAGTGTGTTGCGACGGTTTGGCATCGTCTGCTTCCACGCGGGCATTCTTCAACATGTCGTATATATGTGGCGTCGTCCGAAGTGTGGTGCGACGGTTTAGCATCGTCTGCTTCCACGCGAGCATTCTTCAACATGTCGTATTTGTGTGGCCTCGTCAACGCAATGAGGTGGTACGGTAGTTGAATTGGCTGTGGGGTGGAGATTGGCTGTAGGGTGGAGACTAAGAGACCACCTTCAAGACTAGGTACCTTCTTCACCTCTTCGTCGGGTGATGCAAATTGACCAAGAATCTCCATAATCTAGCTCGTCTACGTGACGCTAGCAATCGTCGAGGGGAGGGAGACTGAGAGACCACTTTGAGGACTACTTTCTTCGTCTCTCGTCAGGAGATGCAAACTCTCGGAGAAGAATCTCCATGGTTTGGCTCGCCTTCGTGACACTGGAGATAGTCGAGGGGGGCTAGACGCTGGTGTCTGCATGAATTGTCGAGGCACAGCTCTGGATTGTGGGGTGCCAAAAGGAAGGCGAGACGTGCCGATTTCGGAGGATGGGAGTCAGACGGGGTAGAAGATCCTTGATGGGAGACTGCATCTGACTGATGCTGACCACGGTCATAATGGACCGGAGGGCCCGCTTGAGCTTGGAGGCGAACAATCTCCGCCTGACGGCGGGCAAGTTCCTCCTCGACGAGAGATTGGTATTGACTATCCATCTGTTCGGGGGTTAGTCGAACTGCCGAATGTCTCCTCGAGCTTGGCCTCCATCTCGTCGCGCTTGACATCGGGGATCATGTTGGCCGGAAGAAACGAGCGCCGGACACGAGGGGAGGATAGAGTTGTTGAAAAGTTGAAAGGCGGAGAGACGCTGGCATTTGAAAGACGGAAACGAGAGAAGTTTTGAAAAGAATTTCAAATTACGGGAGCTTGGCGGGGTTATTTGGCGTGCAGGTGCCCGAGCCCTCTTGGCTTGACCCACTTGTTCCTGGTGCCTCCAGACGTAGACAACTATAGGTCCCCAAAGGCGGAGCTGAGAAAATTATAGGTAGCAAGGTCCCTGAAAGAGGACTAGAAGTGCCCCTTCGCTGGGAAAATTCCGGTAGAAGGGGGAGCAACCGAGGTTTGCGGCTGGGACGGTTGGAAGGAAGCCTCAAGTTTTCGAGGTTATGATCAGAGCCCATAGACGCTGTTTCTCCAATATCGTAGCAAACCGGGTCAAGAAGACCGAGCTCAAATATCATGCTTTTCTTGTGGCAGCTTAGCTTGTCGCCTTCCCTGTGCTGTCCCTGCTACCAGTGCTGTTCCTGCTACCTGTGCTGTCCCTGCTACCTGTGCTGTCCCTGTTACCTGTGCTGCCCCTGTTACCTGTGCTGTCCCTGCTACACTCGGCAAAACTATCTCCTCTGAGCCGGCCCTTCCCTAGATTCCCTCCCTGCCGACACGTGTTATTAGCACAGTCACGGCATCTCCAGGCCGTCCTTGATTAGCGATACTACATACTTGGACACATGAGACAGGTAGCTCAGATAGTTCTCCGACGAAGCACATGTTTTCCAAGAGAATGCAAAATTCGTCAAACACAATCTTCAATTTACTACCAATCCATCCCAAACCACATCTAAAGCTGACCTCCTCAATAGACTCGCCAACCTTCTCATAACCCCCCAGATACCCTCGGAACTGTATTTGGTTGTATGTCTGAACCAACAACCGACTTCGATCATTCTGAAAGACGGCCCTGACAATTTAAATCTAGTGCATGTTTCAGGTCCAGACATTGGAGATTCTCTATTGTTGTGTGCCGAGCCACGACCGACAGTGGATTTGCACAATGAAGCAGTCCAGCCATCGTTGCAAACTCTGCCCGTGCTTCCCCCGAGGGAGAAACGTCGAGCAGTCGCAGACAGGGCGACTGGGGGTGGATAATTATACGCAAAGGTGTGGAATTCGGGTGAACACGCCTAATGATTACCTGGGTATTCATCTCGAAACTAGTGTAAATGCCACTCCAGTGGTTCTTGTTTGGAGACCACAGCAAGCGCCAATTAACAGAGCACGTTGATCTTGCCCAGGACGCAAGCTCGAGGAAGGACACGACCATGTCCACCACGAGCCGCGCCCATCCCTCGGTCGGCCAGCCCATACCTTTGTCGGCAAAAAGGTGAGCTGGAGAGGGGGCTGGGAGATACAATACCTTGGTTACAAGTTTAGGGGTTCGAACCAGATCGCGCCATGGGGTTTGGGGCGATCAACAAGAAAATCCCTCGGTATCTCGCCGATGTTTGTTTTTCTTTAAAAGGCGCACCCCATGAGCCTCAGATTGTGCCTGTTCAAAAGAAAACAAAGATTGATGTATGCCCAGCCATATCAGACTACGGATATCGCCGAATCAAACAGGAGGATATGAACAATCCAACTTCTGGGCTATCCTCCGGTCATCCCCGAGACTTGGGAGGAAGCCAGCGTATTCCTGGCTGGGCAAAACGAAGGCGAGGAAGAGGCTGTGTGGAGATGCAAAAGGGAAGAGTTACAAAGGAAGCACAAGACAAGAAGCAAATGAAAATGAGAAATATACCTTGTCGCGCGCTTTGTGCGGGCCATTCTGCTGCTTCGGCAGAGCCGGAGTCGTCATTGTCTGTGTGTCTGCAGCGTCCTTGAGCAGGGGCGATCAGGTGGGAGCATGGCGACTGGGCCCCTTTGGGGTAGAGCAAGTTCACGCACTCTGTGCGGAATCTAGATGAGGTTTGCTCGTCAACGTCTTTCTATGGTTCTGGAGAAAGAGAGAAAGAGGGAGGGGGCACTTAGCTTGGCGTGCTGACACACAGTATAGTCAAACTAATGCGCAACGCGGGTTGACACTGGTTATACTCGCTGAGGTCTCCCTTCTCTAATGCGATCCGGGCATGGATCTCGTATACGGTTGCTGGTCACTGGCGAAAGGGTTGATTGCCGTTAAATGAGAGGAAGAAGAACAAGAACAAGAAGAAGAAGAAGAACAAGAAGAAGAAGAAGAACAAGAAGAAGAAGAAGAACAAGAAGAAGAAGAAGAACAAGAAGAAGAAGAAGAACAAGAAGAAGAAGAAGAACAAGAAGAAGAAGAAGAACAAGAAGAAGAAGAAGAACAAGAAGAAGAAGAAGAACAAGAAGAAGAAGAAGAAGAAGAACAAGAAGAAGAAGAAGAACAAGAAGAAGAAAGGCAAAACACCTGGAGAAAGTCAGAAACGGAACCGCTGAAGGGAAGAGGAGGGGGGAATGAAATGGGGATCGGCGATATCAAAGTGCTATGCTCGGGCAGGCAAAAGCCGATCTGTTGGCAGAAAAGAAGTTAGCGAAAAACTTGAGAGAGGCGAAAATCAAATGCTCAAGTTCAGGCTAGCAGTGATGAGGAAGGAAGGCATAGACAGTTTGCTAGAGCCCAAAGTTCATGAGCTCATTGCCATGATCCACGAGGAGGTGCCCAGGAAAACCAGACATCCTCCCCTGGGCAGGTGCCTAGGGAATACCCAGACAGCAAATACCCAGACAGCCCGCCCAGGGAATGGAAAGAAGAGAATTGAAGATGTGAAGATGTGCGATCGCAGCAAACAAGAGTAAAAGCAAAAGGTGAGAAGGCGATGTGTGATGTGTGTGAGAAAGGAGAGCAAGCTCGAAAGCAGGAAGAGTGAAGAGATTTCTTCTGACCGGAGACTGGAAGAGAAGCAGGTTTGGCTTTGGGCGGTGGCTGGAAGAAGAGGGAAGAAATTTTTTTGCCGACCGGTGTGTGTGAAGTAGGGTAAAAAATGAAAGACCAAGGCAGGCTGGCAGAGCGCCCGTTGTCAAGGGTGACCTCGAAAAACGAGAAGAAAAAGCTGGGAAAATGAAAATAATTGAAAACCCCTAGAGGATGGAATGTGCGATGATGCTAAGCAAGCATTCATATGATGATGAAGCGAGCGTAAAATACCAAGGCTGTGTTTGATCTCCCCCGCGGTAGGCATACGTACGCGGTAGTGTGTATAGCCTTTGAACCTGGACCGCGGGATGGTGGTTGGAAAAGGGAAAAGGGAAAAGGGAAAAGAAAGAAAAAAGGAAACGGAAAGAAAATTGAACCACTCACCTGGTAATGGACTTACCTGGGAGATGTTGTGGCCAAAAGAACGCGTGCCGGCCGTCGCTCGCAAGGCGAGGGGGAAAAAGAGAAAAATGAAAAAGAATTGGCTGTGCCTGACCCGGTTGGTCTCCATGCCACAAAGAGGCAAGGCATGGAGGTTGGTGAATTGGATCAGGATTTCGATCTGCAAGATGTCATGTTCTTGAAGTGATGGCACTGAATGAGGGAACCATGTTACAAGGCAGACGGATGTTGAAGAAGAGAAAAGGAAAGGAAGAGGGAGAGGCGGGAAAAGTGCCGAGTATTTATTCACAAACAGTTGGTCTATGCACGACCGCGAATTTTGGTGTGGGCCCCGGGGACGCGTTCGAGGAGGAGGGTGCCTCTCATAGGCTAGTCATCGGAGGGGCAGACTGCCAGGAAAGATGGCGGACTCCCCTGGAGCAGCCTGCCCCCGCCTGGCAAACTTCTACCCCCTTCTGGGGACTTCCACCTTGTAGCGCACCCCCTAGGGGCTTTTCCCCTTGCCACGGCGCCCTCCCGAGCCATCTGGCACGCTCGAGACTAGAGGCCGTAGACAATAAAGCCTTTGACTGCAGACGTGACTCCCTCTTGCCCTAGTCAGTGACCCAGCCTGCTCTCGTCGGTGACCCAGCCTACCCTTACCGTTGCTAGGGCGACTTCTTTTACCGTTGTGTGACGCGTGTTTGATTTCTCTGGTGCCTTTTCGGCGTGTCTGC